GCGAGGAGGTTGGGATCGTATGGGTCGTCCACGAGTTTATCGTCGAACGCCTCATCGTCGGCCATATAGTCCTGCACCTCTGCAGGATCTTCAACACCTTCCGGTTCTTCTACAGGCTCCGAGTCCTGTAGGTCTCGTTCGTCAGACTCGACCGCTATGTTGTACATGCGCGGTTTGGGCTTGTCGTGATTTGGGCAATCACGTTGATAGCCTATTTTCCCGCATTTAAAACAACGCGGTTTCCCATCCTTGTCCAAGGATGGCGTCGATTTCGTCGCTGTAGACGACGTCGATTTCTCTGTTTTTGGAGCCGGCGAATAGCTCGCACGGAAGGTTGAGCGTTGTCCACTCTTCAGAGCTGACGTGTTTCCCCCGAATGTGTTTTTGTACACTTTCTTGGCGGACGAAGAATCAGCAGCTTTTTTGGGTGCTGCTACGGCGTTGGCTTGTTTTTGCGTCGTTTTTGACGCGGCTGGCGCTTGCGAGTCGTTACGATACGCAGAGATCGCCTTAATTGAATCGTATGCGTGGTCCAGGCAGAGCACGACGGTCCACAACTCGTCTTTCGTTGTGTAGTCCACAGAAATGTCGTGGCGCATAACCATCTCCCGACGCATTTCGCCAGGGATGGCGTTCAGGAAACGTTCATTGAACGTTGCCTGGTCAGGAGGCGTGATCATCTCCCCAGCTGCACGATACAGCTGGTTATAGAAGTGTTTGATTCCCTTCGCGGAATCGTATGAAAGCGTTTTGAACGCTTTCGTGGATGCTACTGCTGCAGACTTCTTGATGAAGGTGCAGATAAGGATCTCTAGTAGATCCCAGAATGGGGGGGTTACCCCGTTCTGCACTCCAATGCGTATATAGTGCATCAGGAGGTCTTGTGCCTCGCCTTCAACGGCGGTTGTCAAAGTGTGGACGTGAAACTCGTTGTAAGCTTCACCCTTCCACCCACACGACGACATATAGGCTAGCCAGGAGTGCAGCCAGTTGTGGAATATCTTCGAGTTATTCTCTCCAGACCATTTGATGGTCGGAGTCAGTCCCTGCATCTTCTTGAGCAGTTCTGGGCGTACATCTGCAGGCAGTGGCTGCAGGATTCGGACCTCCACACTTCGGCATGCAGATTCAAGAAGCTGAGTCATGAATTCAGATGGATCAGGCACTACTCGTGCCGCCGGTGCTGCGTATGAACGCATGGTTGAATCAAACAAACCGGGTCGTACAGACGAGCGGTTTGGAAAGTTGGATGAAGGCTCCCGTTTTGCTTCGGTGCCAAATAGGTCGGGAAATGGTGGGTTGGGCCAGGACGAGCCACCCTCGCCACCATCCTCGTCATCACCATTGCCACTCGGACGGCGGGGCCTTCTTCCGGAGTTAGACCTAACTTGGTCTACACGCCTCTTGCCCCCTTCTGGAGCCGCAGGTGGTTGTGAGAATCGGTGGTAGTTATCCAGCACTCGTCTGAGTGCTGTGCCGTGGGACAGTCTTTCGGGGTCTTCACCGTTTGCCCCACGACCCACGTTGTATACGAATGCTGCGTCTGCATCCAGATGGGCGTTAAAGTCAAAAGTAGATTCGCTGAGACTACGCTTAGCGAAGATAGGTCTGACCTTGGCGGGCTGTCCGCCAATGTCATCTACACGATCCTGGACGTAGATCGGGGGTTTTTTTCGTGCGTAGTAATCGTACGGAACACTGGTGGCTTCCACGTCACCGTCTTCCTCTTGTATCGTCTCCACAGTGGCCTTCATCGGCACTGCTTTCTTTCTCCCGTGGTCGGGAGGGAAATTACGCGTTTGAGTAGCGTCAACGCTTGGTATCTTCACCCCACTGTTCGTGGGTTGGGACGACAGAATGAACGGCGCGGGCACGAAGCCTGGCCTGAAATGGAATGGAGAAGTTCCACTCTCCCCTGTAATCGATGATCCAGCCAGTTGTCCTGGGTCGATCTCCCTACCCTTTCCTTTGGCGTCAGTGGTTACTGGCGCCATCGACGGGGTAGGTGGCTTAGTCCCACTAAAGATAGGAACAAAACGTCCGTCAGATTCTTGTACCTCGACAGACGCGCGTGAACTTGTCGCCTCTGTGACGACGGCAGAGACAGTGGGGATCCCTCCAGGTATGGGGACCCCACTGATTGGTTGACCCGTTGGATTAACGGGAACTACAGGGACCTCCTGGGGCGCTTGCGCCTCCACAGCGGGTTTAGTGATTTGTTGACCCGTTTGATTAACGGGGACTACAGGGACCTCTTGGGGCGCTTGCGCCTCAACAGCGGTTTTTTTCGTCTGGTCAGAGACGACGATGGGGTTTCCACCCGTTGTTGGGTTCACTGGAGGGTTTGCAGATGGGTTATCCACCGTTGCTGCGGGTGGCTTTGGCTCGTCGCGTCGAGAGAGCGCGAGGAGAATTTCGTTAAGTTTCTCATTAAGTCTTTCCTCCACCTTAATGATGTTACGATCTAGACGAGCGATGTTGTCGCTATTCCCAGAGATCTGGGTATTCATGTTACGGACATCGCCTCTCAAGTCGGCGATGTCGTCGTCGACTTGGTCGACGCGATTTCTTAGTACTCGCGCCGTTTCAGACGCGAGGGAGTGGGTTGGGGATGGAGGACGCGACGCACGCATTGGGACGAATGCCGCGAGAGTCTCCGCTGCGAGGGCTTCAGACGTTGTGACTTCGTCAACGTCTCTCATATAGGTGGGACGCGTCTGAGACGCGTCCCTGGGCCCTTGCAGGCCCAGATCGCCACCATCACTTGAGGTGGTGTCGTCTTCCGCCCTACGGCTAGTGGAGGGGCCGGCCGTGTTGGCGGGAGCGTTGGACGTGCTCCTGGTGTTGTATCTCCATGACATCCAGAAGAGGTGTCGAGTTGTTCAACAAGTTCGCGTGAGAACTTGATCGAAGTCGCGTGTTGTCAGGGGCCGACGACGCGCGCGTTGCCAAATAGGGTTTCGGCGCCGGTAACGCGGTGCCGAGAATGGAAAGAGAATAAGAGCGTAAAAAAGTGAAAGGTTATCTTACTAGTTTGGGGACGGTAATGTTCCGTTCCCCTGTTCGCCTCAGGCCTCAGTAATCCGTCTAAGTATACGCTTGATTTGGCTGTATATTGATGGGGTAGAAGTAAAGGCTAATCCGCCTTTTACAGCTACCCCGAGGGTTTATATACAATCTTATACATTCTCGGCACAAATAAATAGAGAAGCTTCCGCGACGCTAAATTAGCGTCGCGACATAATTATTACACAACACAACATCAACTGATGTTGTGGGCGGAATATAGACATGGGCCGGGGCCTCACAGGCCCACACACCCCAGATGGCTTCCCGCTGTGCCCAGCATGCGCGCATGCAGCGGACGCTCTCGGGATCCCCCACGGGGACACCCAGATGCCTGCGGCTGCCCCCGAGGATGACGTGGCACCCGTCATGTGACTCAAGCCGCATGTACATAAATGTACCTGAAGTGGGAACCGAAGAAGTAACCTTCTTCTCACATTCTCCACTTCAGGTAAGTAGTATAGTTTTCCCCTCTAATAATAATAACACATTCTCCACTTCAGTCTGAGTGGCCAGGGGCCACTGTCCCGGATCGGGCCCGCCAGTACGCACGCCCGCTCCACACCCCGCGACGGCCTCAGTGCCGGACATTACCCCCGGGCCCTCTCGACCCCGGACGCTGCAAGAGAGCTAGCGGCTCTCAGCGCCAACCAAGCTCGTGGGGGAAACTCTCCACTAAAACCCTTTTCTCCACTGGCCTCGATCCTAAAACTCCGGGAAATTCTCCGGAAATTCCGCAAGGTCCGGGCTCAGTGTCCACTACCCACTCTTTGTGGGTTAGACAACTGCCCTTACTCCTACTGTTGGAACTTCTAACACACTCACACTAACTCTGACGCGTCCTAGCGCCTTAGAGAAATTTAGAGGAGGGGAGAACTTAATTTTTCAATCCCGGTATGTACAGGATTATAAAGAATAAACATTTTTAGAAATGATTGATGGGAAATATTGGCGCCATATGGCTCCTGGACCCCATCGTAAGCGAAATATTTGAAAAGGGCATCAAAGGAATAAAAGAATATCATCCAATATATCAAAATGATGGTAAAAATGTGAAAATATGAAGAAAATCGAGAATTTATCAATGATTTCACCAAATTAGTACCCGAAACTGGAAATGTGGCTGGGAATAACCTTTACGCGGCTAATGAACATTTTTCCCAATTTATTTGATGCCTTGGGAATGTGTGAAGCATGCTTTTCTGACTTCCCGCTTGCCTAAATTGAACTTCCCACGCCCGCACATGACCAGATCCCGTGACCCGCGCCGTGGCCAACCTCCCCAACACTTAACTCCACCAAATCTCCACCGATTGGGACGATCTTGACATCGACGGATTCGTAGGAATTAGGAGTATTTTTAGGTACCAAGTTTGTATCGAATTATGGAACGAATGAAGATGATTTTTGAATGGTGTAAATGGATATCCGAGCCGGGTCTGCGTGTGGGCGATTATCCCGCCTACAACGCGTCCCTGACAATGAGTGAATGAAACTGGAAAGATGTATTGCAGTGGGAGCACAGCGATGCTGCTGGTGTTTGCAGTTTTCCATTTCTATCATACGATGTCTCACTGGGGGTGGCAAGGGGCATGCATCCTGCCTTCTTCGCCTCTAGACCTAGATAGATTTCCACCGCTTTGTGTATTACATCGCAGTGCCAATGGAGCCATGCAACTTGCTTTTGCAGATTTCATAATGCTCTCTTGGCCCGCTTTTGGGAAGCTGACTGCAACAGTGTAGGGGACAGAGCAGTGTCTGGGCCCGAAGGAGTGGGCTCTGCGATATTTTCCAGCCAACCCTGAGGGGATGCTTCCCATATTGGTGATTCCTTTTTTAGAGCTGGCATTGAAGGGGGAGTCGAAACATTGCTGGCATCCACTGACATTGCATGATCGTGGCGATTTGGCACCTGCCACCAATGTGTAGGCTCAATGCCAGGCCCCCAGCGTTGCATCATCATGGTGCTGCTGGCATTTGCTATCTCAATGTGTCGTGACAGCTGGGAAATAGGGACTTCAGTGGCTGGGACATGCTTATGTCCTTTCTTTTTGGACATTGAGGGTTCAGATTCAGGTGCGGATTGGGGGCCAAGGAAATCAGCATATTTTTTAGGTCTTTTTAAATTATATGGCTGATATTTTTTCACAGGCGAAGTAGTAAGGGGTGGAATTACAGGCTTATGCCTCAGCATGGGAGTAGCTGCTAAAGAAACTAATGGGTTCAGGTCAAAGGAGCAGAACGGGATAGGTCTCCCCCAACAAGTGTGGGTATATCGGCCAAGTTACGCCGGTAGCCGACCTGTAAGAGAGACATGCACTCAGCTGCATATTCATGTGTGTAGCTGTAGTACATACCAATAGGAATGGACACCAAATGGGGCGATTTTCAGCGAAGAAGGGCGATTACTGGTGCTCGCTCAGCACTGAGGAATATATGTATAGCACAGGCACTGGTCTTATAAAGGTCTTTGGGTATTGGATATTCAGCAGCAGGCAGTGGTGAGGGCACACATCGGGTCGAAGTCCCAGCCCAACTGTACCGTTTCTGACATCGCTTTAGCGCCGATTGAGGGGTGCGTGGTTGCTGGACAGTGGATATGAATATGGTCCCACTGATACAGATTGGACAAGAGGATAGCGTGTAATATGAGGGTGTAGAGGATCATGGCAAACACCCAACAATTCTGCTCGCTGAGATCTTTTGTGCCCGTTCAATAACAAAAGATGACACACAGAGCGTTTTAGGGTGTATGAGCGCAGACAGCGAGATCTGAGGGTCGGTGTGCAAGCAAGCAGGGAGGGGAATTGCATGTCAGTGTGACCATTTGGGTAAAATATTTTGATGGGGGCCTAGGAAGGTGTATAGCTGTCGATGTATGGCACGGAATCGGAGCAGGGGATCGGTTTTTGTGGTGGGTGGCCCAGACGAACCAAACAACCATGAGTACCAGCAGTGCTAGGTGCAACCTCTGGCCCTCTGCAGGTGTCTCCACGGACAAGCCCCAAATCCTCACACAGAATATACAGAACAGCCTGGAGAAACCGTTACTCTATGTAGACAGTGTACTCAGAGGGCTGGGTTGATTGGGGGGATCCCTGTCGTTAACTGTGGTGCACTAGCAACATAGTGGATTTCAGTTAAATACAAAAAGTGGTCCTTTTTAATGATATCTATAACGAGATTGGAGGTGAACATAGTGCGTTCTGTTAGGTGCAGGGCTGGGAATGATGCCAACGATGGATTTCAAGCTTACCAAATATGCCACTTATGGCAATAAATAGGAAGTAGAACACCCAAAGAATAGAGGACGGGTCTGTAGTGCAACATACAGTTATCCTGATGTTGAGGATGTTGATCAACATGCCTTACCTACAACGACATTCACAGTTTGTGAATGAAACGGCTGGCCCGGCTTTGGCCGAGAGCCCGTTTCGGGGACATGCATACCCCACGATTGAATTGGTTCTCACGGGGATGAAGGTGGTCAAACGGGTCAATATTTAGTGCTTATTTCCTTTGTCTTTCATGTATCACTGTTGCCACTCACGCATGTATTTAAGGGCGAAGCCTGCAGATGCGGATACCCAACTAATAGACGGTATCCGACATCTCAGTGGGCGCATTAACAAAGGTAATATCAGATATCAGATAAGAATAATAAGGGAATGAGATACGCGCAAGCGCTACATGCGGAACGCAGTCAACAGTGAGACACGCAGCACATGGGGAAGGGGTATCATATCGGCTAACCGATATGGGCATGATATGCGTACCGGCGCGCCATCATGTGTTGCTCAACCAACAAAGTGGGCAGTCCGGCGAGGCGCGAAGCGCAACCACTCTAGTCCAAACATCCATAGGGAAAAGGTATTTGCCCGTGCATGTCGCCCGTTTACGGAAGAGTGATGTTCAGCTCGTGCGGGATACTGTACAAGTTTGGCAGGCGTGTCCCTCAGCTGAGGGAAATGATTTACTTTTCGGGGATGTATACAGAGGAGAGGTTTTACACCCCGGGAATTACAAAAGAGGCCGGGAGTCGGCAGTGAATTTGCATTTGGAGAGCTGATGGCGGGAGTTCGTTTTGTAGCGCAAATTTGCAAGACCCATTACTGAGGATGATTTTTCGGCCATCCTGGTAGCATGCTCGTCGCAAGTTCATTGCCGTTATATAAATGATCGCATTCTTCCCATTCATCCCCTTGTTGATTCCCCTCATGTTGCGCTACTGGAACTTCCCTTAGATGACGATTTTTTTTATTTCTTCGTGCAAGCTTGAAGACATGGGCCATGACCACCGCTACGACACTACAGTGACAAGCTCGGTTGCGAACGTGCTGGAAAATCGCATTTACGAGTTCGGCATTTGATGAAATATCATTTAATCGGGTTCGAGATTGGAGGACATGCATGACTGATCCGCCCGAATTCCGATCAACGCTTTTCCATCCCTGGGAAAGCTTCCAGCTACACCAGTGCATGAGCATCGCCATGCTTCCCCCATCCTCACGAATCATCTCGTATTTTGATGTTCTGCGTTGAATGGATGTCACACTCAAAACTGAGACAGAAAACCAAACAGCACCCAATCAAATATCACCTTTGCCGCCATCAGCCCCAGGAAGAGACACCTAAGACGAGACGTGTTAAAAAAAAGAGAAGATAATCATTGGTACTGGTACCCAGAAAAGTTTACGCATACGAAAAATGGAAGCAGTGAAAGGTGTATGTGAAGGGAAAAGAAAGAAGATGCGTGGAATTTGATATGCGAGAAAAATGAATCGGAGAAAGGGAAAGGGAGAAGCGGTGGTATGGATGGCGAAATAGGGGGAGTAAGGCGAAAGGCGAAGGGGTTTGAAACTTGTAATGGTATGTCATTGTAAGGAGGTGTGTATGTGGAAGGAAGAAAAGGAGTACTGTATATGGATAACGATACACGATGAACAAGGACCAGAAGTGAAGAAAAGAAAAGGAAAGATGGGACATAAAGTAACTAGGGGTGCGAACGGTAGTCAAAGAGGTGGAGCGTCCTTGATTTTTGGATATCAAGGGATCAAGTATAGATGCGATGTATAAGGAGAAGGGTGAAAAGAAGAGAAGAGGAAGTGAAGGATGGGGAGAAAGTCAACTACAAAAATTTTGCCTCGACAAGGTTTTTGGCAACCCAGCGTAGCATTTTGTAAGGTTGTAGAAAGAAGAAAGCAGGGGTTAATGAAGGGGGATCAGAACAAGGGACGGAGGGACGGGGGCTAGGGGGGCGAGAGTGGCTGGCAAATACGGACACTCGAACTGGTCACAAAAAGGATACAGGCAAAACAACAACCAAACCTATCATGTGCCGTTTCAAACGCAACATAGATAAGAGCGGGGGAGTTTTTCAAAGAATGAATAGAAAAAAAGCCGTGGGAAACTACACGGAAACAGCGGGTAAAAAGGGGGAGGGGGGAAGGGGGAGAAAACGCCTTTACATGATGACGCACCCACTATTAGACCACCAATGTTGTGATTCCATTGCTTCGATCCAATGCACGATCAGCCGAAGCCGGAGACGAGGAGACCTTAATGGAAGAAGTTTGACCTTATCGTAATCGTCGACCGGGAGAACCTTATCAGATTTGGTAAAAGGAGGTCAGCTTCTGTCGCGGCCATTCCGGGCGCACGAGACCAAGAGCACAGATAAACAAGAGGGAAAAAAAAAACTCACCAAAGCCATCCAAAAACTCAACTTCGCTGGATCGTCTGGTACTGGTCCGTAGGTCTCATTCATCCTCTGAATCACCCACGGCGCAACACGTTTCTTCATCCTTTCGATGAACGCATGACAAACAGCCACAAGTTCTTCACTCGATGGCATCGAAATCGCTTGAATAGGATGACGGAACTGAGCCTGACCATGTTGTTGTTGGTGGTGGTGATAATCGAAGTAAGAGTGCTGTTGGGATAGACCTGGATAGCGTTGTTGCTGATGTGGATCGGTCACTCCAACTTGGGTGAGAGAGAGGTTCTCTGAACGAGAACTACTCAATCGACGATTACGATTCATCGTGATCACAGCTGGAGTTACAGGGAGGAGAATCGTGTTAGAACCTGGACTTGTACTGATCGGAGTGGATTGCCCTTGAGACGAAGACATGGGCATTCTGTCGATCATCGCTTCCATCTCCGGGGTGTAATCATCGACCCTATAGATAATCGAGAACAAAAGAAAAGAAAGAGGAACAAGAACCAATGATTAACATTACTGGTCCCCACGAATTTTCACCCTTCTAAAACCCACGTACCGTTCAATACGAGCGATGATATACCCATCCATCCAGGCCCTCTCCTTGATCTTAAACCGATACGAGCCAACTGTCTCGATGGCACTCCTCCCATCCGGTAGCATCCTAACGCTCTTCATCTCCAACATCGTCCCATACATAACTTCCTCACCCGTATTCGGATTAGGAAGCATAGTCATGCCAAACGAATGCGTCCCGTTCTCAAGACAGCGGCGAATCATAAGACGGTATCGCGGTTCGAAGATATTGAGAGATATGGGCATGCCGGGAAATGCGAGAGCACAGGGGAATATAGGGACTGAGACTCCATTGGTGCCTAACGCGAGGGATTCATCGGCTAAATAGGCTTGTTTGCGTTGTTCGTACTGTTCCGGAAGCAGCGTCATAACTATCATAAATAATTGCAACATTGGGTGAATGACAAGATGAGAAACACAAAAATACTGTGACGTACTGAGATTATCAAGAATCGTATTGCTGGGGTGGTTATGATGGAACGCATATCCAGGAAGCTCATCCCGACAAAGAGGGCACAATCCACTGTGGTCCAGCGCACGCAAGAGACATTTGGAGCAAAAAGTCTAATTAGGTCCCACACATGTCGGAAGATGGAAGTGAAGCGTAGATCGAGCAGACCCAAGCATCAGCGGAGTCATGTCCGATTTCATCACCGAGAAAGGGAGAGCACGAGCAAAGTCCCCGGAGACACCCAAGGCAGTTCCCAGCAATAGAATCCCCACAATTCCGGTGACCCATCACCAAAAGCGGGAAGGTAAACCCAATCGAGATAAAAGAAAGGAATCATCAGTGATCCATAGTTTATCCGCCACTCCAACGAAAACACGTACGTGTTGACAGGGTGTCGTAACTGGATCGAAAAACAATGAATAGCAGATCTCACACGTCAGCTCGCTCACAAGAGCTTTGACGAGTTCCTCCCTCATATTGATGCTCAACGCCAAAGCCGAGAGCTCCCTCTCTACTTGTTCCTGACGATGCCGAAGCGCAACGAGGTCTTTCTCTCGTCTTTCCTTCATAGCCGCGCTATCTTCATCTTCGTATTGGAAGTTTGGAGTTGTAGGAGAGGTCGTAACGAGGTTGGAAGTTGTAGGGCCGATCATCTTCGTCTTGAAAGCCTTTGGAGACGTAGTGGGCGAAATACTGGGCGAACGAGAAGGATGATGCCTACGATCGGAAGATTTGCGCGAAAGACTAGGAGCATCCACTTGTTGCTCGCCGACGAAAACGGAAGAAGTAGAAGACGAAGTCGATCCAACACGTTGACGTTTCGCTGCATGGGGATGTTCGTTCGTAATGATGATCGCATCGTTCGAACCGATAGATCCAGCTGACCCTTTGAAGGATGCGCCGTCTCCAAAGTCCAACTCGTTGTCAGACGAGAACAATCCCGCTGCCCCAATTGCCCCACTTGCATCCTCACCGCTTACACTCTCCAAAATATCGCCCTCCCTCATGCTCAGCCTACTACCAAGTCTCCTAATCCTCCTAAGTGAGCTGCCACTCAGATTGCCCATCCCCAGATTCCTACTTGTATGTCCATGTCCGCTTCCACCGCCACTTCCGCCCACCTCGTAACTAGACCTCCTCTGCTGATGACTGGCACCAGTTCCACTCCGGCTTCGAGCGTGGGAGCTGCGACTGCCCCTCACGTTGGAAGATGAAGGTGACGAAGGACGATGAGACCTCAGCGTAGTCGATTCCAACGGTACGCTCATAAACCTCCTCCCTGACCCCGATCTCACGCCCGAAGCTGAACCGGTGGTACCCGTCCCGGTCCCCATCTCCATATCAGTATCCACCTCAACATCCGTCTCCATATCGTCACCCAGTGTGAAGACCGAAGCTAGTGGAGACTCCAATCCTTCCACTCCCGACACGGGTGAATGAGCCCTCGAAGAAGGATGAGAAAGTATAGTCCCTTCTTCCTCTGAGATGGTTCCAGCCGAGCCACTACTCGTGGACTCGGAAGCAACCGAATGCAACGAATCGAACGAACTTCTGGGTCGAGGACTTTGACGCTGACGTGGTTGTGGCGTTCGAGGTTGCTGAGTCGTATGACGCGTTGGACCCGGAGTTGGGGTTTTCGACGATGAGGATGAGCCGGAAGTGGACGAAGATGAGGATGTATGTGCAGCAGAAACAGAGTTCGAATTAGAAGGCGAAGATGATTGAGAAATACGCTGCTGATCTGTCATTCCTGAGCTACTAGAACCTCCAGGTGTACCCTGTTTGGAATCAGTTTCTCTACCGGACGAAGCAGTGCTTGAACCAGAGCCAGAACCAACGCCGGAACCGGAAGGCGATTCGCCGCCGGATCCCGACTTTGATTTCAACTTGGCCTTCGACTTGAGCTTCGAATCCGAAAATTTCAACTTGCCATTACCACCTGCGCCAGTAAGATCCACGAACCTCCCAACAATCTCGATGACTTTACTAAGCGTCACATCCATCTTGGGATGTGAAACTTTGACCACCGCGGTGGGAGGGGGAGGTATCATCATCCCACTCGCACTCTCAGTATCACTGCCATCCCTACTACCACCAGTCTCGGACCTATTCCTCCCATTCCATCCCAACGTCGCTGTGGAAGCAGCTGGTGAGCCAGAATTTGAGGGAGGATGCTGCTGTTCAGAATATACGAGGGGAGGAGGAATGTACGTCAAGATCGGCGCCTGGTCAGGATCGTCAAGGTTTTCTTCGGGATCTGGTAAGTGTGCGCGTCGTTTTCGGAGGGTACGCCCCCCTCCCGAAGGAAGGTAACAGGTGGGTATGGGGCATGAGGGGAAGAGATGTGCATGTGAATGCGACGGAGTAGAAGGCGTTGAGGGTGTCCGGGGTGAGGATGGAATATGCGGGGAAGGGGGTAATGAAGCAGGAAAAGCAGAAGGTACAGGTGAAGGAGGATATGAATGAGGGGTGGATACTGAAAGCATAACGTGCTTGGAACAGACAGTATGACCACATATGAGCGTCGTCGGATGATCAAAAACGTTCTCGCAAGCGGAGCATCGTAATAGTGAAAAAACCATTTCGTTAAGGTCGAATCGAAGTTTGCGAGTCTGAGTACGGGGATGATGGGGCACTGTCGAGGAGTAGGTTAATTCGGCGTCTTTCTTGCCCTGTTGTTCGGTCTGATGAGGGTGACGATGTTTGTGGTGAGAGCGGTGATGGGTTATATATGGGGCTGACGACGATGACAAAGAGGAATTTGAAGATGGATCGGGGATGAGTGTTGTGGATTCTACTTGATGCACAAAATGGTATTAGCATAATGTATAGGAGATGAGAACCATAAGGGAACGGAGGAGACCAGGGATCGAAGAAGGGTTAGAATTGTTTCAAGTGGGAGAGCGATCCGGACCCAGAACACGATGGTGATGAGGGAGACGACGACGATGTCGATGCAGCCATCCTCATCCATCTATCCCATCCCTGTCCATCCCTGTCGTCCACGTATGCAATCAAGTCATCCCGCATGCGTGCGAGCGACTGATAAGTGTGACAAACGCCGCAACAAAATCGGAAAATGAAAGAAGAAAGGAATCGAAAAAATGGAAAGAATTAATGAAATGTATATATATGTGTATAATATATGGGTTTCCAAACAAGATGAATAATAACGAATTGAGATAGGGATGTGCGTTCAGGGATGGGAGAGGGATATAAGGACAAGAAACCAACAAAAATTGCAGAGCGGACTGAGAGCAAGAGATCGGTAACGAACCTTGAGATCGGATTTGAACGCCCCGACTCCTTGAGCTCTCCTGCATTTGCAGGGCTCGCCGCCTATCTCTTTCTCTCGTTTCATCCTGCTGCGGCCCAAGTCCCACCGCGGAACCCGAACCTGCCGACACTGGTGACGGCACGACTGGAGAGGGTGGCGAACCAGCACCATGACTAACCTCTACCACCGCATTTTCGCTCTCCCTCGCCGAGCGCGGACGTGGCATTCGTCTCCCATCATCAGTACGATTTCGATTTCGACCAGTGGACATCCCGGTCACCGAACCAGACCCAGTTCCAAAGCCAGACCCAGCGTTGGCGTTCGTGGAAGGACTGGAAGGAGAAGAACGAGATAAAGTCGTAGTCTCCCTTGTTAATCGTGACATTGTATGATTGTGTGGGGAGAGGAGCGAAGGTGTGGAAAGTGGAAAGTGGCAAGTGGAAGTGCAGGGAACAATAAAAAGGACGAATGAGAAATCCGGTCTTTTGGGTAAGCAATGTAAGCAAATCGGTTGAATCCAAACGGAGTTTGGGTTCACTCTGTCGATATGAGAAAAAGTTAGAATGCGGAAAGTGGCAAGAGAAATTGAGTGAACCGCCTGTGTGTTTGCGTGAAGGGAAGTTAGGGAAGGGAGGACGGTGGGGAGATACCCGAACTTTGAGAAAGATGAAGATGATTATTTTTGGTTGATTCGGATAATACTATTTGATGGTATGGCCTAGAAGGATTAGACCCTATCTCCAGAAAGAGAAATGAAGATAAGCGTAAGGCCTCTCATTCGGAACAGTAGGACAAAGGTGTAAGTAGAAGGTAGTGATGGGGTGGCGAGAAGGAGAAGAGGATGATAGCTTGTTGGATGGTGTGTGTGGACCCTCTGTGGCAGATGAACGAAGAGGAGTAGAGCAAAGTTGGGTTTCAACCCTCACCACAAGGAAGCCATCTCAAGTGGGCCGGGATCGGCTTACTGCACGAATCGAGGCTGTGTGGAGCGATCCGAGATATATCCGGAATATTTCAATAACTTTGGGCGATCCAATCGGTGAGTTGGATACCTTATCCATATTTAATTTTTGCATCCGAATCCGCAGTTACGGAGCAAATTGGGCTTGGGGATCTGGGTTCCAACAAGTTGAATGTGAAAATGAATGAATGCGGCGCCTAGATTTAAACTGAATTAAATCAAGCGCCCCAACCTTGATCAGTGAATTATATGTTCCGATCGAACATACATCCCGCCACGTCATCATCAAAATACCTTCAAAACGCTTGTTTGACACCATTAACGACTCACTAAGCGCGGATCAGCTCAGTACAACTACCAATCCAAGAGAAAGAGAGCAAAAATCCAAGTTCGTGAAGATCATCGGGATCTGCCGCGTTCTTTAAGACTTCTGTCGATCTTCAAGTCCACGATCGACGATCGTCGGGAAGAAAAAGTTGTGACAACTTTTAGCAGTACACGTACAGAACACATTGGATCACAATAGAGTAATCCGATGGGGAGAGATTTAGAGCCCAAGTCCGATCAGAAGGTTTTCGTGTCGCAACTACTATAAAGGTACTACTCTTCTCGGTGAGAGTGGAAAGTCCAGGGATTGAAGTTCCCTGCGCGGACAAGGGCGAAAATCACCCAACGATTCTGTTATATTTATATTGGGGAAAGCCACACCGCAAAGTTCAGAAGAGCAAAGTCCAGAACCATGGAATGAAGGCCATTTCCCCTCATGGCCAATCTGGATTCGGCCAAGTATGGCGACCAAGCTCTTGTTTCCTCTTCCGGCCTCGACAATAGAGCTAACTTGACAAGAGGATTATCATAAGTCGTATGAACGGCCTCCACCTTGGCGATGCAGGATGAGCCACCGCCCACTTGCTGAGGCTGCAAGGGAAATTCCAGGATGCAGATAATCGAAAAGGGACCAGAGATAGAAAGCTTTGTACAGAGAGAACGAGAGATCGAATGTGATGCCAGCTGTCACCCGTACGGTGACAAGACCCGACGAACGTTGACACCCGTGTGTATGGGAACCATGAATCTCATATGAAACATGTGCGGATAATGTTCCCTGGACTCAGCCGAGGCCACCCCGCTACGGTATGTTGGATAAAATTTGTCCCTTCGCCACCAACGGAAGAGGGACATTGGGGAAATCTCACCCATGCTTATAGACCGGCAAGCGGTGAGACGAAAGTGCAAAGATCGAGGTCAAGTCCTTCATCGAGCCAAGGTCGATGTAGATATTTCCCTAGATGGAGTGTGCTAGGGAGAGAGAGGCAAAACCTTGTGGCCTCACTCAGATTAGAGAGTAACTGATCGAATCAAACGGTCAAACTTCGATTCGGCCTCGGTCGGATAGGGTGGAGTTGAGTCCTGGTTCGGAAAGCTTAAAACTCTTTTTCGATTGACGCCTGATCTTGACACCGGGTGGGTATCCAAATTGACCCGAACAGCCTTCGAGTCCCTTACGACTGGAGCGTCGTCGCCGTCTCAACAGGGATAGACAAGCCACTGAACTGATATTCTTAAATACCTCTGGCGAACCTGTCGAGGGGGGAGAAGGGAAAAGAAAGAAGGAAAGAGAAAAGGCGTGTGGTGACATGACGTCATAGGTCAGCGCGTGCCTGTCATGTACATTTTTCGTCTTTTGTTCTAGCGTTTTCCACCCCTGAAAAATTGTTTTCCGGCCCGTGGAAAACACCCTTGATCTGAGCACAGCCCAGGTTGGCGTGTTGGTACAAGAGAGATCCGTTGAGGAAGGCAGACTTTATGATCGGGATGAACGTTGGGATCGGAAAACGTGACGCTATTCAGAAGCCCCCCCATCATCGTTCGTACAAGGAAAGTCTCGATGAAAAAGGCACCGATGCGCAGTGGACTTGAGATCATGGGCCCGACTTGTGCAATAATTCGGCAACTGTGCATGTGCATCTCTTGTGGCGTTGCCAGCTATGGGGCCTTCCGGGACAAGTTGAGTCTAGTGAGTTGGGAGCCACAACCCTGGGTCCATGAGATGGCGAGCATTTGTGAGATCGTTGTTGGGTCTGCGATCCCGTTCTCCCTTCAAGGGGAAACCGAGGATACCTCGTTCGCTCGCAAAGGGGGATGTTGTTGGCCTGTATATACCCATACTATCGCAGAGTGTTCGGGGGTCCCCCAATCACGCAGTCAACCCCATACGTCATTGTCCCCCCTTGTACTATCTGCCTATGACGACAATCACCACAAAAATAATACTAACCGGCGCCGCGCGAACCGGAAAGCTTCGGTTTCCCACGCTCCATATTTTGAGACTTTACCACTATTTGCGCCGAAACCTGTAGCTTGCTTTCGTGTCAAGGAACCTAGGAATCTAGATCGGGCGCTACGACGTTTAACTGTGCTCTGACTAGTTGAAGTTGCGTTTGCGTCCCGGGGCATAATTATGGCTGATGATGCTCCTACGAGTGGTACTGCTATTAGGAGCGGTTCAATGACGACCATATCTTCTGGAATTACAGTGTCAACACGACCTCGTCGACCTACCCGGCCTCCGCCCCCCACTCCCACGGAGTATCCTACTCCCAGTGTCAGTGAGGATGTTTCTAGATTACCGATCGATGATAGTGAACTATTCGAGGATTCTCGTGGTGCTGTGACGACCACACATTTCGATGACGCTAACACCCGTGATGCTCCCCCTGCGCTCTTTCTTCAAAGTCCTACACTATTCTTATGAGACCTGAACATGACGCATCTTCTGTCAGCGAAGAGCAAAGTCTAAACATGACCGATGGGTCTCTCATCGATGATGGTCGTCCGCACACTCATGACAACGAACTTACCCACATTCACGAAGAACCAACCGAGTTCGCTGTTGAAAAGACAGAGTTAACTCCGCTACGAGCTCATTACCTGAAAAAAGCCCTCCTCACACTCGAGTTCAACCAAGAGCTAGATTACATCACTTCATTCACTACGTCCCTCCCTCCAAACATCTCCACCCTCTCCCTTTTCGGACCTCCATTCAAACCTTTACCCAAAGATTTCTTTCTTTCTTCCTCTTCCTCTGGCCCCTCCCAATCTCTTCAAGGACAACCGCATATACAAACACTTCGAGATATCCCCTTCCTCCGTTTCATGTTCCGTCAATTCGTCCTTACATTCCCATTCCTCTCCGCAGCTCCTAAAGATTTCTTCCCAAATAAACTTCAACCTTTTCTCGACTCGCTCCTCTCTCGAAACTTCTCCCTCTCCTCCGACCTTTACCTATACCCAACCGAACGTGAACTCATTGAACGGTTCTCCGGTAGTGGTGGTGGCGGAGGGGGCAAGCCAGATGAAGAGAAGGAAGGAAAGGAGAAGATGTTGGGTAAGTTGGAAAAGTATATGTGTTTGTTGCTTGGAGCAGCGATGAGACTTTGGGAGAAGGAAGAGGTGGTTCGATTGACTCAAGGGGATTTGGAAAGACTCGAGAGGAGAATGAGGAAGAGGTATGAGAAGAAAAGGGGCAAGGGGGCAAGGAATAGTGGTATTTTCGAGGTGAATATCGTGTGTGTGAGGAGCGTTGTTGAGAAGAGACATGTCAGGAAGAAGAATCATGATGTGAGCAGCGATTTGATTCAAAAAAAAAGAAAAGAAAAGAAGATTGAGATTATCTTTCGTTTTGATGATTTCAGGAATTCATCATACAGACGCGGAGGAGTGGATTCGATGATATTCATGTCTCGAGGCGGTATGGTGATTTCCGGACCTTTGCAGAAGAGGTAAATCTTCAACTACCTCTCTCCCATCAAACGCTCATATCTTTCCCTTTTCCTAATCTCCCGTTTTTTTGGGATGGTTCATTGAATCAAAGCTCAGTAAGCATCACCCAGGAGTGGACTTACCTTCCCCTCCCGCAAAAGATCGTTCGAGCACGACATCAGGCATGACAACTAACAACAACCCTGTTAACAATGCTCTCCGTAACGCAAAATCTTATCCTAACCTCCGTGAAAACGCTTCAGCCTCTCAGGACTCGCTCACTTCACCTCTAACTCCTTCCACAACCCCACTCCAACGTGAACGAAATCGCCTAACCCTCCGCTCGTACCTCCACGCCCTTCTCTCTCATCCCAATCCTACCATCTCATCTTCGCCTGTCCTTAGAGCGTTCCTCACGATGGATCCTACGAATTTGAGTGAGGAAGAAAAAGTGGATGCGAGAAGGAGGGAGGAGTTGGATAGAGCCAGGGAGGTTGGGAAGAAAGTGTTTGAGGAGGAAGTTAAGGAGAGAGTCGAGAGGGTTAGAGGCGGCGTTAGGGATGTTAAGGGGGACCTTATGGGACCAGGTGAGTTTGGAATGTTTATCTTTTTCTTTTTTCTTTAGTGTACTTTGCTGATATCATCTGGCTTAGATGGTCTTTCGGAGGTGTTTGCGACGGTGAGGGAGGTGGAGAATGCGGAAGATTTACCTCCTCGTTACAGAGCTGTCCTAGAATGGGGAAGAATATCGTAGGTCCCCCCCCCCTCCCCCTTCTCTCTTCACGTTCTCATAAGATTCGGTTTCTTATTTTTTGGTATATGATACGCCCGGCATTTGTTCTAGGCTAGCGTCGACGATCTTTCACCACTTTGTTGCATCTGATACGGCATCCGAGAGTCTTGCGGGGCTGAAACGGATACATGGGTTGATGCCTTATTTTATGATGAAGGGAGTTTTAAAGATTAGCAATCCTGTGGTTATGATTCGAGGTATGTTTGGTCCCTTGTTGTGTTGGGAAGTCGTTTTTGTTTAAGCTTATTTTTTGTTCTCATCTTATTTTCCCATGTGTTGGCACTCTGATGTTGGGTTTTATATGAAGGTGTTATGGATCTGTTCATGGCGACGCCTTTTGGAGGGAAAAGTTTGCTACAGAGGTGAGCAGTCCGGCTTCCCTGCTGTCGGCAAGTGGTCCGTTGTAGTTGATGTACTTTTGTGGCCTAGGATGTTCACGAGCTCCATGACAGAGGAGGTGAAGGAGCTAGAAGAGGAGATACAAGCAGTGAAGGATAAGGTGGAAGATCTTATCCTATGCGAGAAAGTAAGAAATTTTGTGTATGCACCGAAGGAGATCCAGGATGTTTATAAAGCGGATGCTGGTGGGAGAGTCTTTTAATGATACATTCTTTCGTTCTGAACATTTAATGGATTTCAGCCGAAGAGAATTGTAATCTTTTAACGGTTATACTTCGTTCACCCGAAGAGCCAACTTTAAACCGTCCACAGTGGCATCGCGTGGCGCGTGCCACGAAGGCTCACGCGGTGTACGTTCGTCAGCTTGAGGAACGGGACGATTCGGATGAGGACGAAGGACCAGAGGATGAAGATGGTTGGTTGTATGAAGATCTAGGTGTGTTAATTCGGCTCTATGCGAGGTTGAGGGATAGGGAGCAGTTAATCGAGTTGGTGTTTGAGGTGAGGCTGATTCCCCTATGATTGATTGCTTTTGATGTGTTGAGCCGCTTCTTTCATAGGGAACGACGTCGGAGCTTTTGAGGGATATCATTACGATATTTTACTCGCCCCTTGCGCAGGTGTACAAGGCTGCTAGTATTGCCGATTCTATTAGTGATCTGCAAAACTTCATCAATGATTTGATACGGACGGTTGAGAAGGGAGAAGAGAGTAAGTGATTCGATAGCTTCCTTTTTCCCCATGTCAACCCCGACTGACTGCTTCCCTTTGGGGATTATAGTTAGCCAAGAAGATCCATCGCGGACTGTTCAGCTTTTCATCGACCTCGTTGCACGCCACGAGCAAGCGTTCTACAGTTTCGTGCATAAAGTCCATTCGAAGGGCGAAGGATTATTCGATGGTCTTAGGAAATGGATCGAACTTTTCCTCACTTTCGTCCGAGAGGGACTCGGAGGAGGTCAGGAACGAATCAGTCTCGAGTTCATCCTTCCCCATGCGGGTAAGGACCGCGAGGAAATTCTGAAAGAAGTTGACGAGGTGACGTTGTATCATTACAAGCTCAAGGTGGCTTATGAAGCGAAAATCCGGAAACGGTTCCAACGGCAAGTTGGCGCGTCGATCGAGGAGGAACAGGCTACCCAGATACTTGCTGATAACGTGATTGGAGAGTTGCAGTTCGGACAGTTGATCAAAGGCCATGCGGAGGATGTCTTTGCTGAGGATGATGACGATGACGATGAAGAGGACGAGACATCGAGCGATGAGTATTCTAATGAGGATGAGGACGATGAGACGGAGAGTGAGAGTGAAGGTGAGGGTGAGGGGGGCAGCGAGATGGTCACCTCTTCAAGCGGAAGTGCATCACCGGAGTCCTCTAGTCCTTCCTCTCGGCGGTCGTCCACTGAAGTCGAATCCCCACATGATCATATCGGTGGGACCCCAACCAGTGGCGGGAAGCCGATGCCTCCCATTCCGGACGCACAGCGTGAGCCGCGGTTATCCAACGTTGACAAGCCTCTTCCCCCGCCACCATCACCATCGCCATCAGGTCACCGGCGAAACGGCCCTGATGCCAGCGCCGGATCGAACTTGAATGGTTCACAACCTGGTGGGTATAAATTACGCAAACGGCGAAAGGTCGATCAAACGGTGGTTGAACCCCCAGAATTGAGGCATATCCCTAAATTACTACCTATATTCGTAGAGATGGTAAGCTTTTCTCTCAAATGTCGCAATCCATTCTTGGATGTTCCGATACTGATCCGCTTTTCTCACTGCAGGTCTCGCAGTTTCTAACCCCCATAAGAATCAGTAGGAGCTGATACCGTAATACCGACCTTTCACCGCACGTATATTTGCGGATTCCCCGGATTCAGGCGCATTGCCAAGGACACACTTGTTTTTTTAAAGTCTAGTGTAATTGCTGATATTTCTGTATCTTGTTGCCGCTCTCGATCATTTGTTGTACTGAAGCCCCAGCCACCATTGTGTAGAGGACCTTTTGACATTATATGATGACATGTATAGGAATACAATGCGGACGGAGAAAAGAAATGCATTGAGGTAGGTTGGGGGAGGCGACGAATCAAAATGCGTGAGATGCGCCCATGAAGCGCTTGAATGTGTATCTGAAATCTGGTCAGAGTAAAGGATCCAAATAGGACATTTAGGAACGTACCCTAAGAACGCCAGTTCTTTGTTGGTAGGTGACGTGTCGGCTCCAGCAGGCTGGTCGGGAACATTCTCGAGTTCGTCAGTCGGGAAGTAGGAAGTGTCGGTCAGTGACCTGAGGTGTGGAACAAAAGGTGCGTCGATTTGGCGGAGAGCATCCCAGTCGACCCCATAGAAGAAGGGATGAGCTTTGATGTGCTCAACCGGAAGACGATGCTCTTGAGATGTTATCATGCTAATTCGTAGGGTTCCGGATTAGCACTTGGGTTGGTCGAGCAGATGTTTCAGGCGTACCTTCGCACGAGATGCTCAGCCTCGTGACTGAGATGAACATCATCTGGGAAGGCGAGATGTTTCTGCCAATCGATAATTTTCTTGTACGTGTCGTGCGTATTTTCTGAGCAGAATGGTGGGTAACCAACGAGACATTCAAACATAATGGCTCCGAGAGACCACCAGTCACACTCCTTGCCGTAGCCCTGAAGAAGGAATATTTCGGGGGCAATATAGTCAGGCGTTCCGACAGTGGAGAAAGCCTAAATTGATGAGTAATAAGGACTTGAGTACAACAGAAGCATGAGGATTGATCACCAGTTTTCGACGGTTCGCCTTCCATGTTGCAATCTGTTCACGGCTGGACATAGTCAGGTGTATTGGGTTTACCAAGACACTATTGCGAGCCGGGTCTCGGGCACTTGAAGGATTTTCGCCGTTCAACAGCTTGGCGTAATATGCGGAATCATGTTGTTTATGGAAGCCGGTAGAAAGACCGAAATCGGATAGCTTTATGTGGCCATCTTTGTCTATTAAAATATTGTCAGGCTTTATATCGCTGAGATATCCGTTAGGTCCAAGTCTCCGCCCCCAAATATCGTACTAACCGGTGGATGAACCCGAGATTGTGAACAGCCTCAATAGCAAGGACACATTCAGCCATGTAGAAACGTGTCACATCCTCCGAGAACGTGTCGTATTTAATCAGCATCGTCATCAAGTCTCCACCCGGCAGGAATTCCATGATGAGATAGAGGTAAGTGGCGTCTTGGAAGGAGTAATACAGTTGAACGACCCATGGAGAGTTAGACTCAGCAAGAACATCACGTTCTGCTCGAACGTGCGCTAGCTAGCGGATCATGCATCAGAAAAAGCTGAGATCACCAAGTCCAGTTGAGATTACCTGATCTCGCTTGAGCATTTCAGCCTTTTGCAGGGTTTTCATCGCGTAGATCTTTCCAGAGTCGGTCTTCTGCACGAGACGAACCTGTAGCGGGCAAATATATAACATGTACGTTTGGTACAAATTTAAACGAGTCGCGTACCTCTCCGAAAGCACCCTTGCCAATAACCTTCACCGTCCGGAAGTCTGCTAGACCGATTTTCGTTCTTCGTAGTCGTAGAAATTGTGACTCTTTCTTTGCGTGCTGGATCAGTTGGCGTTGTTTGCGGTCATCGGACACTAGCACGTCTGCTTGGAGCCTTCGTTCGAGCTCAACGCGTCTAAATGAGCGATCAAAGGAGCGATTAGTTCAAATTTCTGGGCGTGTAACCAGACCAGGAAATATCTCATGAAATGCAGGTCCTAATTCCCTGTACCCGATGTTCGTCGGTCGACTTACCTGTTGTTCCTTTCGATGGCCGATTCCACCGCGACTTTATAGTAGAGCTCCAGCTTCATCTTTGCGGCAGTGGTCCGAGCAATCGTGTCCTTAGAGAAGGTTCCTGGATTACGTTCGAAGTACACGTAGTCTCCAGTCTTCTTCTCAGACGCAAGGGATTGACGTTGTGGCTGGTTGGGCGGAAATTGTTGATGCTGACCAGCGGCCACCGTCTGACCACTCCGCTGATTTTGTCCATAACCAGAATTGGAGGTATTCATGACACTTAAAAGCTCGAGCCCTGCGTGCTGGATGGGTTCACAGAGATGGAGATCACTTCTGGGCTGCAGGTGGCTCTGGGTTCCGGAAGCAAATCCTTCGATCTTTCAACACGGCCGACAATACACACGCGATCTCGGAGGTGCCATTAAACAAATAGGCTGATTCGACACTTGGGCGTGCCATAGAGTGATGTTTCGATATGAAAGTAATTTGAAATCCTTGGTCTCCTCGTCTGGCCACGAGGAAACGCGCGATTGGAGCCAGTAAGCGCTCAGAGTTTATTTGGCTGTTTTTGTGCACATTTGACAAAACCAGCAAGAATTATCAACTCTCTAGGTAGAGGATGGGTGTCTTTAATCTGGGGCCTACTCTGAGACAGCCCTTGTTGCAGGCTCCGTGCTAAATGAATTATCCATCAATGACTTTGAGCCGCGCAGCATCCCGCCTAGTCTGCTCGAACAATACTTGGGGTCTGTGCCGAGCCTGGAGTCATCTGTCGTTGACGGGCTTGTGTCACGCTACCTTAGGTATTAGACCCCTTGTGCTTGCTCAGCTTTCGCTCACAATGTCCTCCCACAAGCCATCCAGACAGGATGGACCTTGCGCGCCCATTATCTTCGATTTTGCTTTCTGACCGCTCCGACGAAGCAGTTTCAGGGGAAATGTTGGAGATGATTGGCTATGACGAAATAGATTTAGCCATGAGCATAATTTCACAACGACGGCCGTTTGGACAAAAGGTAAAATTTGACTGGCTCTCGAATTCATCTGCTGAAACTGGGCCGTATTCACAGTTGCGTGAGATCGAACTAGACACAAAACCGTCTTCTCAGGCCACTACTAAGCTCAAGCGTGGAAAGAAAGGTCGAGCTGAAGACGAGCCAGGTAACAACCGTTCCGTGTGGCCTTCGTAGCTCCAAGTATGAACGTATTGATAGGCGAAAAGGTGTATTTGACTCCTGAACAAGCTAAGCGCAATATGGAAGCTTCTCTAAGAGTTGGGACCAATCATCCACTTTTCACCCACACGGCGGTTAGTTTTTGTTAGTCAACTGCTGCGGATATTTCACATTCGTGCTGCAGGGGCCTGAGGTACCCGTGTACCCCAATGTATTTGCTTCAAGTTCAAATAACGGGACTATACTCTCATCGTTTGGAACGAAATTCACACTTCCTATTGGGACCACCCGTGAAGACGCAGAAGTGGGTAGGTTACCGCAATGTCGTTGTCATTTGACCAACATCTTGGCAAGGAATGGGAGGAGGTCACAATCCCTCCAGCAAACACGGTGCCTCCACGCATGACTGAGCGTCTGATCAGGATTGCTGATCTTGATCCTCTTGCACGAGGCTCTTTCCCCGTACGTAAGACCTGTGCATGTTCAAGTCTACAGAGCCTAACCCACATGTAGGGATACACAACCCTCAACAGGATACAATCCATTGTTTTCTCCGCAGCCTACAACACCAAGGAGAATCTCTTGATATGCGGTTCGTGATTCTCTCAACTGTACAATTGGGTGCAGTTCTGATAAGCCTTTAGCACCTACTGGCGCAGTTCGTTCTTCGTTCATTGGAAATGGTTTGCATCCGCTGACACTCCATTAAGGGAAAAACAGACATTGCCATGCTCACCATTCTACGAGTTTTAAATGAATACTCCATCAATGGACCTCGGGCGGCCGGTTCCTCAGCAGAAAGCATACATCGCGATGACTTCAAGATCATATACGTGTGCGTTATGTCATGATTTTCAGGGTGCCTCTAACAGTTTAATCGCAGAGCCCCCATGAAAGCTCTGGCGTCGGAAATCGTCCGCAAACTCGGGAAAAGGCTTCAATGGCTTTCAATTCGTGTCAAAGAGCTAACAGGTCTGTGCTGGTTGTCATCGACTGTTTTCCGCCATGCGAGCCTGAAATGGCCATCCGTACCTCAGGGGATATGCAAATGACCCGAGCCGAAATTGCTGAAACCCAAATTATCGTAACAACCCCAGAAAAATGGGACGTTGTAACACGTAAACCAACTGGGGAAGGTGAACTGGCATCAGTAAGCAGTCACTCCAAAAAACGTGTGTAGGGCTTTTTTATAGCGCTTTTATCATGGAAGAAAGTCAAGCTCTTAATAATTGACGAGGTGCATCTGTTGAATGAGGACCGAGGTGCCACGATCGAGACGATTGTAGCTAGAACCCTCCGTCAGGTATATTATCCCATTTCCCTGCACCCGAAGCTCAGTGGTTGCCGTTCAGGTTGAATCGACCCAATCCTTTATCCGAGTTGTGGGACTGAGTGAGCAGTATATTCCATCGTTACCTCACCCCTAACCAATAGAACAGGCGCTACTCTGCCAAATTACGTTGATGTGGCCAAATTCCTCCGGTTGGTTGAAATTTAATTTTTCACGCCTCCATGGCCTAACCCCATCGTTAACAGTGTCTCACCATATACTGGACTATTCTTCTTTGACTCATCATTCCGCCCGATTCCTCTGGAGCAGCGTTTTCTTGGGATCAAAGGCAAAGCAAACTCCCCTCAGTCACGCAGAAGCATGGACAAAGCAGCATTTACAAAAGTCTCAGAACTGATCGAGCAAGGCCATCAAGTTATGGTCTTTGTTCATGCGCGGAAGGAAACAGTCAAGGCTGCCCTAGCATTAAAGGAGGCAGCGACAGTGGAGGGTATCTCCGACGATTTCAGCTCAAAAGATCATCCTCTATTCGAGTTGTATCGTCGAGAGATTGGTGCTTCGAGGAACAAGGAGATGAAAATGCTTTTTGATCACGGCTTCGGAATTCATCACGCTGGAATGCTCCGTTCAGACCGCAACCTAATGGAACGTATGTTCGAGGCTCGCGTGATCAAAGTAAGATGACGCCTTTCAATTCGTCAACATTTTTATTCACCTCATATCCAGGTCTTATGTTGCACAGCAACCTTGGCTTGGGGCGTTAACCTTCCTGCTCATGCTGGTAGGCTTCGTGACACTGACCACCTATCAAGTCTGAGATCTTCCAGTAATAATCAAGGGCACCCAGATATACGATAGTGCTAAGGGGTCGTTTGTGGACTTGTCAGTCCTTGATGTGCTCCAGATATTCGGACGCGCCGGCCGCCCAGGCTTTGAAACAAGTGGAGTTGGCTACATTTGTACCACGCATGATAAGCTCGACCATTATTTGAATGCCGTTACCGCTCAGGTATGTTTGTCGGATGTTTGGATGTCGCTTTGCTAACACAATTTTCAGCATCCGATTGAATCCAAGTAAGTGCTAATGGAACGTTCATCAACCCTCCTTCACGCTTATGCCTTTCGCCCAGGTTTGTCGGGGGGATGACCGATGCCCTCAATGCTGAGATCTCTCTAGGGACCGTTTCAAGTATCACTGACGCTGTACAGTGGGTTGGTTACACATACCTTTTTGTCAGGATGCGACGGAATCCCACAGTGTACGGTAAGCCTCGCTTATTTTTCCACGTCGCTCTGTGAAGTGGAGCCATCATTAGGTATCTCGTATGATGAATTGAGAGAAGATCCTGACCTCCTCAGTCGACGACACCACCTGATCACCACTGCGGCCAAAAAATTATCCGGGGCAAACATGGTCCAGTTCAACGAATCCTCAGGAACGTTCTTAATTAAAGATCACGGAAGGATCGCAGCAAAGTATTATATCAGTCATTCCACCATCGGAATTTTTAACAAGGAGTTGAGGCCCATCATGACGGAGGCTGATGTCCTTGCGTTGCTTAGCATGAGCACCGAGGTATGCGTGTTATTAGTCAGCCGTGGGATCTTCTCTTAGTCTCTTGCTCAGTTTGATCAGATCCAACTTCGAGAATCTGAATTGGAAGAGCTTCGAAGATTATTAGACGAGATACCATGCGAAGTTAAAGTGCGTGGACCGCCTCAGTGTTCTTCTGGATACTGAAGATATTGACAGGACGGTACTGACACCAGTAAAGGAAAAGTCAACATCTTGCTTCAAGCACACGTTTCAGACCTACATGTCGAAGATTTTGCGCTGGTTTCAGATACCGCATACGTAGCTCAGGTACGTAGAGACATTCAGACAGGCCAATGAATCCTCAAGTTAAACCCAGAACGGCGGCCGGATCATACGATCTCTGCTGGAGTTGGCACTTAGTAAGAAATGGGCTAATGTTTCAGCTGTCCTGGCGGCTCTATGCAAAGCCGTTGAAAAGCAGATATGGTCGTTTGAAAACCCTATGAAGCAATTCAAGCTGCATGCGGACCTCTTGCACAATTTGAGGAGCCGAGCAAATGACTTTACGCCTGCAGAACTGGCAACCAAAACATCGGCTGAGCTTGGGCGGCTTCTTCACATGAATGACCGGCATGGGGCTGCTCTTTTGAAAGCTGCAAAACAGTTCCCGTCTGCCGAGATCACTTATGCGCTCCGACCGCTGAGTCCTTGTCTACTCAAAATATCGGTTCGCATCACACCGACTTTCGAGTGGAATAATAAACTCCACGGAGTCAGTGAACCGTTTTGGATATGGGTAGAAGACCATTCCGGAGCAAACATACTGCAGCACTCACATCTTCAGTTTCGGCAAGGTGGTGGACCGCTAGAAGTTGATTTCATCCTTGGCATAAACGATCAGCCTCCACCTTCTGTCACTCTCCGAATTCTGTCGGACACATGGCTAGGAGCAGAGGAAGAGGTGCCTATCTCGCTTGAGGACCTCATAATGCCGCAAACCGCGTTAAGCCACTTAGAACGATTGGAGATACCTTTCCTACCTTTTAGTGCATTAAATGATGCTGATTTGGAGAGGACGTACGGGTCCACTATGCGGAGGTTCAATTCTATCCAAACTCGGTGCTTCTGGAGCTTATACAGGATGTCCCGGAACGTCAGTATCTGTGGGCCGGTATCCGGTGGGAAGTCGCTTTGTGGACACCTTGCGGTATGGTATGTGTCCTCACTTCAAATGCATTGTTGGGGCTAAAATGAAGCAGGCGCAATTTATCAAAGTGCCCAACCAAACATTCCATTGTCGTCATGCCATCTGCCCACGAAGCAAGGGTCTTGGCTACAACTTTGCGCGAGCTCAGCCATGAACTTAGAGTGGACGTTTTGACCTCAAAGGCAGGCGGGCGCCTGATGGCTAGACCCAAGGCTGTAGTGATTATTACCCCTGGCGTCCTTCTTGCCTGCCTGGATGATCCAAAGAATCGCGACTTCTTTCAAAACCTATCGCTTGTGGTCTGTGAAAATTTGGAACTACTTAACGACGAATACGAGATTGCGGTATCTTTGCTACTTCACGTTACACAATCGGTGCCGGTCAGATTTGTCGCCATTAGTGCCTCCCTTAACGATCCACTTGACTTATCGCGGTGGCTTCGAATAAAGGCCGAAGATATATTCAACTTTTCCCCCAACGACCGCGATCAGTTGCTGCCCCCGCCAGAGTACCACCCTTCCCCCCTACGCCATTCCCCAGCTTTGTTCAAGTCCATGATCCGACCAGTTCATTCCATTTTACGATCTAACCGGGAGAAGAGCACCATTGTCTTTGTGCCATCACGAAGTCAATGTCGCGTTATAGCAAACGATCTCCTAACTCGAAGTGCAGCGGAGATGGATACACGGGGATTTCTTGGGAGTGAAACAGATATTCAGGACCTAGAATTTCGCCTCACCAACATTCGCGACCGATCGCTAATGGACGTGTTGTTGCATGGAATTGGGGTATATCATCAAGGACAGCATTCCACTGACCGGCTAGCTATTCTTGAACTCTTCACAGAGGGTGCCATCAGCGTCTTGATTGTCCCCCATGATCTATGCTGGACGCTCCCGGTGCATGCTAATGTCGTTATTGCAATGGGGACGCAGTATTTGCAAATCGAGGATACGGAGATATCCAGGGGTCACCGACGCTTCATCAACTATCCCATTCAAGAACTAGTACGCATGCAAGGTCTCGCTGTACGATCAGGGCAAAGTGGCGCTTTTCACCTTTTTTGCCAGGCGGAAGAGCGTGACACGTTCATCCGCTACTTCGAAGACGGGCTGCCACTAGAGTCGACTCTACATGGTTTGAATGGTACGCCTTCCAAAGCCCTTATGTCGTGGCTGGCTGGACGGAGAGCGAGCGGGTCGATAAGAGGAAAGCAGGATATGATGGACTTTTTATCTTCTACGTTCTTGGCGAGGCGGATAAGGAGCAATCCGGTCTACTACGATACTCGACCAGCACTGGTTGAAGAAAGACTGTCTTCAATGGTTGGCGAGCTTTTCGAACAAACGGAGGTGACCCAGGCTTCGACGACACTTCCAGCGATGGCCAGTTGAGTCTGAACCATGTAGGTTCAGGATCCATTAAACTCCAAAGTGTTTGCAAAGCTATCTATGATCAATACGAAACCATTTTTCGCTTCAAATCCACCATAAATTGGGTTGATCCGAGAAAGATTGCGTGTGTGAATGAAAAGACAATGAGTATCAACACTTGGGGAATCGCTGCAGCCTGGAATGGGAACCGAAACAGCTAAAGGCTCTGTCTCTATGTGACGGCGCGCAGCTAGGAATTACTTGATGGAGAATAAATCTCCATCAGTTGATTCGGTGGTAATCAGAACAATATCGTGTTGACAATAATCACAACGTGGTGAACTTGGACAGTTACAGTTTATTGGTCGCGTGGATATTGGTTCTACAGGATTTCGCGGGCATTTGGCGATCAATGGCGTCCATCTTTTAAAAAGCTTTAAAGATCGTGTACGGCAAGAAACGATAGGGAGGGCTTGGCACGACCTTAATCGTTTAACTTCTATGATGCGACTATCTCCTGTGATTCTTCTTTCCTTCGTTATTCTCAGTGTCAGAGTCGTCTTGTCATCTCCAACATTATACCTCATTGGGGATAGCACTATAGCACCGCACGATGCCTCCGAGGGCATCCAAGGGTGAGGCTACGCTTCGCTGCACAACACAGCACCTTCAGCTGAAGATCTAGAAGTTGGGGCGTCGAAGTTACACCATTTTTCCAAGGTATCAACATCGTGAACAAAGCCGCTTCCGGGAGGAGTGCACGAAGCTATATACGCGAAGGAAAATGGGCCGATGTTCAAAGTTCACTGATTTCGGGCGACTGTAAAGTGCTCAGGATTTGGAGGTCCCGTGATGCTGAATTCGCGATCGGTTGCAGATGTGCTCATTCAGTTCGGCCACAACGATGGTGGCAACCCCCTCAAGAGCGACCGGGCACCCGTTTATGGAACGAACGATTCTGTCACTCAAAACGTCACACTCTCAGATGGAACCACCGAAATCGTACACACCTTTACCTAGTCAGCTTAACCTTGAAGACACTGTTAATCGCCCCTGACTTATATTATCCTTTCCCTCCCCTCCCATATTGTAGTTATCTGTATTATCACCTCACTATGCAGTTCGACCCACTCGGCACTGACTCCTTCTTTCTCTATTTAGGAGGACGATGGTCGATGGCGCTAACTCCAAAGGTGCTACACCATCATCGCGTCGCAAACCCCCGATAACCCATACGACAACTCTACTACTATTGCTTACAATCCTCCTAGGGTAGGTTATGCGAAAGCATCCACAGACGAATGTCAATTGACCTACGTTATAGTTTGTCGCGTATGCCAAAGAAGTGGCCAGTCTCAAGGTGAGCGACTGGGTTGACGTTTTCATGTGTCACGCACTGAAACATAAGCACGTCAGGACATCCCTTACGTTGATCACTTTTCGGTTTGTGTTCTCTCTAGGCCATTTGTTTCCGAATCCTAAAGTCACAAAATATAGGCAGTAATTTGGATATTCGCAAAATTGGGAGAGACGACGGTGGACGAATTCTATCCACGGGACCACACCCACACCAACATGGCCGGCGCTCAACAAGTTGCACGGGCTTTCATCCCGGCTTAAGGTGCTTTGCTGCAAATGGAGTGTTGGCGGATTACGTCGATGTTACAGATTTCCAAACGAGCGATGAATGTGGCTCAAATGATCAGTGCTGCGTTCCTTTCATAGGATGAGCGCTTCCCTTCCGTCAAAGACGTTCGCACTTACTTACAATGGAGGATTTTCTTGTCGGGCTTATTTTCTTTTCCCCCATTATTGAACTGTAGTGGGCTAAACGTTCGACTTGTATCCATTCATAACACTGATCGAGTTTGCACTGAGCGCACATCGCTGGTCCTCGAAATGGTTGGTTCTGCTGGATAGGAACGTTGCTAAACCCTCGGCTGGGGAACAATTGCCATGACTATTGAAGCTAATTGTGGTTCAGAATTGCCCCCCCCTCACTGTGATAAGCGTGGTTCTTGCTTACAGCCTACCGCTAGTATAACTCATATGCAGGCGATGGTTCACGCTTCATTATGTAATTGTGATGTACCTGTCTACCACATAGCCTCATCACCGAGATCCTCGATTTCTTATTTATGGAATAACTTATTGTGAAATTACCAGTTCCACCGGTCGGGAAGATGCACACCATTCCTCAAGTAACTCGCGGCACCAGGCACTTGAAATTTGCGGCGATGTGACGGCACTTCCCGAGGCAGCAGTCTATTTGTGATTTCCCTCTAGGCAGGTAACCAGCATCTCTCTGAAGCGGCCTCTATAGATAGAATTTCCCTCTGCGTGCCGTTGGTTTACTGGCGATCTTATTGGTGCAGTTGCAATTAGGAAAATGAGCATTTGCCTCGGAGTTTGCACCGCGACAATATTCGGGAGGTTCGCGGATAGAAGGGGGAAATGCCAACAGAAGTTTTCCTCGGAACGCCCTGAGTCCACCATTGATGGACGTCTCCAAGTGGCCATTCAGTCGTTGATGGGTGAAACACTGTACTAGACCGCCCCCTCAGATTTTGGTTACGACTGATTCTTTTCAGTCTGAAACACTTGTCCATAACTGCATTTTTAGCATGCCAGTCTGCCGTTCAACTGATGCTATCCCCCCTGATTTCGACGAGAAGTACCATCATGCGCAGCCATGCTATCCTCCTCGTTAGCGGGGTTTTCAAAGTTCTCGCTGCTCCCGTATCACTGCCCACCAGTCTGAACCAATCGCCGATCAACTCGGCGCGACTATGCTGTTGCCTATCTTGGACGTTTCAGACGTGTCTCCGGCTAAGATTACGACCACTCCCTCTGAGGGCTCCTCTGCTTCGGATTTTTCGGTTTTGGCTCCAACCTCAATTTCTGATCTCCCCCAAGTTTCGTTCTTTCAAACCTCATCCTCCCAGGATCCTTCACCTCCCGCAACCAGCACTATTTTCGTTGTAGAAATGACTCCTGCTCCTGTGATCGTTACTTTGACCAGCGGCGTCGGTGTGCCACCTTTTCCGATATCCATGTCGCCAATTATGTCTGGACCGACTCTAGATCCCACTCCCTCGTCCCTGGATCCTGTTGTATCGCCTCCTGGGTGGCCTACACCTGTGATCATCTCTCAACCTCTGTCAAATATCCCCACTCCACTTCCACCAAATCTATCCCAGCCATCGCCCTCTGAATTGCCATTACCCTCGCCTCTCCCCCTGAACAATGCATCCCCCATCATGGCAGCATATTACCCTGATTGGGTATCTGGGGAAATTCCACCCGAGGCGGTGGATTTTGACCGTTTTGATTGGGTAGATTTCGGTGAGCTACCCCCTTGCATTATTGTACCACATGTTGTCCGACTGACGTGATGCAACGCATCAGCATTTGCGATCCCTACTTCTACATATGGTCTATCCTTTGAACAGGATGATTCACTCCAATTGCTCGATCGACTTGTAAAATCTGCTCATTCCAAAGGGAAGCGTGTCAAATTGAGTATCGGGGGTTGGGGAGGCTCCAAGTACTTCTCCCCAGCCGTATGCACACCGAACAGCCGGTCTACTTTTGTTGCAAACGTTGTTACCATATATCTGGAACACCAATTAGATGGGATCGATATGTACGCAAATTTTTATTAGCCCGATTTCTACTGCTCACCTTTGTTTTGTCTATACAGTGACTGGGAGTATCCCGGACAACAAGGAATGTCGGATGAGATAACATCCCCATCTGACACTTCCAACCTCGTCCTTTTCCTCAGGCAACTTCGTGCCGCCCTTCCTCCCGGTGCACTCCTTACTGCGGCCGTTCCTCCTTCAGTATATAGAACTGCGTCAAAGTCCTTCATCCCCGCATTCTCTTCTATCCTCGATTACATCCTCTTGATGAACTACGACGTTTGGGGCGAGTCTTCATCCCAGCCTGGTCCAAACGCGCCACTCTCTGATGCATGTGGGAATAGTACACAGCCTGATGCGAGCGTTCAAGGTGGTGTCGATGCATGGACTAGAGCAGGGTTTCCCCGGAAGAAGATCTTATTGGGTGTGCCAAATTATGGATATTTGCAGAAGTCGGACAAAACGTCGCTCAGGCAAAGGAGACGGCGGGATGGCGTAGCACCGGCAGAAGCATACCTTGGCGATAATGGCACGTCACAAAATCTCTTAGTCAATGGTGGCTCTGCCCCAGGCTTCGTAACATTAACAGGTGGAGACCCTCAGATAACGTTTACAAACCTTATCAAGCAGGGCGTGCTTCAATGTTCTGCATCATCAGACCAATTCGCGACTTATACGGCATCGGGAGGGTTCTCGCGCTTCTGGGATTCTTGCTCATCTACGCCATTCCTCCGCTCGTCGGCCTCTCGCCAGTTCGTAACATACGATGATCCATACTCACTCTACCTCAAGGCGAAGCTCGCTAGGGAACTCGATATCGCTGGTGTGAACATATTTGATATCCGCGATACACCGAGTTGGGATCTAACGGATGCATTGCGGGCTGGACTGGGACTACCAACCTCTATGCCAGCACCCATCGTTTCGTCACTTGCCAGTCAATCTGCGTTCGATGGGTTGCGCACGGATGAAGGAATGATTGGTACTGCGTAGACAACACAACCTATTTCAGTATCCGATTTCTATTTTTCTACTTTTTGTTATTGATTCGTCAATTAGAAGTGTCTCTATACGTATATACATCGCTGATCTAGACTTCGAATATACGACTACTTATGATACAAATTGAATGTGCTTCGCGCATTACAAACTGCACGCGAACAAGGGTGTTAAGAAGTGTTGATTGGCCAAATTCATGCTCAAGATGAGCGAAAACGACGTCCGACTGATTATCGTGCCAATAGTGCATCGAATGCCTCCTTCACAGCCTTCTCAAAAACATCTTGAACGCCAGGACAAAGAATTTTCAAGCCGTCGCAGACTTTGTCCCAATCTCCACGTGCAAACTCTCGCCCCCGGCGATTACCACATTGAACAAAATGAGCGAGGGATGATAACGAGCTCTTTTCTTGAGCAGTGAAGGGAATAGGTTTGGTAGGTCTATCTCGCTCAGATATTGGTCGCCATTCTGAAAGAAAATCAACACATTGCGATAAGGACCATCTCTCATGCTCCACGGAAGAGATAGGGGGCAGCGGAAGAGAGGGCTTCGGGGAAGTACGAGAGGATGAGCTCTTGCGATCAGCGAGAGGTGGTCGAGCATGAATCGAATCCGACGATCCTTCGGTTTTCTGTGAGAACTGATCCTGCAATTTATGGTAACATTCGATGGTTGTTTCCACTATCGGGTAAAGAGCCGATTGGAGGTAAGCGATCAGTTGGTCTCGAAGTTCGTCCCTGGGATCTATAGCATATTCAGATACCGAAGAGGGTCGCATCTCTTCGTCGAGGTCCATCCCCGCCGCAATGTCATTATTCGAGGGCATTTCAGGAATCTTGCGAGGCGCTTGAGTTTGCGATGCAGCCCGTGCCCAGTCAGGGCTTCGATCTCTTCGCCTTTGACCACTTTTTCGTCGGTTTCCGGCAGAGCGTGTATAATTCTGACCCATTGCATAAGGGGGCCTGCGTTTGTATCGGCGTCAAGGCGCAATTCCAGATTCGGATCGACTTCCCTGAGCAGGTCACGAAGTGTCCAATTAGGGTGCGGCTGGCGATAGGAACTCCTGCGCAAGTTGTTGAGCTACTAGTAGGGGAAAGTCACAATCCACTTCACCGTTTGATAAACACTGGGCGGCACAATTTTGATCCATAGTGAGAACCGTCCATCGACCACTAGGTGCCTGCATCCATTCGAACAATACACAATCGATGATGAAACCGTCAGGATTTTCCTACAAAGCCCGAGGTCGATCACCAACTCACTCCTCGAGGTGGCAGTATAGACGTACTTTCCCGGATTGATAATAATAGTTGCGCCAAGAGCCACTGTCGACCAAAGTTGCAGAATCACGTTGTCCTCGGACAGCGCCTTTTTTCATGAGCTCGCTGACAGCCCATTTATTTGCCTCCTGCGCTTCCGATTGACACGAACGCGAAGCGTTCTTTCGCAATCCGTCAAGTTCGGCCATGACAATACCAGGCAGCAAGATAGACATGAACATATCATTGTTCAAATAAATGAATTTGACGAGTTCATCAACCAGAGCAAGACACGATATCATGACATTTGTGTCTGGAACAATGGTGACGTGCCCCATCCCCAATGAAGGAAACTGTCAGAATATCGAGCGTTACTTTGTGGGTCGGTGAACATGACGGGCTGGGGCCGCACTCCATAATCGACTTCCATCGCTGAGGCAATTTCCTCCAATTCGGGTCTTAGTATAATATCAGATTGACGCAGGTTAGATGCTCGCATCTCCGATAACGCCAATGCCACATCCTCAGCAAGCTCGTATTCCATGAGTTCAGAAGTTTCTGCCTCAGAATCCCACGATCCAGAAAGAACGACTAGCTGAGGTCCTGGTGTTGAAGTGTACCGATTGGATTGTGAGTTCCATGAGTTCCACCCGTCGGAATAAGTGGCCATGTTGACGTTGAAAGTGTCGTTTTCGCGGAAATTGAATTGAATTCGCTTGTATTTACCTTTGTTTATCTCGATGTCACAACCCCACATTGCTCATGTCGAGAAGAACATCAGAACCGGTTCAGGTCGTTGATCTACGCGGGAAGGGGAAACCAGTGTTTATGAGCGTCCCCGTAAAAGTTCCCTGAAGAAGAAACGTCGACCATCAGATGCCTTGCCATTGGCGATTCAAACCCAGCCTCAGCCAGCCTCAATCCTCCAAAAGCCAAAATCCTACGACAATGATGATCCTTCGACTAGTTATGGTACATCATATCCAGCCCAACGACAAAATAATGCTTATGCTCCAGGTCAATCACAGTCCTACGCCAACCGAGAGCAACGTGTGGTACCTGGCGAGCAGGTCGTGTACATAGCTAGTGGACAGCCAATCGTTATAGTTGATGAACGAAGGAACAAGAACACCCCACTCCCTACAGTCATCCGTAATGGACAAGTGATTATGGGTGATTCTCCTGTCACTTGGAAGGGCCCGGATGCACGTCTTCACCAGCATCATCCAACCCAAACTCACACACGCTCACGAACTATTTCGAATGCGTCAAACCCAACCCCTATAACTCCCGTTACACCTTCCAGCAATGTCTACGTGACTAGCAAAACTTCGACACCGCAATCGCGGCCAAAGAGTTTGACTGAACATTCAGATGCACCAGTGAACTCTCCCCCCAAAAGGCGGATGTGGGGACATGAACACCCTCAAAAACCGCCCTGGGGCCACCATGAGCATCGATGCCGATCAAATTATCATGGGTAGTGCCGCCTGTGACGTTGATGAATGTGGCGCTGATCGTTTGATCACACAGGTTGCAGGAACAGATCATGGGCTTTCTCACACGCTCTAGGGATCGCGTCCAAGAAGGGAAGCGGCAGAGAGAAGAGGCCCGAAGAGAACGTTCCGAGGAAAGAGAGCGCCGAAGAGAGAATTTCGAAGGAATGTTCAGTCACGATGGAATGGGAGAAAAGATGCGCTCCTCTGGTGAAATAATAGGCAATGCACGTGAGGCGGGCATCCCTTGCGCTCCGTATATCGGGTAATTGATCATGTCGAAATATGGGTTCCTATCTATGGGCAGTTCATGCTGGGTCGATATCTATGCCAGGAGGGGAATAACGCACTGCAATCGCGTATAAGATCATGTACTGTATCATGTGGATGCGCCTTCAACTCGTTTCCGCTTGATTTTCTTACGATCCCGCTTTCGCTTGGATTTTTTTGATTTGCGATCGTGTTTGACGATACGCGTTGCGGGCAATTGGGCATCTTTCCTATGAAGAGGATCGACGTCTGAGAAGCCATGCACGCCGCTGTCAGCGACCTTGGGCTCTTCGAATGCAACATCAAGCCTGGGAGTATCCTCCGAAGCCAATTGGGACGACTCTGATGTTGCCACAGAGGTTCCGCTAGTTATTGTTGATGAGGAATCCTGCCTGTTTTCGAGGGTTAAAGACGGGAGTGGATCCGAACGCTCGACTAATTCGCTGCCGCTTGTTCCCGTCATGTCGGTGGATTGGAATGAGGCGGATGCAGTACAGTAGGCCATTGGACCAAAGCTTCGTTGTGGTCTCTTCCTTTTTGCTTTACCACCGAAAAGATCAGTTGGAGGAGCCCTTTTTCTTGATGCGTCCATGTGGGAGGCACGACTATCCTCATCATCTTCATCATCGGACTTTCTTAATTGATGTCTTGGCACAACGCCATCATCCGCCCTCTTCTTTGGACCGGAGAGCAATCTGCGTTTGAGAGCAGTCATCTCCTTAACTGAAGAGTCAACCGAAGCAGACGTATCAGGAATGGGTGCTCCAACCCCAAGCCTTTCATTCACATCCAGCACAGGCAACGATGAGTGTTCCAAATGAGATACACATACAGAAATGAACAGACCTACCTAGATGGACGATTCATCCATTGCATTATGTCGTCAGTATCTGGTGCACTAGCTAGCCTTGGTTTCGTTGAGCCTGACCACGACGCCACAAGGCCGAAGGTAAGAGATAAAGAAAGGTCTATTTGGTTCTGGATAGCCTCCGCGTCCATCCCCGGATCTTTTGACGCGCCATCCATGTGAGAACCGCAACTCCAGGCGTTGTCGCCCAAATATCCAAGAAAAGTCGCGCGTATGTGAAAGTGGCAAACACTGCCACCCGCCCGTTGCCGCCGAATAACGTTGCCATCACACTGGCGAGCATACACAATGGGACAAACGAGTAAGATACATGCCAGCTCTGAGCGATGGCCTCAGGGTTTTTTCTGACCGACGAATACTTCCTATTTTCATTGTTCCCCAATTAGCATCCCAATACATGGCGCAGATGGAGAAGTCCTCCAACTGTGAGTGAGGATTGCGTAGCTGGCTTAACAGGTCTCCGGGATCATAGTCCCTGGATCTCCCTAACATTATCGCGTCCTCAGTCACTGCCGCTGAGCTCGATCGCTTGAAAAAGCGCTTCATGAAGCTGGACAGGTACACGTCTATCGCGTCTGGAGATCCGTTACCCCTCACTCTGGTGTTTCCTTTGAACAGGGATGGCTCCGGATCCATTGATCGCGAGGAATTCTTGCAAGTTCCTCAGATCGCGAACAATCCACTAGCATCGCGTATGATCGCGATTTTTGATGATGAGTATGCCCTGCGTCACCATCTCTATGAGACTATGAGTTTGAGCTTTCCACAAGCGGCGGAGGTACAGTCGATTTTCAAGAGTTTGTTGGAGGCTTGAGTGCCTTCAGCAGCCGTGGTGGTCGTGAGGAGAAACTACGATGTGAGTCGGGGCTCCGTCCACCCCAACTGTTAGCGATGCAGATTGATATATCTGCATACCGTGCACGCCAACTCTATAGTCGCGTTTAAGGTGTATGATGTAGATAGAGACGGCTTTATCTCAAACGGCGAGCTTTTCCTTGTTTTGAAGATGATGGTAGGGAATAATTTAAAAGTGAGCCTTGATTTGTCGTGTACGTAGAACAATAGGCTAATATGCCAGTCAGGATTCTCAGCTTCAACAGATCGTGGACAAAACAATCATGGAAGCAGACAAGGACGGTGATGGCAAATTAAGTTTCGATGAATTCACAGCAATTGTCGCCAAGACGGTCAGTTCACAGCATCCTTCTCTTTCTTTGGTTCGCTCTTGTGTTTCGGACGACTTACAACTCATTATCTAATTCTTAGGACATCGCCAAGCAAATGACATTGGAACATCTTTTCTAGCTTATGTTGTGTCTCCATTCTGGGTTTAATTGTTGTATGACTCGCCATTAATGACATGCACATTATCTTATGTTCTCGTCCCGAGGATTCACCCTCACCGCGTGCAAATTCAAAAATCAAGCCCAAATACGATCACAAACCTCATACCAGCCTTCCAAGCCCACTTAACCACTCTAGGATGCGCAGATGGTTGCGAGGATTGTCTGGTGTGGGTCTGTCAGCTTTTCCCTCCGGCTCCGGTTTCTGGTCACCTCTCATGATGTCATCATGGCGTACCGCGGCCTCGGCTCGTTCAACCTCTAGAAGATGGAACTCGCTAAGATCAATCTTGTCCGCAGGTATGAATATTTGCCATGATCGGGTATACAGCTTGATGAGAAGGTATAAGCCTGAAGGTGTGGCACCGCATATCAGGATCATTTTTGTACAGAGTAAAGGCTAGCTTACCAGTAAATACGAACACATTGATATAGTTGGAGAGAAAGCCGGAAGCAGTGAAATTCCCCTTCAAAAACACTTGAAAGCCTATCTCAAAATTTAATGATTGCAATATGATTGCCCCTAAATATAGCAGACCCACCGCTGAAGAAGACTATAACTGTGCATGAGACGAGTCCAAACCAGGCCAAGAAAGGCTGTGGCCATGATTTGTACGGAAGTTCTGGGATGGTGCAAATCAGTCTTTACCAATGACATAATAGTCCATGAATACTCACTGCTGCGCGAGTATCCCTGAGCCTTAATTCCAGCGTACATTCGAATGTAGGCCAAACACAATATCTGTAACGGTCGGTTTGAAAGAATGATCCACGAGCCCAAATAGTTGATCTCGACTTACCACCCAGCACACAAGACCTGCAACAGCAGCGAGATTAACAAGCCAGATCAGCACCTTCAGAGCAGTGTACTGGGCGCTCAAAAAAGCGAACCCGCCAAGAGACCATGTAAACAGGACAGCAATCCATGGTGTCCTGTCGCACAATTATATGAGGTCAACACCATGGGGATAATCGTTCCTGCCATTTACCCGAATGAATTAGTTATCAAGAAAAAGCGGGGCGCGTGTCCATCGTTTGCAAGGCCGACAAGTGTCCGGGATGACAGAAAAACGCAAGAAATACCCTGGAACTCGACTTCAGCAAGTCAAGCCGGCTTAAAGTATTGGAGAGATGTACTGAGCTTAACGCAGAAGTCATTACAACAGCATTAACTATTCCTGGGAGCGCCTAATCCACGACTCGGTAACCCTATCATAGAAGCTAACAAAATCACTCACTTGGATCCCTGCTCTCTTGATCGCAATCACAAATGGCGAACGGGCGGCAGTTCCCCCACCCGCAGATAAAGCTGGGTCATCAGAACTTACAATGAGGCCCAGGATGAAAATGGCTGCAACATAAAAGAAAACAACGCGAATAAATGTGCGCGAGACCGCTTTTGGGATTGCGCGACGAGGATTAACAGTTTCCGCTCCTGAGATCCCAACAACCTGAACGTTCCCGTATGCGAAGGCTGCATTGGTGAGAGTGCTCCAAAATGCGAGGAAACGGCCAAATGCTCCAGGAATATGTGATGGAATGCCATTAGATACATATGGCAATTGTTGGAATGCGCCTGGTCGATGCCAATATCTGTATGTGTGTCATCAGTCAGCCGCGTGCACTGCAATGGACAAGAGTAATGATGCACCGGAAACCTATCGCACCGTGATCACCTACGGCCCCAGTGTCAATGAGAATACCCATGAGGAGTAACCCCAAAATTAGGGCAATCTTTATGAGTGCAAATGAAAATTCAACTTCTCCGTAATACCTGTGCAATATTAAATTCAGGTTCTCGGAACATCACTACACGTACCTCACCGGCCCCATGTTAGCACATAAAGTTGCGACCCAAAAGATGCCAATCCATGCAGCTGGGTTGATATTTGGCGCCCAAAAACTCACTAACGACGAGGCTCCCACCAATTCAACTGCCTGAGTGATGCCGATAGAATACTACCCCACGATGCGCATAAATACTCGTTCCTGTACGATTACATCACGAGGATGCCTTACCCAGAAGTTCCACCCCACAGCGGCACCTGACGCACAGATGCATCAATTCCAGCCCAGCAGAATTACTCAGCTGATTCCACGTACCTAAATCCTTTTCGACGAAAGTGGTAACATGATGAACAAAGCCCCCTGATACCGGCATGCTACGCACCGAAGAAAACATTAGAGCCGATCAAAAAATCTCTGTAGGTCAAGTTTATAACTCTCACAATGCTGACATCTCCCCGGATGTGTACGCAACTTTAATAACAGCGTTGACAACAGTGGGACTATATATAAAGGCACGCGAACTTACTAGCTGCTGTAACGAGGCCCATTACGGAGTAGCCTAGCTAGGTACCAGTTCAGAAAAATCCGCGAGGACGATCATACGGAGAGAACTTTCCAAAGCCCCCAGAGGTCCCGCATCAGCCAAAGCCGATCCGCTGGCAAGGAAAAGACCAGTCTGGGAGTTATTCGCGCATGAGCACAGGCTCTGTCACAACTTGTAAAGAGCAGCACTCACTCCAATCATTCCACATATACTGCTCATCTGGATGTGTCGAGATCGCAGGCCGCGCACCAACGATGCTGATCTCAAGTGCGGTCCCCATGGGGCCTCGTTGTCTACACTGGTGGTGTGTTCGTTTTTCGTTTGAGCAAACTTTTGATTCGAATTTGTGCCACTGGTGATCGCGCTATGATCCCCATGCGTGCAAGGATCCATATCTTTCGCAGCAATCGATGGTCAGGGTATTCAAGAACTTGCCAGACCGATGGGTGAAGCCCTCGCTTATAAGGGTATAGATCAATATTATCGAGAGCTTCGAAATGATGGAAACATTCCTGTGGACACGAGTCCGGATATATTCTGGTACTTTCAACTGGGTCATCGAGGTTCCCATGACGAGGTATAATTCAGAAGCTGCAACTAATAGCCAGGCCGAATACAGCGCATTTCAAGGAGAACAAGGGCGGTACCAGAAGCCGCAAGGGAGTGAGAGAAAACCGGCCCCGCGACTAAAATGAGCGATTTCAGGCGTCCAACGCTGCGACGGTGCACATAGTCGATTGCATCAGCACTGAAATAGCAACTGTTCAAGGACCCATAGAAAAATTTCACGCGGTACCACGTCCGATTTTTCAGTTCGCTGAAAGTGCAGCTTTGGTGGCAGCGACATGCACTCATGTGCCATCCAATGTTTGTTACAGATACCTGCCTCGATATCTGCTAATCCGAGACTGGGACCTTCAGCCTACGCAACCTCCACGGATACAGACCTCACCCGTGTCTTCTGGGCGCTGGAAAGAACACTAAGCTCTGATGAATCGTTCCTCGGTGACTAAATCACCTATGAATGACTTTAGACAGGACAAGGCTGACGTCAGAAGTCCCAAATGTGTGTTTCAAGCCTAGATGGCCACTCATAGAGCGGGGTTCGCGCGAACTAGCCTGGCGCACTGATGGGAAATTTGGAGGCCGGGCGCGTCCGACAGCAAAACACACGCACCTGAGGAATCGCACGGAGCCACAGACAAAAGGTTCCCGAGACACAAAATATGCCGATCACATTTAGAGGTGAGGTTGCGTCGAAGAAGTTCAATGGACACAGTACACTACGCACCTGACAGATGGTACTGGTTTCTCGAACACGTATTCCCCTTTCAGGTCCCGCCCCCCCCCCCCCTCCGTACCCCGTCGAAACCGCGCTCCGAAGTGACCGTGAAGAAGTGCAGGACTCAACATACACTGAGAATATATTTCCGGCATGGACGAGTTCGCCAGTCTGGGAAGTGGCGAACGGGGATTTCGACTGTCCCTACATATCATTCACGGTTTGTTAGGTGCCCATGCCCACAAAGAGCCGTGTGTGCCACACAGAGAGAATCTCGAGAAGCCATCCCCATCATCCCGGGAATCACACGATTGGATAGCCGGCGTTCAGCGCGACATCGCGTGCTCAACATACTGCAGTCTAGCGCCCACACAGAACAATATCAGAAATTAGGAGTCGATGCCCGAGGCCGAGGCGGGTAAATAGACATGACACAGCAGGAAGTGACCTTCAAGCCGGTGGTATTGGTAGCGCCCTTCTAGATGGTGGCAGTGACGAGAAGAGCGTGGGAACTCTCATCGCCGAAGCGCAGTCTCCTCGACTGCGAGGTTGTCCATTTCTAGTTTGACATCGTGCAACTGTATACAAACATTTAGATGGAGACGAGCTCTGACAACGAGAAAGTGGATGTGTTATGTGTCTTCGTTCATGGGTTCAAAGGAGATGATTCTGCCTTTGGTGGGCATCAGCTCGTTATTGAGTGGCTGTCGATTGCGCTCAGAATCTACTAAGGTGGATTCCCCGAAAGGCTCCAGCACATCGTGGACCAACACGGCGATGTGCGAGTTGAATGCATCGTGTTTCCAGCATATGAGGTCAGAGTGCCAATTTCTGTCTCCTGAATGCCCAAATAGTTGATTATACGGTTCCAATAGACCAGAGGGGAACTGGTGCGTTGCGCGTTGGTGGAGATTTTTTGATATTCCTAATATCCTAGAGGTTAGAGCGCTGCAACAGAGCGATTTGTGGAATGGCTGACTACAACGGTTGTGCACAAAGAAGGAGGGAATGGAAAGGGAGCTGGAAAGACTAAGGTTGTTCTGTGCGGACATAGGTAAGTACGTGCCCTCAGCGGCTGGCCTTGGATAATCAGCCTCGGCGACTCTTTAGTATGGGAGGTCTGTTAATTGCGGATGCTTTGATTGCTATTGCAAAGAGCTCCGCTCCCATAACTTCGCCTTCTGCAGATAATAGCAGCCAGCCTGCGGCCCTTTGGCCTCGTATTATTGCCTGCATCGCTTTTGATACTCCGTACTATGGAATAAATCCTGGGGTCTTCAAGAACACAGCGACTAAGGCAGTTCAATACGTACAGACGGCCCATAAGCTTGCCACAGGACTAGGTATTCTTGGGGCATTAGGGACGGCTTTCAGAGGCGAATCCAAAAATACTCAAACGAATGATCAACCGACGATGGGTAGTAAATCGTTGGATGAGAATGCTTCAGAATTGGTATCTCAAAGCGCTGGTGCTTCCTCCGATCCAAACGGAAGCCCTCGTCGGCGTAAATCATCCACTCCGACACTGCTCTATTCACTAGGTGGTGCTGTCTTAGCTGGTGCTGCCGCTGGGACAGCAATATATCAGAGGAAGGCAATCGCAACAGGTATTTCGCAAGCCCAGGCTAATGTTGATTGGGCGTGGGCTGGTGATCACCTAAAATATGTCCGTAACCTTTGGGATGATGCTGCCTTGAAGGCTCGCGTGGACACTCTCGTTGCTCTGAGGAGCGAGCGCAGCGTCCACTTTCAAAAGTGCGTAAATTCTTGCAGAGATCTTGGTCCTGACGGATTAAGAATGTTATCTAGTTTCTATACTAGCCTACCCCCCACTTCTGCATTTTCAAACGAAAGAACATTCATCCTCTTACCCTCCCCAACGTGGCCATCTTTCCAATTCTTTACGCCAAACTCCAACTCTCTTTCATCTTCAGAGATTGATGCACACACGAACATGTTTCATGGGTCATCTAACGATGGATTTTACGATCTCGGGTTGCGCACGGCAGAGATTCTAAGAAGAGCTATCGAGGAGAGCAAGGATAAAGATGAGGATACACAACTTAAGCACACGAAACAAAAGGGATCGAATTCTAACTGTGCGGACGCAGCGGATGGCCCAGCTTAGATCACACATCCAGAACCAGCCGGAGGCTGGATCATGCGTAGGACCGATGATATCGCTTCAACCTGTCCTGTTCATTTTGAAATGTCCGGATATGATATATTCGGATGTAGCTCACAGGGAAAGTTCAAGTGGGGCCCCAAGATACATGCCCAGTGATTATTTCGATGGAGGTTGTTCAGAAGTACCAGTTGTAGATAATTTTAAGCGCATGGCATAGGCGTCCTCCCCATCGGCATCTAAAGTGAATCCACTTTGCACATATTATCATTGGATGGAAGAAGACACGCACAATATTTTTTCTCAATGCTGTGAACGTCAAAGCCCAAGGAATCACGGTAGAGACCAAGGGCCGCTCGGTTCGACTTACGGACATGTAAAGAGACGTATTCGGCTTTGTATATACTAGCCATGGCTTCCTCTAGCATGACAGAATCAGGAAAGAAGTGACAAATCATTGGGGTTTCCTTACGCGACAAGAGCATGAGCTTCTTGGCTAGTCCTAGCCGCCGATATCCACGCAGAACCGAAATAGATGTAACATGACCATGGGACTTGTCACTAGGTTCCTCGTCCCTGAAAATAAAAGCAGGAAACGTGTAAGCGGACGAGCATGTTAAGGCGCAAGTACATACATCTTGGCAAGGATATAACCCACTATGCGCCCCTTGTGATCTTCTGCAACATATGACAGCTGAGGCCAAGTGAGAGAATGATATAAATCTTTATCGCATCATTGTTAGATGCAGAGGAGCTGCCAGACATGACAATAGGCCGCACAATATCGTAACTGGTAGTTCTCCGGTAAATTTTGCAAGTTACAGGCCTGCATGCCTAACAAATCTGCAGGCTGCCGCCCAATCATAAGAACAGGGGATTTCACCAATAACGGACTTCCCACCGTCGCTAACCGTATATTCATGTTCTGACCCAAAGCAAAAGGCGGTTCCGCTAGTGGCTGTGACCTTTGATCGGACGCAATCTCCCGAAGGTTTTCCGTGCGCAGGTAGAGCAGGTGACCAGCCTTTCTTTAGCGGGAAGCCACGCAGGGCCCGGGCACCTTTCATCAATTGGCAGGAGTTCATGAGTGTGAAAATTTCTCATTCTTTGCCTTGAAAATCCGTTTCCGACGCGCTACCGCGAATGAAATTTGATCCTATGTTGGCCCAGGTTTTCGACAAGGCCGTTTAACTTGTGCTCACATCTTGACCGGTCAAGTACGATGGTCCAACTACACAACGAAAGCTCGCCGCAACCAGAGCTAGCCTACCTAGGCCCTGAGGGCACATATTCTCATCAGGTGCGTTGTTATGTTTCGCTTGAATGCCGAAAAATCAATTGTTCTCCGCATCAGGCCGCCTATGAGCTTTGTGGGGACTCTGTTCGATATGAGCCTCGGTCTTCGATACGAGATCTTGGGGTCTCGATCACTGATCCCAACCGTACAGCACGATTCGCTTTCATTCCTCTGGAGAATTCCACCTTCGGATCTGTTGTGGAGACCTATGACATTCTTAGGCATCCGGCTCTTGGGAAGACCGCGTTCATTCGAGGGGAACAGATTCTCTCCGTGAGGCATTGCCTAATTGCCCTTCCAGGAACTAAGATTGAGGACATCACCTCAGTCAGCAGTCATGAACAAGTAATTAGTAAACTTAATCACGCCTCTGATGGCAATCCCTCACTCCCTTTCTCAGGCTCTAGGCCAATGCACCGAGTACGTTCGTAGAGTGCTCCCTAACGCTACAAAAGTGCCAGTGACCTCCACTGCATTTGCTGCTAAATCATTGTTGGAGCATGCGGACGACGTGGTCTATAATCGTGCCGCAATATCGGCGGCTATTTGTGCCAAACTATACGGTCTCGTAATACTCGAGGAAGGGATCCAAGATGGGGAAGGTAAGCCTCACCAAGGCTATTTCAAGCACAACACTTTATTGATGCCGAATGGTCAGCCAACCAGACACGCTTTCTGTTATTCCATGACAGTGCCGATGAGCCCTTGCCACTCGACATCCGGCCCCCACTGCAATATCGATCCCTCCTTCGCATTCAGCTGGATGATATTTGTAAACCACACCCAGCAGGGTCCTACCTAATCCTTCCCTCTCCGCGTCCTTGCCAAGATTGCTTCGGTCCCTCATCTCACGATAACGCGAATTGATCGTCGTCCATCCCTTAGCCCACAGCAATTTCATGATGTTGTTTTTGTTGAAGTGCAGGGTACTTTCTCAAACCCAGCACTTCTGCGGAAGATATTGGGAAGGAGCAGACATGGAAGGCCGCGCTCAGCAAGTGTGTCGCCGGCATGAAAGAGCTGTTAGGTGTAGGGAAGGGACGCAGAGGCGAGGTAACCAGCCTTGGAAATTGGTAGACGTATTGTACATAGAGTTTAACGCAATTTCGAATGGATGCACAGTGTGTAATTAGCATGGATGACACAAATGTTACAGAACTATCGGAGTGTTCTATGTCGATGGGACATTGGGGGACGTCATCACGACTATCGTCCTGATTCTCGCGCTTAGTCACAAAGCAGACTCCTTCAGACATATTGTGTATCACTGCTTGCGGGTTCTGAACTTGTAATGGGCCCGTGATCCGCTGCTGATAATTCTGTCGAATTTCGTGGCCTGATTCAGGAGATCCCATGTGCGTTTTCCGTGGGTTTTCAGTCCAAAATCCCTTCTCTGCGGCGAACTCGACGGTGCGTTTCTTCAAGTTGGACGATGACGAGAACTCATCGATAATTGGAATCTGGAGGATGTTCATCTGTCTCAAGGTGCGTTAACTGCTGTGGACAAAAAATGGCAAATATCACTCACTTTCGGCGTGATGACTGAAAACAAATGATCGTCATGCTTTATATTGAAGCTCACATGGACAAAAAGTTCTTACGCACCAACTAAAGTATTTGTCTTTATCTCCATCCAGTCAGCTATCCACAAGCCGGAGGTGTGGTCAGTGATATGTAGTGGGCAGTCGACAAAGCCTGTACCTTTTTCAAAGGTGAGTGGCTCGCTAGCGATCATGATGATATTTTCCCTTTTGTCAGACTTCGACATCCGATAGTGACCCCCTGGTGCGTATTCGTTGAAGGTCGTGCCAGAGGAGAAGTACTAATATTGTGATTTGAGCATTAAGTTTTGGAGATAGAACCAAGGCTTGCCAGAGATGCTGCTTCGTCCGTCCTAGATGAGACGTATCTGGAAGCTACGATCGTCGACCCATCCGTTACGATGAAGTTCAGGAGGCTTGGCTATGACCGAACACGCACGATTAGCTATGGAAGCAAACGGGTATGACCATTATGCTCTACCTCTCTGATGCCTGCATCCCTTGCCATCTTGTTCAGATGTGCGATAGTTTCAAGCATGGCCTTACGCAGAATCTCAGGGGAGAAATTTGATGCGTGTACATCGGGCAGCTTAGACAGGTACAAAGCGAAAGCCCATTCTGAGTCTACAATCGATCGATCCATGAGCCTATTCACGTCGTGAGAGCTGAAGTGTAGATACCTGTATTGCCTTGCGGGACCAGAAATATTTCGTCGGTCAAGGAAGCTTGAAGTGTTCGCTTTATCTTTTCAAATTCAGCGATGCCCCCGTTATGCATGAACTGTGACAGAGAGGGTAGTTTCTCATGAGGTAAGGAATATCTCTGAGCCTACCATGATCTTCCCGAAGGACCACGGATGACAGTTGTCTTGCGATAATGACCCAGCCGTCGTGGCTCGCACGTGGCCGAACACTAGGGGGCTTTTGATCTTCTCAGCTATCCTGGTCAGATTAGCGTTATTCCAAGCCTGAGCGTGATCCGCGGTATTAACATAACGAAGAGCGAGCAGGGTGGTAGCGCTTACTGGGGTAATGGATTTGAAGATGCACGGCTGAGACCCAAGCTCTTCGTCTTCTACAGAGTCATACCAGCCTATAAGGATGACCTCAGTATTTAAAGGACATAAGGTGAAGGTCTTGCCGAGACTCACCAACGCCGAATCCATCTCCATTAATAGGGCGTCGGAGGTCAAGCCTTAAGCGACTGTCAAACGCCTGATTGATAATCGAGTGTCGTGGCCTGGTAAGTAGCTATATGAAGGCATTTCTGTTGGCTTGAGGATGAGTTGGTTGATGAAGGTTCCTCACATGGGCCAATTGAATCGGAGTGGTACTTTTGACTGCGACAAGTCTAGTCATAGAATCAGACGAGTCTTCAACAAGATACTCTCCCAGGCTCACCGGCACATCCTCCAGAGGGGTCCACGTTACAGGAAAGAGACCTATGATGGATGGGTCGCAAGTTGCGTGAAGTGTGTGACTCTGAATGCAATTGACTGAATGATGAGCGGTTTGAAAGGATTTTCTCACGTGTAAGGGACTACCCTTGCGGGACTGGTTTAGTCCAGGTTCGCATCTGGAATCTGACTGGCACCTAACTCAATTTCTGGACTCATGTTGACGCCAATCAATGGGAAAGTTGTCGCATGTGACGTGAGACTCTCAGCTGAAGCTCGCTTAGTGCCCCTCCGTAGCTTAACCATATGAATCGACCACGATCGCAAGGCTGGTGTCTCAGCTTGCGCTGTACTTGCGCTGTTCACAACCCTCCCTCACCTTCACCTTTGAGGATTTTCAGATTGTTTACTGGTACAACGGTATGTCTTGTTGACGTTTTAATAATTGTTTATGAGTATGTGGGTTGAAGGATTAATTTTGCTGATGCCGCGAAGGGTTTCGCGTCCTATCGTCCACCTCCAACTTTGGAAGGTCGATGAAAAATCTTTCTGTGCCCCCCGCGTCGTTAAGTTGCATCCGGCTCTGTACCATCCGGATCGTTGGGTTTGTAAATCACAAAACCCGAGCGCCGGATCCCGCAACTGGGCTCCATATTTACGGTCGCATGCTGATTCAGGCAGTCATTAGTGCACGTGATTAAGGCGCAAGCCCGAAGTTCTTGGCTTCTTCCACCCATTGCCAATTCTCCTCATTGCCGTCGTTGATCGACCCCCACATCTTGGGCCTTCGGAGTCTCCAAACGAGTGCTGAATACTATGTCGACTCAACCACTTCTCCAGCGCACGGCCCAGAAACGCATTGCGCTCCCAGTTCGCGTCGAGCCCAAAGTCTTTTTTGCGAACGAACGAAGTACGCACCTGTGCCTTATCCATTAAATGCACTATCCTGACTCATAGCCATTGAATATCTTTAGCATTCCTGTCATGGCTGCACTTCTCCGTCATTCTTGGAGGCTTATCAGTAGGGTTGCTTAATTTTGGCGACAAAGTGAGCAATGTACCTTCTCATGCTACGAAAACCGACTAACTCGGTTCCCTTTTGTGTCAAGATTGGGAGAATAAGCGCTGGGATGTTTTCATTCATTGGTGTGTTATAAAACGTGGACCTTGTTAATTCACTCACCCACCAGTTCAGCCATGGCAATTATGGTTTATGCTCTCATTACATACCATTGGCGTGCCTCTGCCATCAGAAAACGCGATTCCGGACCATATGACGATCGTCTTGGCCCAGTATGTGTCATTCAATATCGATCAGTCTTCCAGAACTCACCGCTCCCTATCAGACGATATTGTGCATCTTCCTTCTTGGTAAGCGTGTTCTTGTTTCAACTTTACTGTGCGGGCCTCATTACTCTTTCCTGAAGCTGCCGTCCTCGTCAACTTTATCCTTCGCTTTGCAGATTCTTGAGCGTGCAACTTAACCGACTGGTGAACTGGTGGACTTCTGATGTACAAACAATTGTCACGACAACTGTGTATGGACTAATTTATAGACTGAACCTTTCCTCAGGAGAGAATAGGAAAAGGGGAAATGCCAGTATGCAAAATTGTCGCAGTGCTACCTTGGAATACAGAACAATAAATACGTTGCACTCCAAAAACAAAACCTTTTGGCACGAACAGGCTAGTCTGGGGCTGATGAAAGTTCGCTAGAATTATCTGAGGCTTCGCCCTCTTCCAACTCCTCGCTTTTCCTTTTATCCCGTTTGTTTTTCTCGTGCCCATTCGTTCTGGAATCCTTAACCATTTCAGACACCTCCCCCATTTCGACGTCCTCCCCATCTTCCGGTTCCTCAACGGTCGCTGGGGCAAGGTTGCCTTCCGAATAAGGGCTCGGCGTGCCTAGGCTGTGCAATGGCGAGGGTTGTCTTGAGCTTGCTGAACTACGGAGTAAACGTTGAGCGACACTAGAAGATGAGGAGGCTTAAGTGTCGGAGTGAATGGTTTTGCTTCCGGGCTAAGAGTGTTGCCAGCCGACGAGGGGATGGGCCCTGAAAGTTGGGTCACAAGGAGTTCATTAGGTGTGTTGGAATGTCGTTTTCCGACGGGGCATCGGCGAGGAAGGTCTCTCCGTATCCTCCAACTCGCCGTCGCGTCCATGAAGCATCATATCCTGGATACGCTGACGGATATCTTCCATCATCGAGCGCTTCACGGTAAGGATCTCTCGAGTCGCCTCCTGTTCTGCGATTATAGTAGCAATCTCATCCTCTATTCTGCAATGGCCCTGGTGCGATTATTAACTAGAGTTGGGGACTGAGCCTAAACTTGTACGCACGCGTTCAATTCGGATCTCTGAGGGAGGTTATTGACCCTGGCAGCGATGACATCGTATTCCTTCTTCCTTTCTTTCTGTAGTTCCGCCTCTTGCAGCTCCTCACGAAGGTTCTCAATTTCAAAGCGTATCGAATCGTGCTCATCCACTATACGAAATCTGTCAGTGACAACGGGGGGATGGGCATTTATAAGGATACCCACATATTCGTGTACGGTTATCATGGTATTCCTGCGCCTGCATCTGTTCTGCCTGGACTACAAGTTCAGACTTTTGTATCGAAAGGAGAAAGGCGTCCAATTCCTGGCGAAGAGCTTGCCGCAAATCATCCAGAGGAGTGGAGGCGGATGGATAGCCGGGATCAACACCAGACCGCCTTTTCTGTTGGTCCTGAAGTGCAGCAGCATATGTATGAAATTTGGTCGATATTCTTCGAAAATTCCTGTCAGTGTTTTCCACCCGCTTCTGTGCCAGGGCGTCTGTCAATGTAGTCAAGATGGTGGGCACTTCTCAGAGGAGGTTGGAGTGGCCTGCCTTCATCCGCAACTGAGAGGTGAAACCTTGATGGAGTGGGGTCGATAATCATCGGCTCAGGCCCGTCCGCTGTTGTCCCTCTTGTCGCCATTTGCGGGAAACCAAGAAATTGAGTGGCATCCGTCACGTGTGGTTCAACAAGTGCTCTCGCTCAGTTATGCGTCATCTGCGTCTGCTGTGGCTCACCTCGTTCCTGTTGCCTCCTTATGCATACAGAGTAGTTTGCACACAGCTACCAATGGACGCCCCGCCGCAAGAGATCAATCACCATCACCCAATACCCCTGTTGTCTGACTTGCTCATTGTTCAACCCCAATCGACCATCTTCCGGGACTACCTGCGCAGTATTGGGCCAATCGAATCTCTTCTTCGTGACGAGACTAAAAGGGTGACTGTGCTTGCTCCCACAAACAAAGCCACTCTTGCTATGACACGAAAGCCGTTAGCCTACTATTCTTTTGGTAACTGGCAGAATATGCTCACTGGGTATCAGACATCAGCCTGCTCCTGGGGATGAGCATAGGAATGGCGAAACGCATGTTACTGAGGAGCAATATGAGCTTGAACGGCAGGAGAACGTACGACGTTGGGTTTCTGCTCACATCATCCCCGTGAGTTCACGCTCGTGATTACAGCCTTGCGGGTGCAGCTAGATAACCAGTTGGGGGTGACAGGGGCACCCTTTTGCATTTGAAGAGTCTAAAAACTACCCAACACTTCTTGAGGACTTCTCGATCCGATTCCGACTTGTCCAGCAGTCACAAAGTACGCAAGAGGGGGACTGGGTTGTGGTTCCTGATATCCAGATAATTGAAAAGATCGAGGTTGGTCACACAGACTGTAACCGCGTAGCGATGCCGCTCAACCATTCACACAGGGTCGGAATGGTATCCTTTATCTCGTCAACGGATCCATCCTTCCTTGAATACCAAGTCGCATCGCGTTCTCACTGACACACCTAATTTCATATTATACAGTACAGTGAACCAATGTTTGCCGCTGCCGCATCCCGTCACCTCACTCTCTCTTGACACGCTTTGTAGCCCCTCGCGCAACCGAGGTACCCGCTGATGAGGTAGACACAGAGCGTTTGCGCTGGTGCTGCGAAATGACAAATCGTATTTCAGAGGACTCTCTGACGTCTGACTAAGACTCGCTTACCGCTTGCTTGTCCACGAATTTCTGTGCAAGGGTCGAAGCCCCAGCTTCCAAACTTTGTTGTCTTCCATCCTCCTCAGCTGGAGCCTCACTATCTCGAACGTTAAGTTGGGCCTCCATGATTCTGATGTCCTGTTCCACTCTGTCGAGGCTCTTTTTCATCTCCATCACGTTCACAGCAGCAGCTTGGAGTGTTTCTAGCCGTGCAATGTTTGTCGCAGTTGGCATGACTAGCCTTGAAGTTGATATTCCTAACTCGGCAAGAATAGTTGTGACTTTAGAGTGATGACTGGATTTTGGCACGGGTATCCGAGAACTGCGAAGGTGAACGGGTGCGCTCGATTTGGTGGAGGAAAGAATTGAAGGGGGATCGTAGCGCACAATGCAATGCAACATGTCTGAGGGGAATGAATGGAACGTTTCAGTGTGACTGATCTGAGCTTCTTTTCGTGACAACCCGCACCCGTAGCTGAAGACTTTCCAGTGTCCCTACGCTTCTGCGAAAATAGACTCATCCCGGAGCCGGGTCCAACAGGGCTATCGAGTGATATCTCTCCCTCAAGCCTCTTTTTCCGCTTCTTGTCCATGGCAACACTGGCAGCGATGTCCCAATTTGCGGGCAGATTTGGTAATCCACTTTCAACGCCAGCGAATGTTCTCAGGAGCTCTTCACGTTCCTTCGAATATCGTCGTTCATTGAGCTCGAGCCGCTTGATCTCTACGTACAATTGCTCTTCTTCGGCTATCTGTTCCGGCGTTCGATCAAATAGACCATTGAGGTATGCTTTGCGGTTTCTTTCTTGCTCTGTTTTGCGTGAGTAAGGTCCGGTCGTTATTGTCGGTAATTGGGGAAATACCTGGGTCAAAGTTGTAGCTCGCAAGAAGCTGGTTTTTAGAGGCCTCATCTCCCATCCAAGGGCGATTGCGAATTAGACGACGACAAACACCATAATATCGAGACTTGAGATCCTGTCAAAATATCTAAGATATTGACTGTGGGTTCAAAAGCGATGACCTTTCCCACCTCTATTTGCCGTGATTTGCCTCCAGGAAACTGATATCGATCCGCCATTACTAGGAAGCGTAGATCGTACTCCTTGGCCAACGAAAACAAATAGTCTGTCTCCTCTTTTGACCACGCTTCATCTGCAAACCACCCATTGTTAAAATGAACACCATAGACGTCAATTACACCATACCCTGTAAATGCTTGTCATATTCTTCTTGTGTGTACGAATATACTTGTGAGGGTACGTTGTACTTGGAGAATTCTGAGGCTAAGACCTGGTTCATAATGGACACACAGTTCCGGCGGCCTCACAGCAACTCACTAGACTCCTTCTCTTCAATTCCCACTTTCGCCCAATGAAACAATTCCAGACTGTCTGAGCGTACCGGATTATTGAAAGGCTGCCACGTCCTAGAAGGGACAAATATTCATATCAAGTCGATCTAAAGAAATGAGATGATGCGTACCACTAGTCCTGTTCCTAGCACCAAGGTCCAATTTCGGTTTGAATTTCGGTCGAGAGTATTGTGCTACAAGCGTAGGGGCTGAATCACCAATTAACGAGTATAATTCTCGAGAAATGCCCTCAGGTTTTCGGGGACCAGGTGCAGAAGGCTTTTTGAGCTGAGATGGACCGGCAAAGGTCGGGGGAAGCTGCAGAATTGCTCGGACGTCACTTGCAGAAGCCATGAGGGAGTATTTGGGTGACAGTTTGAGCGGGAAACAAGGTGTGTGTGGATACAGTCGGGCGCAGGCGTTCACGTGGCCCCAGCGCTTATTTTCGGAAAATGGCGTATAATGTTTAAACGCCAGTAAATTGTTTTTAGCGTTTTTTTCGGAACAGCCGCCCAGCAGCCAATGAGAAAGATGTCGCGATTAGATTTTTGACATGGGAAGGATTTATGATGCAATTATTAAAATTGTTAAAAACGTATTCAGAGCATTTCGGGGTGTTTAAACACAGTTTGGGCGTTTAATTATATGGGGGGGGTTTTAACGTCAAAATTTGCATTTTGATGGATATCGAGGTTTTCCGACATTTTAGTCGCAGGAATGTGCTAAAAAAATCTCTATACATATGGTTCCTAAGCTCAAACACCATGGAGAGGAATCATAGGATTTATTAACAGGGAATGCCAACCGAAACGTGGCAAGTAGTATCACGTCTGACTATATGCTCCTGTGAATGGTGGTGTCTGTTCGTCTCAATACCAAACCTATTGCGAAAAGAATGAAGGAAGCAGAGGCTACAGCGGCCACCTTGTTCAGATGTGCAGTGAGAGACAATGAGTATGAGACCTGGAGCTCTATGAGTTAGATTTCTGAGAACCATCGATCAGCTGTCACCCACATATATCAATCCAGTATGCTTCACAGTCAGTCCGCGCTTTTTAAGAATTATGGAAGGACGTCCCTTGTATCCAAGAAAGTAACATGAGTGCCCCGATACAACTCGTCAACGGCGAATGGAACGTAAACGTTGGAGTCGCTGGAAACTGAGTTAGGGGGTCGGAAGTGTGTTCAAGAGGATTGAACGTACGTAGCGCCCTCAGGGAGAATAATTTTGACCTCAGCATCGTCAACGACCGATCCCGGTATGTGGGTGAAGAAAGGTATGGCAGCAATATACAGCTCGTCGTGGGATCGTAGACGGTGGATTCCCCGAGTGGAGCATCCCATCCGAGCCGAAATGTGTAATTCCAGCCACCGATAAGAGGGTATCTAGGCTTGACCTCCAAAATACTATTTCTGTCAGAAGCTCCCTTGCCGTTTGACTTCGGTGGCGCAGGTCGAAAACGGGAGGTCGACACGTTGCCAACAATGTCAGTGAAGTACGGGTCCCTAGCTCCAGCAGGGAGTTGAATGGTGAAGCCAGGAAGAATAGAGCTTCCCCCTTTCTGAAAGAAATTTTGGCGTTGATAGTCAATGCGAGAGAATTGGCCCTCTAGTCTGAGAAGGGTCGTTGGTCAGTAGCCCAATATGGGACATTCCTTGCACAGACCTAGCGCCATCATTGAGCAATTTTATGTCATCCTGGATGTTCAGGTTGTCTCCCCAGTGGCTAATCTCTGCTGTCCTCCTGAGGGAGGACACAGTGAGGATTGGTTGGTCATACACATAGTGAATCTTCACAATTTCTTGGACATTGTTGAAGAAGGCTTTATCCGCAGATGGAGGAATGTTTTGGAATGGTCCATAGGTAACAACTGCCCCTGACTTGGTCACTGGTACGTTGGAGGCATAAGACGAGAGTGAGGATGGTTCTGAATACGAATGGATCGTAGGACTTGGCGACCGCAGCTTAGTCCTTTGAGAAAGCGAGGCGTAGGGACTAAGCACGTAAGCGCCAGTCTCATAGATTAAAGATTGAGTATCACTTGCTTCGCAGTCGCGGGTAACGGTGTAGTTGCATGCGCCTCGATAGTGTTGACAAGCAGCGTGATTGTTTCATTCACTCCCAAAGTGTCGGGAATATTGACGGAGTAATACACGAATGGCCTAATGAACATTATCAGAACGACAGCTGTACAGTAGGAGCAAGACAAACTGTGATTTGTGTAGCAGGGCGGCTAAATCATGTTTCTCGACAGTCAAGGGCGTTGATTTCCCCTTCACCTTGCCTCGATCCACTTGGTGAGGTCATCTTGTTCCTTCGATAGCACAAAGAAATATTTCGCGTTATTGTTTGCTAGGGAACGCGCAGAAATCGAGGTTGTGACGTGGACTGAGGACCCGCCCAATTCTATCGTGCGGACGACTGCCACGTTCTCGAAAGAGGGTGGGACATTGAGAGCAGAAACAGTATGGAGAAAGAAGGGGAGAAGCGATGAAAGCATAAACGTCCCCAACTTCATTTTTTGACAGAATGGTCGCGGATTGCAGTAACAAATGCCGATATAGAGACTGGTAACTGCCTAAAATGCGGATACAATTTACAAATTCAGCCAGCGCTTAAAAATACACTAAATTAAGCCATTACGTAAAAGACGCCCACTTCGTCATGCTTGCTGTGGCCCGATTATCCTCCGCATTAGCTTCGGCTGGGAGGGTACGCCCCGTGATGAGAAGGGTGATTGCCTCATTGAAACCGACCGATTTGGCCATTCCCCGGACGCGTCCTGGAAAGTTCCTTCCAGGACATATTATACGTCCACCACAGACCCCATACGACATGGCTCGTACTGTGAAGCGCTACGTAGGCGAAGGGAAGCTAGATGTAGCTATCGAAATGGTCAAAAACGCAAGTTTGGATTCTCAGAGCACGGTAGTTTGGAATACTTTGATCAAGTTCGCATGTGTGGCAAAAAGGCATAAACTTGCTTTCCAATTATTCAACCAGGTCGGTTGCACATAACATGTACTTAAAGCCTCTTGTGTTTCTGATTCCTTCAACGTAGATGAAGAAGCGTGGTTTTAACCCTTCCCTCCGCACGTTTCATACTTTGTTGGCAGGCTTGCGCCATGCAGCAGGCCCACTAACATCACCACAAGTGGAAAGGGCTAGGAACATTTTTGCGCAGTACCAGAAGTATCAGCGTGTGGTGCAAGCATCAAATCCTGCCAGCAGTGAACTTAGTCTGGAGCCCGTGAACGAATACATAACTATTCTCGCGTCCTCGCATTTGTATCAAGAGATGTTCGATGTATTCTACGGCCTCGACAAGACCGGACCGCTCTCACCAGACCAATATGTGTTTTCCCGAATGATATTGGCATTGGGCAAACGTCGGGCGCTCCATACTGGAGGCACCCAAGCTCCAGAAGGCGGAACAGTAGATGTCAACCTCAGAAACGCCGCGGATGTTAGATTCCTTTGGCACCAGATGGTCAAGGCCGCTCAACGCACCTTATTTCCAATTGACTCTCATTTGATAGCGGCGGCGCTCTTCGTCCTAGCGAAGGGTGCAACCACAGATCATATGTTGGGCCACTCTATCATTCGTGATTACCTTGTCCTACCGATAACGGATGGAACCACCAGTGCTCTTGGAGAACCACTCTCATACCATAGCCTGCTTGCTGCTTTGTGCTTGTGCAATGCATCTGGAGATTATGCCCGAACCTGCCACCTCTATGAGCAAGTCTCGACTCCAAGAAAAGTGCCATAATTGAATCCCTGCATATGAATGAAATTCTGCGAGCAATCGCAGAGCAGTCGCGCTCAGGGTCACCTAACGAAGCCAGAAGAGCACTGAAAATCTTGGAGTGGATGCTTGATCAAGAGGCTTTGGGGGGAGGTGTTCGCTTCCAATTACGACCAAATGCAGAGTCATATCGGCTCGCATTAACCGCGTGCTCGCGAACTGCAGATTGGATGACCGCCTGTGCCCTCTTTGACCTTATGACAGGATTAAAATCCTCTGAATTTTGGGAGGCCCAGTCAAGGCAAGATAGGAAATCGATTGCAACGCCGGTGATGTCACCATACCACATCATTATTCCCGACGCTGAAAGCATGCATATCATGGCGCGCGTAGCACTGGCAGCAGGGAGCCACTGAACGCTCGACAGTGCCTCGACATGATCGCTTATTTTGGTCCAGATCACTTTTTTGGACTGGAAGACTTAGCCAAGGAATCATCCTCGCCTACAGACGATTCATTCGTGGGTGGTTCGAAACGCGAGACAATCGCTGTTTCGCGATCCCCTTTCAGAAAAAAGCTTGCTGTTGCAATTTTGAAGCTGGTCGGGGTGCAGGAGAGAGCACCGTTGGGGTCATCTCCGATGAGGATTGCCGCGGAATGGAAGTCATTGGTTAAACGTGCCAAGCACGTATTGGGCCCCTTCCAGGCTTATAAAGCAGCAGCGAAATCGATCGCAATTTCCAAAAGAGTTCCCCGCTCAAATTCGAACTGACTCAACCGTCGAGGAAACCGGCCTCCGGTTCATATTGAAATTGCATACATTCCATTCACCACCTACTGCAAATTTCCGCTCTGTTCATCTGTTCATTGGCTACACCGCCCCCTTCATCCTTTACATTTTGAAGCACCAACTGCAAGATTCACAGTAAGTCAGCAGTATGCCTACGGTGTGTAACTGAACTCTGCGGATAGATAAATACCGTTAAGAGTAGAACATTTAATACTCTGTGCAGCTCCGGGAGAGCATGGGGTCTCTAATAATAGCCTGTTTGGCGGGGAGTTCACAGTTGGTGAACATGTGGAACCACTTGCAACGCTGCGACCTCTGGATTCACGGCCAGAGATTTCCCTCCCCATTTGGAGAATTGACTTGGCCAAGTATTCGATCTCGACAACGCTCATTCAGGGGCATTGCCTTGATTTGAACCAAAACCATTCATGCAAGCTTCGTAGACTCACTGTCTGCCCGTAGAAGTCACCCGAATCATCTTTGTTCACGGCGCCCAGGTTCATGGCATGAATCGTCTTCGGCTTTCCCTATGACTAGGTCTATCTTTCCCTCATTTGAACAGATGGTCACTTGCCCCATTACCAATCCCCTTTCCACCAAAATTTCCTTCACCCCATATCGACCTGTCATATTTGTCAGGATCCCCCGGCCCCTCGTTTGGAGACCCGCATATGATTCACGACACAACGTAAGAGATGCGTCATGCATCTTTGCGGTAAGCAGAACCCTGGAAAAAGGCATGCCGCCCGGAGCGTGCAACGTCCCCCGTCAAGGCGACCACGGGCCTCGAGCAAGAGCTAGATCTTACGTTACCCGGGATTAAACTCATGGAAGCACTGAGGTTCGCATTTTCGTAACCCGAAGCGGTTGTGCTCGACAACAATATCCCACGCACGGTTGACAGCACCTCCGATGCCAGCGCTTCAGTATCTGTAACTCCATCTCAAACTGGATGGGCCTAACCCTGAGGATGCGCTAGAAATAAATGACTTGCAAAGCTTCTCGTCTTCGCACACTTTGACGTTCAAGCCACTACAATGCATGCCAATTAGCCAATACCGTAGGGTAGGGCTTTGAGATCCAACAGCACCATCTCTGAGTACAAGCTTATAATAGCAATACCCCGCTTTTGATTCAAGTGGTTTAGTTATAATTTTTCACGTTGTGCATTGCCCCAATCTTGAGTTAGACGTCGTCAATGTTTACTTGTGGACGAAGTTCCATCTTTGACTTCATGGAAAAGAGTAAAATGCTGCGTGATCATCGCACACCGACAAAATGATTTCCCTTGGTATGCGTCGGGCGAGTTTGTTGAATCACCCGGCTTCACTCCCCAAAGGGTTAATTGTTTCCTACATATAATCCAGTTCAACCCTGCGGAGACCCCTTCCACCTGGGATTGATCATTTTCCAATACGTGAGTGTATCACGGCCTTGATAAAGTTACTAGTTCTTGGTGTGCTCCATCATTAAAAGTTAGCAGGGCGAGTGCTGCCGGCCCACAATTCTTTTTAACCTCTCTGAGTCTATGTATTGCAGAAGACCGGGAGTACTCGACACCGCCCGCGATCGATTTCGGCATTTCCCTGGGACCTTCAGACTTCCAAAGGATTGTGCAAATCATAGCGCTGGTGAAGGTTCAATGGCATCAGTAAGATAGTCTACCTTGACTCAGGCATTCGAACCGAAGCTGATTGCGCAAGCCCCGCAGATTCACGCCTTACCCGTAGAAATTATTTCACACATTTTTGTTCTTAGCGTCCAAGCCCATGACACGAACCCTCTTCAGCTCTCCCATGTTGATGGACGACTGCGTGGAATTGCTCTCTCGACGAATATATGGGATGGGATGTTCGTATACCGGGAACCGCGTGATTTGGGGTGGCTTTGTTCCTTGGCTGCAGCAACCACTGGAGCCATTGACCTCATCGTTGAAGTATCGCGGGAGGCTTTGTTGACGAACGAGGCTGGCAAGGGTCTCCCCTCCGCTTTCATGCGACCCAATGCACATCGCCTTCGGAAATTGAATATTATAATGCGTTCGGAGGTCGACGAATACACACATCGTCCTAACGACGACGAGACGGTGTTTCTCTTCCTTTCCATTTTCGCACTTTCACTCCCAAATTTGTCCTCTTTCCATATCGACTTGGGTTTCACCACGTGGATTCCCCAGTCGTTTGGAGGACCCACTTGCGATTCACTGCGCAGTGTTGAGATACATCATGCATCCTTGGAACAACTGGGATTCTGGGGGAAGGGGTTTCTTCTGGAGCGTCTCACTCTGGACGTTGACCCCTTCGGGTCTGGATACGGATCTTTGCAACAAATCCTATCGCTTCAGTCGACGCTGCAGGAACTGCGCCTTACACTACCCCGTACACTACCCCGACCTCACAACGTCACGGAGATTCTGCATTTCCCAAAACTGAAGTTTTTCTGCTTCACAGCAATGTCCTACACCCTGTTAACAATATTATCGATGCCAGCACTCCAGTGTCTCCATCTCAAGCCTTTTGACTTAGATGGACTCAACCCCGAGGATATGCAAGAAATAGCTGCTTTGCAAAACTTTTTGTCTTTGCACGCTTCGACACTCAAAACTTTGAAGCATATACCAATCGACCCAAACTGTGCCAGTGGGTCCATGGGAGTGACAAGGGCGGAGCTTCGGGCTGTGGATTCGAAAGTGTATACCCCCGTTATTTTGCCCGTTCTTAGCAAAGCTGCACTTTTGGTCTACGGACAGTTTAGTTATAGCTTTCACGTTATGCATTGTCCTAACCTTGAGGAGTTGAACATTAAGGTTGTGGATGAAGTTCCATCGTTCTCTCTCTTTGACTTTGTGGAAAGGAGTGCAAACGCATTACGATCCTTGCATATCACTAGATGGACCGCCGAGTGCTCTTGGAGACCAGAGTCGTCTATTCTCTCCTTGCCTTCGAAATATCTTTGCAGGCTGCTTCACTTCCCACAGCTGCAGGACTTTGTTTCCCAATCTGCTCGCGGCGATGAAATATTTGGTTTTGTTGGATCTGCTCCCAATCTCCGAGATGTGCATTTGAGTGGGGAAACTTTCGAAGAACTTAAGTATACATCTGACCCAACGGTGTGTATGAAAGTCCCCTTTTCTCTCGCTTTGTTGACTGTCTGGACGATTTTTAGCACAGACTTGACCTCCCTAGTTTGGAGACATTGACTCTTGCACAATTCTCACAGCATATTTGCGGCCTAATCGCCCGATCCTTGACGACATTTATTCTATTCTCCCTTGATGCACGCGTGCGACGAAGGCGGGAAGACGACGACAGTTGGCAATCTGGCAACGATGGCAAGGATGCTCTGCGTCGCATGAGCGCTGATGTGATCGAATTCATGGCCGATCATGCTGCCACAATAAAGACACTTACTCTGCTGGATTGTGTGGAGTTCGAGAGCCTTCAGTCACGCGCACCGTCGGGTATTGAATTTCCACGACTCGCTCATGCGTCCATGTGTTTGGATGATCCAATTTTGGGATGCGCAAGCGCCCCAAACGTGCAAACTCTTGAGCTCCTCCCTGCGTTGTATTCGTGTGACTGTCCGAATCTCGATGGGTGGAAAGGCGCTGAAGTTCTTATTTTGGGAAAGGTGATGGAACCATTTCCACATCTGGCTGGTTTCGATTCACTCCTCCGGTTACGCATTCACGTTGATCCATCCCATGAGAGAACGAGGGCGTTGGAGGCACGGTTTCTAACATGCTTGGCGGAACCTTTCGAGAATTTGACGTGGCTTTGTCCAAAGCTTAGAATTTTTGAAGCTTTCGTGTTCGAATCTGCTGAACTGGTAGGCCTTACTTGGCCTGGGAGACTGCTGGAGGAGCTTGTAGATGATGGAAGCAGCTACCATTATACCTCGATGGCAACCACAACAGATAGCTATGGAACGGATTGGGAAGACACCGAAGACTGGGAAGAAAGCGACTTAGACTTGCATTCTGAGGATCTTGACCAGGATTCTGGGGAAATCATACCACTTGAAGAGGATGAAGAAGCGGAGGAAGCGGCGGCTACGATAGGTGACCTCCATTCAGACACAGAAATGCGAGCAGCGCAGTTGGATGTCCTTTCCTCTCTTTCCTTGCCCTCCGCACATGGACCTGACAACCCGCCGAGATCGTCGTGTAGTGCCCCTGTCGTGCTCCGCTGGGACTTGATCAAAGCGGTTGTGGAGGGGAGGTTAAGTGACAGCAGTAGTCCAATCTCGAAACTTGTCGTGAAACGGGGTCGTTTTATCACCCAGGATCTGGCACCCCCAGACGATTTGAGGGAATGGTTCGAGAGCCGCCCCGGACTCGAATTTGTGGTGGAATGATACGTTTTCAGTTTGTGTGAAATGTAAGATTAGGAATTATCTATAGGTATTCGCATCAAACGCTCGATTATGGCTTCCAAGCAGCCCAGTGCTTCAGAGAGACAGACCATAGTCAGGAGGGAGCGTCGCATTGGCCCTCACAATGAATCGAGCTTGCGACGGTTATCCATTTCCACGCTTATGACAGCAGAACGGCATCGGAAAGTGTTGAAATGAGGACCATGCAACCCTTGCAGTTGCCGAGCACGAACAGAACCTTGAGCAGCAGTGGTGACTCGCACCAACAGACTGACCTCATCTGGCTTAATTGAGAACGCCCATAACCCTTGACATAGCATTTCGGAGTGACAAGGAATTGGGTTGCCCGCGTTGTAACGAATTGGATAATTGCGTGTACTATCAAGGTGGAATCCCTTATGCCACCATTTAGTCTTCCCCTTAAGTCAGCAGTAAGCCTAAGGATGCGTGAAACTGAATTTTGCGAATAGACAAACACCGTGCACACGAGGGTTAAGAACAGAACACTTGAGCTGCCAGGGAAGGGGTGGGGTCTCTAATGACAGGTGGAATCCATTGCAACGGATCCACCTCCAATCCACCTGGAGAATTTGACCTGACCTAGTATTTGAGTGTTCATTCAGAGCTGATGAGGTGGTGTACAAGATCTGTTACGATGGAGATGTAGACCATGGGGATTGAACTGCGCTTTCAATACCTGAGTTTTTCACGGCCTCAATAGTTAGCAACTTGTCCTCCTTTTCAGTTTCGGCATCTCCCTGCGCGCCTGAGTTTCCTCATTCGGGGTCGTCGAGGTGCTACAAAAAATCTACTGCTATAAGTGCGAGACATAGTGCTAGCGAAGGAAGGTTTGATGGCATCAGTGAGATGATTTGCCTTGACTCAGGCATTTGAACCGAAGCTGATTGCGCAAGCCCCGCAGATTCACGCCTTACCCGTAGAAGTTATCTCACATATTTTTGTTCTCAGCGTCCAAGCCCATGGCACGAACCCTCTTCAGCCCTCTCATATTGATGGAAGATTGCGTGGAATTGCTCTCTCGACGAACATGTGGGATGGGATGTTCGTATACCAGGAACCGCGTGATTTGGGGTGGCTTTCTTCCTTGGCTGCAGCAACCAGCCCAAGGGCCATTGGCCTCGTCATTGAAGTATCACAGAAGGCTTTGTTGACAGAGGAGGCTGGCATGGGTCTCTCCGCTTTCATGCAACCTAATGCACATCGCATCGGGAAATTGCACATTACAACGGGTTTTGACGACACAGAATACGGGAACACACTTCATCCTAGCTTATTGCGAGAAGCCCCAGGGGTGTCTCTTTTTCTTTCTATTTTCGAACTCCCACTTCCGAACTTATCTTCTATCCATATTGACCTTGGTTTCACTGTGCGAATCCCCCAGTTATTTGGAGGGCCCACATGCAATTCCCTGCGTAGTATTGAGATGCATCATGCATCTTTGGAACGAGTAGAATTCTGGAAGAAGGGATTTCTTCTGGAGTGTCTCACTCTGGATGTTGATGCTCTTGAAGCCTGGAATGGTTCTTTGCATCAAATCTTATCGCTTCAGTCGACGCTCCAGGAACTGCACCTTACACTGCCTAGTAGTTACACTCATAGGGGCACGGAGGCCCTTCATTTCCCCAACCTGAAGTTGTTCCGCTTCACAGCAATTTCCTACATTTTGCTGACAACATTGACGATGCCTGCACTTCAGTGTCTCTATCTCAAGCCTTTTGACCTCGATGAAGCTAACCCCGAGAATATGGAGGAAATAGCCGCTTTGAAAACCTTTTTGTCTTTACACGCTTCGACACTCAAGGCTTTACACTATATGCCAATTAACCCAGACGTAGGGATGACAGGGGCGAGGCTTCGGGTTGTGGATTTGAAACCTTTGATTCTTCCCGCTCTTAGCACTGCCGTACTTTTGGTCTATGGACAGTTTAGTTATAGCTTTCGCGCTATGCATTATCCCAACCTTGAGGAATTGAATGTCGAGGTTGTGGGTGAAACTCCATCATCCTATCTCTTTGACTTTCTGGAAAGGAATGCGAATATGTTACGATCCTTGCATATCAACGGCTCGTACCCTTGGTACATCAAGTCGCCTATTCTCCGGGCGTCTTCAGAGGCGGCTTTACTTCCCACAGCTGCAGGACTTCGTTTCCAAATCTGCTTGCGGCGACGAGATATTTGGTCTTGTTGGATCTGCCCCGCAACTTCGAGATGTGCATTTGAGTGGGGAGACTCTCCAAGGAGTTGAGGATACATCCAGCATCACGGTGTGTATGAAACTCTCTTCCGGCATTGATGCTCTCTCTGTTGACCGTCTAGACGAATTTTAGCACGAACTTGAACTCCCTAGTTTGGAGACATTGACTCTCGCACAATTCTCACAGCATATATGCCGCCTATCCGCTCCATCCTTGACGACGTTTAATCTATTCGCCCTCTGCCCACTCGAGCGACGAACGGGGTGGCTTGAACGTGACGTTCTGCATCGGGCACATGATGGCGTAACGAGATTCATGACCAATCATGCTGATACTATAAGGACACTGACTCTGCTGGATCCGGTGGGGGGCCTGAAGCCTACGATTTGTTTCCCACGACTCGTTCGCGCGTCCATATGTTCGGATAATCCAATATTGGGATGCACAACCGCCCCGAATGTGGAAATTCTTGAGCTCCTTCCTGCGTCGTATGCATTTGGCCCTCCAGACCTTGATGAGTGGAAAAGTGCCAAGGTTCTCATTTTGGGGGAGCCGTTCCTCCGTGCGCACGGTTTCGATTCACTCCTCCAGTTACGCGTTCACGTTCCGTCCCATAAGAGAATGGAGGCACAACTTCTAGACATTTTGGCAAGACCTCGGTCTGTCGACAACTTGACGTGGTTCTGTCCAAAGCTCAGAATTTTTGAAATCTTCGTGTTCCAATTTGGCGAACTGATAGGCCTTAGTTGGCCTGGAAGATTACCGGTGGAGCCTGAATTTGACAAGAGCAGCTACCACCCCTCGATGACATCCACAACGGATCTTTATCGAACGGATTGGGAAGGCACCGAGGACTGGGAAGAAAGCGACTTGGACTTACATTCTGAGGATCTTGAACAGGATTCTGGGGGAATCATACCGCTCAACGAGGATGAAGAAGCGGAGAGAGCGGTGGCTACGACAGATGGTCTCCATTTAGATACAGAAATGCGAGCTGCGTGGTCGGACGTCCTTTCCTCGCCTACTTCTGTGCACGGACCCGATGACCCGCCGAGATCGTCGCGGAGTTCCTCATCGGCCCATGATACCTCATCTGCCGTGCTCGACTGGGATTTGATCAGAACGGTTGTAGAGGGGAAATTAAATGGCAACTGCAGTTCCATCTCGAAACTTGTTGTGAAACGGGGTCGTTTTGTCACCCAGGACCTGGCACCCCCAGACGATTTGAGGGAATGGTTTGAGAGCCTTCCCGAACTCGAATTTGTGGTGGACGAATGAGACGTCTCTCAATTTGTACAAAGTATCCGAACCTGTAGAATCACCTGTGTCAAGGGTTATGGCCGAATGAGCTCAGTCTGCTGCTGCTGGTGTCAGTCACCGCTACTGCTCAAGGCTCTGTTCGTGCGCGCTCGACAACTGCAAGGGTTGGTAGTTCCCACCCGGCCTCATTTCAACGCTTTGCGATATCCTTCTGCTTGTCATGGGCCCGGGAAAATGACTAACACTTGATTTGCGAGCTCTATTCATCGGAAGTCTGTAGGGTCACTCCCCTTCTGACTTGCAAGGTCCGTCTCTCAAAAGCACCGGGCTGATTCGGAGTCTTATCTGCACATGCTTGAGCGTTTGATATGAATATTTATCCATTTTGGGCTTGAGCACGGCGGCATAGGAGTTGGTTTGCCCGCGTTACGCTCGTTATAAAGGAATTGGAACATTTTATGTACATTGGCTATCAAAGGCTAAATCCCTCATGCGATCATTAAGTCCTTTCCCTTGACGCGGGGTAGCCTCAAGTGTGTGATAACGTCTTCTTTGCGAATAGCGAAGAAGCACGTTACGACTTTTGCCATGCCATGTGCCTTGGGGAATTCAGCTTCGGTTTAGGAGTGTCCATTTTCATCCCTTCTACAATGGCGCCACGATGCCCGACCATTGCCCTCGCATCATAGGGCCTGGGTACGGACCCAGTTATTATATTATTCAATAAACAGGTCTGATTATTGCTATGCCTCCGCACGTAGCCCTCCTGGGGCTGTATGTTCATCACTATCCCTCCTGTGAGCGGCTGTTCAAGGCGGTTAAAGTTCCGTCCGGCCCCGGGTCATCGGGCCCCGCTTAGTTGGACGCTACGCATAAGCGCCCTCGGTGATTCGGCGACCTGCCTCAACAACTGTTACAGCAAAGCTCGGGAGGTAACTTTTAGGCGAGCGGGGCCGCCTTCGATTTCCTAAATCGTCCTCGCCTATTCGTTCATTCAAAAACGTCAATTACCAAATCGGCGTCCTTGGATCTGATCTGTTACATAGAGTAGTTGTACCAGCTTACTAGAGAATTACAAGCTACGTCAATGTCCTCTTGATGAGTGTCATACATAGGAACGTCGCACGACAATGATTATGACCCCTCGGGTATGTAGCGGCCCCGGCGTTTCTCACATCTCGAGGCGCTTGATTTGGCTAACAGTGGCGCTAGGGGGGTTATAAATCCCGTGAGCAGACCGGAGTTGGATTTACATCCAATCCCCTCGCCCTTTCCCATCTCCCAGCGGTCATCGATCAGAAATATATCTGCATCGCCCTGGTTTGAAGCGAGATTGCTAAAGGACGGCTATCGGCTATCTTCAATGCATGCCTTTTGGCGAAAGTACCGCTTGATTGAGTGATAATGGGTAGAAAGGCTTGGCCCTTGATGGTAACTGTTGTTGGCTTGGACCTATCTATGTCCTAGATCGCATCCCTGGCAGGTTCGAAACGTTTCCAAGGGGCGAATACTAACTGGCGCTAACTATGATTCGAAGGGGATAATCCATTTCCAAGCACATGGCTGATCTGGCTTCGAAAGTGAATGGTGAACTAGAACAGAGCTAACCGGCAATGCCCCGAAGGGTACTATACCTTCGTTGCGTCCAACGATAATGGATCATGGGGCTGGGGTCATGAGAAGTTGGGGGGGAGGATGATTGACGCTCGGTTATGTCCGTTGAGGCATTTGGGCCGGCAGGGTCATACAAACATCGCGGTCCATTGCGCGCGCAAACTAGCGGAATTTATGAACGGAAATGCACTGCAGGGAGCGCTACGACTACGGCGTTAAACTTTTGCTTTATGGGGTAGTACGCCGTCTCAATGTGCTACGGACTGCAGCCCTGGTTCTATAGCGCGTTGAGCCTATAACGCCGCTCGATGCGTGAGAAATGCGTGATTTCAACTACTAGCTGTGGTTTCACAGAATTGGTTACCATAGAAGTCGAGCTTGGACTTTGAACGTGAATCAATTCCTTGACGCTATCCAATCGGGATGGAGAATCGAGATTTCCGTCAGTTCAAATGCAAAGCTTCCCAACTTGTGTAAAACCGCTGGTTTCATTCGGTAATTCCCGGATCTCATGCTCGAACAGGGCAAGGCCCGCGCGTTACTAGTTGTCACACCCAATATTTAGGGTTGGGGGGGCACAGAGTCACAACAGAATCCCCCTTGTCAAAACCCCCCCTCCACTGCCAAGGTCTCTTTGTTTCTACTGCAAAATATGACTTCCTTTCATGTTTTCCACGCCTTTCTCCGCGAAGACAATGGCCCCAACCCGCCCCAACTCGTTGCTACAAAGGACAAGAATGGCTGCTGGATTTGCAGGTTCCGCAAGAAGACCTGCAAGAAATACGGCGAGACAGACCCAGAATACGATCCGGCTGACCATCGCTGCTACGATTGCAAGAAATTCAACATTTCTTGCTGCGGCCAAGGAGTAGAGCGCCCTTCCGTACGTTCTTAATGTGCCTATCCCCTCCCTTGCCTTACGTTGTCGTTTGCCAGGGCCCTCAAATCTGCACCACTGTGCGCGCAAAGACCCGCGAATGGATTTCGCTCAAGTTAAATAGGCGCCCTGGTGTTCCCCCACTCGACCTCTCTTATCTCTGGCCCGAGCAATCGGAGGCTTCGTCATCCCTTCCGACGCCTCCACCTGAGAACATTGACTACTTCTCCGAGTCCACTGTATCCAGTGGATACTTTACCTCTCTTGAGTCTCCCGACCAGTCCGCTGTCGAGCTCTCTACTGTTGAGCCCTACAACCCCCTCTTCGGCGCGACCCTTCTCACCCCTCTTCCGGAGTACGGTGATGGCTTACACCCCTCCGAGTACGGTGATGGCTTCACACCCCCTCCCGAGTACGATACCTCTCTATCTGACGTGCCTCCCTTGTCGTTTCCTACTTTGGAGACCTCGCAATCCTTCGCAACGTCGCCCTCGACCTCTATCCCTGCCACCTTCTCTCAATTACAGTCCGGACAACCCCTCTCCGCTACTCCTGATCCATCCATTGAAGTTGTCTCTCCAGTCTTTCCAGGGACTGAGTATGCTCTGGAGAGTAACTACTGGACCTCGATCCAGCAAGATGTGCAATCGTATTTGCAATCTTTGGGTATACCGCACGTCGATGCGTCTGGGACTTGTCCTCCGGTCTATGATTCGAACTTGGGCTCCGAAGGAGGCAGGCCTTACTCTATTACTTCCGGTTTGTTACCTATATAATCCTTCACCTCTTGTCTCACTCGGGTCTTGCAGATTACCATATGACTTCGCACACACATCCAGCTGAGAACACCGTTCCAGAATTATCTTCATACTCGGGTCTTGCAGACTACCCTCTGACTTCGTACACACCTCCAGCTGAGAGCGCCATTCCAGAATTATCCTCATACCCAAGTTCCGCTACCTCCAGTCCCGAGAGTGAACCTATCTCGGAATTTGGACTACCAACCCCCTCTTCCTTTTGGTATGGCCCCAAGTGCGTATTTCCATTTCGTATTGAACCATTTGGTTAACGCGGTCGTGCCACAGCAGCTTAACTGTTCGGTGAAACCCGCTATCTGGATTGTTGCAAGTGCTCTGTCCTTGCACGGCCCCTGGAAAATCCCAACTTCCTTCTCTCCAGGAAGGTTCGACGCAAACTACTCCACACCTTGGGGAATTTGGCCCCTTGCTATTATTGCTTTATGTATTGCGTACGACGGACTGACCCGGTTGTATTTTTGTGCTTTGGTTTTGGTGACAAAGGCAAGCATTTTCGTCATTCCGATTGTTGACACCTCATGCGTGGCAATCTTGTTCCCCCGCCTAGCCTAGTCTAGCCTAGCCTAGCCTCGTCTAGTCTCGCCTAGCCTCGTCTAGTCTCGCCTAGCCTAGCCTAGTCTCGTCTAGTCTCGTCTCGTCTCGTCTCGTCTAGTCCAGTCTAGTCCAGTCTAGTCTATTCTCTACTGACCGCAAGTGTCACTCGCTGGAATACAGGTAAGTTACCAGCGGGTGCACTTGCCCTCCGATTCTAGGACATTTCCGAGGCAAGTCAATCGAGTGCTTACATCGGTGAAAACTAATTGCTCATGTGGTCTTCATTAGAGTGCTAGGGCAGCACTACAGTGGATAGTCACCGGTGCGAAGTCATTCCACTGCCTCCAATACTACTTACATCTTTGCAGGCGATCGGATTGGCATTGTCTAGTCCGGTCCAGTCTAGTCTAGTCCAGTCTAGTCCAGTCTAGTCTAGTCAGTCTCGTCTAGTCTCGTCTCGTCTCGTCTCGCCTAGTCTAGTCCATTTTTGCACTGTCCTTTGGCGTGAGAAGGCGTGTGATATTGATTTAACTAGCAAGGGAAGAGCGTGAGAAGTGAACTGAACTTGAAGGTGAAGCGTGAAGTTGGTACAGCTAATCGTCTAGCCTAGCCTAGTCTAGCCTAGTCTAGTCCGTCTAGTCTCGTCTCGTCTCGTCTCGTCTCGTCTCGTCTCGCCTAGTCTAGTCTAGTCTATGATTTTTTAACAGATTCGCAACCATTCGATCCATCTCGAAAGTGAGCCACGAGCCACTGTCCGAACACTCAGGTATGCAACCGCCTGCCTCGTTAGCCGAGCTATCAGACCCTGATGCCCTTGTCACGTTAGACGCAATCGCAACCCGGAAGGCCATCAATTATCAGAGACCTGCGCAACACGACATCAACGCTTCCACTTGCCCTTCCGAGGGTGCCAAGTTGTCCCCACCGCCCTTTACTGCAAGTACTAACAGCGAAGAGACCCTCTTACCGGATACCTGGATTGATGGAGCAAACTTTGACGACTGTTATTTTGCCTTGTCTCGCTTACTTGTCCTCCGTCCCAGACCTGCCCGAACCCCTCCCAATTCCCCAATTCCTCTTGTGCCTCGTTTGTGATGTCGTTTCGTTCTATGTAGTTACTCCTTGATTATTATCTCACTTTGTCACAGATCGCACGCACTTTGGGGCGGACGAGCGTAAGTATCCCTTATGCTTGGTTACATTGCTGATACTATCCGTTAGTTCGACTGCTCAACGACTCAACGACTGCGATCGTCTGCAAGTTTCTCATCGTCCACACTGAACCAATCCTCTATTTCTGTCTTTTGTGCTTTCCTGCCTCTTCTACTCCATTTCCCCTTTACTGTGAGAGTAATTCGTTTCAACGTGTTTTGTGCCTTTGAGACGGGACATGCATTCTTGTTTGTTGTGAGGGTCGGGATGCTAGGTAATGCGCTTGTTCGCTGCTGACCAATGTCGATCGGCCAGTTTTTTTTTTCTTTTTTCAAGGTGAGTTCATTACATGCGTCCTGCTTCCCTTGTTAACGGCACTCTTTCTTTTCTTAAAGGCCATCTCCCTGTTGGGAACCGGATTGCTAAATAGGACTCCTTCAGCAGCCACGACACGCCTGGTTAGTTTTCCAACACTCGACAAAACGTTAGAAATCTGACGTTCGTGTATGCAGAGGATCTGTTTCGTCCGCGAAGACCAACCGTTGACAACCACACCGGATGTAGATAAGGATGTAGCCGTTGATTGAAGGCCAGATCGAGGAACTTGGGATGAGCGGTGTGTCCACGTGGCGCCCTCCATATTCTTAACCCCTCATTTTCGCTAGTAGGAATGTTGCGTCAGATGAGCCTCACATCATCGTGCGCTCCTGGACGATAACGACGCTAGCACGTCCGATAACGGAAGGAACTCGTGCGCAATCCCACGTTGCTCTTATCCGACAATGGGATTATGGAACCAGGTTGGGGTTGGAGCATATATATGGTTAGGCGCGTCGGATCGCTTTGTCGAGATGAAATTTGGTTGCGATGAACATGTCTATTTCGAGCCCTGGGTTGTTCGCTCGTGTACATGTGATGATTATGTACTTGTGGGTCAATCCATCCTGAAAGTGGGATAACCGTCCCCTTTCCTCCTGCCGATGCGCGGAAGGCTCATTAGGACCTACCACAAAGTTCTAGAAGTTGAATTTCACTTTGCTGTTTGCTGCAATTAATGCAGGCCTACGCACCAGCAGCGAAAGGCGCAGACCTGGCTATCGATCATTCATGATCGAGATGGACAGACTCGCGAGAAATGGCTGCTGCGCTGACCTTGCTGCTTGCGACCAGACTCTGCATCCACATAATATACGATTCCTATCCCATTGTTCACATGCACGTACATGATTTAATATTTATTCTGTAGATCTAGATCGCGAACTCAGCTTCATGTCAGTAAACTATATATTTGACAATGTACCCAGCTAGATTGCACTATCGTGCTCTCACTTCAGTATCACATTGGTGTGAGATGAACAAAATGCGAGATATTACGTTTAGGTCAAGTGCATAGTGCACAAGGCCAAAGCAATCAAAGTGAGTATCAAAGCGTGTAAGGCACGGCAATTGAACGAAGAAAATAGAATTCTGGCCACACCACCTTGATCCCACAGTGGCTGAAAGCCACTCTAAGCACCCTAAGAAGCTGTTGAATTTTCGACATATTCTTCTATCTTTGGGGGCATTCTAAAACAATCGGTGACCCAATATTTCTGCTGGGCAGGAGGACATTGCTTGCCATAGCGGCAAGCGTTCCTTCCTTGGAAGACTTGCTCTTCCTCCAGAACTCCAGGATTGGGGGTTCATCGGGAAGGGAAGAGCATGTGAGGGTCTGGGACGGTTCCGGACCCGGAGAGGATGATAGGAGCCTGTGACGGCTCAGGACTTGTTGAAGCGCTGCGCGCTTGAGGTCTACAGGTGCCAGACTACCGTCAACCCGGTATGAAACCGGTTGAGAGGTGGTCATTTAGACCATCTCTAACATCTCGGAGTGACAGAAAATGTAACAGCCCCAGAGGAAATCGAAACACAGTGCGCTTCCGCGAGTTGACAGTCCGCAGGCGCCAGGCCAGGCTGCCATCAAGTTGGTCTGGAACCGACACAGGACGTATCACCTGCGTCGTCCCTAGGCGTACAGATGACGCTTGTTGCCCAGGAACAGTGGTAGGGACCACTGGACAGTTTGACCTGGAAAAGATCAAGTGCGCGGGTGCCCAGTGAGCTGGCACCCAGCCTGGGCTGGTAACGTTCCCACTTAGGACCGGTGGGGAAGTGGCCGTAGAAACCGCCAGAAAGGGTAGGGGCTATGGATCTGACAACTGCAGAGAAAGTCGAAGCACAGCGCGCTTCGGCCAACTGGCACTCAGCAGATGGTGAGGTAGTCTGTAGATGGCCAGTTGCGTCTGGACCTGAAGGCGTTAGGAAAAGGAGCAACGTGACATTACGGACGAGAGGCAGTGAGAGGGTGGGAAAACGCTGAGGAATACCTGGCTGGAAAGTGACCTTGCAAGCAAGGCAACTGATCCTGGGGCAGCGTTTGTCATCATGCTGCAATCAGCATGTGAAGTCACCCACAGCCCGCGGGTGCGGCCGAGGCGAGGCGTTACGATACTACGCAGCTCCTAAGCCATAATCGACTTCACGGGCCCGCTTTTTGACAATCGCCGCCGCCGCTTGCTCCCCTAAATTGGTCTGGTCATTCATTCCGTAGAGCATCATTTTACTAGCGTGGTTACCAGCCAGAAAATCGCGCAATACAGCAAGTGCAAAAAATCGACGCCCAATTGGATGAATGTCGTGCAGTCATTATAATCATTGATTATTCACAAATGCAGAAAATAAATGATGATCGACTGCAGTTCTAAATAGATGATCAATGACTGATCGACCATCATCAATCTGTTGCGTTTGTTTTCACTTGCTGTAATTACGTTACTCTTTCATCGGCCATCAGAACTTCGTGTGACGATGGCCAGGCACAATCGGCCACCTCAATTCCTCCAATATTCCCCCACGTTGTCGGTGTGTCGGATTTGGCCAAGAGCCATCGTCAGTAGCATGTCTTCCCCGTCCACCGATTAGGGACGTATTCGCGTCACCTAGGTCTGATCATCTTTTCGCGCGCCATGATCGCTGAAAGATGCCTATGATCTTTTTACGCGGGCCGGGCGTTTAGCGCTAGCGTCTTATGTATATCTAAGGCCTGTGGAGTCGCCCGAGTCAAGTACCCCCCTAGCGAAGTCAGTCTACTTTTTGCCTCGCAAGTTATGGCTGCTTCCGCTGCATCCTTCTCTGTTTTCCCTTCTTCTTCCACCAAGAACAACGGCTCGAACTCGCCTCAACTTGTTGCTGCCAAAGCAGGATGGGTGCTGGATTTGTAGGTTTCGCAAAACAGCATGCAAAAGTTACGCCAAAACGGACCCGGCATACAACCCGAGTGACCCCCGCTGCTACGACTGTCAGAGGTTCAATATTGTCTGTTGTGGTTACGGAGAAGACCGCCCCTCGGTACGCTTTGACATGCCTATTCCCTCCCACAACCCCTCCTCAAGTTATAGCTTTCAAGGGCCCTGGTATCCGCAAGATCGTAACCGCGAGGACCCGCGAATGGATTTCATTCGAGCCGAACAGACAGCCTGGTGAACCCCCCCTTAACCTATCCGACCTTTGGCCTGAAAAAACAGTGGTTTCGTCATCTCCTCCTCTACTCCAACCCGAATCCTCTGACCGTATTTCTGAGTTCATCACGCCCAACACCTGCTTTATATCTCCTGGATCCCAAAGTGCTGAGCCCTTGTCTGGCGCGCCCGTTTTCACGCCTCACGCTGAGGCCCGGACCGTCTTCCCCATCTCCCCTCCGGTGCACACGGCTGTCGCGTCCAGCATGCCACCCCCATCGCTTCATGTGGAGACTACTCAGGCCCCCTCCACTCTCCCAGCCCCATACTCACAGTTACAGTTTGGACAACCTCTATCGGTTCCTCCGCCGGCGCCCAAACCATCTCTTCCAGTTAATACCGTCACCCCGCCGCTCTTTCGCTTGGATTCTGTTCCGACTGGACTAGAGATTAACTCCTGGCCCCCGTCAACTTCTTTCTTCTCTCAGCAAGAAGAAGATGCGGCTCTTCAGCAACTCCTAGAACCAGCATTCATCGATTCCCCTGTTCCAGTTTATGATTCGAATCCCACTATTGGTTCGTTGTCCATATGTTGTTATCCTAGCCCCGATCTCACCGGGGTCCCGCAGACTACAATAGCATCCCGCACACTCTATCCGCGTACTCCGTTCCGGAGTCATCGTCTCGCATCAATGTTACAACTTTCACTCGTCAGGACGGGATCATCTCAGAGTTTGGTCCATCAGCTCCACCTGCAGATCTTCAGCCCTATTGGGGGAACACTAGGTGTGCATTACCACTCCAGGCCACGCCATTCATCTGATGCGGTGCTCCGCAACAGCTTCGCTTTTCGTGAATGACGTTCTCTTTCTCTTGGTTATCAATTCTCTTTATCTTTAAGAAGGCCTAACACTCGCTACGCCTGGTAGCTTGGCCATCTATCTGCCATGATGTATGCCGTATGATGAGCCGGCCCATCTTGTACGCTTGCATTTTATGATTTGATTATGGTAACAAAGGCAAGCATTCTCACTGTTACGATCGTTGACATCTTATCCCTGGCCACTCTGTGGCACGATTTTGTCCCCCCGCCTAGTCTAGTCTAGCCTAGCCTAGTCTCGTCTAGTCTCGTCTAGTCTCGTCTAGTCCAGTCTCGCCTCGTCTAGTCTAGTCTAGTCTAGTCTCGTCTAGCCTACTAGGTTTCCCCAAGGTGTCACTCAACGAGGCTGCCGAGGTGAGTTGGCAGAGAGTGGCATCTATACTCCGGTTCTAGCGGTTTTCGAAGGTAAATTATTTACGTGCCGACGACGACGAAAACCAATTAATCACATTGTTCTTCACGCTACATCTAGGCAGTCGCTGGTACGAGGTCCATTCCTAGCTCCAATACTACTTACATCTTTTCAGGCGATCAAGTTGGTATTATCTGGCCTCGTCTAGTCTACGTCCTTTGACCTTTACCCTAAGCCAGAAGCCGTGTAATTTTGGTTTTTACTGGTAGAAGGGAAGAGTATGAAGTAAATTGGGTGAAGCCTGGAGTTGGGCTGATACAAGATTTGCGCTAATCCCAATGAATCGTCACATTTCATTCCTTTAATCGCATAGTCTAATTCAATCTATCATTTTTTTCGCAGATTAACTTTTTGATCCATTTCAAATGTCAGCTCAGGCTGCCCTGGACAGTCAGGTACGGAGGAGACCTGCCTCAGGCTCATTAGCTTGATTACCAGATGCTAACGCCTTTGTCAGGAATTGCTACTCGGGAGGCCGTCAATTGTCAAGGATCTAGTCCCTTCCTTTGTCTGCATTGCCATTTACCGCGAGTTCTTACTAGCAAAGAGTCCCTCTTACCTAGCTCTTATCGGACATGTGGATCGGAGCAAACAACATCATTGTTCTATCTTGCCTATTTCTTTCTTTGCCTGTCTCGCCCCCGATATCTGAGTTCCTCACTCTTGCACTTCATATAAAGTGTCGCACTGTCCTATGCAGTTAATCAATCCTTGATTGTTTCTTCCTTCTATCGTAGATCGCACCTGGGGGCAGACGAGCGTAAGCATTCCTTATGCTTATTACATTGCTAACGCTATTCATTAGGAGGTGAGTCCAACTGCTCAACAATTGCAAACGTCTGCAGATTTTGCAATCATCGCAACCCTGAAACAATCCTCTACACCCGGCTCTGTATTGTTCGTACTTCCCTGTCTTCTTCTGCCACATCTCCCCTTATTGTGTGTGATCCAATTCAGCCCATCCGTACATCTTGTGGTGAAACGGCACATGCATCGTTGTTTGTTGTGGGCACTCACTACTGACCAGACGTCCCGTCTGTTGGTTGCCTTCTCAAGGTGAGTTCACTATACGCGCCCGGCACCCTACTTCCCACACTCATGTTACTCTTTGTAAGGGCCACCTCCCTGTGTGAACCTGGATAGGCCGAGAATATGATGCGTGTTGACCATGTGGTTGTTGTTCGTTTTATTCTGGGAGTTGTATGTCGCGATAGTGGCCTAAATGACTATGAGGCGGGCACGAGCGAAGGGCTTTGGTGCAAAGTAACAAGATATAATATACCCGTTCTGCCCACGTCCAAGTAGAGGCCGGATCATACTCCACTGGCGAACCCCCAATTTGAGCATGCGGTACTTGTTGGTCGAGCACCTACCAAGGAAGAGGCATGATTTCGAATCCCACTCTCATTGCCAATGATTATGGCATTGGGGTGTCAGCTTGTTAGATCTCTCATAGTTCTGTGATCAAAAATTAGTCCTGGGACGAAGAGTAGTGAAAATTCGGATCTTTCCAGATTGAGAGAAGTTGAATGTTTCCCAAGAGATAAGCATCCAGAGTCAAGACCCACTAGTATTACGTCATTCATCTATAACGACACTCCGAAGACTAAGGTGATTGTGGAGATAACGACCGCTGGACCTAGATCCATCGACTCGGATGGTGCTGCCACCACTTCCAGACCCTCACAGCCCGAGGTGAAAACTGAGTGAGGGCAATGAGGACAACAAGGACAGATCGACGCCAGTCCCACGTTCACCACTTGGGCTGCTGGATGGTGTTGAGATCCCAGAGTCACGCAGAACCTTTCGTGCACCCTCATAGAGGATGTGTGCGTGTGTCCGCTATCGAGCCCTCTTGAGCCCATCCTGTTCGACAGCACCTTTTCCCCTCGCTCTCCTGAGTACGAGGCCGCCCTGTTCAGCATGCCTTCCCGCTCCGGAGGCCGCGCAATCTTTCGGAGTATCGCCCTTGACCTGTATCTCTACATCCTCTCAGCCACAGTCCGGGCGGCCCCTGTCGACATCCAGACCCTCTGATTCAGTCATCAAAATTATCCCTTACTCTTGTTCATTGATTCTGTACTGGGTATACAGTGGAGGGTTCGTTGCAGTGAGTACTCTTGTTCCATTAAGTGTACTGCATTCCTGCATTCCTGCATTTTAGGCAACCGTTTGATGTCCCAGTGGCACCACCTGCATGTTGTCATTACCAACCCTCAGCCGACCGTTTGATGTTCGCCGTGTTTCTTGATCCACGTTTCCTTGAGAGAAAGATCATCTTGTCTACGTAGGCATGCAATTCGGGGACACGAGTTGTTTGCTGTGACTTTTGGCTACAAATTTGCCAGTAATTAATCTAAGAGGAATCTTCTGCACGTGTGCATGTGGTGTCCACCACTGTCTCCTGATACCCAAGACGTGTCCCCGTGTCTCTCTGTAATAGGCTTAGACTCTTGCGAGGTGTTACGCTGAGCTCCTCGGTCGACCCGGTCGGGTTTCTATCACTTCACAAGGGTGTGGCCTGGCATTTGAGTTCCTCAAGGAATGATCTCTCACAGGGGTTTATTCATGAGACCAGCGGTACAAGAGACACCCACCAGCGGGGACCCACGAGCAGTGTTCTCAACCATTCGTGATCCTGGAATCGCTTCGTCAGCAATAACTTGAGTCCACTCTGGGAGTGCGAAATGCGTGCAGCATCCGTGGGCGCGGATCACAGTAGCCCTATGACCCCTTACTATAGACGCTGGTCACCTGCCTATGGCCCCCTCCTTTCACGGAAGCGTCAGCGAGGATACAACGAATATGAGCACATGCGGACGCGCTCGCACGTGGGCCAACGAGCGAGGTGCACGTATTTGTCTGCAGGCTCCTGGCACTTCGGCAATACTTCCACCCGAATTTCAACTCCTGCTTTGCAGAAAAGGTGAAATCAGATCCACTCCATCTGACCGATGCGGCGGGAGCCCGTGTGTTTCCTAACCCGGTAGTACTTCTCGTAGGCTTATTTTGACGTGCCCTGGGCCTGGCTGCCTGGGACTCAAATCGTGCGCGTACGTGGCGTCTCTGGCCGCTCGGTTTACACGCTCAGGTCTCGCTGCATCACACGCAGACGCTCCCAAACAAGATCCTGTCAACCATATGTAGTTTGGGTGACTGCGGAGATCCGAGTCCCTGAAATCGAAACCGCGCTCTGTGTGCTTCCATTTGCCATCAGAGCAGTGACGAATCAAATGATCATTGCGCAAGCGCCAAAGCGAATCTTACTGCGCGTTACTTGACACTTGAGTGCCTTAGTAGAAGAACCGCTCGCTCAGTGACAGAATGTGCCGGTCGTCTCCCAGCTTCGACAATCACGGCTCCTTCGGCCGACCCCTAACCTGCTGGTCACCTGGTACGCTATACCGGACCGGGCGCTCACCAACCAGCTTGGCTTTTATATATACGTTGAGGACTGTTGAACCATTTTCAATGCACCACTAACTCAGTCATGCCTCCACCTGGGCTTCTGGTCCAAAAGGACAAACACGTGTGCTTGGAATGCCGCCTGCGGAAAGTCAAGTGCGGGGGCGTCGGAGCCTTCCTCCCAGGAGACGAGGTGCCTTGCGATGATTGTTCGCGCTTCTGTTTTAGGTGCTCGAGTCAATCAGAGCTCAAACACTCTGTATGGACCTCTCCTTCCTGTCGGCGGCATTCTGAAGCATACGAATATAGATGCTTGATATTGACCGTGCGAGGGAGCTCGCATGTCCTGTAATGACCAGCTGGATCCGCCAGCAGAGGCGCCATCAACCCACCGCCCCCTTGGATGTGGAGCAGATCCTAAGAGAACACGGGGGCGCCGAGGAGCTCCGAGGTATGTCCTCGACTACTTCACCGTTCTTCCCCCGTTTGTATCCTACGCCGTCAGTGACCACACCCTCGGGAGGTGGTTCTACCAGCCACCACGGCAAGCATCCTATCGACACTTGGAGTGGCGACTTTTCGAGCCTCGATGATGAGTCTGCTTGCGTCGTTAGGCCTCTCGAGTTCGAGATTACTCAAGACGTTTATCACAACTGGATACCATCGGCAGAAACGCAGGAGCTCTTGAACAGTCCTACTGAGTTACCACAAGACGGAAGTCAGATTTACGACTACCTAACCCCTGAGGGTTCTTTCTCGGCTTCGGACGTTCAGCAAAGCTATGCGAATGCAGGCAACGCAGGTGTGTGCCCAACTTCTCTGACCTCTAGGCATGGTAACGAAGTGATGGATTCCGGTTCAAGCCTGGTACCAACCAGGTCCCTCGTTCAATGAGGAGATCACCGATATGATCTGCTCTCCGGAATTCGACGCGCTATTGGACAGTGGTTTCATTCTGACACATCGCCAGGCCCAAACTTTGTTAGAGCTCATCACAACCGTCCGTTATCACAGTACTGACCAGTGATTTATGTAGGATCTCTGATACAGTTTCTCTCGCTGCGCCTTCAACAGGAAATGTTCTGCATGAATTTTCAACAAATTCATGTCCCTTCAACGTGTTGTGAATGATTAAATGATCACATCGATCGTTCATTTGCGGACTCGGGCTGCGGCCCTGGCTGTTGTGCGACTCAAGAGAAAAAACGAGGACATTGAGGGATATTCTTACTCGTCTAGTCTCGTCTAGTCTCGTCTAGTCTAGTCTCGTCTCGTCTCGTCTCGTCTCGTCTCGTCTCGTCTAGCCTAGCCTAGTCTATCGTCCTTTCTCTAGGTCAGATTCAGCCAGCCTCGCATCACTTCGGCAAATCGGCCCGCCTCACAGGCTCGCCATTTTGTCCTGCACCAACTGCCACTGGACCACTGGATCGGAGGTTGGGGGGTTCTTAATGTATAGGTTGTGGAATTTCAGGCCTCATGATCAAAATGGGAGGAATAAAGGTGGCATTAGGACCAATGATGGCAGGGAAGGCAAGTCAACTTCCCAAATATTCCGGCGAATCTGAAGTTAACTGTTAGGTGTCCAACGTTCGACATATCAGCCTGCAGTGGGCTATTCACTCGTACATGCTTTGGAGGCGGCCTGACGTTCTTCGAATCACTCATGCTAATTCCACATCATTCCTTAGGAACTGATGATATATATATATATGTTCGCGTTGTCCTGGACGCACATGGTTAGGCCACTGGGGCTCACCGTTGTACGATCAAAGGTGTCACAATAACGACAGGTAGAGTTAGGTACATCCACGGTATTAGAAAACAAGAGCTGACTAGCACACTGAAGAACCAGAAAAAAGGAATGAACGACAAACGCAAGTGTCCATTGAATGGCCGAGCTTCTCCGAGACAATCATGCCTCAACGTTAGACGTTTGACCCACCGGTGAACTGAGGGGCTGGCGGATACTGCTGGTAAGCCCCCATTCCATTTTGTTGTGGGGTGTGAAAATGATTTGTTTGATTGTGGTTGAACTTTTCAGAAGGCCCTCCAGCAAAGTCGGCTTGGGGGACAGGGGTTTGCCAGATGTAAGAGTTGCCGCGTTGAACCGCCTTGATGGCGTAGGTGAGGAGTAGGCCCCAGTATCCCAGGACTGGTGAAGGAAGGGCCGAAGTGGATGGTAGGAATGTAAGCATTGTGATGGTAGGATAGGCCAGACATAGCAGAAACTTACGGGGGAAGAATGCAAGGAATGCAAAGGCAGCAGCTCCCTTCGATGCTCCTCCTACAGCTGTACCGAAACAACCATAGATGCCGCGCCGCCGAAGCCCGAGTCCCGTAGGGTCCGTGATGACGGGGATCGAGCACGAGTACTGCGAGGCAAGATAGGCACCAGTTGCTGTACAGGGGGGGGGAGGCAACCTTCAGCATAGTATACAATATGTAGAAAATGCATCACAAACGCACAGAGCCACATGATCATCAGGAAGAAAACGACACCAAGGTCCACAGAAACCATTGTCAAAGCCGAATCCGTGCGAAGGATTCCGAAAGCGAGGCTGTAAAGGCAAAGATATCAGTTGGGAGTTTGCGGTCTCAGATTTGAGGTATATAACATACAGAGTACCAATGAACGCCAACGTCAACACTGAGGTGGCGACACCTAAATTGCTGGATTCAACGACTCCACTCGTTTGTGAGACAGCGTAACCATTGAGTCCTGCGAGTCGCGCCAGATGAGAAAAAAAAAGAGGCTCAAAGAGTGGAAAGCTCCTCACCAAGGCCTAAAAGTGCGCAGAACAGCACCCAGCCTAGTAATGCGGTGAGTTTTTTTTTTTGGTCCGCTTGTCTGCATAAAAATGCCGGGCGTGGGGTGAGGACGTACCAAAGATTATTGTGCGTAGAGTGTTGAATGGAATCATGTTGTTGTTGTTGTTGTTATTGTGCTAGTGAGAGTGAGCGAGAGTAAGAGTGGGAAGTGGGGAAGCTGAGAGCGAAGGGAAAGGAATGGGCTAAAAGACAGCAGTTGTTTTGCAAAAGAGAGGGAGTGTTGAGGGAGGGAGGAAGGGAGGGGAAAAGAAATTTCTGGGGTTCGACTTGAACCCTCTTCCCCTCAACTTTATACGAGAATCCGAATTTGCATTTGAACAGGAACCAGCTGAAATCCATTGAATGCATAGCAAGGCGATGCTCAGGTGCTTAAAGTGCCTAGATCAAGACACCTGAACCTGGAAAACCCCTTCGCCAAGAATTTCCCAACTGAGTACCATGTAAAAAGTCTTCACGAGTCACTGGCCGGGGGGGGAGGGAAGAGGGGGGGGGAGACATTGAAAAGCCTTTGTGAGCTTTCCAGCACCCCCAAGTTCAGAAATTCATCGCATACTTTGGGCAAAGCTGCAGGAGGATGGGTAAAAGCAGGGGTCAGGCACGTATGACAAATGCTTGGCGTAAGCATAGGTTTTTTTTAGTTAGCCCATAAGGAGCTAGCCGTGTTCCAGCGTAACGGAACGCAAGATGAGGACTTAACAGTCTTCCAACTGAGTGCACAGCAAATCGACGTTGTTTTCCTAGTCATTTGTGACACGTTTTGCACCAGAGAGCCCGTCATTCTTGCATGTGGCTGTTCAGCAACCCGGATTAGGCAAGGAGAAGCTTGGCAGGGCCACTACTCGTGAGCAACTGCTCGAGCGGGATCGCTGTTGGGCTGGATAAGTAAGCGGTTCCCTCATCTCCAAGATCAATGAGGGGATTCTGCCTTTATGACAACCCACGTGGGGCCGGGGAGGAGGGAGAGTGAACTGCCAAGCTAGGCTTCTCCAATTATCAGACGGTTTTCCAGGCAACGGGTGGCCCTTCTGCACCCCCCCCCCTCTCCCTTTCAAGCGAGGAAAAGAAAGCCACCATCAGGTTCTTAATCAAGGAAGGTACGTGTCTGAATAATGGATGATCGTTTTGTTGCAATGACCGCGCCAATCTGCGCGCCGTTGAGCTACTCACACTAGCAACTAACTCCTCAAAGCGACAAAGGCCGCACAAACAACGAGGAGTTATTTTACGAATAGAAAGGTTGATGAACGCTTATTATGAGTAAACAAGGGCTCTCGAATTTGATCTGAGCGCCGTGAAGTCGTCAATGCCGTCAATGAATGCGTTTCAACGACGTCGCTGTGCGGGGAAGATAATAGGATCAAGTTTTTTTTGACAAACGTCCTCGCTATTATTATATATCAAACCCTTAGATCTCGCTCAAATTTCAAGCCCCTTCGGTGTTTTATTGAATTGACAACGCCCAAGTCGCATGGGATTCATTATAACATGCCGAGGTCGTAACACCAGCCCCCCAACTGGGACAACGTGTTTTGAGCTGATAGAAGGTATAAAGGAGAACAATAATTAAATAAAGAAGTTCAAGAAAACGGATCTGGTAAAACCCCTCAAAAACTTGTGAAACGTGACTTGCCAACGCTACCACGACAGTACGGATTACAGCAACGTCAACATGATCAGAGCAAGAATCAAAAACTAAAAAGATCCCTGAAATCATTGAGGATCATTCATAGAACGAGTCGTGAGGCCGTTCACAATGCACATCGAACAAGCGCGCCTAGACAGGGTTGCCAGGACTTGCCCAGTGTACTGCACGTTGGGAGGGTACTGTGGTTGCTGAGGAGGATACGCGCCACCAGGGGGTGCAAGGTGGTGCTGGACGGGCTTCTCAGAGAAATCTGCTTCGGTCACAGGCGTTGTCCAGATGTTGGGGTTGCCTCTGTTCATGGCGAGGATTGAGAAGACAAGAAGAGCGAGGAAGTACGCCAGAACTGTGAGACGGAATTAGAAGGAGTCATCAAGAGAAAGAAAAAAAAAGGGATCATGCTACGTACGGGCAAAGAAAGAGAGGAAACCAAACGCAGCAGCGGCCCTGGAGCAGCCACATGGAGTGCTAACTGCTGAATCAAGACCCAAACTGTCGCATCCGGACCATTGAGAAGCAGTGTAACCGCCGACGGCTAACATAGCACGTAAGCAGACGAAGTGAGGCGACAATATGAATGCGCGTACTAAGCCATAGAACCCAAAGAACAAATACGACAGAAAGCTCAACAACGACCATTGAAATGGCAGCTCCCTGGCGGGCAAGGCTGATGCCAAGACTAACGCACAGAACAATAACATGGCGTTAGTACGTCTCTTCTTTGATCGTCTGAGCCGGCAAAGACTTACAGAGGGCCAAGTGTAGCGAAAGTAATCACAGAAACAGCGACACCAAGCGAGTTCGAGGCAGGTACGCTGGATTTCAAGGTCTCGCCGAATACGGTGATGCTCTTGTTAAACTGGAGACGACATATGCATCCGTTCCTGATTGTGTGGTGTAAGGCGAACAATGGCAGGAGGGGTCATCAAACTTACCCAGAACAATGAGGGCGAAGAGGAGGACAGCGCCTAAATGCCATGAAAACCTAGTCAACACCTTTCGAACATGGGACTAGAGACGCCCGAGCGATAACAACGATGCACCCACCAAGACACCAAGACGAAGCAATGGAATGATGTTATTCATTCTGGTCGATAAGAAATGCGATGCTAGGGAGGATGGTCGGTTGAGGGGAGGCGAGAGGACAAATGGTACGAGTTGCAGGTTGTCAAAATCCTCCCTTTATATATCTGGACAATTGGCCATTCAAAACAGCCTTCTTATTCAATAGCACAGCCAAAAAGAACGGAATAGCTTTTGTCGCGTTCGGGGCTTTCAATTACAAGTCTTCTTCGCTGGTTGGCATCCCTATACGGCGAGGGCTAAAACTTTAGTCGATCAAAATACGGCCCTCAGTACGCAGGCAAGATAGGTTTTGGCCATGACAACTTGCGGCCACAGCCGGATGCAAAAATAAATTGAGCTGTCCGCTGAACACAGCCCAGTCAATGGAATCTGAATTCCAATTCATTTTGAGGACTTGCGAGGTCAACTCAGAGGAACCCATCCTGATGTTGTGAAAGTTCCTCAGTGGCACCTAGCGCCAGATCCGAGCTTGGATCTCCAGAAAAATCCAAGTATTTCTATTTGGAAAATTTCTATCCAAGACATGCCACAAATGACAGCGCAATTAATACTCCATTCATCTTCACCGGGAATATTGCTATATCCGGTTCCTGGGCAGTAGATAACCAGCCACGAAGCCGCACTTGTCCAACGGCCGCAATGGAACACTTCCGTCGTATGTTCTCTAGCAATACTCAGTGCATAACACGGGAAACACTTGACGTCCGTGACTGCCGTTGCCGAGAGAATCAATTTTTGCCAAGGCCGTGTCATTTGCCGGGTACAATAACACAGCACGGCACTTCCCCGGTAACAGCTATTTGCCAAAAATAAACCCAGGACACGCGCGCTTAAGGAGCGTAACGAGCCCTTCGATGCCAATTCTCGACAAGTTCGGTGGATTCATCTTAGGATGTGGGTCCTGACAAAGATCAGACAAGCGCCCGATAGGAGGAACGATCAACATGATCATATGAAATTACGACTGCTTTTCCCAAAAATTCGTACCAAACGACTACCCGCTTTCGACCGCTGGCCTCAGGTATCAAATAGACAAATAGACAAACAGATTCGGTTTCAACTACGGGTGAGGTGGGGTACGTTAGCACACTCGCAAAATATACAAAGTCGTCCTGTCCCATCGCCCGTAAGTTCGCGTCGGTAAATGCATGATCGTTTCTCCCCCATACACAGATCATAAGATCGGGCTCTGTCTGAGTTATGATGGCGAGATGCCTTATGTACCGAGGGCAAAGCAAAGAACGATGATATGTACATTGATAGGAGGATATTTCCATTCAAATCATTCACATGCATGCCATTGTGCGCGTGACTGGCGATACGTGCTTTCTCGGTCAAATCAATTTCGATCGTTGGAGCACAGCCTGGCCAGGGTTTCCTTGGGGCGCGTGCAAAGTAAAAGGACTCCCGATCCCACGAGATACAGACCGGAAATGCTATTCTGATATGGCTCGTTGGCAACTGCGGGTGCTACTCGTTGTTTTTGTAGCCACCCATCACCAGTCATCAAAAGCTACCAGCTTCTAGCAAAGCGTTCCACGAACGCATGGGCAAGGTACGTGTGGCCTGATTGGGAATTTGATTAATCTGCTGATCCTGACGCTATCATTTGTCTACAACGATGCCAGTGTGTCTGTCTGATGCAATGAGGCATCCTGCCCATGTCCCCACAGAGACACAGATTAGGAAGCAAGCTGGTCATGTATCAAGAGGCCCATCTTTGCCAAATCTTTGCTAAAGTCACTAGGCTAGCTGGTCACGCGCAAGTGGGTTAGGGGCCCTCACCTTTACTATCCTGTTTCAGTATCCTCAGCCGGCTCTCTGACGCGCGCCGCGCATTGCATAATGAGTGCTACACAAACGTCTGTTCAACCTTCCAAAGCGTCAATTGAGGGCCCGGTAGTTTCCTGATTATTTGTCTCACTGGCAATCCCCGCAATATCGGTGCGCACAAGCGGTGCAACAGCCCCCCGATATTGACCCTCGATAGAACCCATAGATTGTCCCAAGATCGGCTTCACAAAAGGTGCCAGAGTCGAACACATATCTGTATAGACCTAATCCAAATTTACCACGCCGGATGGTCTTGCGAAATTACGACCCCTTCGGTCGGCAGCTAGGAAACGCCTTTGCCCCACCATCAGCCAGTTTCAAATACGATTCTATCAGTCGATAATTGCAGTGGATTTGCAAATGAGCTAGGTTATTTCGTTGCAAGATGAACAAATGACCAAATCCAAGAAAAAAGTAAAGCGTTGGCGGTTATACAGGGTTTCCAGGTGCTACTGGCGCGCTGCACATTGGGAGGGTACCGTGACCGCTGGAAGGTAGTAATGCCACCAGGATCCCGTACTTGGGGTGCATAGGAAATTTTCGCCAACAGGGGGTTCTGGATCGACAGGTTGGCTCATGTCGTCCTCCTCGAAGATTGCACGACTACTTATTTGATTAACCACGCCGGCATGGAGGTCTATACATGGGCGGCGGATCTGTGTACGATTTTTTTTTTCGTTACGACTGGGAAAAGCCCCAGCTACCAGTTTCTTTGCAGAGCGCTATATACCACAACTAACTGCACGTCTTTTATAGGAGAAGCCAAACTAAGGTTTGTCAGCGTAGCGCATGACTCATCTATTCCTTTCCGGTTTTTCTTGGCACCGGAACAAAAATCTCTTGGCATGGCTTGAGGACTATATGCATCGCGCTTGGTGACTCGGAGTCTATCTACCCTTGGCGCACACCAACCGGTGGCTTTGTGCCGTACGCGCGTAGTCGTGGCGTCTTCCTGGGCTGTCGGCCATTATCAATATACATGACTGTTGAAGTCGCTGTCGACGTCATCTGTCACCGAGAAGGGATAGATGAATGAAAAAAGCGCATTCACAGTCTTCGCATCATTCACCTCTGTCAGGCTAGAAAAGACATCACCACCAGTGACTCTCCCAGGAAAACAGCCTGCATAACAAAACTTGCGCAGAATTAGTCCATATTTTCCCGCAAGGAAATCCATAAATTAAGAATTGCCAGAGTCCCATGCCCATATGCCCCAGAAAAGTAGCCTCCAACAGCTCTCCTAGCCACTTCGCCCCATCATTCACTCCGCTCCCACGGATGTCTCCCGGAGCTTCAACATTACTCAAAAACTCTGCAAAACCGTCCGTCTTAATGAAAAGGACCCCACTTATCGAAGAAAAAAAAAAGCACCCTCTCAAATTCACGACCTCTGCAGCCATGCTAGGGACTTCCCTTCCCCCTATCCGATTCCAAAAGTGCCATTCTCGATCAGTAGTTCGATAACGCTACACTCAAGCTAGATTGACAGATGTCACGGATTCGAAACAGTAGCTCCATATTCGATGAAGGGAGAGAGCGTAGACATACTGAAACATACAAAAGGCAAACCTTGTCTTCGTAATTGTCTGAATCAATTAGAACTAGACTGCAGATGATGGCACGAAGGCAATGACAAGGGGAAAACAGAGGGCGGCAAGAAATGATTCGCTGATCAACAAATGCTGAATGCATGATCGAGCACGAATGCGAGCGGTTGGGGTTAACTTGTCGATGATCGACTCTCCCAAGGTACATGGCAAAAGTCGTATTATGACGTGCTTCCTCGCTATTCGCAAAGAATGAAATGAAGACGTTATCACACCTTGATAGTTAGTGTACATGAATGTCCAATTCTTTACAACGTCGAGCGTGCTGTATACGCGGGCAAACCAACTCCTTGCCGCCATGACAGCGGAAGGATAATATCGCAGACTGTTGAAATGAGGGTGCACTGCCCTTGCAGTTGTCCAGCACGAACAGAACCTTGAGCAGTAGTGGTGACTGGTAGCCGCGCGGCTGGCACCAGCAGACTGACCTCATCTGGTTTAAATTTGAGAACGATATCTCTGGTGGTTCCACGGGTTCAAATACTTCGTACATGCATTTCGCATAAACTGAAAACGTATCATTCCACCACAAATTCGAGTTCGGGACGGCTCTCGAACCATTCCCTCAAATCGTCTGGAGTGCCAGATCCTGAGTGACAAACCGACCCCGTTTCACGACAAGTTTCGATATTGGACTACTGAACCTCCCCTCCACAATCGCTCTGATCAAATCCCAGGGGAGCACGACAGGGGCAGTCCACGATCTCGGTGGGGTGTCAGGTCTATGTGTGGAAGAGGCAAAAGAAAGAGGGGTATATTCTGCTTCTTCATCCTCGTTGAGCGGTATGATTCCCTCAGAATCCTGTTCAAGATCCTCAGAATGCGAGTCAAAGTCGCTGTCTTCCCAATCCGTTCGATAGAGATCCGTTTCGGATGTCATTGAGGGGTGGTAGCTGCTCCCATCATCATCAGACTCCTCCGACAATCTCCCAGGCCAAGTAAGGCCCATCAGTTCGGCAGATTCGATCACGAAGACTTCGAAAATTTTAAGCTTTGGACAGAGCCACGTTGAGTCCTCGAGAGGTTCCGCCAAGTATGTAAGAAACCGTGCCTCCAACGCCCTCGTTCTCTCATGGGACGGATCAACGTGAATGCGTAACTGGAGGAGTGAATCAAAACCAACCAAATGTGGAAACGGTTCTATCACTTTTCCCAAAATAAGGACTTCAGCGCTTTTCCACCCATCGAGACTCAGATAGTCAAACGAATACAGCGCAGGGAAGAGCTCAAGAGTCCGTACATTTGGGGCGCTTGACCATTCCAAAATTGGATCATCCAAACACATGGAAGCATGAGCGAGTCGTGGGAATTGAATGCCCGACGGTGCGTGTGACTGAAGGCTCTCGAACTCCACACAATCCAGCAGGGTTAGTGTCTCTATTGTGTCAGCATGATCGGCCATGAATTTAATCACACCAGCGCTCATGCGACGAAGAGCATCTTTGCCATCATTGTCATTATTGCGAGATTGCCAACTGTCGTCGTCCTCCTGCCTTCGTCGCAGGCGTACATCGAGGGAGAATAGAATAAATGTCGTCAAGGATGGGGCGGATAGGCGGCAAATATGCTGTGAGAATTGTGCGAGGGTCAATGTCTCCAAACTAGGGAAGTCAAGTTTGTGCTAAAAAAACGTCCAGACAGTCAACAGAGTGAGGAAAAGGGGGACTTCAATACACACCGTTATGTCGGATGCATACTTGGGCCCTTCGAAAGTTTTTCCACTCAAATGCACATCTCGGAGATGGGGAGCGGATCCAACAAAACCAAAAATTTCATCGCCGCGAGCAGATCGGGAAACAAAGTCCTGCAGCTGTGGGAGGTAAAGCAGCCTGCAAAGATTTTTCGAAGGCAAGGAGAGAATAGGCGACTCTCTCCAATCAGTACCGGGGCCCCATCTGGTGATATGCAAGGATCGTAACGCGTTTGCACTCCTTTCCACAAAGTCAAAGAGAGAGAACGATGGAACTTCATCCACAACCTTGATGTTCAATTCTTCAAGGTTGGGACAATGCATAACGTGAAAGCTATAACTAAACTGTCCGTAGACCAAAAGCACGGCTTTGCTAAGAACGGGCAAAATAACTGGGCTATACACTTTCGAATCCACAGCCTGAAGCCCCGCCCTTGTCACCCTGCAGGGATAGTTTGGGTTGATTGGCATGTACTCCAAAGTTTTGAGTGTCGAAGAGTGCAAAGACAAAAATTTTTGCAAAGCAGCCACCTCTTGCACATCCTCGGGGTCAAGTTCGTGTAATTCAAAAGGTTTGAGATGGAGACACTGAAGTGCCGGCATGGACAATGTTGTCAACAGAGTGTAGGACATTGCTGTGAAGCAGAAAAACTTCAATTTGGGGAAATGCAGAACCTCCATGCCTTTGTGAGTATGGGGTTCGGGCAATGTACCGGGTAGTGTAAGGCGCAGTTCTTGCAGAGTCGACTGAAGCGATAAGATTTGGTGCAAAGATTTGTACCCAGCACCGAGGGAGTCAACACCCAGAGTGAGACGCTCCAGAAGAAATCCCTTCCTCCAGAATTCTAGTTGTTCCAACGATACATGATGCATCTCAATACTACGCAGTGAATTGCAAGTGGGTCCTCCAAACGTCTGGGGAATCCGCACAGTGAAACCCAAGTCGATATGCAAAGAGGACAAATTCGGGAGTGAGAGTTTGAAAATGGAAAAGAAAAGACGCATATTGCATTCATGGCCTATGGTGAAATCCGGCCGGAAGAAGTACCAGTCGTCGACCGAATGCCGTGTAATCTTCAATTCCCGAAGGCGATATGCATTGGGTTGCATAAAAACGGAGAGGTGACCCCCGGGAGCTCCGCCGATCAATGAAGTCTTCTGCGATAGTTCAACGATGAGGTCAATGACTCTAGGGCTCATTGCTGCAGCCAAGGAACAAAGGCACTCCAAATCACGCGGTTCCCGGTGCACGAAGATCCCATCCCACATATCCGTCGAGAGAGCAATTCCACGCAGTCGCCCATCAATATGAGAGAGCTGAAGAGGGTTCGTGCCATGGGCTTGGACACTGAGAACAAAAATGTCTGAGATAAGTTCTACAGGTAAGGCGTGAATCTGCACGGCTTGCGCAATGAGCTTTGGTTCGGATGCTTCAGTCAGGGAAAATTATCTCACTGATGCCATCGATGCTTTGCACTTGTAGTAGTAGTCAATCCTTCAGTGGGTCAAAGTCTGAAGGGTCGCCGGGAGATGCCGAAATCGATCGTCGAGTTGTTTTCTGCAATACATAGACTCAGAGGTTAGGGTTAGAAAAGAATTGTGGGCTGGCAGCATCGCCCTGCCAACTTTTAATGATGGAGCAGGAACTAGTGACTCTATCAAAATTGCAGGGGGGTCTTCCGCAGGGTTGAACTCGGGTTGAACGGGATTATGTGCTTAGCCTTTACCCAGCTCCCCCATTCAAATCGGCTCTCGGAGACGAGGGTGTGGATCCAAGTCGCCATGAGCTAGTAGGAAACAAATTAAAATCCTCTGGGGAGTGAGGGGCTCAAAAAACTTGCCCGACGCATGCCAGATTTTGTCAGTGTGCGATGGTGTTTCCCCGTAATGCCAAAGAGACTTCGTCCACCAAGCTAACATTGACGACGTCTAACTCAAGATTAATGCACAACGCGAAAATTACAACTAAACCACTTAAATCAAAAGTGGGATATTGCTAAGTACCCAGAGTGCTACGGAGTTAAACACACCTACTCCGAAACTTGCCCGCGACACTTCGCTCCTCAGACTCTCGTGAGTTCGCAGCCGTCACATGCCCGGAGTAGGCAGGGTGACCAGCCTATGCCCCGGAGCACGTCGTATCACATCGTGGATATCGTTAACCAGGACTCAGCGATCCAGAATTTATTGTTGAAGCCGATATGGCTGAGTAAAGGAAGAATATCATAACAGTGATGGCTCCACAAGAACTAGTGTACACACTAACATAAGAATTTAATGATATGAATGCAGGTATTACGTTAATGTAGTGAGTTCGACAGCAGTCAAAAAATGGTATCGCCGCTGGGGGGATCATGCAGGTGTTAAGACAACATGTACGAAGTACTAAGGTCGGTGGCTTGCTAAACGACAAAATCAAACAAACAAATGAAACATCGGGGGCACTGACGGATAAATGGAATATCAACAGATATTCACTTGCCATTCTTTCGCTGCTCAGCACGAAGTTGATTTCGCAATTGAGCATTATCTGTCTGCAGAGTGTTGAGCTCATCTAAAAGTTGTCTACGAGAGTGTGAATCAGCGTAAGTCATCCAGCCGTCACTTTGTTACTCACACTCTCTGGGCGGATTCTGCAGTCTGTATCCTGTTCAGCTCATCCTTCGCCTCTTTTAACTCAGCTGTCAGAGCTGCAACCTTGGCCTCGAATTGGGACTTAGAAGGATCAGAAGATTCCTTTGCCTCAGCGGCTTCGGCAGCAAGAGTTAATGCCTTAGCACTAAGCTTGTTGTTCGCCTCCTGAAGTTCCTCGAGAGCTTGGGCCTGCTGGGCAGCCGCAGTTTCAAGTTCTGACTTCTGTTGGATAGAAAGCTCGAGGGCTTCTTGCAACTGTGCAACATCATCCAACCTGGGAAGAAGATCGTTCAGTACCCCAGCTCTTGTATTAGGTTGGAATTTACCAACATCTGAGCGTGTCGTACTACCAGTGAGGCGTTCCGTTCCTCGAGAGTCTTCACCTGTTTCTGGTACGTTTCAAGTGCGTGGGTGCTGTCTTGAGCAAGTTTTGTTGCCCGCTCTGCGTTGCTCTTCAATAACTCATGTCCTTGGGCGAACCGCACTAGTCTTTGCACAAGCGCTTTGTCGTCGGCGATCAGCGCGCGCACATGTTTAACAAATGCATCAAGTGAAAAGTTCACGGCAGCTTCGGAAGGGGTTGCGTCATACAGGGACTTGAGAGCATGAACGTCGAGATCGGATATGGATGCTTTGTGCGACTTGGATCCATTGATGCTACTCTTAGCTTTGACGCCAACTTTTGCCCTAGCTTCCAAAGACGGCAGTTCCACCCACAGTTCTCGGAGAGGAACAAGTACTTGGGAATGTTCTGCGGAAAAGTTTGCGGATGCGCCAGGAGACGACGCGGTCCGGGATGCAATGGTCCGGTCCTAGACGAAAAAGCGGAGAATGGATCATTCCACACGCGTCAACATTGCACGTCGGGCGCAAACCTTTTCTGCACTATCCTGTACCTCGGTCGCTATACTGCGGCTGCGGCTAGTCTCCCGCTTCTCGAGGGTTTCTAATCTGGTATTGAGGCCTCCGACATGGGCAGCGATAGCTGCAGCAAGAGCAGGGAGCGAAGTTGCGCCTAGTGGGAGCACGATACCTAAGGATCTCAAAACATCGCTGAAAGAAGCCTGGCCGGCACGAAGCTCCTCTTCGACTCCAGCTTTGACCTGTTGCACGGTTGTCAATTCGGATCGAAGTTTCTCAACTTCGGCTTCCAGATATCGCCGAGTTTCGCTGGACTGACCAACGGTGACGTCGTGAACACGTTGCATGTCATCCAAGCGTGCATCCTTTTCATCATGTTGACGTTCCAGATTCGAGAGCTTTTCCTGGAGCGCCTGGAGCTCCCCTTCTAGCGCAGCCAATCTCTGCAACTCACGTTGCAACGACAAAATGGCATCTTCCTTCTCTTGCAATTCCAGGTCAGCCTTAGTCTCCATCTCGTTTTTCTCCAAATCCTTGATGGACAACTCGCGCCGATACTCTGCCACTTCTCGCTTGGCTGCATTAGCAGCTTCATTGGCGGCAGCTAATTGTCCTTGTAAATTAGCGTGCTCGGATGGTGGAGGCGGCTTGGGGGAAGGGACGATGGCATCCGAATGACCCGCGTATAGGTGAGGTCCCTCAAATTTGGAATGAGATGAAGCAGAAGTGCTTGTAGGCGCTGTAGACGCTGGGCTTAGCTCTCCACTTTGGTTAGCACCATTTGTTGAAGTGCTGTTATCGGAGCCGTCCGCATCCCCCGGCGTTGTATGGTATTGTGGTTTGTCCATATTACGGACGGTGAAGCTAAGGACAGCTGCCCGATGTTCAACTAGTTTCCGATGGGCCTCAGATGTTTTTTGGAGTATTTGATCAAGTTCTTTTTGCGCAACTTCGACTTTCCCTTTGGATGATTCAGCTTGCTCTGGCGTTGACTTGGTAGACTGCCGTCTACTTGGCGGGAGCTTAGAAAGGGAGGTGGTTGCGTCTCGGATTTTTGTGTCAAGCGCTATCTTCCTAGATACCAGGGCGGCGCGTTTCTGAAGCCGGGCATATTCCTATGCGGTCATCAGATGACTGTTTGGTTCCTCGAGAAAATACGCACTTGTTTTAACTCCTCGACCTCCTCTGCACTAAGTATCTCAAACTCGCGACTGTCCAGAACCGCTTGACTGGTTAAGAGCATCATCAGAAGTTCATCCTTAGTGTTAATCGGCGGTGCACCATTCTTCCATAATGCCCTCCCAGGCTTAATTGCCAATGGGGACGTCAGTGAAATGCCTTCACCCTTCGGAGACCATCTGGAGGGTGACCTGCTGCTCACTGCATTTATTCGTCCCGGCTTCGATGGAACGCGTTGCGCCTCCGTTGATCGCTGAGTGCCCCTAGAAGGCAATGGCTTTCCGGGAACGGGTGTGATAGGGGATTCGGGGGAGCTTTGCGTGATGGATTTTGGTGATTGGTTCAACGTGCGTGCAGGCAGTCGGCTTGGTGTCATGAAGTTCGTTACTGAATCTCGAGCACTGATGGTACTCGAAGAGGAGCCCTTTTGAGAACCATTAGATGGAGAGGGGGCGTCAGAAATACGAGAAGAAGTCGCAGGGATCTGTGGTGTCCAGGATGTGCCTTTTTCGATAACAATGGGGGGTTCGTCAAAAGGTATTCCCGTAGTGGGGGAAGACGACTGGGTCGAGCCCTGGACTGTATTGGTCAAGAATCGTCTTACGCCGTTCATGGCAGGGCTCTCATCAGTGAGAGATTCAGCTGTGTAAGTCGAGGATATGTCCAACGTAAGTTTGCAGAGAAAGTCAGACTCAGGAAGGGGTTTCCACAATTATGCAATGTTGAAAAAAAAAAAGAGTAGACTTGGGGTCAGGAAGCCACAAGGGAGAGCGTTGAACAGTGGAAAGCAGCGATAAGAGGTCGATGGAGGCTTTTAGGTGCCCAATTTGGGTGGTAAAAATTACGGGAGTTTGCCGAGTTTGCAGCACCCTTCTGTGGGACATTGCATTGACGTTGTCTGGCAACCCCTCTTGAGGGGCTTTACGGCCATGAGGTTCATCGAACACGTTTAACTCATTGTTAAAGACAATTTGACGCATTCTCTATGGTAGTTTCTCTTTTAACTGGCCACGGTTCTCGGAGAAATTCCATGCCGACACCAAGCAGGTGTTGGATGCAGCATTGAACAAGGGGCCTAAGCCTCCCATCATTGAGGATCGCATTGAAGTAGTGGAGTTAGAGATGGGGACGCAGGTAAGACGTGTTACATATTCAACGTCCAACCACGTCATTCACTTGCACCAGCCACCTGAACTACAAATACATGGAATAGGTGATCTAGCCGTGGATCAGTTTCGCGGCATCTTCAAACTTAGCTACGCTGGTGACGCTTACATTGTGCTGAGGACTAAAGTGCAGGTCGGTCTGCTGTATTGTCCTGTGGTCTTAACCGGAACTTATTCCCTGCAGGCGAATCCACTCCACCACAAGAAACCGGGCATGGACCTTTTGGGCGGATCTCGTGGTATTCTGGCGGCGCAAAAATCCCTTGTGGTTCCCATGGAACTACGGCTGTCCAATTTTCGACTCAACGCATATGTCGTCCTGGTCGTTTCTAAGCTGAAAGGGATCACTCTAGTCTTTAAAACGGATCCATTGCAGAATGTCGATGTCAACAGCACCTTTGACCCCATAGTAGTCATTCAAAAGTATATTCAGAAGGAGATCGAGGATCAGCTACGGGAGATGTTTCGTGAGGATCTCCCGGGGATAATTCACAGATTAAGTCAACGTTGGATCCCTGGAAATACCAAAGTCGAAACCCCCTACCTCAAGAGAAAAGACCTAATCTCATCATCGGAGAAGATGGGGCTCTCGAAACGATGTCAGCTCCTGTGACTTTTGGACGGCTTCGTGTCCCCCCACATCCATCACTGCGTCTCCGACCACCAGTTTCCCTAAGTACAGCGACTTTCTCCCGTCGCCTCTCGATTGACCAAGCCTTTCCTTCTCGAGCGCATTCAGCTTTTGCAGTTGCTCCATCACGTCAAAGATTGGTGTCGCCCGCGACATCCGATACTTCCTTTGCATCTTCTCCAAGGACTCCTAAAGATAGTTCAGACGTGTCTGTTCCTGGGATTGAGGATTATGACCCAACATATGGCCTAAGACCTGACACTGGATTTGGAACGGGCACCCGTGGTTTATTGGGTCGCTTATGGGTCCCGAGCAGAGGATTAGGGGATTTAACCGAGGAAGCCGCTGAGGAGGATGATATGCTGGATATTGATCGGACTGAAGTCTCAGTTGATCGAGGCGAGACCCAGTATGATGAAGTGGAATCGGCACAACATTCTCGGGGAGACCACGAGTATTATCCCGCCGTTGGTGGTGGTAGGGTTGCACGGCCGAGGATATACCATTCCCGTGCGACGCCTGGAAAATTGTCGCCTTTTACCCCTTCATTTTCTCACGTTCCTTCGAGTCGCTCAACGGGTGACTGCACGAACGTTCACATCCCGCTCCATTCATGGGTCAATTCTTTCCGTGGCTCGGCGGAGTCAGGTGCTTCCATGTATTCCCAGAAAAGCATACATCGAGGCCACTCTTCCATTGCTAGTCCGTCCAGTCGCGAGAGGCGCGTAGAGAATGATTCCCTGATGCCTCGGCTCATGAACCCCTTATTCTCTGGACACCAGCACAGTTTAGAGAGGTACAAAAATGATCCGTCCAGTAGTCGTCTAGAACCGACCTGGTTTAGCCACAGCACTCCCCATCACTCCCCAGAATCCTCATTCCTTTCGAGGTCGAGTAGTGGAGCCATCACAAGAACGCTCTCCACGCCTGCTTCTTCCGAACCTCCCCTTACAGAAGCCGAGGATGGTGAACTCTCTGGCATGCGACGACATAAAAATTCTATTGCACAACCTTTCAGTATATCACTTGATTCCTCATTTGACATCAATCATGGCATTGAATCGCCCTCTAATGATGATGCCCTCCTGCCTGGTGCCCATAATGCTGCCCAACTGTCTGTTCTCAGCCAGTCCAACCATACTCTTTCACCGTTTACCCGTTCTGTTGAACATTTCACCGTGCGGAGCGTTCCCCATCATAGACAGCCCTTGGCAAAGTTATCAAAAACCAAAGGGTCTAATACACCTCCTGAGCGACAGCCTACAAAGGCGAAAAGAAAGCGGACATTCCATCTTGGGAGCTCGAGACTCAGTGTAGTCACTCCGTCATCCCCCCGTTCCCCATCACCTGTTTCCTTTTCCCCGAGTGCCCCTTCGGAGATTTCCGAAGTCGACCATTATTTCTCGACTGCAAACTCCCCACATCCTCGACTGCGCAGTTCATTACGTTCATGATCATTTTCAGTTGTCTTAAACCCCAACTCTTCTGCTCGCTCGTTATATTGTGGATTGTTATATTGTACAATCTTCGTTATCTTTATGATTATCGATCTGGATCAATTTAGACACTGATATCAGATATGTCGCGAGGTATCAGGTATGTGTGGCGCAAATAAACACTACTCAGGTAATGGTGATGCCAGCCCGTTTGCAGTGAAGTCCTTTCATTAAAGATGTATAGTAAGCAATGCGAAAAGAGCCCCTGCTTGGGTGGACTTACGTCGACGTGGGTGGATGGTGGTCTGGATGCGCTGGAGGCTTGACGTATCTGACGGAAATCATTGTTCGAGTAACGTTTGGGCAATGTCCCCATGCTTATTATTGGTGATCGTAGAATCGGAGGAGAAACAAGGTTCGCCATTATCCCAGGGTTGTCAATGCTGGATTGGTCCTTGTCATGGTTCGGCAGGGGCGTCGATGGTAAAGTAGGGGAACTGGGGTCAAGAGCATATCTGAGCTCAGTAATGGAGGTACTGAGACTAGCTTGTGTGGCAATTGGCGGCAGCAAGATTGGGGATGCATTAAGGGGCAAATAGTTGGCGGTGATGGTGTCCAGTGCAGACAATTTCTCGATCGGTAACACATCTGCCATCCAAGACACTAAAGTATGAAAGTATTTGTTAGATCCTTCATGGAAGGTACCCGAGGCTCCATGATTATTAATCCCCCATTGAATCAACGCAACGATGTCCTCTGCAACTACAGAAGGCTCCTCCAATTCATGCAGCCCATCCTCCGAGATTAAGAGACTGACAAGCTGGCCAAGTTCGGTGAGGATCGACGCAGCTACCTTCCCATCACTGGCTACGTTCGGCGAGCCAACCGCGGCCCGACTGTGGTGGATATTCGCCATGCCTGAAGCGACGGGACTGGTACTGCGGCACCCACGGAGAATTGTCAAAGCTACAGTGGCAGGCAAATCCGGGCCAGGTAAGTTCATGGTTTCGCAAAGTCTCAAGCAGACCAACTGAGCGCTCGTTAATTGAATCCCAGCTTCATACAAGTCCATCAGTGCAGATGACAAAACCGGTGCCAATCCTTCATCGATGAGGACTCCGCCATAACTGTCAGGCTGCTGCTGCAGTGACTGTAGGCACGCTAGACCCGAGTCCAGATGCGAAATAAGCAAATCCCCGCGAACGTCTCCTTGGGTTGCATATGAAAGCGTGCGAGCCGCTGTCTGGATCGATAGCAGCTGCTGCTCAACAATCCAGGCACTAAGATCAGATAGCGAAGATGAGCGGAATACATGGATTGCCGATGCTCGTAGATGTGATGGAGCCCGGGCGAGAAGTTCCCAAACGACAGGTGCAGCCATTGTGAGACCGTAATCGAGGCTGGTCATCGGGACCCGTCCATTTTTGGCTTCGTCCAACACTCGAAGTAAGAATGCCAATGTGACTTCGATTGCACTTATCAAGATCAACGCGTTTTCCAATGAATATTCCAGTACGTCCATAATCAGATTTGGAGGTGATTCATCTCCTTCAGCTGCCTGGAGCGAAGCACAGACAATAGTAAGGCATGCCTCTTCCATGTGAGCGAATCGTATGGAAGGTGACTGGGGTATCGGGTTACGGGAAAGGCACATTGTCCTGACTAACAACCCTGCAATCTCCTTACTGTCAGCGGGAGTGGGTGATGCCTTGAACATGATCACACCCAAGGCTTGGAGACTCACGAGAGTCAAACTGACAAGGGTTTCTGGCTCGATAGACTGTGTCGCCGGGTGTGTGTTCCGGAATGGTGAGGTTCGTGCCGCTATCAGGCTGATTGCCATTTGACCACTCTGTGTCAGGATGTGCGCAAGGCTGCTTGGCACCGAACTAAACAAAGTGGCGGAAAATGATGGGGATGCTAACCACTGGGCAATGACGAATATTGATTGTCTCAATGTGGCAATCCCAACATCATCTTTAATCATTCCACCACTAATCTCTAAACGTCTCAACTCGTTAGCTATCGATTCTACAGCGTCGAGAGCCTCGTCGCGCGATATCGCCGTTGGCAGTGAGGCACGAGGGAGAGATATGATCTTTCCCAACAACTCACAGAGGTCCTCAGGTGTGTTATTATTATAGCAGCATGCACGAATGTGATGATCCACATGTTCATATGAGCGTCCGAGTTCAAGGACCTGTCCGAGACTCGGCTTAGACGATGGGGAAGCGATATGTTAAAGTTCTCACCTCTTGGTAAGCACTCCTGTGCCAAAGCACACCCAATCGCGCAAGGACAGAGACCAAATCATAATCCAACTTCATGCACGCCCATCCCAACGCCATCATGGTTGACGTAACACCAATCCAGGCACGCAACCAAGCATGGAGCGAAACAATACTGTGGGAGCGTTCGATGTCTTTGAACGGCAGGATTGGGTGGGATGTATTTCCCGGAGGGTTGTCAATATGGCTGAATAGAAAAGCAGGAATCGCCTCCGCATCATGAATCATATCTTTGATCCAGGCAATGAGGGACTTGCGGTCGGTGTCGCTTGAGTCAAGGGGCCTCTCCGGGGAGTTCAACGATGTCTCGTAGAGTGCCCAACCGTCAGATCGCATTCGGATGCGTGCTGCTATTTCATGCACCTGAGGTGATAAGGCCGGATTGGCGTCAATTTGATTCAAATAGAAAGCGTTCTCCTCCCGCATACTCTGTGCCACGTGGGGATTTGCCACGGCATCCAAAAGCAACTGCAAGGGCAATGGTTGGGGAACAGGAGAAGAAAGAAAGTTATGCAGAAGGCTGGATTGCTGGATAGGTTTGAGGCTCATTGTGAGGCTATGAACGTAGAGACGCACAAGAAAATGAAGGAGAACATAATCTGGTTGTCTGGAAAGATTGCGCAATATTTGAAAATAGTAATTTCCAAGATCGATATCCAGAAACCCCTTTAAGCTCTCTGGAACAGGATGAGCAAACCGCTCATATACAAGGCTGTAGACTCACCGAAACTTGCACCAATTCGAGCCAAAAACTTATCCACCTCTGCTGGCACATGGGCGAGGGTAGGTGAGCCTGACACATCAACAGCCATATCAAGCCACTTAATGTCTGATACTTCAGAGGTGACGCAGTCTGCTAATTTGCTTGGTCCTCCATTGTGGAGGCCATTCCCGTTGGCTTGTAAGTGCAGCTCGGTGGCAGCCGACGTGAGCTGTCTCAATATAAGGTCAAGGGAGCATTTGTCATGATACTCTGCTATCAATCGTTCTACCAGACTGGAAGGTTTGTCTGCATCAGTAACCCGAGCATATAATGGCAGCTCTGGGATGCTAGAGTGAAGCAATACTGAAGGATGATATGTCGGAATAGTGGCCTGGAGATGTTTAGGAAGTTCGAGTGACTCGGTGGCATGGATGCCATAAATAACAACACTTAACCTGTCGAAGCCGCCTTCAAAAATGACTAACCGGGTGGTGATCTAAGAACGAGGTCAAGGCACAAGTGTTTCACGTCAGCAATTGTGAACGCACTCCTTCCTTATCCAAGGGCAATTCTATTAAGTTCCCATCGTAAACGACGTCAATTGGAATCAAAGTGTTGGATGGCCTCTGTTTGTCAGATGATTGTGACTGCTGCACATTGAAGTAAATGCGCAAGGAAAACGCGCTCGGCTGCGTCTGGCTGTTGCCAAGGGACAACAGTTAATATCAGGTTCCCCATAACTGCTGGCTTGGGGATAAAGTGTTATACCCACCCAACAATGGATGGAAGAGATGCAAATGGCGCGATCCCATCAGGGACAATGCGGATGGAGGTGGCGACAACAGGCTTTGGGAACCGCACTGCGGCCAACTTTTGTCCATTTATGCCAATGTTCTCTGACCAATATAACACCATCGCAAGCTCGGTGCTGCGGTCTATTTTAGCAACACTCGCACGCCTCCCGCTGATGCCAACGAAATAGTCACCGGCTATGGAGGTCTAGTCCGTAGATACAATGTCTGGACACGGACGAGTCCGAAGTAATAGATGTGATAGGAAATGTCACGTGCTCCTCAGCAATCGGACGACAGCATGTGCCTCATGGCGCGATTGTGCGTACCTCCAACAGATCTTGGGTTGGATGAAGGAGCTTTTGCTGCGGCAGCAGTTCGTGATCGAATTGGATTTCACTGGACACAATTTAACTGAGATTTGGCACGTGCTTCGGATTCTTTTTAAATTGATAAGGCTCTAAAACACACGGTTGACACTGCACCCGTGAATCGTTCTTGAAGGGGGACGGAAAAAAAAAACATGGCAACCACGTTGCAGAAGATAAAAGAGATCGAAGATGAGATGGCAAGTACCAATTTTGCCAATTCTCGAACTATTTTTGAACTGGTGATCTCAGGCGCGAAGTATGTGATGACTTGGAAAGCCGTAACAAATATTCACCTTTTTAACTTCAACAGCTCAAAAGAACAAAGTGAGTCTCAGTCTCGTATTATTATTATCGCACCAAGCTTGATGGGCAAATAGGCTACTAGGTAATCATCAAGCTTGTGGCACAGGAGATGAGTTGAGAGTACGCCCCTTTCAGCTACCATTTAGGTCTATTGAAAGGTATATCAAAATTGTCATGAGTCCTCATATCCTTCCTCACTGAGTCCTGACCTAGCTAAGCTTGCGAAAGCGAGGCGAGAGTTGTTGACTCCATCTGGAGGAAGCGGGGGTGGTGGAGGTATTGGGTTTGATGTTGCTCGGACAGGGATCGCCTCCGTGGGGTTCGTTGGATTTCCGTCCGTAGGGAAGGGAAGTGTGAATGTGAATCCTCTCATTCAATCGTTACCTGACTTCTTTGATTAGTCCACACTTATGACAAAATTGACTGGAACCCACTCAGAAGTGGCTGAGTACGCATTTACGACCCTTACAACGGTTCCAGGGACGCTCAAAGTCCATGGTGCACCGAGTAGGTGTCACTCAAACCTTCGATGGTTCGCGTTACTAACCGCGAGCAGTACAAGTGTTAGATCTTCGTACGTCATGTCTGGGACCTATCATCAGCTTCCCTTCATCGATCCCTTTAGCTGGCATTATCGAGGGCGCCAAAGATGGCCGTGGCCGTGGACGGCAAGTTATTGCCGGTGTGTTGCATCCTCGTAGCTGCACATGCCGCTCAAGCGATCAACGCTTTTCTTTCAGTGGCCAGGACGTGCAATTTGATTTTTATCGTTTTAGATGTCCAAAAACCACTAGGAGATAAAGCAGTGATCGAAGCCGAACTCGAAGGTTTCGGTATTCGGTTGAACAAAAAGCCACCTGCTATCACAGTCAAAAAGAAGGTACTTCCATCCTGTTGGCTGGATCCGGGCCCTTCACGTTTATTTACTAAACAGGACAAAGGCGGAATCAACATCACCAACACGGTGGCCCTGACAAAAATCGATACGGAAGAAGTAAAAGCAGTTCTCAGTGAATACAGGGTGCGCAAACATTCAAGTTCACTGATTTACATGGGTCACGCACACTATTCAGATTGCGAACGCAGATGTGGCGATCCGGCAGCCGGATGCCACCCCAGACGATTTGATAGATGTCGTGGAAGGCAATAGGTAGAACACACATCGTATGAACTTATTGCACGATCTGACAGAATCCATCAGGGTTTACATACCTGCGCTTTATGTGCGTGTTGTGCTTGCGTCAACAGTTCTCTCAATCTTACAGGGACCTTCCTTACTCCTAGGTGTTAAACAAGGTCCATAATTTTTCTTTTTTTTTGGGGACATTATCAATCTCAATCTGCAGATCGACGCGATATCAATTGAAGAGCTGGATATTTTATACAGAATTCCGGACTCTGTGCCTATATCGTCAAAAGAGTGGTGGAACATTGATGAACTTCTCGACATCATGTGGGAGATGCTCGATCTAGTGCGAGTGTTAGTGATGGTGGGGATATCTCTAAGTTCCACCTAACGCTCCATTTCAGGTACACAAAGCCTCGCGGCCAAACACCCGACTACACGGCGCCTGTTGTCTTGCGACGCGGTCGCTCTACCGTTGAGGATTTCTGCAATTCAATTCACAAGGAAATAGCCAAACAATTGAAGTAGTGCGTACCACTAACATACTGCTGCACCCCCACGTTCTGAAATGCCTTTGGATTGTGTTGCAGTGCTACAGTATGGGGTACCAGTGCCAAGCATTCGCGGGGACAGAAAGTTGGACTCGATCATGTGCTTGAAGATGAAGATATAGTGCAGTTGGTCAAGAAGTAGATTGCTGAATTCACAATTGAAGTGTTGCTTGAGATTTCTCATGCACAATGCTCCCTTGGCCGAAGTGGCCGACTGAATGATGCCCTGATCACTGGTTTGAGCGTAGTTCTCGTGAGACGCTGTCCCTGTTCGTTTGGGGTTCCCCTATCGCCACGAGTATTACTTTGGTGGACACGCCACCTATGTGTCCGCACGGACTTGACCGTGCATCCTGCCTTGTGACGCCATCTCAGTTTTTACACGGCCCGGCTGACAGACTTGCGCAACGGACATCCAGCTAGACATTGTTCTAGAACATCTTCAAAACATCCCAGGGTGGGAAAACATGCGCTCGGCTGGTAAACACCCACGATGGAGTTGCAATGTTCCCACAAAACACCTGCCTGTGACCCGGAAAGTTACCACCTACCGTATCTCCTATGCCGTACAAGATTACGTTCCTATCATTCTCTGCATTGAGCTTCTGGAAGCATTGAAGCTAATTGTCAACTCAAGGAACTCCCCGCCACACTAGGTGGCTTACTCACCACCCCTCCCCCCTCTTCCCGGCAATCCCATGACGGAGGTTCTATATCATATCCGTCTCCCCATTGAGATACATAGCCCGTTTACCGCAGCAGGACTGGTTTACTGATCCATTGGGTGTTGCCCCATCCATCCCCAACATACCGTGTGGCCGTCCTTCGGTTTAGTCCTCAGGGATTGAATTAATAGCCATTGTGTCTTATGCGTGACGCATCTAAACTGCTTATTACCCCACACCCCACTTCCCACTTCCCACGTCTAGTTCCTGATTGATGTCCAACTAGGAATCTAGCACCCTATACTGTCAAACACATTATCCTTCTATGGCGTAGGCTGGGCGTTGGCCCCGGCTACCGGAGTCGGCTTAACACGACCGCGCGAGGGGGCTCGGAAAGATGCGAGAACTTCCTTTGTGCACTTCATTCCATTCTTTTGAAGACAAAATGGGCTCCGAACATCTGCCTATGCCCGCCTGAGCTTCGCTATCCTGGATCGCACTCACCATCAGGGGCTTCTAGTGTTCCGATCCCCACATAGAGTTCCAACACGGCATGAAGTTCCGATCCGGGCAACCGGGCGCCCGCGAGGAATTGTCTGTCGGGTCCCATGACGGTACACCCAAATCGCCCTTGGAGCCCAATATGGTCGGCCGCACTAAAAACATGAGCTCAAGGAGTAAGAAAGAACCCCCGGTCATTTGTTCCAATCCACTCTACCAGGGCTCGAGTATATTTTGTGACGCTACAGTACATGCGAGAGAAGAGGAAGTGCACTGTTCACAATTGAGAAAGAACTGGCGCGTGAAATGTAGTACAGAAAAAAAAGGTAGAATGAAAAATGCTTTTGTATTTGCAATGGTGTTGAATGAGAATTGAGATGCTGACAGGAGTCCTCGCATTGCCGCCGTTGTAGAAGAGGGGAGCTCCGGGACCTAAGAAAGGGGAGAGCAGACAAAGAAAGAAGCACCACGGTCGAACGAGGCGTTGTAAGTGCAACAAAAATGAAAATGATAAACCGTACGCATGCAACAGATGAAAGGCATGATGAAAACGTCTTAGAAGCCACAAAAGAGAAACTTTCAGCTCGCGTCGAAAATCCCATGTTTCCCAGTGAGTCACGGTGCTATCCCACGTGCGCAAGACAAACACGGAAAGGGTGTACGAACGTGGACGGGAAGGTCAGAATGCATACGCCAACCCCCGCAGCTCATTCTAAGCGTCGTAGTAGGGCGTATGGTGTAAGGAGCACAAAGAAAGGAAGAAACAATGTGCATGAGACAATACGCGCGTAACTCAACGGGAAGCGGGACGAATACTGAAATGAAAGACGCGTGGTGGTGCGGAGTCGCCCATGCCTCGACGAACGCCCAGATGTTCATAGACAGGTGACGAGGCAAAGGTGTAGGAGACAAACGCAGGAGGGATAAAGAGGAAAGAGGATGGAGCTATAGGCGAGAGAATTGACGACCTGCAGTGTATTAACGCTGGATGAAAAAAGAACTTTCATTCTGTATTTCATGATCGGAAAGCGGAAAGAGGGCCTTGCAACTGGGCGAGCGAGTGGGTGAGAATTACCGTTATCATCAGGCCTTGTGATTAAGAGCCAGGCGTGACGCGGAATGAAAAAGGGGGTTCCTGATAACGGCATATTGCTGTGCGGTTGTTCGTTACTACAAATGGTGAGAGACGTAGTCACAAAGGGCAAAGTATGGCGAAGGGAGGGCTGAACGACTATGTGGGTGAGAGATAGAAGTTCACCGACGAGGTTTCGCCTAAACTGGATTGGAGGGGAATCACAGTCTCCCACTCGATTTGCTTCTGAGATTGGTTGCGCGACGTGATGGTGTGGGAATGACCTAGTCACGGAAGAGGAAGAGGGACTCCAATGGCGATGATGGCATTAAGAAATTTAGAGTGTGTTGAAAATCTGCCGCGCGCAGGCGAGCGAGCGTCAAAATTGGGGGCTTAGTTGCACAGCCCGAAAGAAACGTTTCTCGCAGTAACCATGAACCAATGAGACGACAAATAGCATTCCTTCCAATGTCGTTTGCCGCTCAAGATCCCCTCTTTTTGCTTCCATCTCCGGACGGGCGAAAGGAAATCATAGATGTCAAGAGTGGAGGGATCGACACGCCCCCAGCGACAAGAAGGGCCCCCCAAAGCTAAACTCCAATCTCGATCCTACAGCCAATCTCAAACCCAAGATCCAACCCTCTCCCGAACTCCGAGCCAAAGCCTTCGGCCATCCGCGTTCCACCCACAAAAGCCCCTAGCAACGCCTCGCCTCCTCAAATCCCAAACAGGCGATGAATTGCAAACTCAAGAGGCAAACTGCCGCGGAAATCCCCCGACCTTCCAGGCTCTCTTCACACCGGAATTGTCAATTTGCAGTAACAATCCATAAGAGGAAAAACCTCTCCCAACTCCAACGTCTGCTGAAAATGAGGAAAAAGAGGGACCGTAGTCAGGCGCGTGTTTGCTTTGAACGGCAGCGCAGAAGGGGTGCTGGGTATCCTGCCACAATAAACAGCGTGAACACAGGGAGAACCCCCCAACGGCAGTAAGTTTCAGAATGAGCGAAAGCAAGCACCGCACAGCTCTCCCGCCTTATCTCGAGCAGATTTGCATGCAGATGCAGATCGCCACCCGATGCAAAAGAAGAGAACGAACCGGCCAACCGGTGTTGAACTCTTCTTTACGTACTATTTCAGCGGGAGAACGCTCACCGGTGAACAAACATCTGATCATGGTGGAGTGAAGAGCAATAGCAGCGGGCGAGGACGAGTATGAAGTAAATCCTGGAAAATGAGGGATTTATACGACTTATACGCGTGGCGGCGTGATGTTTCTGGAATGGATTTTGGAAGGCAACGCACGATGCAAAACATCATGATATTCATGATATCACGTACATATGTTCTTCGCGTGTTGAACGGGTAACGCGAGAAGCGAGTTAGGGCCGTTTAAGTTATATGCTTCTTTTGTGTTTGTGTAGTTATCGTGAGGAGAAGGAAATGACGGGAATGTTATGGATAAACGTGTGTTACAAGTCTAGGTCGGAAGACGCGGGACACGGGACGCGCATGGCCGGAGCTGCACCCTCATATTAACATGAATTCAGGAATCGAGACCCCAGTGCACTCTGAGTGTCTATATTTGTGTGTGAGCGGGCGGAGCGGCTTAGATGTTCTACGGGCGGTTTGCTACGGGCGGTTTGAGAGCGAATCGGGGAAGCAGTTTAGAATGCGGGGGCCCTGGATGAGGCACTTGTGGGAAATTGTGATCCGAATCCTATAGCTGGTCTGAGGAAAGATGTAGCGGAGCTCGCAGTTGTAGCTTGCGTACTTTTGAGCGTAGCGAGGTAGAATGGATCGGATGTTGCGAAAGCGCTTTGATGAGAAGTAGGCGTTGATTGCAGGTGTGCAGATGTTAAACGAGTGAAGGATGGATTAGGGGTTGAAGGGATGTAATGATGCTGTTGCTGATGGTTGTAATAAGATTGAGGATGAGGCAGTTGTTGTTGATGCTGTTGTGCCTCGCATGTATCATACTCGCCATCCATCGCATCGCCGTTACCCAATTCTTCCTCCACCTCGTCCATTTCATCCCAATCTGACTGGCTAATACTTCCCATGTTCATGATGCTGCCGCTTCTGTTGCGTACACCGGCAGCGGGAGCTGCGCCCCGCGTCCGGCTGGTACTGCGGCTTCGGCCACCCAAACTCGGATGGAAAGGAGAGCTCTGAGCCGTGGAAAGCTGGTCCCGTGCATTCAGCGTGAGTGTCTGAGTTGGCGTAGAGACTGGAGTGGTATGGGTCACGGCGGTACCGGCGTTGGGAGAGCTGTAGTGGTGGGACGAAATATGAATGGCCACGCCCGAATGCTGAGGGGGTTGTTGAGAATGATACGGGTGATTATAGGGGGTTTGGAGGGGCGAGGGAGTGGATGCAGTCATTGCTGCTGGGTTGTATGCTGGCAACGAATGCCGCAACTGGGCCTGGCAGAATGTGAGAGTCAGTGCACCAGTTCTTCATTTCACGGCTTGAGAACGCCACTGTAGCCCTCATTTCGAAAGGCTCGCCCACGCACCTGTAGGTTGGCCAAGTCAATCTGTTCTTGTCCGATATGTTGGCAGGAGAAAGAGGCGACGAGATCGTCCACTTCGATTCTGCTCATGGTGTAAGACTTGGTAGCTCTTGGCAATGTAAGCGTCAAGGCGACTATTATTGTGTGTGAGTCTGCAAGGGCAAGTCAGAGAGGAGGAAGAGAGGAGAGCGGAAGGAAGGAGAGACATTGCGGGCCATGGGGATTATATTTGTACATTCGCGGCGAATTTTTGCGGAGTGTATTGTAAAGGGAAATCCCATTGAATTTTTATTTTGTGCAAGTCAGAATTGTTTTAACGAGTAAAAAACGTCCGTGGCAGATCGATCGCTCCTGTTTATCTCTCTAACGCCTTCACTCTTTTGGTTGCATCGCTCAAAAGGGAGGTTGCGGTCCGAATGGTCGAGCCAGCCTCACACTTCCGGACACCAAGCTGATAATCCCAAATCAGTAATGTCACCCTCATCTCACCGTCAGACCCTGTGCACGACCGCTCACACACACCACTTTCGTGCATGGGTCCCAGCGGTCACCGGCCTGTTCTCCGCACCGCTCCTCCATGTGGTTTCGCGTTCCAATTCTCCTGCCCTCCCGGATCCGAATACCCGCGAATAGAGGTTCACCGCCTTCCGCTTATAGCCGGCCCGAAGCGCCATTCGCTCAAGCGCCCCGTTCAATCCGCTTAAGCGCCAGTCTCCTTTGGAAATGTATTCTCTCCTTATCTATTGCAAATTGGCCTCAGACAAAAGCACTTTTAGGCGACAATCGCCACCGTAAACGCTGTTGGGACCTCAGGGGCACCAGATATATCATAACTCTTGTGTTGGAAATGGTGATTACTTATTTCCAGTGCACAATTTGAGGCCCTTTCTCAAGGAAACTATCTGCTGTGGCCAATCAAGCTGTCTGCCACGCAAAATGTTTCCAGTCATAGCTCTTCCATATCTATTTGCTCGAAAAAATGACTCTGTATACCGTATTGCTTCACCCGTACATTTCTTCTTCCACACAGCCTAGTTCCAGCACACCGATGCCTGCCCACGCACCCCTTTCTTCCCGACAACCCGATACTCACACCGAATCCTACCGAGTCCTGGTCTTTCCATACGGATATATCCCATCAAGCCACGACTTGATGTATGCGCACATCCCGCAATTGATGGATACCGGTACCGCCTTGCGATCACACTCGTTCATTGAACGCTGCCTCTCCACTGTATGACCCACAATCTCACGACTGGGAACCAGGATGCGACGTTTCTGCACTCCAGACGGGCAGCATTGTGGTTTTAGACAATACCACCCCCTTCCGAGTCGAGCCGTCGAAGCACTCATCCCGCACCCTGCACAATAATATATAGTACTAGCACTTCCTTATTCCCGAAGATCATGGGTTGCAGCAGCAGCAGCCGTTGTTGTGTTGGTCTTGTGCATCTTGCATAGACTTGTAGCTTGCTTCTGGTTTTAGCGTCAAATCGTGAAGGCCCGGTCAGCTTCTTTCCAGCTTCATAGTGCTGTGGCAACAATGCACCCGGAAAATCTCCGATACTCGGCACCCCGCTTTCACTGCCCTTCTGCTCGACGGTGCAGTATCAAATACCATCACTGGCGGCTCGGCCCAACATAAGGCGGCCTTACGTGCCCTTTAAGCATTCGTCCATCAGTATCAATGTCATGATATTGTAACAAGAACCAGGGCTTCGGACGTAGAAGATGAAAGTCGATGAAAAGCGGGGATATGGAATATCGATATACCTAATTCCCCGTCCGCACTCGTCTATATCTATATCTCGATGCTTGATCGCTAGGGTTCCACAGATCCAGCGAATGTGTGCAACGATCAGTGCATTCATTCCCTACCACGCATGAGCTGGTTACGAAGACCTAGAACCCTGCCATTGTCTATTGAATCAAAAGCGAACATACATGATCCTGTCGTAGTAGGATCAGGCTGCTTCAGTTTGTAGTATATTGCTGGCTTAGCGCGTAGCGGCATATTGGACGCGACTCACTTCCTGTAGGAAGCCCATGTAGTTTGACGTGTATATACCGTATCTAGGTCGGTCGGCTAGTCTGAGAAGCTCCAGTTATTCGTGGCAGGTGCTCTTTCCCTTACCCTTCCGGCCCACGCAAGCGTACATATGTTCTTTACTGATTAGAATTCAGCAGCATGGGAAGCGAAAAGGCACCTAGAACTGTTTTGTATATCGGCCCCTGATCTATAAGCTGAGATAACGGTTCGTACAGTTTTCCGGCCTATGGCTAACTTCGTCTGAGTGGTATGCCGCTGATATTGCCAGCCAAGTCAGGAAGCGGTGAGGAGTTGCTGTGATTGATCGAGCTGGACAAGGGTGTACTTGCTCGATCGCAGCCCATCAATGAGAAATTAGGGTCGTGCGGTATCATCAATTATGAATGGCCAGTTATATACCGGCGGGTCACCTGTGTGTGGGGATGTGCGTTGATCAGGGTGATCTGGGTCCTAGATGCTGGGTCTTGGTCTCTGGAAGTATGGAAGTAGAAGCACTGGCTAATATGTACGTATTGTGCATTTGTGCAGAATAGGCCGGGATGGTGTACATTTCGCTGGGAGCAAGTGTTTTGGGCGAAGGGTACGGATCGATCAGATTCGGACGGGAAGTGAACTAGATGTGTATGTATGCATGGAAGCCGGGGGGAAGGCACGTATCGGTCTGGATTCATGGAGATGTTCGATAGCTGAACGTTGACTTATGGAGCGAATCTTGTTGCGACGTTCGAGTTGCAGGTACATGAGCCACTTGTAGCGAAACCGGGTGATAGCTACTCCTAGATTTTGGGATCCTATCCAACGATAGGATGGAACATTCGACTTTGTGACCCAGCACCTACCTTGCGTGTGTACAGGGCAATGTTGCGGCCGTAACATCATTTTGATGATTGAACTAATTACTCGATAGCAACGGTGTGTTAGCCCCTTTATCCAATTCCCCTGTCGAAAGATTTAGCACTTGAACGCTCTATGACTCAGAAAGCAGTTTCAGCACTGCCACAGAACGCTTGCACATGCAGTTGAAAGTTGCTTCGGACCTGTTCGGACCGCAAAGGTGCAGCAGCCAATACTTCGCTGCTGAGTTGTGGCGAGCATTACTAGACTACATTGTGCCTGCAGTCGGATCGGTAGCGTAAAGGACGCATAAAAATTAACGTTCTACTTATGGCTAGCTCAGGATACCTTGCGAACTTGCGATTCTCTGGAGGACTTGTGTTTTTCTCAAACTGTCCAACTCTGGGTCAGACACGCCACTTTGAGACACGAGAAGGGACCCAGGTGGACCCTAGCCTGCGATTGATCTCTGTGTGCAGCACCCCATCATTCGTACTTCGCACCTGCATCGTGTGAGTGGTGTTGAAAAGCAAGGATCAATGCTGCTCTACCGTGTCAAACTCACATGGTTTTACTTTTCTCCTGATTGCTGGTACTGGTGCTACGCCCCTATATGTCAAATTGACGTCTGGGGGAATAAGTCGGTGTGTCGATGCCGCGTGGGTGGGACGGCGACTATTCGGGTCTGAGAGTTACTATCGGATGTTCTCATCGTTGGTTGGGTACGTTTGTATCATTACGCCGCCAGCTCTTTAGACTTTGTGGGGAAGTAATACGCTGATTCCCACATTTGCATTATGCGTGTTGCTACTCTCAACATTCGATACTCGCTTTTCCCAACTCAAATTAACTCTTAAATACTCCTGCAACAATTCTGTGATATTGGTTGGTGGTCACATCTCCAAACAGGTTGGCACCCCCTTCAGGGATCGGTCTTCCGCCGCACTTCACGTACCTTCGCCTTCACACGACGATTGTTTGGCGTGCTGCCTTTGTTGATAGCTGCATTCAAGACGCCACCAATAACGACACCACAACGGCTGCGAACATCACATGTATTATGCCCAACATTATGTGCATCGCCTTCCGGCTCATTGAGCACTTTATATCTCCAACGATCAGGGCTGAAATCGGTTCTACGTTCCGCTGTTACCTTGACGTCTCAGTGTAGATCGCATAACCATATTGCAATCACGCAACCACCACTTCCAATGATGATACCATCGAGAAGGATTTCCGCCGGATCATTTGTCCATCCGCCTGCGCTCCCCGAAACGCATGCGGGGAGGGATACGATTTTTGCGCTCGCTACGCCTCCTGGCCGCGGTGGGATCGGCGTGATACGCGTTTCGGGTCCGCATGCTTTGGATGCATGGAAGAGAGTTGTGAGAAGGGTAGGAAAAGGAAGGGGGGACGGAAAGGAATACGGAAATGAGTGTGTGAGAGCGGGAGAAATGGTTAGGTGCGAGGTTGTGCATCCCCGGACGGGTGAAGTGTTAGATGATGGGATGGCAGTTTTCTTTCATGGTGCGTTTTACAGGCGAAGCATTACTTGATCTCATTTTTTTTGATGCCCTCTCACTTCACACTCGTAACGAATCGTTGATCCGTTCAATCCCATATTTTTCGTTCTGCATTTTCAATCCAAGCCAGCCCCACATTCGTACACGTCCCTTCCGACGTTTGAACTTCACACCCACTCAGGCTCGGCTTTAATCACCTCAATTCTTCGTGCTCTTTCAACTCTACCAAGGCTTCGACCCGCTGAACCGGGAGAATTCACGTTATGGGCATTCAAGCATGGGAAGATGGATTTAACACAGGCTGAAGCTGTGAGAGACCTCATTGATGCTGAAACGGAGATTCAGAGGAAAGTTGCTAGATGGGGTGTTGAGGTGAGTTGGGTGGATTAGAAGCCGTTTGATTCGGAAGATGGTTGTTCAGAGCTCAGAGTGGGTTGTCCTGGGAATGACATCTGACTTCTAATTGTCCTATGATTAGGGCGCTGTGAAGAAGAGGTATGAGAAGTTAAGAAAGGATATTATTGGGTGTCTTGCTTTGGTTGAAGCGCTCATTGATTTCGGGGAAGGAGAGGATATCGAAGAGGGTGTCTATGACGTGGGTAAGAGTGGTTTCAACTAATCCTCCACTCATCGCCCATTCACATAATGACACTGATACTCGTCTCGATTGGGACAGCACGAGCTAAGGCCTTAGAGTTGCGCGATACAATAGCAAGGTATCTTTCCGACAATAGAGGCGGCGAAATTATACGAAGAGGCATACGCTTGGCTATTTTCGGACCGCCCAATGCTGGGAAGAGCAGCCTTCTTAACTTCCTCGGTGCGTCTAACTCATCCTTCGTTAGGCCCACCTGATTCCCAGTTCGTGATTCTCGCACGTCCCAATAATCACGCTTTTTCCCCTCTTCATTTAGCGCAGAGACAGGCGGCCATCGTCACTCCGTTGCCAGGCACAACGCGGGACGTCCTTGAGATCTCACTGGATATAGGTGGAATGCCCGTCATTGCATTCGATACGGCTGGATTGAGGAGTGGCGCAGAAACGGAAGATGTTATTGAGAGGATTGGAATTCAGCGAGCGAGTGAAGTGTGAGTTGTATGCATATCATTACATACTAATTTATACAGTTATTGATTCCGTTCTCGGGCTATATTTCCATTTCTTCGCGTGATGACTTGGGAATTTTTATTTTGGTTCCTAATCTCCCCTCTTCCCCGCGTCGGCCGGTCCGTCGGTTGATCGGTTGGTCGGCCTGTTGACCGATGATAAATTCATCGGATGCCTGCCTGTCCGTATCATTGGGCTTCGCAGGATTGAGAGCGCCGACGTGAAACTCTGTCTTCTCTCGTTGCCCGACTTACTATCCTTTTCTTCATCGGTGACGCTAGATTCTCAAGCAATGGTCGGAGACAGGTCACCGTCGACACGAATCCCTCCAGATGTCGCAGCGCATATCGACAATAACACATTGATTTTGATAAATAAACGAGATCTTGCTCCAAGCTTTCCACTTTCATTTTCATCCCCGACTACCCCTACTCAACCCTATCTCCCGAGTGGGCTGACTGCGAATATGAACATAAATCCCGGACGCGTGTGGACGGCGAGCGTGTTGAACAATGATGGAGTGGATGCTTTCTTAAGTGACATGGTAGAGGTTTTGAAGGAGCGGTAAGTGTTTGCATGCATTTCGTTCTTTTTTTTTTTTCGCTGGGGTGGGAAAGGCGAAATCGCCTGGCGTCATTCGCCAATGTCCTACTTCTTTATCTCATGCATTGAATTTCGGAGGAGGAACGCCAGTGCCCATTCCGCTCCAACCTAATCCATTTCGGGTAAAATTTATTTTGCCCAAAACCATATTTTATCATTCGGCCTTCCTCCGTTTTGGGGTTGGTTGACTTCGAATAGGTTGGATTGGATTTGGACTGGCCGACGCTGATGCGTGACAGAATTGTTTCCCATCGAATGCGATTCCGTCGGACCGATGATGATGGATATTAATTCGGTTTCTTAACAAGGTTTGGGTTCGCGAAGGGTGAAGATCCCGGGGTTACTCCTTTCTCTACCACCAGTACTGGTGGTGGTGAGAGCGATACGCTACTCATTACTCACGAACGACATCGTAAACATTTGGAGAATGCCCTTGCTCACTTGGAATCTTTTCTTGCATTTGGTGAGTTTCCGGTTTTGGTTCCCTTGTGATTTGTATACCCTTTCGAATACACCGTACTGCACACCATTTGAGTCGGCAGTACTTCGCAATCCATTATTATAATGACGGTTGGTTTGTTGATTGGGTGGCCTTGATAGTCCTCAATCCCTTATGTTTGGTTCTCTGCCCGTTCATTCATCTAACTAACCCGCTATTCTCTGCGCTCCCCCACTTTCTCTCACGTCTGCATGCATGCTACTGCACTTCACATTCACCCCGTGACACGTGCCCCCTCTCCTGGAAAATGCATGACCTTCGTTGGGATGCGACGGATGGCGCATATATCGGCATTTGACATTGACCAATTGCGGGAAATTGGGTGAATTCGTGGATCGACGATGGACTGGCCTCATTCGTACCACCCACTACCCAGGCCCAAATGATATCGTGTTGGGGGCGGAGGAGTTAAGATATGCAAGTAGGGAAATTGGACGGATAAGTGGTGTGATTGATGTCGAGGATATTTTGGACAGTATTTTTCAGGATTTTTGTATTGGAAAATAGAAATATTGTTGCGACCTCTGATGCGCGCGGGATCATGATCAAATTCCAGTGCGAGCACCGCAAAGAAGCACGTTGGTGAGTGGACCAGGGTCTGGGATGCTTTACCAGCTAAGACGGGAGCCTAGTCTCATGGAGGATTGTGCTTGGAAGGAACGGAGGTCAAATAAGCGCTCGTTCGTGTTCGGTGGGAATTGAGCGAAAAAAGCTTGTTTCAAGCGTGTGAATTGATAATGCCCGAATTTGTATTGATTACATCAGTATTGGAGTGTTGCCCATGAGACAATTCAATTCAGATCCGGCCTTCGGGCGTCATTGGGCAAGACTTGAACTGAGAGACGACTTCAAGACACTCCTCCTTGGTCTTCTTCCTCTCATCTTCATCTTCATCTTCATCTTCAACTTGACTTCTGAGATTTTCCGTTTTGCACGACGCCGACGTGTGTTGCAATCCCATTCGACTTTTCCTTGCCGCACGTTTCTACCCTCCTCGTCATGCCAAAACCAACACTCAAACAACGAATATTACGCCAGCCAACGAAGAGTTATGTGGCCGAAGCAGAAGGTCTATCGATCAGCGGCGTTAACTACCCATACTACACCTATGCTCAAGCTGGAATCACTTCGAATTCAAGTCTTCCGACGCGTTCCTCACATGCACATACACGTCGACCGGAGTATTATTCGGCTTATAAGGAAATGGCTGCGGCGGCAGGAGTTGATGTTACTCATACCCTTACCATTTCAGGGCAACCTGAAGAAGACGCAAACGGGGACATCGTAGACGCCTTGATGAGCGGTAACCATTGCTATCATGACAGTTACCCTAAGACGGCGATGAAATCGAGGAAGAAGCGGCATCGCCCACTGCAGCAACAGCGCGTTGTTGCGCGGAATGCAGAGGGAGGGAATGTAGTGAATGCTTGGAAGCCGCTGCCGAGTATTATCGAATTCCCCTCAATGGAGGCCAAATCGAAAGGATCCACCCTAACCAATCCAATGCCTGAACAGGAACAGGAGCAGCAATATGAACAATTGCCACAAGCAGCACCACAGCTTGCAGGACACGGGTCTGCTCGTCCAAATGCGGGATTTTACGTCAATGACAATGACAGAGGAGATACATTCGCTATTTCATTTGCCATGAGCGATAAAATTAGTGGTGAGCATCAGTCGCACCACATTGTTGACGGATGCCAGATGGAAGAGGAGACCCTGCACACGTTCAGGCTCGGAGTCGAAGCACTAGTCAGGGTGAAGGTGAATCTGACCGTCATCTGCCCAACCCGCCTCGGCTTTACGCGGGGAACGATAAGACTATTCATAACTCGTTTTGTCCTCCCGCTTTTCCCTTTACCTGTGCTAATACTGTCATCGAATCACTCTCAGGTTCTTCGGTTCATCCTACCACATTTCATCAACAGCTGCCTGACCCACAGCACCAACATGAAATATCATCACTCGGGTCTTTTCCGCAGCACTCATTAAATCCTTCACCTTCTCTCCCTGACGTTACTCCGTGCAGGGAAATACCCCCAACGTCCCAAAGTGACGCGCCCACTCCTGCTCTCATCGAGCCCTGTCCTTCACCTCGACCTCTTGGCAGTAGTCCCGCGGCCGTTCCTTGTACGTATTGTCAGCTTAGTCATCATGCGCTAACTTTGAACTAATAGTGATTGCACGTTTCTGCTCCATGTATCACCCGATTTTCTTCTTGTTGCCCTTGTTTTTAGTTTGGCTCCCCTCAGTTTCTCCGGCAGCTTCCTCCCCTTCCTCCGTCTCCAGTGCTCTTGGGAGCGATTCTGACTCTACTGCGTACTTCACCCCACCCGGGACGCCTGCTGCTGTCTCTAGCTCTACACTCAACGAGGACCACGTAAGCCAGGCACTGGACCAAGCGCGCAGCGACATCAATAACGTCACTGCTGACACTGCGTGTTCCACAGAGAACGACAACGACACTATGTTCTCCGGACGTGCTTATCCGTATGCACACACCCATAAAACGCGGTTAACGGGTGGAGGGGGTAAGGGCGTACTTACGTCTACGTCCATGACTATTGCTGCAAGTACACTAGTGCTTCCACCTGTCCCTATCACGGCCTCACTACTGTCTGATGAGATGACCGCTCGGTTGCTCTCCCAGTCCCACGCCTCTCAATCCCAATCTCAAGAACAACAAGGTCAATCAGATTCCCACACTCCTGCCTTCGAACAACCTACGCCGACGCCGACGCCGACGCCAAGCGTTAGTTTGCCTGCTGTCACGTTACATGGGGCTGGATTGCAGGAGTTGTTATCGTTAGAGTTGGGGTTTTCGAGAAGCGATGGTGAGGGCGATGACGAAGACGACGGGGTGACGATGTATTCCTGGTATTCTGGGGCGAGATCGAATGTATCGTCCGTGTCGGATGGGGATGTCAGTGGTCTGACGCATTTGACCGTCCCATCCAGCAAGAGCTCTGGGAGTGGGAGTGTGAAGAGTTTTGGAAGTGCGGGAGGTAAAGAGAAAAATGAAGAGGGGGAGTTGAAGTATCTGGAGACGGGAACGGGGCCCAGTGAGACGCGACCGAGTCTGAGTGAAAGTCTTCCCTTGGGATCTGGTGTGGATGGGGCGAGCAGATACCCTTCTACGGGTATGGTTCTACCTTCTGCGTCTGCATCCACCTCTGGTCCGTCCTCTTCATCATCTAGTGTCCCCTCTTTGCCACCATCCTTGAATCCTCCACTCCGTGAAGACCCCTACCGTGACTGCCACGGCATCTTCCACAACCTCATCAAAGTCAAAATTAACCAAGAAGAAAAGTTCTTCCACTGCTGCTGCTACACCTCCGTCCCTGTTTAAGGGTGCTAAATGGGCCAAGGATGTTAGGTGGCTTGTTCCGCTTGATAGTTCAGATTGGAAAGGGTATTCATTCCACTCCTCTTCATCACTGCCTTCCATCACTGCCTCGTCTTCATCGCAAACTAGTCGGAGTGTACTTCACGATCGTGGAACCACTGATGGACTCGGCAGTGGGAGGGGCAAGAGACGTCACCGTCACAGGAGCAGCATTTCCGAGTCGAAACTTCTAGAAAAGATGAGTTTTATACTAGAAGAAGTCGAGGAGGAAGCGGGGGAAGACGAAGGGAGTGAGAGCGGCGGGAGTGGTAGTGGGAATAGCGCAAGTACCGGTCGTACGGTTGGTTCTGCCAATTCTGGTCCTTCATCAGAGACGTTGCATGTGCCTTCCCAGGTGCAGCAAAGGCCCACGCCTATGTCTGCGTTAAGTCGCGCCAGGACGGCTTCCGCCCCAACAGATGCATTGTCCATGAGGACCGCGAGTGGATCGGGGTCAGGATCCATTCTGAGAAGGGGTTATGTGGCTGGTACGGGCTCGAGAACGGCAAGTATTTATTCCGGGGTCAGTGGTACGAGCAGCTCGAGACATAGTTTTAACTCGTATCAGACTTCGGGGAGAAGGGTCCTTATTCCATCCCCGTTACCCGGGATAAATGGGCAGTCACATATCTTATCCGCCTCCTCTGCCTCCCTTCCAACTCGTTCCTCAACACCACACTCTTCGTTGCCCAACGGTTCGTTGACGGCGTCGTCGGTATATTCGCCTTCAGCCTTTGGGGGTATATATCGTGCGTATAGCTCGCTAGTCTTGCCCAGAGCTGCGTTCACGCCGTCAAAGCATCCGGACAGGGTTAGCAGCCAAATCGACATTACAAAAAGTGGGTTAGCGCAGACCAGCATGGCTACGGTAGAGGTTAGACGCGGCGCTGCCGAAGCCCTATTGAGAGGTAGTGTTGGTAGCGGTGGCACCAAAGGAGGGTTGGTCGGACTGACGAGATTGAGTGTATTTGGTGGATTGGGTAGTTTGAATGGGAAGGGAAATAGGATGAGTGGTTTGTTTAGCAGCAGCTCGTCTGGTGGGGGCATTCGTGGTCGTACTATGAAGATTGGTGGCGGTGGGAGTGGAGGCCGGGCATCGAGGAGCTTAGAGATGCCGGGACACTTGAGAGAGAAATTGAAAATGGATTCTCCAAGTCCATTGGCTTTTTCCGTTCATACGCCCCCACCAAATAAGTTGACGAGTGGGCAGGTGCTTGTGCAGGTGTTTATGGTTGGGTTGGATTGGCTGGACGCGCTTGTTGTTAAGGAGAAGGTTGAAGGGAGTGGTGGAGGGGATGTTGGGGGAGGGAGGGGGGAGGGCTGTGGGTTTGTACCAGGCAGGAGCTTTGTTGGGAGGACGGTTGAAGTTGGGTTCGAGGTTAGGAATGTGTGCAAAGGCGATTGGGTGTTCGGGTTGCTCGATCTTGGCAAGGTGGGTATTCCCTTTTCGTTGGGTTCGGCGCCAGGCGACTGATCGTTTTACTGCACTTTTCCCCCGTTTCTTGTCTTTGTTTCTGTTTGATGATGGCTTACTCGAACGGGATTATCAGTGCGGCGCACTGGCAGAATTCATCATCGTGGACAGACGGCGCGTCCACCGGGCGCCAAACTTAATGCATAGCGATCTTCACCTCGAACAAGTGGCGTCTCTTCCTTTATCAGGCGTACCTACGCATCGGGCCATACGAACATTACCCAATGTAGTGAAGGGGAAAAAAGCACTTGTATTAAATGCACACGATGGCGCAGGGGCGTTGATGGTGCAGGTGCTATGTTCGCACGATGTTATTGTCACGGCCCAAGTTCCTGCAGGCAGCGGTGTTGGGTTGCGAGCATTAGGTTCAATGCAGAATGGGAGGGGTGGGAAGGGCAACGCGACATCTTCGAGTAAAAGCGAGGGCCATCAGGTTGAGGAGGTAGAGCAAAGTGAAGAGGAAGAGGAGGGAGAAAAAATCTCGACGTTTGAGGAGAGAGCAAAAATGTATGGAGCGTCGAGAGTAATGGTCGGTGATCCGCTTGTGGTGATTGCGGAGTGTAAGGAGGGGGAGTTCGATTATGTTTTGGATACTGTTGGTGGGAAGAGGATATGGGAAGCTTCAGGATGGGTTTTGAAGAGTGGCGGCCAGGTACGTTTATTCCTTTGCTTTCCGTTTTTTTGCTTGAATAACAAATCCGTTGAATCAACCTGGCAGTTTACTACGCTCGTCGGCGATGCGCCTGATATCGTCCCCTACACCAGCTCAAACTTCAAATCTAACCTCCGTTCGATTCAGGGTGCGCTCAAGAGGAAGAAAGGTTATGAATGGGTGATGCCCAATGCGGAGTTGGATACGGAAGGGGAAGATGTAAGGGATGCGTTGGGGAGCGTGGCGAAGATGGCTGAGGCTGGGTTGATGGTGCCTTGGTGTAAGCAGGGCGTTAAGTTTGAAAGGACTGCGGATGTATTTGGTGAAGGCGTTTCCGCGAGGCTATTTGAAGGTGGGGGCGTTGTGGTTAGCAAGATTATTGGCTGAGAGGGGTCTTTTTCCCAATCTCTAACCATACCGACCCCACAAATTCAGCCTGAAAAGAACCCCCTCATTCCCTTCACCCTCCGGTTTTCCATCATTGTGTTTCTCTTCCATCCCTATCTTCGTCCGCCAGTATATTCGCCTCCCCACTCTTCAGTTCAATTACCCGGATTCGCTTTCCCTCAGGATTTTTCCAGGTTGACTTTCGGAAACAAGCATCTCCCTCAGGCGCGCTGGCGTTGCCATGTGTGTTCATCAACTTGACCCCATCTTTCCTGATTGCTACTTTATTTTTTATGGACTTTTCACACCTGTTTTCGTCTCATCACCACACACATGGCGTGGATTCTACCCCTTATCGTGTCTCCCCTCTCCACTGCGTTTCCAAAGTTTGCATCGTCACGGACTGATCTGCATTGTTTACTGTTTTCGAAGATGGACTTCCTCATTCATGTCCCCTTGTCCTTGTTTCATGACCCACGTACTTTCACCTTCACTCTTTGCGTTTCTGCTCTTTGTTTTTCTCGACCTCAACTACATAGATGATATGTACCACATTTGTTTTAGATGGATCGTGATGCCCGATAATGAAAAAAGGTTGGACCCTTGACTCGTTCTTGTGTTTCATCCATTATGGTGAAAGTGTTGCGTTCAACAAGGGATTCCTGAATGTGAAGTCCGGGAAATGGGAGTGTCCGTCATTGTTGGAATACGAGTCACATGATTAGATTGAACCGGAATATCCGAGAATATTCTAGGGGTTACTAGGCGCCTGCGTAAGCGCTGGGCATAGAAGAGCCTGGAATGTTATTCAGGAGTATAAATATGGGTGCTTTAGCACCGTATGTTCTTTAGTTAGTTACAGTTTCTTCTCATTTCTATATTACATCCGGGTTGCGAGTGAACCGCTGAAGCAGGTTGCCATATTTGGAACGCCGGATTTACAACAGTCATGTTCCTCATCTTACTTGTATCTCGGAATTTAAGGATCCGGATCCAAACCTGAGCCCGAAACGGATGGATGGATTCATTCGGTCCGTGCCGTGGTGGGCTGGTTTGCTTCCGTTGGGATTTTTTTTTTTGGGTGTTTCCCCATATGGACCCATGTAACCCGGCCCTTTCCGCCATTCATTATTTCGCATCCCCAAAATTCAAATCACCTGCCAGCTCCTGTCACGTTTCTTCGTTTGGTTCGATTTCGGCTTTCTCCCCTTCCTTGCTCTCTCCCTCCCCCCCCACCAACCAATATTCAATCTTCACGGTCACGTTGCAGTCACGTTCTCGTTGCAGAACGCACGGCCACGGCCAGCTCCGCTCACCAGCTCATGCCGCCTGCACCTCGCCTCGCCTCACTGACGGAGTAAGTACTTGCGGCAGCACGAGAGTGAAGACAAGTGAGTGCGGTGCACTCTTTCTTTCCCTTTCTCCATTACCTTTTTTTTTTTTTTGTTTTTTCTCTCGCTGACGATCGATCTCTGCCGTTCCCCAGGGCTGGGCTGTAGCCATCCCCTCCCCCGCTCCCCGAACGCGCTGTATCTCCCTCGCCCACAACATCCCATCCTCGCGGTTTCGGACGAAGCTGATGGCGTTGGATTCGCTCGTGGGCCGTGCCGTCCCATTTGGAGGAGCGGTTGGGAGAACATGCAAATCGCGCGCACGGCCCCTTTCTGACGCTTCGCCGCCGCCGTCGTCGTCGATCCCATTCTGCTCGACTCGAGCCCCGCTCTCGAATGGATGGTTTTTGAGTCATACGGTGAGATGTTACTAGCCGTGCCCGGATTTTTTTTTTTGCTCATTTTTCGTGAGCGTCTTTGTCGACCTCCAGTCCAGTAGAAAGCGATGACAAAAATTCGGTGAAATTTCCCGCTGGGTTACCCTGCTCGAACGCTTTCAGATACCATCGGTCCCGTCCCCAACGGATGGTTTTTGAGCCAGGTACGCGCCGTGAGATTTCCTAGCCATTCCCGGATTTTTCTCACTGATTTTTCGCGAATGTCTTTGTCCACCATGGGAGCAAACCGACGATGGAAATCGACGAAATTATCTATTGGAATCCCCTACTGGAGTGCTTTCGGATGCCATCAGTCACGTCCCCAACAGATGGTTTTTGAGCCAGGTACGCGCCGTGAGATTTCCTAGCCATGCCCGGATTTTCTCGCTGAATTTCCGCGAATGTCTTTGTCCACCATTGAGGAAGGAAAACCGACGATAAAAATCGACGAAAATATTCATTGGAATCCCCTACTCGAGGGCTTTCGGACGCCACCGGTCACGTCCCCAACGGATGAGTTTTGAGAGAGGTATGGGCCGTGAGATTCCCTGGCCGTGCCCGAATTCTCTCGCTGATATTTCGCGAATGTCTTTGTCGGCCCCGGGAGAAAACGATACAAAAATCAGCAAAAATATCCCCTGGGTTTTCCTACTCGAGCGCTTTCGGACACTGTCGGTCCCGTCTCCAACGGATGGTTTTCAGAGGATGTATGGGCCGTGAGGTTTTCTAGCCATGCACAGATCTCTTCGCTGATCTCTCGCAAATGGTATGTGTGATCTGACTGGGAAGAGCAATATAATCATTGTGAAATGACACTTAGGTACATTCAGTGGTGTAATTTTCCACTCTTACGACTCTTGATGGTGCCGTCTCTTTTCCCTTCCACTCCAATCTTTTCAAGTGCAGTACCGAAATTGTCGCTCATCTTCAGTCCATAGTGTTTCAGGAACTCCGCCTCACCCATTCTGTACAGTGGGGAAGTGTTAGTGTTAGTGGATATTTAGTCACCAAAAGGAGAAGAGAAGGAAGAGACTACAGACTCGTCATATTTCTGGCCAACACGACGGCGCTTGCCATATGTCACTCCATGTGTGCTCGAGTGCTTGCCAGTGTACCATTCCCGCTTCCAGTTCTTCAGTGGCACTCGGAGCTCATTCTCATCCCCATGCAGCCATTGTTTAATGGCATCCTTAAGTGTGCGGACTGGGGGAATGGTGGTGTGCTCAGCACCCGGAGCGGGTCGGCCATCATCATCGTGGTGCTCCTGGGGCCGACTGGAGCCTGATGGAGGGTGGGATAGAGACTGGGCAAGTGGAGAGGAAGCGACGGGGCCGAGGGGGGGAAGGGGGGGAGCAGCACTGGGTAAGGTTGGCTGTGGCCACATTGACTGAGTGGGTCCTCCTGGCTGAACTGTTAGGGACGTATGATCCATTACTGAGCAGACATACCAGTAACATGGTGGTGGAAGGCAACAGGGTGAGGAGGAATAAGATAGCCTATCGTGTGCCTGAGTTGATCCAGTGAGACTTGGAATGAAGCAAATCTGTCATCAATGCTTCGGAGCCCATGCCTGAAGTGGTGCATGTGTTCCTCATACCGGCCCATGCGTTCCTCAAAGCGGCCCATGTATTCACCCAGGTGGCCAAACTGAGAGCGGGCTTCTTCTGCAGTCATTGCTTTGAGTTGCGACATCGCTCCATTTTGAGACTCTAAGTTGTCAATGTGAACCGGGGCAAGTGAGTCGCCATAGTTTGTTTCTGTGGTGATCAGCATATCCATAGCATATTTGAGGAGTGTAGATGGCTGGAATATTGTGAGAGCCTTGGGAATGTGGATGAGATAACGGTGTAGACTCACATTTTCTCCAGGTGCCCACCCACCCCACCACTGGCACTGATGAAGTGGCCACCTTCTGAAAACCGGTGCAAGAGCAAACCAGTACTGAAGACCACCACGCCTGAAGCAGTGTGATGTCAGTCTGTCAGTTTCCAGTTGCGCTTGCCTTCCATAATAGGCAAGAAGATCATTAACGGTGGTGGTTGAGAGCGTTGTATTCCAGTGAATGTCATGAGAACGGTGGGAGCAGGAGGGAAAGAGGGGATAGTGAGGCTTCAAGGGTTTTCCACTGCAATATCGCAGAGAAAGAAACTGAGTCCAGTGCCTCACATGGCAATATGCATCAAGCTCCGGAGTCACATTGGGTCCGTCATGCTGGGAAAATGTGTCCATGCCATAGAGGGGATAGATATTATACCGTGTCCCTATAAACTCGGACTCAGACCAGCAATAGACTGATGGCCACTGGATTTAGTTTACCTTGGCAGCCAGACTCATCACTATGGTTCTGTTTTTGCCAGCCCTTGCGGTTAACCAGGGTGACGCGCAGGTGTGGAAGGTTGTGACTGACTTCCTTGTGTCCCCAATCAAGATGCTGAATAAGGATTGAAGTGAGCTCTTCATTCCTATGTTGAAAGTTGAAATATGAATAAAGGGTTGGTACAGCAGAGATGTAGGTACCTTGTCCATAGAGTCCAGCCCAAAGATGTTAGTGTACACAACATGAGGTGGGAGCGGATGTTGTCACGTTGTTTAAGGGTGAAGGACTCGCTGGGAATACTAGGGTCAAGAGCCTTGCTAATCAGGTCTGGAGGACATTGAGTAGCAGTGACAGCCTGAATAGCCTTAATGTCGCTAATCTGGATTGCCCTTGCATGATTCCGGATAGTTCCCTCAGATGCGCGCAAATTCTTCACAGATTTGACAAGGTCAATGATCAGACTGGATTCACATGGGTTTCCCTGGCACTTTTCAGGATAAGGGTGCGGATGCCAAGTGCCCTCAAATCCTCTAGAGGGGAATCAGAAATGATCACTTCACTTCGTAAATTTTATGTCGCTACTCACAGTTTCCTGAAGTGCCACTTGAATGCGGAGCGGAGTATGTCTACAGTTGAGACAGACTTGTTCTGATCAGTAGCGCGGAATGTGATGTATGCAGCCAGTAGTTTGGCAGTAATTTCCACAGGTTTGTCGAAAGCAAGGAGAGCATCCTTGTGTTGAAAGAGATATGCCTCCGGATTTGGATCCTCAGGGGATGACAACAGTGGGTTACTGTACTTGAGGCAATTCTCTTCCAACCACTTCTTGGCATTGGTTATTGCTGAGCTATAGTTCCGTTGCGTGGAAGTGGACTGGAGGTGTGTATCTATCAATTCCAGCGCAGAAGTGGGGCCTGACCCCAGCTCAGAGTGCAGAGCCAGCTTCTTCCGCACATTTGAAGTTGCATGCTTCAGCAGATGACATCCCTTCTTAACTTTGGGCATAGTGGGTGAAAGTACTAGGATGGATGGGCAGTTATGAGCCAGCATCGGCACCGAGTTTCACGTGTCACATCAAAGCACAGGCTGATAGTGAGGGACACAGCACCCAGGGATTGCATCCCTTAATCCTTTCATACCATTGGGGCAGCCGGAGTCCAACAAGGATTTCACTATCCATCAAAGATGCATCAATTGCCTGAAGTGGGTTGACGTTGACAGGTTGGCGATAGGGTGGGCATCCTTGAACGAGTCGCACACACCACACACAGTTATGTTACTATCTACATGAAGACTATGGAATGGCCTGACAACGGAGCAGGGGGAAATGGGATTTGAGGACCAGATATTTCATCCTTGTATCCGAACGGATCAGATACACCTGAGTCAATAATGAATCCAAGAGATGACATGCTCATTACAGATTCTCCACGACTGGGGCACAGTCCGTCACCAAGAATCTAGCCTCCCACTTGGACTCCATGAAGTTGCAGGAGAATTGCGACCCCAACCACCTATTCTGGCCATGGAGCGAACTGAGTGCATCGGTTGCACAGCAAGAGATCCACCACGGTTTTGCTCGGGTCCCTTAAGAAGGAATTGTGCAGTCCCAGTGGGGGACAAAGCTGGTGAGCGGAGCTGCCATGGCCGTGCCTGTGATTTGCATGTTCCCCCAACCACTCTTCCAAATGGGATGGGACGGCGTTTGAAAGCCCACGAGCGAATCCAATGCCATCAGCTTCATCTGAAATGGCGAGGGAGATACAGCATGTCCGGGATGGCTACAGTCCTGGGGAACGGCAGAGATCAATTGTCAGCAAGAGAAAAGACAAAAAAGAAAGAGATGGAGAAAGAGCGCGCCACACTCACTGTACTCTCATGCAGCACCGCTAGGCTGGGCTGCCGCAAGTACTCCATCAGCGAAGCAAGACGAGGCGCAGGTGGCATGAGCTGAGTCGGGGGAAAGATATGGGGTGGTCGGACTGAGTATGGACGCGGATGAGATCGAAGCCGGTTGAGACGACCCTTGCAAGACGCTCGATGTCTGTGTACCAGCAACAGTGGCTAATATGGGGGGTTAACGAAAGGGTGGATTAACATGCGAGTGCCCAAATAGCACTTACTGCCTCGGCCTTGCTTCTCTTTGTCTTTGCTGTCCTTTCCTAAGCCTATAGTCCACTTCTTTTTCTCGCGCTCCTTTTCGGAATCAATGCTGGCACGGGGTTTTGTCTCCCTATCAGTGCCTTTGTGCCGTTCGTGCAGTCACCTTGATAGAGTCGAGAGCGACACGAGGAGGTGACGAGGGATAGGGCAGGAGAGGGTGAAGAATGGATGTGTCCAGTTTAGCACCGAAATAGGGAATGGGTGGTGAGAGGGAAGGATCGGTGAGATCTGGCGAGCGAGCTTGCGGGAGAATGTGAGGGTCGTCATGTTGCTCTACAGTCCATCTGTCCGCCTGCGGAATATCCAAAATGGACACATACAGTAGCACTTACGATGTTGGAGGGGTCCGGCATCACGTCGAAACCGAGTTCATCATTAGATGGGGTTGAGTCCATGAATACATGAGATGTCGCTTGAAGGCAGTCGCTGAGGCACACCATTCGCACATGGGGATGATGAGTCGAGGAGGAAGTGGAGGTGGAGGTGGAACAGTGGCTGCGTAACCAAAGGGATTACGTCTGCTGGGCTTGATGATCCGGCCGAGACTGGACATTGAAGGGATACTTGCTAGTGAGCCGCTGTGGGAATGGCCCGACGATGGAATGGTGTATGCCAAACTGTCCGGATAGCCGGCAGAGTGAGTCTGGGTGCGAACCTCCGTGGGCGACTCTGATGCGGAGCCAGGGGGGAGTGTCTGGAGCGATGGTTGTCAATACAATGGAACCATGGTTCGGAAAGAGAAGCAAAGCCAGCGCATCGAAGAAGAGGGAAAATCGTAGAAAATGAAGTGACTTATGTGAGATCCAGAATTAATGTTAACAGCAGAGTGATATGGCGAATCATGTGTGCTCAAATGATGAGAAGCATAAGAATTAGAACGATGTATTCCAGGGTGTGCGCCGCCGGTAGTTCCACTGGTCCCATTCACACCGTTCCCACCGGCACCAGTTCCAGAATGACTCAAAGGAGAAGGGTAGCTCGAGGAAGGGTTACCAGCTTCTCTATGGCCCTCACTTCCGCTTGAATGGGGATGTGAATGCGAATGCGGTTGGGGAGGTTGAGGGTAATCTGTTGGTGAAAACAATACCACAGGCCCCTCCGTCTGCCCGCCATAGATGCCATACCCATTCATTCCCTTCCCATTGCTCATAGGGACACCATATCCGCCTACGGCAACTCCAACACCGACACCAGCGGTAGTGGTGGCACCAACACCATGAGAGAAGACATTGCACCATATGTTGCTCCATGTCCCGGATACGGATCACCCCCAGCCCTTTCAGAAACCAGATGAAGTGTTATACTCCCCCCATTTCCAGCGCCTCCAGTTCCATACGAACCACCCAACCCCGTAGCACCATCAGGACTAGCGGGAGGGGTAGGGGTATAAATCTCCCTATCCCTCTTCGTCGTTGCTCGAATCACACTCCCATTGGCACCCCGATTCATCAAGTTGGCATCATTGTTCATCATAGGTTGCTAATGCGGCATTAGCGACTGACATTGCTGCAACATTAGCGTTCGCAGCCGCAGCCGCAGCAGCATTGGCATTAGCAACCGCCATTTGAGCTCGTTTGTTGTGGGAAGTTCGTCGGGATCGAGGAGAAAGATGAATGCGGAAACTGTTTTAGAGGAAAGGGTATCACTCCATTTAATATCCAGGTGGTGTGTACGTGGTTATGGGGGCCGGACCGATAGTCGAATGGGCGTGGGTGAAAGGTAAATGAAGAGGGAAAAGGGAAAGAAGTATTTCGTACGAGAATGATCGATGAACAGATTGATGCGGAGACAAACGCGTTTGGCGCGGAATAGGGATGTCAGGATGAGAGTGAGTTTTTTTGGTTTGATGGAGAGTGGCATGCGTGGGTAAACGGAAGCAAGACCAGGCCGCAGATATGTAGGTCGATGGATCGTCAGGGAAGAGAAGTAGTCATAGTCACGAGATTGGTCGTTGAGATCTAGTGGGATAAAGAAAAACACATTGGTCAGAAACGCCCCAGTACAAGCGCACACACACAAGTGGAAAGGTCGTACTCACTGTTGCTGCAAGTTATTTTGCCTTGAACATCTTGTTTCACAACCTGGGAAAGGGCATTTGTGATTCCTTTCGCCCATGTGGACGCGGGTGTGACGGGCAAGATGTCCACTGGTGGTAAACGCCTTGGAGCACGTCGTGCAAACATGATTACGCTTCGTCTCGGTCGCAGTGGCACGACCAGTTCCTCCATTTGGTAAAGCGTGTGGTTGTGGTGGTTGTGGAACAAGGGAAGTTTGGTTTGTGGTTGGGGTGGCAGGGGAGAGGAGTTGCTGATGTTGAATGGATGATTGTGCAGGCGCAGAGGCAGTGTATGTCCTGCGGCAGCTGCTGCAGAAGACGTCGTGGTTGGAGTGCCCATCGCTGAGTGAACAAGGGTGATTTAAGGGATACTTGATGGTGATGAGGGGCGCCAGATGTAGGTGTAGCCGAAGGAGTACCATTAGCGGTCGTCGGGGCCAGACCCAAATGAACGACAGCAGCATTATTAACGTCATCGTTGAGCAGAGAAACTACCCTTCCATCTTCCGACAAACATGGGCTCGGCGGTGGATGAAGACTTTGTATTCATCGTGTTTAAACCTTCTGCCACTGCACCAGTAACGACAGCGGAGGAGGCCTGCTCTGAAAATAGAATTGCGATTTCTCAGAATCCGTCGATTTTCTGCCCTTCGCCTTTCGCTCCCTGGGATTGGAGTCATCAACGTTCAGAGAGAAGTCGGTAGCTTGAGAGATGCTTCGCGAATGACCGTTATCAGTGGTCGTGTAGCTGAAGGGATTGCGTCTGCAGGCTTGATGATTCGGCCGAGACTGGACATTGAAGGGATGCTTGCTAGTGAGTCGCTGTGGGAATGACCTAACGACGGAGCAGGGGGCAATGGGATTTGAGGACCAGCTATTTCATCCCAGTATCCGAACGGATCAGATACACCTGAATCGATAATGGATCCAAGAGATGAAATGCTCATTACGGATTCTCCACGACTGTGGCCGCTATGGGATGAGGCACAGTATGTGACTGAGAATCTAGCCTCCCGCTTGGACTCCGTATCAGATTCCAATGAGATACAGCGCTCCCTTTATTTTGGGAGGATGAGGGGTGGACGAGGGAAAGGTTTAATGTCACCAAGGCGCACATTGAAGCATCCAAATCTTCGAGAAGCTCAATTTCGCGAGCACTTAAGTTACTCGTCTCAGTGTTTGTGCGAGAGTGAAGTCCCTAAAAATGCATTACAGATGAAATGTTTGACGCATGGTTGAATGAAAATACCTTCATTGGGGGAACGGCGATGTTTAACGGCGTTGTTGGCTTGCCAAACTGGAAGCCTCCATTCAGCTCCCCAGTTCGATTCTGCATCGAAAATTATGCATCAAATACCATCCCAAACCAAAACGCATGTCTAAACAAGGACTCACGAGGTTGGCCTTAGGTTCCACGGGGAGCTCCCAGTCCAGTGAGACAGGGGAAATTGCGCGCGACTCTGACGCAGAGCCAGAATCAGAAAGGAATACTTGCGGTGTCTTGAAAGCCTCTTCCAACTGCTCTACGAAGCTGAGTCGCACACCACCTTGATTCAGACGGTTAAGTTCACCGGTGAAGTCGAAGCTCTTCTTGCCAGTGTCGTCCTCACGCATATGAGGGCCTGGTAATGAACCAGGAGAGGAGTTCGAGTCCGATGTTGTAACTGGTAGAGACAAGTGATCGGACAAAGGCGACTCAGGGGGCTGAGGGATAGAAAGCGTATCATCCAATGATCGGGTAGAACAGCTGCTTGAGAGGATGACTTGCAACTCATCAGGTATGTCCGAATCTGGGTCGGCAGGTGCCTCATCCTCGGAAGACGAGAATGGCTCCTGTGTTTGCTCAGTGTCATCCGCTTCACCGGCGGGTCCCATTGTGCCGCCGAAACCGAGTTGGCGACGTATTCCTGGCCTTGTAATGGGTCGAAGTTGCTGGTGCAGCGATTCTGCCGATGATTGTTCCCGAGGTTGCTGAGGGATTGTTTCGTGCCATTCATGTGGTCACCTTGATAGAGTCAAGAGCGACACAAGGAGGCGACGAGGGATAGGGCGGGAGAGGGTGAAGAATGGATGTATCCAGTTTAGCACCGAAATGGCACTACAGCGATCATGAGATAGGAAATGAATGGCGAGAGGGAACGATCGGTGAGATCTGGCGAGCGAGCTTGCGGGAGAATGTGAGGGTCGTCGTGTTGCTCTGCAATCCGTCCGTCCGTCTGCGAAATATCCAAAACGGACACATGCAGTAGCACTTACAGCGGAGCGGCCAATTGGGGGGGGGGGGTCCGGTATCACGTCGAAATCAAGCAAGCTTCGGCATTTCATCCCTAGATGAGGTTGAGTCCATGAATAAAAGCCAAAATGAGGCGTTGCTCGAGAAGGCAGTCGCTGAGGCCCACATTCTCGCACATGGGGATGACGAGTCGAGGAGGAAGTGGAGGTGGAGGTAGAACAGTGGCCGCGTGGCCAAAGGGATTACGTCTGCTGGGCTTGATGATTCGGCCGAGACTGGACATTGAAGAGATACCTGCTAGGGAGTCGCTGCGGGAATGGCCCGACGATGGAATGGTATGCCGAACTGTCCGGATAGCCGGCAGAGTGAGTCTGTGTGCGAACCTCCAAGGATGAGTGGGCAGGTGGCACTCGAACGGTAAGGCGATTTTGGGAGGATGAGGGGTAATCGTGTTCGTATCTTTGTCGCGGCTAGGACGCGCAGTTTTCCGAGTCACACGTCTGGGCCCACCCCGTCGCCTCCAGGGTAAGAGGTATGTGAGTTGATGCTACAGGCGTGGCGGTCGTGAGCTGAATCGATGGAATGATTCGAGAGAGTTGTTGCCGGAGTAGGCAACGCAACGACGGCAACGTGCCTCAATGCCGGGTGGCTCAGCTGCAAATGCATAATGTCAGAATAATAAGTCTCGCCACCACAAGTGGATATCTCACCATTTTTCTGGTCACACGGCAGCTGGTTGCTGGGGTGAGCAACGCGATGGCGGCAGTGTGCCTCAGCACTGGGAGCCTCAGCTGTAAATATCAAGTGCACGTTGATGTCAGAATAATAAACATCACGATCCTAAGCGAGTATCTTACCATTTTTCTGAACCAATAGCAGCGCCATTGCTGGGTCACGCAGCCTGATGACCGCAGCATGCCCCAGCTGTAAAGTACCAAAACGGTGATAATGTCAGAATAACAAACAACACTAATTCTAGGTGCCATATCTCACCGTTTGTCTCGGACCCATAGCTGGATGGTTGCTGGGGCACGGGCACGCAATGCGGCGACCAACAGCCAGGTGGATGGCAGATGCGGCAATGTCCGCTACTCGTCTCCCCCTTTTCCTTTTTTCAGAAATAATCCACCATTGATTTGTACCCTTAAATTTTCCTTAAATCGGCCTTAAACTGGGACTTGTAATTCACTTATTGAATACTTGTAAATACTTATCACCTTAAATCGAGGATGTTGGGCATAGCAAACCCTTATCGAACGATTTTGCATGAAGATATCACCACCCTGTACAGTACTGCAAAATATCAAGCCGCCAAAAAATGAGGTGAATTTTTTATGTCCCAAATACGTGTAGCCAATCTAGTGAATCCACGTTTGTACACTGTCCACAAACTAAAATTTGACGCGCTTGGCGCTCACATTCACATAGGCAGAATCTGCCAACCCAGTTTACCATCCCCCAACTAAAAGCCACCGGGTCGAAAGCCAGAGCAGTTTCCACAATCGACATCCCACAGCCGGCACGCGGATAAATATCCAAGGGTTCACTGAATAATCATTACAATAATATGATTCATATTTCCTGACACAAAGTAATATTGATATTTCTTCCATTTCTTCTCGACAGCCAAATTACAACGCGATTTCCCTTCTCGAAATATTCGGTTCAAAATTCATGTTATTATTTTCAATTCAAATCGTGTTGTACAATGAAAAAAAAAAAAAAACACATCCCAGTCGGCAGAGGCGCCAGCAAAGGTGACAGGGCTGATATGACGGGCAAAAAGAAGGCTGCCGTCATCAGACAGCAGCGCCAGAAAGTGGGAAAGGGAGGCGTGAAATGGAACGAGGGTGGTACGGTGTTCCAAATTCCCGAAGCACCCGTGTTGTTTGGGTACCGACTGTCAGTGCCTTCCATCGTCCATGACTATACTACCCACCGATGCACTGGCATCAAGCGTGATGCGGGGAATCGTCCACGAAGCGCAAATCCGCCCTCAAGGCAGACCACTTTTTTTCTCTCTCTCCTGGCGATCTTATTTTCCTGCCCCCTGCCTTCCTTCTCTCCAAGTAGACCGAACGGACCGAGCGGCGAGAGAGATTGGCCGCGACGGTTCGTGAGAACGACGCTCTCGTGGCGCTTCCCAGCCCAGCCTAGCAGTCGCAGCTAGCCCAGCCTGGCATGCACGCGGTTAAGCGCCGATTGCTGGTCAGTGTCCCTCCATCATCCATGAGACAGTGCGCACTTACCGGCCACCGTCAGTAACAGTGACATCGACGAACGGCACATGCCACCCCCAGCTGCCAACGTCAATATTTGTTCTCCCTTTTTTTTTTTCTCAACCGAACTGAATGGTGTGAATGGGAAAACCCGCTCGGAGCCGATGTTCGAGTTCCAGCTGGACGCTCGTGATTTAGGACGGTTTAACATTCAACGGATAAATCGGTCAAAACAACAGTACTTGTGGAGCGGTCAGAAAACAGAATTACAACATAACAATATAACAATAAATTCGGACAACTCCGCTTCAATAACACCTTGTTTTCGGGCAACGAGCGAGGGCGGAACCAAAATAAGTCACGTGAGAATCAAGCCGAAAACGAAGTCTCACATTTCGGCGCTTATGTTTCCATATATGTGGCAGGAAGCCACGTGACTCCACCAAGCGCCGCCTCCTGGTCAACCGTCATGGCGATTCCACCCCCACAGGCGCCTGAATTTGTGCACTATATAGCGAGATTGCTTGACCCATCAATTAGTGAGCAGCATTTTGGGCCTTAATTTCTCTATTTTGGGGCGAAAATCAATACAACTGACTTCTTGAAGGTCAAGAGGTCAAGAGGAGCATCGCAACTGAACTAAGGGATTTCCATGACTTTCACCGGGACCCAGCGGACGTGACGCGATTTATTTCCATCGCGCTTCCTATGCTTATCAAATTCTTGAGGGACGGACACCCCTCGTTCAAGAAGAACTCACTTGAACATGTGAGTCAGCCGTATACTTACACTCGTTCTCAAAAATCGAATGCTTTGTTCTCAATTATGGCTGACGATTTATTGCTCCTGAACTAGCAAACTCGAATTATTGTCCTTACGACCATTCAAAGATTCCCGCATAGCGAGAATATGAAGCAGCATGTGGTGGACATTCAGAACTTGATGGTTCACCTGTTACGAAATGATAATGAAGATCTTGGCGTTATCTGTGTGAAGATAGTGATCGATATTAACAGGACGTATAGGGCGTTGTTGGAGGGTCACATTCAGCCATTTATTAGCTGGATTATTGACCTTTATGAAGGGATGCCCGCTGTTGTTGGAAGCACATTTAGGGAAGGTGGAGGGGAAGGGAGGGGATTGGGGATTGGTGGGTCGTTTGGTTCGACTTCGGCTGCGGGTGGACCGGATGTGAGTTCTCATTTCGTTTCCCCTCTGGGTTTCTCATGTTGACCAAGAGTCCCTTGGGTGTGCACTTGACCCCTTCTTTCTGTGGTTGTAATATTTTTTAGGCCGATGACCAACTTATCCTTCCGGTTTCGCTGAGCTTTAAAGTGTTGGTTGAATGCCCAATTGCTACGGTCCTCTTTAGCGACCCTGAACAACCAAATGCCAAATATAGTCTTCAGCTTGTACCGGCTAGCATCAAGGTCCGTTAGTTGTCCTTGTCTCTACCTTCGCGCTCGATATTTATTGTTAATGGCGTCTATTACAGTTCTTGCAATTGGAAGTGGCGCAGCAGAAGCGTGCTCATGAGGAGAGCGCAAAAGAGAATAACATGTGGATAGGTGTAGCACCGGGGATCAAGAACCGTGCTGCATACACAGATTTCATCACTGCGCAAATCAAGGTTTGAAGTGCAGATGTATCTACCTATGAGATTCCTATCTAATTTATCATATAGGTCATGTCGTACATCGCATATGTCTTCAGACATCCCCACGAACAGTTTGGTCAATATGCCCAAGTCATCCCCACTGTAGCTGTCAGATTATTGCAGGATTGCCCGGCCGAGGCATCTGCGATCCGCAAAGTGGGCTCTATTTTACCGTGCCAGTCTGCTCTATAGGTCATTTGGTACATAGGATCTCATCATTGCCATCCGTCACATGTTGACTGAAGAAATACGAACCCTGTTCCTCGCCAAGCTTGATAGTCTTATGGACGAGCGGATCTTAATTGGGCCGGGAGTCGCAAGTCGAGAGGGATTGAGGTGCGTATGTCCACGGAAACTTCCCACCCACCTTGCTCAGTTATTTCCTGGAATTGTCAGGCCACTTGCGTATACTACACTAGCGGACCTGATACATCATGTTCGAGCCGAGCTGTCCGTTGAGCAGCTTTCGCGAGTCTTCCATGCATACTCATGCATCCTCCATGATGCATCAATCCCTTGTGGGACACAAACGATGAGCATGAAGTTCCTTATCAACCTCGTCGAGTTCGTCGTCGCCAAATGCAGCCGACCAGGAGCTGCTCGAATCCTTATGGATTTCCTCGAGACTGCAGTGGAAAAGTTAGAAGCCCTCCATCGCGTGTACGAGGATCAAATCCTCATGTACGATGCGCAAAAATCAACGGACCTCCCGGTTCCTTTACTGAGTTTTGTGGCCGTCGAACGATCAAAGCCAACGGATGCCTTATCTTATGTCCTAGAGCCTCAAGACGCCGTTATCAAAGGTATGGGATCCCTTACAGCGAACGGCAATACCTCAATCCCTGATTTGTGTTGCAGACTCGCGGCTACTTTTTTGGACGCTCCAGCATGGCTTCAAGAGCATTCTTCGCAGTTTGCGCGAAGTAGAAGCCTCGCCGCCTGACTCTGAACTGATGGGAAAGCTCATGGAGGCTGGGGTTAAATGTCTTGCTCTGTATGAGCGATGGCCGGTCGGACAGATGGAAAAGGATTTCCTAGAAAGATTTGGCGAGGTATTCCTGGAAATGGCACCACCCGTGGTTCAGGAGGTCTGGACCTTGAAATTCCCTTTTTACATGGAACGACTTCTCGAGCACCCGAACATCCTTCAACTCCCCCAGATGCTTCTGGCCAATGAGGCAATGTCAAGACCTCTTCTGTCTATAATGCTGCGCTACCTCGTTGGGCAACTTGATACTCTAGGAGAGCAGGATACGAAACACGCGGCTGCGACGCTGAGAATGTTTAAAATGTGCTTCATGGCGGCCACATTGTATCCAGAGCAGAACGAAATGGTGCTCTTGCCGCACATTCCTCGGCTCATAGTGGATTCTTTCCCACTTGCTGCAAAATCTCCCGAGCCGACACATTATTACCTGCTCCTCCGAGCACTTTTCCGGGCTATCGGTGGCCATAAATTTGATAACCTGTACAAAGAAGTGTTGCCGCTGCTTCAGGAGATGTTGGAAAACTTGAACAGGTTGCTCCTCGCTTCTGTCAACAACGCAAACATCCGAGACCTGATCTCTGAGCTTTGCCTTACCGTCCCTGTCAAGCTCACCTTCCTATTGCCGTACTTACACCACCTTATGAAACCCCTCGTCTTCGCTCTACGAGCCGGACCTGAGCTGGTAGCACAGGGACTCAGAACGCTGGAACTCTGCATTGACAACCTGACACCAGAGTTTCTTGATCCTACCCTCAACCCAGTTTTACCGAACCTCATGGGTGCGCTCCATAACCTGCTCAAGCCACTTCCAGTGAACCACATGTCCGCACACGTTACGATTCGAATCCTTGGTAAGCTGGGTGGTCGGAACCGTCGGTTACATTACGAGCCACCTCGGCTCGAGTATCGGACCCAGGACGATGAAACGAGTCTCCTTATGTCATTTGACTCCCGAAGCGAGCGCGTTGACATCTCAGCGTTATGTGGACTCGCTGCAAAGTCCATTCGGCATTCAAATGCGGTATACCGTGCACATGCTTATGAACTTTTGAAAACTTCTTTAGCTGTAGTCTTGGGCAAGGTGAAGCCATCCCCACAACTCCTTCCTTTTCACTTACCATCCGATTCAATTAGGGTAACGATGGGGGTCAACGCGACAGTGTTTTCTCCGTCATACTTGGCGGCCTTTTTGATGCAATTCATGTACCTGAGCTGATGCCACACGCACATGAATATGTGCGCGACATGACCTGTCATATCTTTATCACAGAGCTCGGCAAAATGTCGCCCTCATCATTCGGTTCTCGCCGAACTATGTTCGCTCCCGTCATCAGTGTCCAGGTGGAGGCGATAACGCGCTGTCTTACCGTCTCTGATCCCAAGGATATGGAGAAAGCCAGAGATTGCGTTTCTGCTATCATCGAGGATTTGTTGCGCGTGGCCAAGGAAGCCGCGCTTCAAGAGGGTCAGGGGAAGGATGTAAACGCCATTATTCACCTCCTAGCTTCGCGATTCGTTGGTCTTTGCTTCGAAGAAGCCATAGAATGCAAAATGGCTGGCTTTAACGGTATCGTCATCATGATCAGGACACCACAACTTGAAGTCGGAAGGGTCGAGGAGCGCGAAATCGACTTCATCAGGGCTCTTCTGGGCATTATTAAGGACACGCCTCCAGATACATCAAGAAGTATATCTGACATTACCTCAACAATTCTTGATATCCTGCGCCTCTGTCATGGGCCGCGCGATGACGAACACAAGCTAGGCGTCGACGATTTAAACGTGGCAAAGCAGCAAACATTCCTCTTTGTTGTTAGTGTCATGGTCTCGGAGCTTTCCAGTGCAAATACAACGGTTCGAAGGACTGCTCAACAGTCACTTGAGCTCCTTGCTGAGCTAACAGGAAAAACGACTTACGACCTTGTGAGACCAGGCCGCGATCGCCTTTTAGGTCCTATTTTCAATCGGCCACTTCGAGCTTTACCCTTGCTCAACCAGATCGGTCACGTAGACGCAGTCACTTATACCTTGAACATGCGACCCCCCTTGCCTGAGGTGACAGAGGAATTGTGGCGTATGTTGAATGAGACGCTTGCGGTCGCGGACGCTGATGACAACAGCCTCAATTCTCAAAATCGCACCGGACAGATGCAGAACCTTGCTATAATTACTAATCTTCGTGTTGCCTGTATAAAGCTTCTGAGTGCGGCTATCCCAGCAACCGACTTTTTCCAGGGACAGAATACCATGCGGGCAAGGTGAACTAACTAGCTTTTCTGGCCTTCTAGTATATGAATCTTACTCTACATTTTCAGGGTAATCACCGTATATTTCAAGTCGCTGTATCTCGTCTCAAACAAGGTCAAGGACGCAGCTTCAGACGGATTGCAGACTGTCCTCAATCATCAAAGCCGGCTGCCAAAGGAGCTTTTGCATGGCGGCCTGCGGCCCATATTGTTGAATTTGGCGGACCCGAAAAAGCTTATACTCGCAAACTTGGAGGGACTTGCCAGGTTGCTTGGCCTTCTTACCAACCATTTCAAACCCGAGATCGGCGCAAAGCTGATAGAACACTACAAGACAATCGCGGACCCAAAGATGCTGAACGACGCTGCCCGCAACCCATTGGCTGACAACGATGAAATTGGGAAATTAGTCAGACTTGCCGATATCTTTCACCGTCTACCTTTCCCCGCGGGTGTTGTATTCTTGAAGGACATCGCAGAGTGCATCGTTCAGTCAGAAACGGCTTTGCTCAGTGCATCCCCAACTCCATTCACCCAGCCCTTATCCGCCTTCGTTGACAAATACCCCGTAGAGTCTGTGGAATACTTTTTCAGTACAATGGCCAATGACCGCCATGTGCGCTCGTTCCGTAACGTCCTCATTTCCAACTCCGCACCAGCGTTCCTTGCACAGTTGCGAGAAAGAACTCCATTTCTGATATCTCATTGCCTCCGTGATGCAGATCTTCTGCTTCCTGGCTTACTTGTTTGCCTGGATCTTGCACGTCTCGACATCGAATGGTTTTGCAACAAGGAGGATCTCATTCCGAGCCTATTGGAAGTTTGGAATTCCGAGCTAACTGCGGATCAAAACAGTCAGCCACGCACCAAACCCGTTTCAACGCTCTTAGCGATCTTCCAATTATGCCTGGAACATAGGCTAAATCTGAGCATACTCTTTAGCCTTATCGCAGTCTATACTCACCGAATCGCGCTTGAGCTCTCTGCGCTTGCCCGTTTTCTTCACATCAACGTGGTGCTGAATGCCGTCATGGAAACGAAGCGTGAGATATTCATTCGCTTTTTAGACTGGTTTGAGAAGTCCTCTGCGCGCTACGACTACATCACTTTCTTCCTCCGCGTCATCATCAGCCCCATGCTTGTTGTTTCCTATCAAAAGCCAAACGAACAGGAGTCTTTTATTACGGAGGAGATGGTCAAGGCTCTGCACGTAAAGGTTTGGAAGCCTATGTTGGACATGGCCTATTCAAATCACTCTCTTAACGACGCCTGCATCATCGAATTACTGCATGTTTCAAGCCTTCTTATTCAGCACTGTCCTGATCTCTTGAATGAGGCGCGTGGCGATATCCAGAAATTCGCCTGGGCATTTGTAACTTCCGAAGACGCGATCGTCAAGCAAACCGCTAATTTGCTCACCGCCCGCGCCATTAAGGCTTACCCGGGTTCACCCTCTTTGGCGAGAAAGGTATGGGTGGGCTTGCTCAAACCACAAATGCAGAACGAGGGTCGGAACCTCATTCGTCAGGCCGTTGACACGCTTGCCCCCGCTCTGCCTACCAGAGCGTCCGAACCGTCTAAAGAAGGTTCCAATATTCCCCTATGGGCAATGAGTACAAGAATCGTCTTACAGGAAGAAGGGAACAGTCTCAGCTCCATGGTCAGCATATATCGCATCATAATGCGTCATTCAGAATTATTCTACCCCTATAGAGAACAATTTGTCGCCCCAATGATTAACTCGTTGCCTAAGCTGGGCTTAGGACCGGGGGGAGGCATGGAGACGCGCCTGATGACTTTGGAAGTTGTAGACCACATCCTGCGTTGGGAACGCCAGCGTGTGAAGTTCTCAGACGTCTCAGAGGCTAACGACAACAATGGGGATGTCCACATGGCGTCCCCATCCGATTCTTGGACTATACCACTGCAATTACGCGAATCATGCGTTGCATTTCTTGTTAGATTGGTCATGAGCGTAGGGGCCGATGCATCTGGAAAGCCTCAGATTGTACTTAGGGCGCTTCGAACTCTTCGTGAACTTCTAGCAGTCCCTGGGTGGTCAGATGCAACAATTAAACCTGCATTCTTTGAGAGGACTCTGGTCCAAGTAAGTTGATTGGCTGCCTTTTTGGGAGCGACAGAGGCTGATGGCACGACCACTAGAGCGAGACGACGCCTGAAGCTCTGCCACATACAACGAATGCTCTACGGTTACTCGCTGTTTCTATTGATGACAAACCCGAAGAGTGGATACTGGCGAATCTGAAGAATTCACGCACTTGGCTCGAGAAGCCTCTGAGTAGATCCGAAGCTGCGATTCATGAGATTGCTATTCCTATAATGGATAAAATCATCACCTCGATGTCCATCACCCCTGATGACCCCCCTCCGGATGTACAAGAGTTCCTCTCGTTTATTAGCTCTCTGATCAGCGAGGGTTGGAAGAACCCCGTTCCGCAGCCCACTTGCCACTAGTGTTAAACGTCCTCCTTTTCCTCGTGCGAAAAATCCCATCCGCTTTGAAAGACTTCGCAACCAGCCTTATGAAGCTGTTCACGAAGGCTTGCCGGGAGCATACCAATCCTTCACCAGATAAAAAGCCCATCGATGTCACGAGTCGCCTCATCAAAAATATGCTGGAAATTTCGCGTATCCAAGCACCCGTCTCCTCGGAAGCTCGCAAGTCTCTTATCGCATCCATCATTCTCTTAGTCGATAAATCCACCGACATCAGCATTTGTCGCCTCATTCTGAACATTTGCAGGGAATGGGTTTTCGATCGCCAAGACCCCATACCAACGATGAGGGAGAAAGCAACCATCCTTCAGAAGATGGCTGCCTTTGAGCACAAACGGGACGAGGCGCTTTTCGTTGATTACCTCAACTTGATCTACGACATTTATAAAGAACCCAGCCTCCATCGAACGGATCTCACCACCAAACTGGAGCCTGCATTCTTAATTGGACTGCGCTACAAAGACCCGGCTTTGCGTTCGAAGTTTGCTGTTCTCTTCGATGAATCGCTGCCTCGGTCGCTTAGTCAGCGTATGCAGTATGCTCTAGGGTCGCAAAGTTGGGAGTATCTCGCAGACCACTATTGGATCCCTCAGGCTCTAGATCTGCTCCTTGGAGCGGTAAATGAGAATGAAGTGATTCTTGGCTCGATCCATGACATTGATATGGATGACAACGACAATCCTTCATTTGGAGCTCGCGTTACTACTATCGGGGACTTTGTTCGTCCTGCCCGGCAGCTTCTACCACTTGATCCTGAAACAGCACACCTCACTTGGGTTTCCGTATTTGGCGCTATATGGCGATTGATGTCAAGAAAAGAACAAGCCGATGTCGCTCGCTCATTAACTATACTCCTCGGGAAGGAATACCACTTGCGGCAGGCCCGTGCTCCTCGTAATGTGGTACAGTCGTTGCTTGCAGGTGCTGCCGCCTGTCGACCTCCATTAGCACTCCCACCCTTTGTCGTGAAATACCTTGGGAAGACTTTCAACGCGTGGCACATCGCTCTAGAAATCCTTCAGTCATCGCTTAATCATATTCGGGAAGACGAAGCTGTACGCGATGCTACACTGGATGCTCTGGCGGAGCTCTATGCAGAGTTGTCGGAAGATGACATGTTCTATGGACTTTGGCGCCGCCGTGCGTTATATCCAGAAACAAACATCGCCGTTTCATTCGAACAGAATGGGCTCTGGGCAGATGCACAGTCAATGTACGAATCTGCCCAGACACGTGCCCGACAAGGCAGCGCTCCATTCAGCGAGTCCGAGTACTGTCTATGGGAAGATCATTGGATACTTTCCGCTCAGAAATTGCAGCAATGGGAAACGCTGAAGGAGCTCGCGACCGCTGAAGGGAATCACGACCTTGTCCTCGAGTGTGCCTGGCGTCTTTCTGATTGGACGGCGAACTCTGGCGACCGCGACGCTATTGACAGGGCCATGCACGCAGTTCAAGACGTTCATACTCCTCGACGCAGAGTATTTGAGACATATGCACACCTCATCCGATCCAACCCCTCACATTCCCCCAATGACCGTAACGAGTTTGTTAGAATGGTGGAGGAAAGCATGCAGATAGCCCTACGCAAGTGGGTTTCGCTTCCTTCAATAATTTCGATGGTCCACGTTCCATTGCTACAGCATTTCCAGCAACTTGTGGAACTGCAAGAGGCAGCCCAGATATTCCATGCACTGACCTCTACGACCGCCTCGAATCTGGAAAAGAGATCGGCAGACCTTAAAATGATCCTTCAGGCATGGAGAGAACGTCTCCCTAACCTCTACGATGACATCAGTGTATGGAGTGATCTGGTCGCATGGAGACAACACGTTTTTTCCCGCATCAATCACCACTTTCTTCCTTTGATTCCCCAGCCTCCCCCGAATCAAGGGGTGTCAGGAAATTCGGGCACAGCCGGGTACAGAGGCTTCCACGAGACAGCTTGGATCATTAATCGCTTTGCGCACGTCGCGCGTAAGCATGGTCTACTCGAAGTTTGTCACAATAGCCTCGGGAAAATTTACACACTCCCCAACATTGAAATCTCCGAAGCCTTCCTCAAGCTTCGTGAGCAAGCTCGGTGCCATTATCAAGTGTCTAACGAGTTACAAGCGGGCCTAGAAGTTATCAATAACACAAATCTAGTATACTTCACTCCACCACAGAAAGCAGAGTTCTTCACACTGAAGGGCATGTTCATCGCCAAATTGGGCCACAACGAAGAGGCTAACGCAGCTTTCGGACAAGCGGTTCAGATGGACCTCAATATGCCAAAAGCCTGGGCGGAGTGGGGCAAGTATAACGATCGTATGTTCAAGGAACAACCTGGGGAGCTGGCGTTGGCCGGAAACGCGGTTAGCTGCTACTTACAAGCTGCTGGCCTGTATAAGAACTCGAAAACCCGTCCTCTTCTTATTCGAATTCTTTGGTTCCTTAGCGTCGATGAAATCCCTGGTGGACCGATCTCCAAAGCCTTCGAGAGCTTCAAGGGTGACATGGCATTGTGGTACTGGATCACTCTGATACCTCAACTCCTCCTTTCTCTATCCCACCGAGAGGCTAGACACGCCAGGCGTCTACTTATGGAGTTGGCAAAAACATACCCTCAGGTTGGTCCGCGATGTGTTCCTGGCCTCTAAAGGTTTTCTGATGTGCATGTTGTTGTTGAAGGCTCTTTTCTTCCAACTGCGCACAGTGCGCGAGGATTATGCACAAATGAAGAAGCAAGTTACCAATGCTTCGGCGCTTGCAGCAGCAGCGGTGGCTAGAGCTGAGAGTGCCAATACAGCAGTGGCAGCCAATCCGGCCTCCATGGGCAAACCATCAGAGCCGTCTGAAACGCTTGCCAGCGACACCCAGAAGACTACACCAGGAGAGTCTCCGGCGGAGCTGAAGCGAAACGGAGAGGACGTTAAGCCGGTCGCCAACCAGAGCTTACCTGGCAGCGCTCCTGAAAACGCACCTGTGAAGGTTGGCTCACGGCATCCATGGGAGTATGTCGACGAGATTAGTGCAATCCTGAAGACGGCCTATCCATTACTTGCGCCAACCTTGGAACAAATGGTTGATCAATTAGGGCATCGGTTCAAACCAACCCAAGAAGAGGAGATTTATCGATTTATCAGTGCGTTGTTGAGTGAAGGTGTCTACGTAAGTAATTGTCCTTTTGCCTGGCCGGTGTCCCGCTCAAGAACATGTCCAGCAATCCGTCCAACGTAACGGTACGCCAGGGGATGATGGATCTGTTCCAGATGTCTGCGTAACAAACATAGTCCGGCTTGCCGCTAGTCTTCCCCCGGCAACAAAGGTATGTCAGATTCCCTTTCCGCTAGCTTGCCGCTAATTCCAGGCCTAGCAATCTTTTGAGGAGGACCTGGTTAAGAGCAAGCCTACAATGAAAGAATACGTTGAGCGCTTACAAATATGGCGCGATCGCTATGAATCCCACCTTGAAGCCCGCCCGCGGATCCAACCTCTCAATGTCATCAGTCACTGGCTCGTTGAGTTCCAGCATCTGAAGTATGACGATGTTGAAATTCCCGGCCAATACCTCGAGGTGAGCTTCAAGACCGTCTATTTCCTTACTCCAACACACCCTTGTATCATTAGCATAAAGATTCGTCTTCCGACTTCATCAAGATAGCACGATTTTCCCCAACATTTGAGCTTTGCCGTGGAAACTCTTTTTGCTTTAGGCGAATCACCTTCATTGGCCACGATGGCTCCAGACATCCGTTTGCAGTGCAATTGCCCTCTGCGCGTGTCTGCCGGCGGGAGGAACGTTTCATGCAGCTATTCAGAATTTTCAATTCGTATGTCATGCCCTGAGTTTTGATGGACATTACTCTCATGGGCCGCGTTCTCCAGGGTGTTAGCTCGGAGGAAGGAAAGTCGTAAAAGGATTCTAACATTCCACATCCCGATTGCAGTGCCCATGACGCCCTCGCTAAGACTGCTTGAGAATGATTCCTCTTATGTCACGCTGCAGGACATTTACGACCAGCACTGCCAAACAGTCGGTATATCGCGAGAGGAACCGATCATAACTTCAAGCCTCAAGATCAAATCCTTCATTGACCCCCACAAACCGGCAAGTTAAGTCGCCTTCTTCGAGAAGATACATACTAAGGTTCCTGCCCAGTTCACGCCAGCTGAGTTGACAAACCTCAAAATGGAATTGATGGACGAACTCGTCAACAAGATGGTTCCGCGGACCATCCTATCAAATGTATGTTCTCGTTCCGATCACTTCGTTGCTCTAACTGTTGTGTAGTACATGAGCAGAATTATGGCGGGTCCCATGGAGCGATGGATGATGCGAAAGCAGTTCACACTCCAAGTTGCAGCAGTTTCATTTATGTCATACGTCATGAGTGGTGGCAATCGTGTCCCTTCCCGCCTACATGTTTCAAGAAAGTCAGGCCTAATTTATAGCTCGGAATTGTTGCCAAGTACGTGATGGCCTCCTCTCAGTTTCGACAGGCCGTGACATATCTTCCAGGCGTAGCTCATAATACGCCGGTGCTGCAATCTTCCGAAGCAGTTCCTTTCCGATTTACCCCAAACATGCAGCATTTTGTTACCCCTAACGGTATAGAGGGCTTGATGACCTCGGGCATCATGGCCATTGGAAGATGCCTTACTGAGCCTGAGGTAAGCTTCATTCATTCGACAAGTAAACAACTGACAAATTCGTCATACAGTACGATCTAGAACAACAACTCAGCTTGTTCTTGCGAGATGAAGTGCTCACGTGGTATAGCCATCACGGAAAGCAACCATCCGCAGACATCGTGTTCAGAACCCATGTTAGTCAAAACGTGGATGTTGTCGTCAAACGAGCGGAAGTTCTTGCTTGCAAATATGAGCGGGAAAATGTAAGTTCGAGCAATTGGCTGTCACTGAACGAACCTGAAGGCCTCCGACAGACGCACCCCAATTCTTCCATACCCGCATCCAAAGCTGTATCCGATCTTATTTCAATTTCTACAAACCCTCAAAACCTCGCACGAATGCCCGAACAATGGTATCCGTGTTACTAATCAATCTCATAATGCGCCACATAGTGTACATGTATCTTCATCCACGATTGTATTAACACCGCAGCGACTTATGCAGTTCCACTGTAAGCCTTGGAAGCTTGATGGCCCTCGAACAATTCTTCGGTAGTCTTCAAAGTCTGAGTGGTAGACATTGAGAACGATCGAATAACTAGACCGCAATAAAATAATTCTCACCTCTTTTGCTTTTGCGAAAAATTGAGAATCCGGGGCATTGTACATGATGGCATTGCACAACATAAGAAACACTGCACGCTTGTACTCGTTGATGTCGGTTATTTCCATCTTCTTGATGTGCTGTTTGATAGTCTTAAGATCAATGGGGTACAGAACCATTTGATCGTAGTCCGAAGCCTGGGTCTTGTTGACAGGTTCGGCAAATATCTCCCCGTTCTTCTGGTCATTTATTTGCCCATGAAGCATAGTTATACTTCTCTCGAAGCGTTTTTTCTGTCCGTCACTTAATGTTGCATGGTTTGGCATGCGCCGAACAGCTAATCCACCTGGTAATGGAGAGCCAGAGGCCATGAAAGCTGAGAAATATCCGAACCGTGAATTCGAAAGTACCGAAATAGACGTATCACTCACGCAAACTCGCGTTAGGAGTTGGAGAGAGTGAACGTCTGGTCCTTTTACTCCCTCGGGCATCGATAAAGACATTTGCTTTCCTCTTGGCTGTATTGGTCGCGTGGCATCAATTACGTGTCAGAATATCAGAAAAGACGAACCTCCACGTGGGCTACCTGAACTCTTTGGAGTACCGGTGAAATCACTAATTTCGCCAGCTGGGGTGGCCGGATGTTTGGCATATTCACTAGTCTCTGGCGGCTCTGGGGACTGGAGAGGAAGGATGGCTTCATCATATCGTGAGCCTCAGAAAAACATGGTAGAGACTGTTCGGAACCTTGGGCAATTGACGTGGATACCAAAGGTTTGTTGAGATAGGCGGCCTGGTGTGTAACCGAGGACGAGGAAAGGTCACTGGCAGCCCGCTCTTCAGTTTGTTCCTCTGCGACCAGGCATTGAGTTCGGCAGAAAGCTGTACCGGTCCACGAACCTGGCGTTGGAGTCGCTGGAGCCTCTAGGGTGGCTGACTTCGTTTCCGAGTCTTCACTGGTGGAGCTTTGGGCACTGTCATCCAGCAACGGGAGGTTAATGGTGGTTTCCGTCCTGGCCACTTCATCAATCGTATCACCCGTTGCGTTAGGAAAACCCGACTCGGCAACAGGGATGCGAGTAAGCGCCTGAGTTGCACCTGCATGTAAGGCTGGGGTCTCGATGTCCATGTTATCTAGTCCATTAGCATCTCCTATCTCCTACTCACATGTGTGAACGCAGCAGCTGAGTATCCAATGCGATTTCGTAAACAAAAACGCACACCTCGTCACTGGCCAATTCGTCATTAGCCCCTTGTAAAAGTTGTTGGTCCTCTTCAGCTATCAAGTGATCCCATTCTCCCCTCTCAATTTGTTGAATTTCTTCTGTTATCCTGCTAATACTCCGTTAGCGTTGGGCTAGCAATATGTTACGAAAGATAGTCACTTAAATTCCCGGCTATTCTGCTCAAGAAATCCAACTAGCTCCATAACGCGGGCATTATAGAACTTTCTGGCGAGCTTCAGATTCATAGGATCTGCGCGTTGCCGTCGTTCGGTGTATACTCTGATAAGTTGGCTACTTACCTTTGGGTTTTTCAGAATCTGTAGGAGGTTCCTCTCTTCAAGGAGAATGAGTAGACAACGAAATATAATCAATCGAGGCCTGCCATACATCTCGGGGACAAGTTCAGACATAAGGCTGAGGTATATCTCTTGACACTTCTTTGCATCATAAACTCCTTTCGGTCGCGTCCATAAGGGATGTTTGACGAGGGAGTGAGACACTCTCGGCCAGTCCTTTGTGCCGACCTAACAGTGCAATTGTCGACCCTGGGAGACTGGTTGAAGATTCTCAGGCTCACTTCATATATGAGTTGAGCAAAGAGCAGCTTCTCGCGGACAGACAAATCTTCTTGCGAGACCCTTGGCCCAAGCATCCCCATCATTACAGAACTAACCTCAGGGCGCTCTAAGTATGGAAGAATGAGGCCGGCTGAATTGGCCCTCGGTGCAAATACCCGACAACATCTAGATCGCGTGTGCGACAATGTCCTTTCAACAGAAACTAGACAACATCGCGTCAAATGTCGTGCAGAAAGATAAAGCCAACGCTTACACATCCCTTTTGAATCAAATTCTGGACGCATCGACAGGAATTCTACTCAATGTCCAGGCGCTGCTCCGAAGAGCGTTCGATGAGACGCCTGTGATTGCTCGTCAAGTCCTTTCCGATTACGTCAGGTTGCTTAGGGAAAAGAAGTTAAATGATGATGCCCTACTGCAGCAATTAATCAGGGCCGCGTTGGAGCTAGCACAACCCCGGGGAGTCACGTTTGACGAGCAGGTAGTGTCTTGACCGTCAGGGTGTCTAAGAAAGCTCAGAGTCTATGGCTTGCTCAGGTTGCTACGTTGAGAGACCAACTAGCTGGCCTTCTAGAAGATGAAGAAGAATGGAAGGAGGCAGCTCAGGTTCTCATGGGGATCAACATGGATGCAAACCGCTCGTTCGTCAATAATCATGTATTGCGAATGCGAAGACGGACTAAACAAGATCACTAGGAACGAAGAGAAACTTACTATTTACATAAGAATCATCCGATTGCTCCTCGAAGACGAGGAATCCGGTCAAGCGGAAACATACTACAACCGTGCAGCTCTCCTGATCCATATTACCAACGACAAGATTCTGCAACTGCAATTCAAGCTGTGCCAGGCACGCATAGCAGATTTCGGGAGGAGGTTTTTGGATGCTGCCACTCGCTATCACGAACTCAGTTGGGTTCCAGAAATCGATGAAGAGGAAAGGACCCAAGCACTGTCAGTGCTGAATACTTTTGCTTTCGAGGCCAATAACTCACCGTCGCGTGCGGCAGCTCCGCAGCTGTCACATGTGCTGTATTAGCACCAGCAGGACCGAATCGATCGCGAGTGCTGGCGTCATTGTGCAGAGATGAAAGAACCACACAACTTCCAAATTACAACATTTTATCGAAAATGTTCCTTGGTCGCATCATTCGACCGCAAGAAATACAAGGATTCGAGAAGACGTTGAGACCTCATCAGCTTGCCCGCATTGCGCAATCATCCAACGACAGGTTGGCCTCAGCGATTGAAGCAGACGAAGCCTCCAGCTTGGAGCCAGTCAGTAAAAGAACGGGTCCATCGACCGTTTTGGACCGAGCGGTCATGGAACATAATCTTCTTTCGTGCTCCAAAATCTACAACAACATTACCTTTGCCGGACTTGGCGTCCTCCTTGATCTTGCCCCTGGCGCCGCTGAAAACATGGCACGAAAAATGATCGAGCAAAAGAGACTTCGGGGTTTCATTGACCAAGTCGATCGGCTAATATGGTTTGAGGCTAAGGATGATGACGAGGAGGCTCAGGGAAAGGCGGGTGGGCTGGGCGACGTGGACCTTGAAGAAGAGGACCCTGGTGCATCGTTCACAAGGCAGTGGGACAGACAAATTCGCCAAATCGCTTCCGGGGTCGGCATCGCGTCGTCATTGAATAGAGTAACGCATGCTGATTCGTTTGTTCCCTTAGGTGGAATCCATCGTCCAGCAATTAAGTGACAATGGTTTGATACCACAGCAGCAGATCAAGGCATAAGATATGCTCGTTTTATTACATAAGTAGATATAAGGTGGTTGCATGTAATAGTTGATGCAAATGCGAAGCATGAATGATCTGGTGGTTTGCTTGACCTGGGTACCTGTTGAAGACTTGGTGGGGGCTGATCTTGTCGTGGTGATATTCCTCAAGCGGACTCCAGTGGTTCGTGGGCGCCAGCATTCACAACGCCTGATTCCCTTCTTTGCTTCCTCTTCTTCTTTTCACGCTCCATCTTGGATTCGAATTCATGCCATTCACCTTCCAGGCTGGCAAGACTAAAGGAAGATAGTAAGCCGGGTTGCCAAATGAGGCACATGTGTTCTACGTACTCAACAGGAAGTGCTGCTCGGGGCTCTTCAGCAGTGAAGAAAGGTTGCTCTAGCGCATCTGTAGCTGTGATGCGTTTCGCAGGATCGTACTCAAGCAAACGCTGCGCCAGATTCAATGCCGCTGGCGATAGGTATCTGTGTGGGCATAAATTTAGCTTGATTCGCTATGTCACCATAAACACCCACTTCTGGAATGCGATGCCAAAACGGTTGTTGATCTTCTTAGCTGGCTTGACCAACTCATACCAAGGGAGATCTGCAAATCCCGGCCATTCCTCAACAGAAGGAGTGCCCATTAGTTGGTAGATACAGTCAAGTTGGGACATTTCCTCGACCCCTTGGAATATAGGTTTCTTCACATAGAGCTCTAGCATAATGCATCTTAGAGTAACTAGCGTTAATACTACTAACGGTATACTTGAATGGTACCCACCCAACGCTCCACATATCGACCTCGGGCCCATACACCGTTGCACCAAGAAGAAGTTCTGGCGGGCGGTACCAGAGGGTTATGACACGGTTTGTGTAGTCCGCCCGTCGCCGTTTCTGGTAAAATCTCGCCAAACCAAAATCCGCTATCTTCAGAACACCTTGATTATTAATTAGGATATTGGAGCCTTTCATATCACGATGAATGACAGCCTTCTGGTGGAGGTAAGCGATCCCAGACAGCATTTGCTGACATAATGACTTCAGATTGGCTTCAGTGAAATGAAAGCTTTGCTGAGACAGGATCCCAGTTAAATCATGGTCCATGTACTCGAAAACCATGTATACTGAGCCGCCTAACAAACTAACGGTGAGACTATGATGATAGCCTGATCACGACGGTGCGAACCTTTCGATACCATCATTTCATGCAGATTGATGACATTCGGGTGTTTCAAGGACTGAAGTAACTTGATTTCTCGCATAGCGGTTACTGGGAACCCATCTTTTTCCTGTTCCATTCGTATGCGCTTTAGAGCAACGAATTTCCCGGTGAGGACATTCTCTGCCTTGTACACTTTACCGAACGTCCCTTCGCCAACTTGGGAAACAATCTGGTAAAGTTCTTTTCCTTTTGGCGGCTTGTCGAGAGTGGGTGCTTCCTGCACAGTGGTAGATTGAAGTGGGGCATGAGGGGACGGAGGGATTGATGAATACGAAGTAGGGGCCTGCAGTGTATTCGTCTGTTGCGATGGCGCGGATGGCGAGCGCCTGTCGTAGGGATGGGCTTGGGATGCAGTTGTTGGCTCGGGAAGAGGACCCTCGAAATCCCCTTTCTCCCGATGCCCATCATAGTTTGTAGGCTCCCATATTGGTGTCCGTACAGAAGGCTGGGGTGCGGGCCAGTGTTGTGATGGATTGATTGAAGTAGGCGTAGGGGTAGTGGAGGTGGAGGTGGCTGGGACAAATCCCCGCTTGGAAGGTGCTGAAGGTGGAGGCGCAGACTGTTGACTTTGGCGTTCAGGACGCGTGTCAGAAATGTGAACACTCTCATTGTGACTCCGATCGCTCGGCGCGGTGACCAAGGGTCCCACACGTTGCCAACCGCCTGAAGTACGACTCGTACCCTTTACGTCTTCCATCTCTTCATCTTCGTCACTAGGGAAGAATTTCTTTAGCAAACTGGGTCCGCTCGAGTTAATCGGTTTGAAGCGTGAGCCGGAAGATGATGATGCATTTGAGCTAGTAGGGGCTTCAGTCGTTGCAATGATTCGTTCAACCGAGCTTATGGGCTGGCCAGGCCGCACACTTCCAAATGATGCTGGAGCAAGTGGGGTGATATGTTTATCAGCGGATGATACGACAAGATGTGATGTGATAGGGGTGTCGAGGCTCGAGCGGGCAACGTCAGGAAGCTAAATGAATGGCAAATGAGGTCTCTGAAAAATCAAAGCTAGGGGATGGACATACAGCAGCAGCAAGGCTCGCGCGGTCAGCGCCCAGGGAAGATATGTTATGAGATCGTTTCTGACTGATGGTCTTTTCGTTGACACCAGGTAAACGGTGAACAGTGCGCTTCTTAGGATTACTCGTGCGACTCCGACTGGAACCAGAAGAATAAGACCGTTCCCTTGACTCCGCACGCGATCGATAAGGTGATCTCGCTCTTGATCGACGACTCCCGATAGACGGGTTGGAACTGACAGAACGGGGGCGTTTGGTGCCTCGTCTACGAGATGATCGATACTCAGGGGTAATACTTCGACTCTGTCGAGAGTCGTCATGCCGGGAGGATGCACCAGAAGACCGAGATGTAGAACGAGAGGGGGAAGGGGTTGGAGAATGGTCATACTGTTGCTGTCGGGACTGTTCCTTCAGGCGGGTGCGCTCATTCTTCTGGAAGCGATGACTAGATCTGAGTAGTGTGTGAGACAATAGCATCGCTCTTCACAGAAACCACTTCGTGTAACTTACGAAACTTCTTGGGAATCATGCTCATAGGTCGTACTGTGCGTACTGGAATGCCCCCGCGAATCGTGCCCTGCCTTGCCTTGGTGGTGGTGGTTGCTGGGATTATGTTTGCGTTTTTTCTTTTTGCTGTGATTGTGACCCGAAGACGCCCCATATCCATCGTCGTGACGCCAATCTCGATGCTGTTTCTCGTATTGATAGTGCTGTGAGTGGGAATTAGGGTACTGCTGCTGAGAGGAGTGGTGGTGACGTTGGTGATGAGGCTGGGTAGAGGCCGAAGGATGCCGCTGCTGCCACGAACGGCTGGAGCTATGCCTGGAACTCTCATTGGAGCCGCCATTCCATTGAGGTGGTGGCATTGTCTCGCGCTCCCAGTTGACTCGCTTAGAAAGGTAACGAGTTTCATGATCCGCCGGTTGCCAGTCGCTGGAATGCCAACCATGATGAGTCTCTGATCTGTGCTCTTCGTAAGGTGCTGAAGTATCTCGGTGAGAAGTCCAACGGGGATAGGCGTCTCTTTCGACGTAGTCCCAAGTTTGAGTGATTTCGTTGTAATAGGGATCAGGGTGTGATTGAGTATGATGGGCCATTTCCCACTCACGGGGACGGTCGGATTGAGAATGTTGGGAATAACGTGAAGGACCAGGTGGGGAAGCCCAGCGCTCGCTACGAGAATCATCACCATGATGCCTGTAATCTTCCGAATGACGATCGTACGGATCTACGGAGGACTGCGTGTAGTGACGGCGACTCGACGTTGATGAGGTGTACTCAGGGGCCCAATTGGCAGAATCTCGAGGCCGTGAATGTCCGCTGTGTTCTTTCCTATGCATGCTACGTCTGTCAGTATGCCGAGTTGAATCTGGCTCCGAACGGTGATGTCGTGGCAGTTCGTTGTAGCCACTGTGTCCCCCAAAATCATCTAGTCTTGATACGACCAGCGGTAACTCATCCGACTCCATTACAACCTCACAAGGACCCCTATGTCTTAACAAAGAGTCCTAAGCCAGGAACCTTCTCCTCAGTCAGAAAAATTGAAGCACCTTTTCTTGTGGATGAGGTAAAACGGCGACGTTTGACACAACACAGGGGTAGCTCTTCAAACCTCAGTATCAACCGCCTGTCTTAACAATAAATATATGGTATGAGAACTTGCCCGTGAAGCGTTCAAAACCCGTGTTAACAAGAACAAGAAGTCGACAGTAGGAATTTTAGAACTGCCTATACCGGAAGTAACGATCAACACCTTGGCGTCATGCACGCTTTCCATTGATAAAAAGGTGCAAGCTCACTTCAAGATACTCGTCCCGGTGCCCAATCGCTCCTCAGGGACGGCAGGGCAACGAGACACTATGTATCGGCCACCTGGTTATCGGTGTGACCCGCGACAATGCTCAATATAAAACGCACAAAAAACTTGATGGCTATGCAGTTCCCCCTCGTCTGCCTTTCAATTGGGCGATGACAATGTGAACTCGCGACTTGCACCTTATGGGTGGATTGCAAGCTCGGCGTCGGCGCTCTTGACCTGAAACCAGCAGTCGCACATAATTTGGTTGAGGAGCGTGGCCCGAACGGCTTTCTGTTTACAATCGTATTATGATGCATAATGCTACAGATGCACTGTCTTGAGTGCCAACCAGAAGATAAGAAGGGTCGGAGCCCGGGGATAGTGAAAGTAAGAAAGTGATACGTATAATACGGAAACAGAGCATATGTGGAGCACTCAGACTCATAGTTTACTCCAGAATAATGAGTTGCTGCGTGAATTGGACCAACGAGAACTCACCATAATCACACAATTTCTCCCTTCCCGATCGTCTTCAAAACGCAATGACAGCACGAGATTTTGCAATTGTATCCGCCTAAGATGGGCTAGACGTCGTTGAGGATTTGCATTATCATGGACTATTTTCTCCTTATCCTGAATCTTCCGCAGGGAAACTTCCACACGTTCTGGCCCAAAGAGTTTGACGCTTGAATCAATGCCAGAAACCGCCACCAGGGGCAGTGTAGGGTGCCCTTCGATGCAATTGACAACGGACCCGTCACCTTCCCATATCCCAACGATTTCCGCCGTCTCCTTCGACCACAGGAACCAGTTACCGTCGTCGGATCCGGACGCAATGTATTCATCATTGGGCCCTAGGAAGTTTACTAGAACACAAGTTATCATCATGAGCATCCCAAGATAATCCAGCCTAGGATTACCGTCTTTAATTGTCTAGATCCACCAGTAGATTCAGTCAACACTACTGGGAGAAGTGCAGCAAGGACCTACTTCAACGTTGCACACCCCTGCAAACCGTCGCCGGGGGTAAACCACAGGCTGAGCAAGAGACGCCCATCGACTGGTATCCTCCTTGTCGGTTTCGCCAGCTACTGAGTCTCCGCCTTCATTTAGGTGATTGTCATCTTCCTCGTTCTCATTGGCCCTTTCACCGTCCTCATTATCCTCTCCATCCCCCGCCTCATCATCATCATTGTCATCAGCCATTAGTGCGTCAATGAGCTCTTGACCACTTATCTCAAGTCCATCGTCAAGCTCGCCTCCATTTTCATAACTTGCTTCATCAATACGTGCCAGCTCTATGCTCGGACTACGACTTAATCGTCTCCGTTTGTGACGTGAAGATGACGGTAAAATGGACCTTTCCCTTGATGCAGACGAAACGTCCACTGGGTCATCGTAAATGGAGAATAGGTATACCCCATCAGCCATGTACGCTGTAACAAAGTGCTAGTGCATCAAGTTTCCGTAAGGCTAAATATTTCACACTCACATAGTATCAGCTACGTGTGAAAGGGGATTCTTAGTCACCGTCGCCCCGCATGTAATGCCAAGAAAAAAACTTGCCTCATGACCATTAGTGGAAGACATTCGTGCTCCAGAAACGTGTTCATCCCCCTCGCTTTCACCAGGTGCCCTTGAGGCCCGGCCAAACCTTCTGACACAAGTCACGATCTCATCATCCTTAGCAGGCACGCCCCATTCTCTCAGCATGACGCGATGTATCATCCGACGGTCGAACAAGTGCGCATATGGTGATTCACCGGCCACAAAAAATAGCCAAGGGGATAAAGAGGAAGTTGCTAAGGTAGACAGAGGATGAGGCGTTCTCACAAGGGGTGGAGGACATGTTGGACAACTGTGTGGTGTTCGCAGATCATGACCACGAACAGTCTGATCCTCCGACACCGTCAGGAAGTAGTCAGGACCTTCCTGTGGCACGACTCTTTTCACACTGTTAGATTCGAATCAATGCCCGTCCATGGTTCGTTCAGACGTTACAGGCGAAATGGCTTACCGCCCTCGATGACATCGCAAAACCTTAATACAAGCTTCTGATGTATGATGATGGCCACTTCCCCGCCTCACGTCAAATAATCTCACTTGTCGGTCCCCTGCGCACGTAGCAATCCTAGCGGAGTTTGGAAGGAAATGTGCACTGAAGACGTTATCCATATGTCTGCATGGTATGATGAGATACGAGTTTTAACAAAGCTGAGGGACACTTTCCCTGTGTCGATAACGGTATCACATGCGTATTCGTTGCTCCTAAGCTTCCAAAGGCATATTCTGTGAATCGCAGGTTCGAGTTGAGGCGAGGAAACACAGTATAAAAAATATCAATTACTTTGTATCGTCGCCGCTAGAGACAAGGATATTCCCATCACTGCTCCAGGAAAGTGCGTTGACGCATCTGATTCCAGGGGTAAGAACAAGTCAACTCGGCGACTGATCGCTTGCTGACATGCTGGCGCGGCCGGCCAACTCACCCGGTGTGTCCGACGTGTAGGCTCTCGTCACCGAGGACCTGAATCCGGTCAAGACGTCTCCAGGCGTCGTTCAAAATAGTGTCCCTTTCCCTAAAGCCGTTCCTGAAGAATGGGAGACTGGTGCTATGGTGGGCAGCGGATGGCATTTATTGGACGATTATTGGTGTCATTGAATGGGTGGCTGTACAACGAGCGTATCTGGAAGTTCAAATGCATTTTTTGTTTGGTCGACTCTCGTCGTTGGGAGCCCGGACTTTGTCTACTAGGTTTGTGCGCAATTGGTCGCGCGTAACCGGGAATTTTTCTCTTTTGGTTTTGTCTTAGGTGACATGAGGTATGGCTTCTCGTTTGTAGAAAGGCCCCTCTGGCAGTCCTAGCGTGATACCTCTAACTATCAACATGAAATACAACTCACGTACTTTGAATGAGCGCGATACAGCTAGTTTCTAAAATTTCCCACTGAGACTTTGGCTCGGTTCGTTCTGAAAGAAGTGCGCCGATTGTGTTTGAGGCACACTGAAACACTTCTCACATATATAATTCGTGGGGGTAGAGACGATGATCCTCATTGCAACCATTGCATGTTTTGGCGTTGACTGTCACTCGCATTCTCTTCATGCGCTCCTTTTCATCATCGCTGGGGATCCTGGCGCTCTCCACTACGTTCTTTAGCCTTAATGTCTCTGCTCTTCACCGCACCAAACTAAACAAGATACCACTCCAGCCATTCGATCCTAACCAAGCTGCTATTCGCCTGGCACAGAAGTATGGAAGCGGTGCAGGCTCGCCTGCCTCTATTGCCAAGCTCACGAAAGAGCTAGTCGTTCAGACCGAATCTGACTCCGCAATGGGAGCGGATGTTATTCTCACAGAAGGGCATTACAATGAGTTGCAACTTACAAGTGAGTTGGAAATATAGCAAGGTTATCCAAATCTCAGCGTTCTCCTCCCATCACTCTAGACTATGCGAACTCTCAGTACTTCGCCGACATATCAATCGGGACTCCACCACAGAATGTGCGTAGCTCCTCTGTACACGTTTTTACTCTTTTTAATGACCTTCATCACAGTTTTCAGTCATTATGGATACCGGGTTAGCCTCCCTGGGGAGATAGACCCCATTTATCCATCTCATTTTTGTATTTTTAGGTCTTCAAATCTGTGGATCCCAAGCAAATCATGCAAATCTGTGGCCTGTACCATTCATGCCCAATACGATTCGTCAGCTTCGAGCACCTACAATCCAGATGGAGCGAGTTTCAGGATCCATTATGGTTCAGGGTCAGTAGAAGGGCATGTTTCGGGTGACACCGTCGATGTTGGAGGTTTAGGTGTGAAGAACATGAGCTTCGCAGAAGCGACTTCAGAGCCGGGACCTGCTTTTATTTATGGAAAGTGCGCCGAAATTCATTTTCCCCGTTGGGTGTCCACTCATTCACGAAGGTTTGACGGGATTCTGGGACTTGGCATGTGGAATATCTCCGTCAACAATATTCGTCCCTTGTTCTATCAGATGATCGAACAAGGGCTAGTGGAAGCGCCTGTCTTTTCCTTTCGAATAGGTCCCTCGGAACAAGATGGTGGTGAAGCAGTGTTTGGGGGGATTGATCCCGCACACTACAAGGGCGACATGTCGTTCCATTCGGTGAAAAGGCAGGGCTATTGGCAACTAGCTTTGGAAAGAGTAGCAATTGGAAACTCGGTACGTCCATTTTGATTTTTTAGGGCTCTTAAGTCATGAGTTTGTAGACTCTTGACTTGAGTGAAGCGGGAGCAGCAATCGATACGGGCACGTCACTGATCATTGTACCGAAGGAGCATGCCTCCGCTCTTAACAATGCGTTGGTATACCCGACTTGGAATTGCGTTTGCTGATGCTCATCGTGGTCTTCATTCACGCAGAATTGGTGCCATACCAAATGGAAACGGCCAATATGTTCTCCCATGTCATACTGTGGCGTCTCTTCCCGATATCGTTTTTACGTTCGGGGACAAGACCAAGGATTACCCCCTGTCACCTTCTGACTATATACTGACGGTCGGAAAGAGTTGCATGAGTGTTTTTACTTTCATGGATTCTCCGAGCGGTCTTTGGATCATAGGTGAGACGACCCAATAACAACCCTTTATTCTCCGCACCCTCATCCTTTTCTTCACAGGGGATGTATTTCTCAGGAGATACTTTTCTGTATTCGATTTAGGGAATAATGCTGTCGGCTTTGCCACCTCCGCGTGAGGCTAGTTACAGCCCAAGTTATAGCACCCTATTTATCACTCCACAACCGATGGATCGAGAGACTGGAAGTCTGGTACTGAAAGACCTGTGCAGAGGCTCCTTGGGCATTTGGATACATTCGACCATAGTCTCAGGCTTCGATTCAATGTTTCACATTGATTCTCCCCTCGAAACAATCCAGGAATTGTACAATACCTGGTGTCTACTTAGTAAGGGATTTGATCAAAAGGATGAAATCGCGCATGTCGGCATTAACCCTCCGCTTGAACAACTCGGATAGTTTCCGATGGTTCTTGTATGTGTCGCGCCGGCCCTCAGAAGAGCGACTTAAACTATGGTGTGGCTGTCAAGAAGGGTGTACTACTCCGGAAGTGTCTAAGCAACAAGGACTAAATCTTTCTAGATGTATTCAGGTAGATAGACCTTTCCCATAATCAATCGAAAGTGCGGCGATAGTACTTGGACATAGTGCTTAATATAATACCATCCTCCCTAGCTTCCCAAGCTGAGGACCATGCAATAGCAGGGTGCGGTGTCACCAGTTTGGAGCAACTAAGAGTGAATTCCCCCTCATCGCCCAGCACCATAGAAGGCAGCGCTATTCCAAACAGACACCGCGGATTAACTTATAAAGTTATGTTCCAGAGGCCTCAGGCAACGAGGTTGTCCGAAGCCTTCCTTTTTCGGCTCCGGATCCAACTTAGACCTTCTTACCTCGACCACTCCACAATGTTCGCAGTGCTAAATAGTAAGAAAGCCTATCCAGTCGATCTTAACAGTGTATTTATTCATGTCTGAAAGTCCTAAATCAGATGGGATGGGGTAAGCAGCTTGCACCATCTTGCTCGATCCTGGAGTAACAGCGAATTGTGTATGCAGGCGAATCCCAGCGGACCGAGCTTGCGAAGATTGAGTCTGGAGAATTTTATCTCACACGAAAAGACCGCTTAAGAGGCGCCCGTCAATGCATGTGCGTTATCAACATCTTGAAGTCTGGGCCGTTCCAACTGACTCAAATTCATGACTCATGTAGATACCCTAGAGCCATGTTCACCATTAGCAAAACTGCGACCCCCTTCCATTTTCAGATAGCTGTATCACGCGTTTGTGAAGAAGGGGAAGAGGCGATTCTCGATGAGGATGAAGAAGACGGTCAGTACCGCTGGATAAAATTGGCGCGAGACGCGATTCATTTGATTACTTTTCTCCTTAGCTCAGGATGATCACTCATTCCTCATTGATCCCGCTCTTGATTTTAATATCACCCAGACGGAGGGCTGTTACGCGCTCTCGTGGCGTGATACCGAGACGAACGATCCAGACGACAGGTTCGAGTACGTCGCAGATTCCAACATGAATAAGGCAACAAAGGATTTCATCGATGTTACAATACTACAAGCTATGTATGAGCGAAAGTTCAATAAGTCCAGTACAGGAATTCCCGTGGCACAGATGCGCGCGCTTACAAAGTTGTGAGTTCAATCAGGTTCCTTCTCACATTAGATGGTCGAAATATGCTTCGGGGGGTTTCAAGGGATAAACCAGATGATGAAGATGAAAGACTTGTCGAACAAGAGCCGTCAGCTTCCCAGAAAGTTGCCGTTCCAGTGAACAAGGGCAAGAAGCCAAGAGCATCCACTATGTCGGTTCGCAGCACCAACCCGAACGACGACCCACCACTCGTATCAGAGGAGGCAGGCTTATACTTGTGGAACCTCGATGGGGAGCAGTTTGAAGTGGTGGAGCTTAGCGTTCAGGCAACAATTACGAAACACCAAAACGGGCCTTTTGACTGTGAGGCAAAAGTTTGTCATCCGATCACACCGATGTATTCACCCATTTCCAAGATTGGATTGAGGCTATCCAAGGGGATCTGTCCATCCTAGCACACCAAGTGCTCCCAGATTTAAATGCCAGATGGGCAAAGGTTCTTCCTTCCTTTACAACCTTGCGGGCAGTCATCGACTTAGTTCTATGCATTTTCAGGATATACTCGGTTTCATGTGGCAGCAACGGGGCGGTGAAGGGTGGTTCGATAATTGGTGCCTGAAATTCGAAGAGCGCGAGGCTTTCGATCGCTTCCAGTCACAGTTTGCTCGCTCCCTTTGGGAAGTCAAGAATGGTATACCTTGGGAAAAAGCTGTCCGCGAAGACCAGGAATATGCTGTGGCTGTATGGGCTAATGAAGATGTGGAGATGGCGTCGGCTGAGGATGAGGATGAGGAATCAGAAGCGACGTCTGACGACGAGAAGGACGAGGTGGATGACGCTCTCAGAGGTAAGTATCCTGGAATGTGGATCTTTCAATGGCTTCTGGAACATGGTGGTCTTTACAGCTGACGCTGGAGCCCCTGAGGATGGGGGTAAAAACTCTAACCTGGTTGTTGGACACAACAAAGATCGAGCATTTGTTGTCAGGGGAAACAAGATTGGGGTGTTCAGCACGGCAGACGGTATACACTATAGCACAACCATGACAGGAATTAAAACTTCGAAAGGAAAGCATTTCAATCCGGACAAGGTGAGCTGCTGGGCGCTTGGGCCGTCGCAGGATCTCATCTCGCCCAGATTATGCTTCATGATCAAGATAAATCCATGCTTGTCATGAACCCTAATGACAGAAGCACTGTCTATCGGCTTGATCTCGGAGAGCGCGGTGAAATCGTGGAGGAGTGGAAGATCCATGAGGATGTTCCTGTTGAGCACATGGCACCAACCTCAAAATTCGCCCCGACTACGCACGAGCAGACCTTCGTCGGTGCCTCTGGAAATGGTTTGTTCAGGGTTGACCCACGTGTGAGTGGGAACAAGCTTGTCGATTCGGAGTACAAGCAATACGCCACGAAAGCCAAGTTCTCCTCGTTGGCGACCACTCAACTAGGGAAAGTTGTTGTTGCATCTACAAAAGGGGACTTCAGATTTTTCGACAAAATCGGTAAAAATGCGAAAACTGCACTGCCGGGAATGGGAGATCCAATTATTGGAGTTGATGTCACGGCGGACGGCCGATGGGTCGTGGCGACAACCAAAACTGTACTGTTGGTTTTCGACTGCACCATCAAAGATGGAAAATTCGAAGGGCAGCTTGGGTTCGATAGGAGTTTCCCAGCGGACAAGAAGCCAGTAGCGAAAACTTTGGCCCTGATGCCTCAACATGTTGCATATATGGGAGAAATCTCGTTCACAGCGGCCAGGTCGGTACTGATAATCTTGTTCATTACACGTCGATTCTCATGATAACCTAATACAGGTTTAATACGGGCCCTGATCAAGTTGAGAATACGATCGTGACTTCCTCTGGGCCGTACGTTATTGCGTGGGACTTTAACCGTGTTAAGAAGGGGTTGAAGGACAGGTACGAGATCAAGCAGTGAGTTTACAATTAGTGGTCCCGGCTTCCGCATCATGTCCACTCATCCCGAACGTCCAGACATGCGGACAACGTGGTTGCCGACAGCTTCCGTTTCGGAGACGACACAGATATTGTATGTCACAACAATCTGTTCAGCTCAGCCGGTACTAACCTAAAGCTTGACAGGTCGTGGCATTAGAGAATAATGTGTTGATGGTTGATAAGAGGCAACTGAAGAAACCTACGCGCCAGAGCTTGGCTTCTCCCGCTCGAACACGCCCGCGCAAATAATGCGTGATTGTCAGTATCGTATTCTTCGTTTATTGGGTCGTTTGTCACCCGCTCGCATATGCAGTAAGATGTCTTACCTACCTATCGTATAATCTCTGTGTTCGCCGTCTCAAATTTGTACTTCACTGTACCAATCAAATTCCGTTATTCCCGAAAACGATTCTTTCCCACATGATCGATGCAGCATCACGTGTCTTCAATTCTCGATCCATATATTGTCGGGTTTCGATGCTTTCTTTTTTATCGTTGAACGACAACGTAGACGAGGATCTGCTTATTGCTGCCGGCAGGGTAGCACCCGTCGTCGTTCTATCATCGAATCTCTCGATTGATCTTCCAACTTCGAAATATTTTGTTCTCGCCGATTCAAACGATTTGGGGTCTTTCACAGTCGACGACGTGACGTCCTGGCTTAATGATGGAGCAGAAAAAGCGATCTTGCCCCTGGCTCTCGTAAAGTTATGCATAAATATCTTACCCAAAGAAAAGTTGCTCTTGTATTTGGATCCGATGACTACTAGTACCATCACGGACACCATTCGAAGTGGGATATCTGGACTTCTATTGCGAACAGCCCAAAGCGAGTTCGATCTCTCGGCCATCAAGAGGTTCTTCTCTGGACTAGATCTTTACGTTTACCTTGAATCGGACTCTCCACCTCTTCCTAGCACCATACGCGAACTGTCCAAACAGTCCATCACGATCGTCATCCCGACCTCACAACTTACGCTATCCCAAACCACCCAGACCCATATCAATGTAGGGGATGCCTTTTTGGCTCCTGTCTCTTCTGACCGCCCAGACGGTTTATTCCCTACCGTTGTGTCTGCGTACGATCGTTCGGGTACAAGCCTTGGGTTAGTATATTCGTCAGCTGAGTCGGTCCGTGAGTCCATTATCACCGGGAAGGGAGTCTATCAGAGCCGAAAGCATGGATTATGGAGGAAAGGGGACACATCAGGAGCGACGCAGGACGTGATCTCGATTCGTGCCGACTGTGATCACGACTCGTTGGAATTTAGTGTCATACAGCACGGATCAGGATTCTGTCATACAGGGTCAGCGAGCTGCTTTGGAGAATTTCGGGGTTTCTCCGCATTACAATCTACGATTCACTCCCGGAGAGCCACAGCCGTCCCAGGTTCCTATACTCGTCGGCTTTTTGACGACTCTGTGCTATTGGCAGCAAAAATCCGGGAAGAAGCTGACGAGCTTATCGCCGCAAAGTCGCAGCAGGATGTGGCGTTCGAGGCTGCAGACCTCCTTTATTTCGTTTTGACCTATTGCATTTCGAAAAACGTCAATCTCGTCGACATCGAGGAGGCACTCGATAGAAAAGCTAGGAAAGTCACCCGCAGACCAGGAAATGTAAAGCCACAGTACCTCAACGCCATCTCTCGGGAGATTCCCGCGCTGGAGGTGTCGTCAGCGCCCTCCAGGTCGACAACGGGTTCTGACCTTATCCGGATGAAATTTGCGAATCTCGACGGCCTCGATAAGGATTCACGACTTCAGCTTCTGAAGAGGCCGGTGTTGAAGTCTGACGAGATGATAGAAAAAGTGAAGCCGATTGTTTCGGAAGTCCGGAATAGGGGGGATGCTGCTCTCCTTGAATTCACCACGAAATTCGACAAGGCAGAGTTGACATCAACCGTGATTAAACCGCCCTTCCCCCAGGAGTCTATCATTCTTCCACATGATGTCAAAAACGCCATTGATATCGCATATCAAAACATCCTGACCTTCCATCAGGCCCAACAAGAAAAGGCTACTCTGACAGTGGAGACCACGCCAGGTGTCGTTTGCTCTCGCTTCGCACGCCCTATTGCACGCGTTGGCCTATATGTTCCCGGAGGTACCGCTATTTTGCCTTCGACGGCACTCATGCTAGGTGTTCCGGCTCAAGTGGCAGGGTGCAGGGAGATCGTCATTGCAACCCCACCACGTCCCGATGGCAGCATTGCCCCAGAGGTGATGTATGTTGCGCAGCTCGTTGGGTCATCGACGATTCTGAAGGCGGGAGGGGCACAGGCTGTTTCAGCCATGGCGTATGGGACTAAAACTGTGCCGAAGGTTGACAAGATCTTGGGGCCAGGGAATCAGTGGGTCACTGCGGCGAAGATGTTGGTACAGAATGACACAGACGCACTTGTTTCTATCGATATGCCAGCAGGCCCCTCGGAGGTTCTTGTGAGTATCCCGTCAGTGCTTCGCTCATGACCCAAGTTCAAACCTTCAGTGGGACAGGTCATATCGGATTGGACGGGCAATCCGGCTTACGTCGCGGCTGACCTCCTATCTCAGGCTGAACATGGAGTTGATTCACAAGTGGTCCTCGTTGCCGTCAACCTGACCCCGTCACGCCTTGCCGAGATTGAAGCCGAAGTAGATAAACAAGCGAAGGCCCTCCCACGTGTGGATATTGTTCGAGAGTCGATCGCGAAGAGCGTCATCGTTTCGACATCGTCACTTGAGCAAGCTATCGGCTTCTCAAATGATTATGCTCCGGAGCATCTGATCTTGCACTTGGAAAACGCCCGAGACGTGCTAAAAAAGGTTGAGAATGCAGGGAGCGTGTTCGTCGGGCCATTCACCCCAGAGAGGTGGGCTGTCCTTAATCCTGCAAACAACTCCCCATGCTAATTCCGAGCCTCAGTTGTGGTGACTATGCCTCAGGCACCAATCACACCCTCCCGACAAATGGTTATGCTCGGCAATTCAGCGGCGTCAATCTCCAGTCGTTCCAAAAGCACATTACTTCGCAAGAAATTACACAGGAAGGGCTTCAGAAGCTGGGGCCGGTGGTTGTGACGCTCGCGGAGTGCGAGGGACTATCAGCTCATGCTAATGCGGTTCGGGTGAGGTTACAGGGGTGATGTAATTCTGGATCTTAAGGTGAGTGATATGAGGGTCATCTCGCTGACTGCTTGCTGTATCACTGATTGGTCTTACATCAGGTGGGTGGGATTGTATTTCTCCGTCCTAAAGCGTGTGTATATGTGGCGGAGTCATTGGTGTACGTGTAATTAAGAATCAAATTGATTTATTGGGGAGATGGTTATTTCGAGTCGCGGGTCTACGCTGCTCTTAGACTATCGCGAATGAGCTGAGGGTAGCGCGCTCCCAGAGGCGATGAGTGAGGCTAAGTGTGTTTTTGCATGAGCGTTCGGTGTGCGAATGTATGCGGTCATCTGAGCCGGAAGTTCCCACACTATGGTGTAAATACTACACCATAAATTTCCAGCTCCGAACCTACACACCTTCTCTCCCCAACCACTTTTCCTGAGAGGATGACTACTTCATTGGATGCTCTGAAAGCCACTGGCACCGTCGTTGTCTCCGATTCTGGAGACTTTGAGTGTAAGTTGAGATGATTTTCCGACGTCATTGGATCGGTCACCTTGCTGACGAACGTGTACAGCGATCGGCGTCTATAAGCCACAGGTACGCCCCCCGAGCTTAGCAATATGATTTAACAGTTTCGCACCTCTGGCCTTGCTTTGCGGTCAGGATGCCACGACAAATCCATCGCTCATTCTGGCTGCTGCCAACAAGCCAAATTACCAAAATCTTATCGATTTTGCCATCAAGTACGCAAAGGAGACAGGTGGAGATCTCGACACCCAGGCTAACCTTGCTTTGGACCGCTTGGTGCGTGAAAACACTCGTCGATCTGCTCTTGTCCGTGCGGGCCTAACGGAATCCTTCATAATATTATTTTTGGATATCGCCCAGCTCGTCGAGTTCGGCAAAGAGATTCTCAAAATCATCCCTGGACGTGTTTCGACCGAGGTCGACGCTCGTCTTTCCTTCGATAAGGAGGCAACAAAGAAGAAAGCTCTCGAGCTCATCAAGCTCTATGACAGTATCGGCATCCCAAAGGAGCGTATCCTCATCAAGATTGCTTCCACTTGGGAGGGTATCCAAGCCGCTCGAGAACTCGAGCGCGATCACCAGATTCACTGCAACCTGACCCTTCTCTTCGGTTTCGCGCAGGCGGTAGCTGCTGCCGAAGCCGGTGTCACCTTAATTTCGCCATTCGTCGGCCGAATCCTTGACTGGTACAAGAAGAACACGGGAAAGAACTACGAGGGCGATGACGATCCTGGTGTTATCAGCGTTAAGAAGATCTTCAATTACTACAAGCAATACGGTAAGCAAATGGAGCATAATCTTTTTTTTCGCCTTTTTATCCCCTCATTAGGCTACCGCACCATCGTTATGGGTGCTTCTTTCCGTAATGTGAGTAAAATAACTGTGTCTGGCTAAAGTTATCGCTTCTAATCTACTGCCAGGTTGGAGAAATCAGAGCCCTTGCTGGCGTTGATTTCCTAACCATTAGCCCTAATTTGCTGGAGGAGCTGAAGAATTCGGCTGCGCCCGTTCCTAAGAAGCTTAATGCAGAAGCTGGTGAGCCGGTTTTTACCGTAGCGAGTCGCTCTCCAGGTGATGACGTGTGCCCCCTGTTACGACAACAGCTGCTAAGGCAGACCCAATACCGAAGGTCTCCTACATCGAGAACGAGCCCGAGTTCCGCTGGTCACTCCTGGCCGATCAGATGGCATTCGATAAACTTCACGAGGGTATTCTCAAGTTTGCGGCCGACGCTGTCACCCTCAAAGACATTCTCAAGAAGAAGCTTGAGTAAAAGACGCGGTACCGCATTGCTACATTTTTGTAAAATCATCATGTATCATACTACTGTGCTTTTCGTCGTAAAAATTGTAGTTGGCTGACAAGTAATATTTTGGCGGCAATCCCCAAGCTGACGACCAGCATCAGATGTTAGAATTCTTGGTACTATGGTGTACGCTATGACCAACTCACGTTTGGTGATGTTGAGTCGTGTGGCGTCTAGATTTACACCTATTGCCTTTCTTGGTGACATCCCTGCGCATTCATAGCGCCTGACTATAAAAGAACAATTTTTGGACAACCCAACCTTTCCTCAGTTCACGTACAACGGGACTGAGGTGTGTTGGTTACATCTTGTTCATCTTTCATAAAACGTGTATCTAATATTCGTACACCAGCGACAACATCGCTAGGTGATTACTTTTCAATATATTTCTAGTTCACGTACAACGGGACTGAGCGATAACATCGCTAGTCTGACATTTCGTCTTATATCAGAGAGGCTTTCTTTCCTCTTCAATCTCCCGTATGTACAGCTAGCCTGTACCGAAATTAAGCATATATAGGGCATTTCCACCCGAGGCAGGAAATGGTCGGCATGTTAGGGGTTGCTAGGGACCCGTATCAACCTTAGTTTTGCTGATGGGCCAATACAGCTAGCTACGGCAAGACTAAAGAGCTCAGCTTTATTGGCTGACGCAGCCAATCCCACAATCCAAAGGCAACGCAGTCACAGTATACAGAAAGCACCCCCAGCACACAATAACATGTGCAAGCCGGCCCTATTCAACATCCTCCCACAGTCGACTAAAAGGGGATTCGATTCTTGATATCATCACGATGCGCAAAGAGCTAATTGCTTTGCAATTTGGTTCAAATGCCATCATGCATGGGTAAACCATGTAATCATTGAATCTATCGTAGGGAAAGCATTCTGAAAATCGATCGCACATATATATATATAGTCTAAAGAACTTTTGAACTGGCAATCACTTCCGCTCAGCGGTGGCCGAGGTAAACGGTCATGAGCAACACGGTGAGGATGAAGCGCTCCACCGAGTTCCTGCGCGCCAACTCCTTGTCCTTACGCCCTGGAAGTTGAATGAACCAATCGAATCTTTTAAAAACGCTCCTAAACTCTCTCCGTTCCAATTTTCCTACCAGGTGTCCAACCTCGCAAACTCTGCGAATGATCGAGCTCTCCAATATCGCGATGCACCATCTAAAGCCATTAGGTTGAATCCCTGGAAGTCGTATGCGACCCCTTTCTGTCCAGAGGTGACGGAAGAAATCGTGGAAGATGTTTGCCGCCATTGATGAGACAAGGAGAGCAAGGGAAAAGTGGGAAAGAAGGGATAAACATGGGAGAACGACCCCGAGCAACCCCACAATCGTTCCAGCAGAAGCAGCAAGAAGAATCTCTGCAAAGTCGGCACATCCCTGTATGACAAAGAAGGATACATGACGATCAATGCACTGTCCCCACGCGTCCATCCGAAGAAATGTCGATACGAGCGAGATCCCCCAGACCACCAGGGATGGGTAACAACGACGTCGCGTGCACCAAGGAACCCGACACCCCCAGTGGCCTTCGAAGCCTGACGATGTCTGACACAAAAGTCCACATCTTCCCCGCCACCGGTGCGCGGGAACCTAAGATCGAAGTCAGACCCGCCATTCACTCGCCTAACCGCAAGATTCGCTGTAACTCCCCAAGGGATCTCCCCGTCCAATTTCTCGCGATATCCCAAAAGTAGGTGATACCAGAATAATGCATTGCCATGGTAAAAATCGAGTTGGGACTTGGAAGGTGAGATAAGCCAACAATCCGGCTGCTTGAGGATGTACGCGGATCTGACGTTCCAAATTACAGAGTATATCTGGCTCAGGAATCACGTCATCATCTAAGAAAAGAATCCACTCCGCTGCGGACTCCGACAGACCGCGATTCCTTGAAGCGCTTGCCCCAACGTTACGTTCGTTGATCCTTATCCGGACATCCGACCGATGTCCGTGTCTGGTAAGGAGTCTATCGATCCAAGGGGAGTTGGGAGCGTCGATGATGATGATGAAGTTCACGGAGCAAGTATCGCTCGATCGGATTCCCAGAATGTTGTCGAGAAGGCTCAAGTTCACACGGAACGAGGGAACGATGACATCGATGGTGCTTATCCGGGCATCCTTGAACCCTTTGGCAGCCAAATCCTTGACCAACACGTCACTCGCTACTTCGAGTGTTTGGAATGTCCAATGTGTCGCAGAGGCTTGAGAATCTCGAGCTGACCCTTCCCCACCGATCCTGCTTGATATTCGGGAGGGCATTATTCTGTTGACCCCGAAGCGACGATAGAGCTGGAATAGAAAAAGGCCTCCATCTTGGTTGACAAAGATTTCGGGAACAACCGTTTGCTATCGAAGGCGTCCAGATGGTAGCGATGGATGATCGGAAAAGTTGGCATCCCAGGGAACGTGGTATCCGTAAATGCAACGCATCCAACTCCATGAGGAAGACCGCGAGTGGCTGAAAGATCGAGGAAACATTGGTGAGCCTTCCTCATCCACCTTCGTCCAGTAACTCAACATCATCACGAAGAAGTATGAAATAATCGACTCCATCTTGCCAGGCCCTCCTTGCAAGATCCCACCAAACGTCGTGGACACCGTGACGGCCATGGGATGGATCGAATTTATCAAAACAATGTCCGTTAATCCCACAGAGCGCAATACGGCTCTAGTTTCGATTCCGCAGATCCTAGAAGCAAGGAGTTGTCGTCACTGTCGATACCAAGGTATATTTTGGTCTTGAACGAGGTGTTGCTGTAACTGTGCGTGTCTCGCCACGTGGTGTCGACAACGGAACGGGCAAACCGTTTAAGCGAATCTAAGCAATCGTCGGGCGAGGAAGATTTTCTTGATGTCATTGGGAGCAACAAGGCAAAACTAATAGGGTTGGATCGCAAGTCTTCGACTTTACCATGCTTCCAGAGTTCAAGTTGACCCTCCCGTTTTTCGTCGGGGAGCTCTGCCAAGAATCTTTCCATCCCCGCTTCGATCGAACGGCACGTTCTCTCCATTCCTTCTTCCAGAGAAATACGAGGTCTCCATCCAAGTACTTTCTCCGCCAACGCAGTATCAGAAGTCCGGGTTCTAACGTCAACGTCTTCGGGGGATCAGATGTAAACTTAGCGTCCGACCCACTGGTGTTTACCGATTTTAGGGCGATAGAGGCGAGTTCCTTGGTTGATACCGTTCGTTCTGATCTAATGTTTATCGGATCGCTGCACTTGGAATCAAGTAGCCGCATGACTGCGTCGACAGCGTCATCGATATAAAGAAAACTCCTCTCAGAACCATCACTCCAAAGTTCGATGCTAGGAGTTTGGCCACGAGTCTTGCCAGGGCCACTTTGCGTAAGAAGGCTGTGGGAGTCTTTTCTCTCCCGCCAAACCAGGTGCCGTTGGGCCCATAAACGTCGTGGAAACGCGCAATGTGAAGGGTAGGAGCTTCAGCGTACGATTCCCAACGAAAATTTCGCACCAGTGATTCGGAGTTGAATTTTTCGAGGCCACATAGACCTTGGGGAGAGATGGGATGATGTTGGACATCGGTTTCGGCGGGAAAGACATATCCGTTCTCTTTTCCATGCGAAACCTGTGGGTATACGCAAATTGACGAGGCGAAAAGAAACTTTGAGAGTCTCCCTTGTTCGTTGCAAGCGCGGAGGAGATTAAAGGTAGCGATGTGGTTGAGGATATAGATTCTCCCTTCATCCGACGCATGCATCATACGCATGTCACCTCCCGTGAGAGCAGCAAAATGGAGAACGCAATCAACATCCCGCACTGCTCGTCGGCATTGATCAAGATCGCAAAGGTCCACAAGGAAGAATTCATCGCATAGCTCTCCGGGTAGTCCACAGGTTGGCGAAATGTCAGCGATTCGAACGTAGTGATCCCGTTTCTTTAGCTCCCGGGCAACATGGGATCCCTTTCGTGAAAGGACCAATTGAGTTTATCAACTTGCTGCAATCCTTAGGACGTACAATGAATCCATGACCCCCAGTGACTAAGTATCTAAGCTTTGTACCCATAGAAGAAGCTCTGAGGAGAATGAGGGAAGTTCGTCCAGAGGTTCCTCAGTCGAACTGTAAGGGTTTATGTATGTGGGACAAACTCCTGAGGGCCCCTAAGATTCAATAGCGCTCAAGAGCTTAACTAATTATCAATCAGGTCAGCTTCTGGACGCGTGCCCACTGACATAAATCCTGCAACCGCCGATGAGCACACTCGCAACAAAATATCCGACGCAAAGACCGTTGTAGGCGAAACCTTCTAAAACATTGCGCATGCCAGTAGCGATCATCGCAACATCGCATGCTCTCGTAGTCGTGAGGTAAATCACAGACACAAAAGTGCACAAGAAGCTGCACTGACAGTTACAGCAAGTGACAAAGCGTTCCAAGCGGTCATGTGATCGTCCAACTACTTTCCTAAATAGTCAACTGACTTCTTCGCTCATCCAAAATTGGACGCGCCGATTGGTTTTATCCCTTGCTGTAATAAATAGCGCCGAGCGGGCGGCCGCTGTGAAGCATTGTTCGATTTCGATTCACACTATGTAAAGATCGATATCGATCAATCTATGATCTCAATTCAACTTTGGGGGTTTGCGGTGCCCTGCGAGTTCTAGAGTGGCATCCAAGATCCAAATTAGATCCAAATGTAACGCGTCTCAAGATAAGCGAGCCCCTGATGCTCATCTACCATTACAGTTGGATCAGGGACAGAAGGGAAGAAGTTAGGTCCACTCAACTGAGGGAAAAACGGAAACCTCCGTTTGGCGCATCTACCTTTCACCGAATCGTTGCAACACGCTTGATGATAGGGCTCCTAGCGGATCGGATCGGATCGGATTTGATGCGGATTTTTGAGGGTTGGGATAATGGACACCGTATCTGGCGGTTATAGATCTGAATCCGCAGATAATGCGGTGGCGGACCATATTTCAAATGAGCAATTTTCCTTTGGTAGTATTACAGTTCAATGTTATTGTACAGCCAGGAGAGGTCCTGCCCTTGTGGAGCGCAATCTCGACATTGGTCATTATGTATTTCATTACTCTGAGGAGAGCTTCAGCTTCTCGACGATCGGGAAATTGCCGCAGTGAGGCCGCTGCTTGCATGGTTGTTACAGAGCAGGATAAAAATGGATAAATGAGTTTTGTGCTGATGCTAATCAAGTTGCGCACAATCACATCATAAAACCCGCGGGATTATCCATCGAACCCGCAGGTCATCCGCTAATCTGTGGATTAGATCGAAACTCAACCTAGATCATCGCTATCCCTGGACACATTAGAAGCTACGGATATCTCCAGAGCTACAACCGAATTCGCAGATAACCGGATCCATCTGTAAGAACATGCGCGTGTCATCCAACGTTTGGTCCGAGGGCCGCCTGCTCAACTCTGCCTTTTTGAAAATTCCACCCTCAGCGCCCCCCTCAAAATGCAATGCTACCTGCTCAGAACGCGTCCAAGCGACCTGCAGGTCTGTCCTGTGTCTGGCGTCGGTCTATGATGCACTGGATTCAGCCCAAAGCGCGTTACACATTAATATCGTCGTCATCACTTCCCGATCACCCGAACTGTGTCATCTCCCCACATCTGAGTAGGCGCAGTGCGTTCTGACATCATCCTTCACTCTTGCGACTGATTACCCATTTCTTTGCACCGGAAGGCAGTCACCCAATCGGCTCTGGCAACGCGAGACGCGCGTACCTTGCATATCTTTGGGTTGCGGGGCAGTGAGGTCAAGGTACGTGTCCTGATACATTCCAACCGATTATCAAGTTACTGACGTTCTTGCGAAAGCGTTACCATACGACAAACATAGGGTCGTATTGAGACTTCATGAGTAGGTTCACATCGACTGGGCATGTTTGACATCTTGGCATTACCATTAACATGCAGCATTCTTGGTCTTATCGCTACCACTATTCAAAGTGCCTTGCTTCTCCTCAGTTCACATATAATGGAACTGAGGTAAGATGACCCTCTTGGTTCACATTATCAAATATCTTGTTAACTGAATCAAGCGCGCACGCAAGGACGCGCACGATAGTATATAGTTTAGTGTAAAAATTTGTTTTGGCACCCAAGCAAACTCCCCTTACTATGCAGCCCTCTATCCCTTGAACTGACACCCCTTCCGACAGCTGCTTACATAATCCAAACGAAGAACACACCGCTTCGTGCGATGGCCGCACTGCCACGTCATCACAAAACAGAATCATCATTAACCAGCGCTTGATTAGTAGTTAGACGAGAGCTTCTCTTGCATCTACATACCTCCCCCACCTCCTGCGTGATTTGTGAGTTGGTTAGAACTAGTCTGCTTAATTATCGGCGTCAGCCGGTCCTCTAGAGGGAGGTAATTGACTTTTCCCATGCAGAAGCCCTAGCAATAGGTGCTGATCCAAAAAAAATCCTTCAAGATGCGCGGGACTGAACTTGTCGATCCTGAGGCTCGGCACAACGCCTCACGGAAGTGGTCTGGCGTTTCCAGGGTGAAAGGGCCCACATGGGCGAGGCTGCCACTGTTGGCGCTGAGCAGTTTTGGGATTTCGGTTTTCTGGAGTATGGTGTCTGGAAATGGTACGGTTTTTTTTTTCTTTGATGATGAGGTCGTTAGGGTGCGTCGGTAGTCTGACCTTTGCAATATGGTAGCACCTCCATACTTAGCATCGTTGGGACTCTCGAAATCGTGAGTGCCTGAGAAGGCAGTGGTTTTGGATTATGAATATGCGTGTTGTAGGGATATCGCCATTGTCATGGGTGCTGGCCCTTTGTCCGGACTCCTGGTGCAACCCATCGTAGGTCCGTCACTTCCCAACTTTCGCGGTTCTTCCGTTTCTCCTCATGGTCTAAAAATTTGCCATTTTCGAACCTAGGCGTCTTCTCAGACTCTTCGACATCCAAGTTTGGCCGTAGAAGGCCTCCCATTGTCTGGGGTGCTTTAATCTGCTTCTTCGCCCTCTTTTTATTTGGGTTTCCTACAACGTTTGCGTCCATGCTGACAAGGAGTGAAGGGGCCGTACGTTTTATTCTAATATTATTTTAGTGTTCGATCGGAACATGCGTGTCTGACGTCTAATCTCATGATTCTCAGCGCAAGGCTATCACAATCTTTATCGTCTCGACGTCTATCTATGTCCTTGACTTCAGCATCAATGCTATCATAGCTGGTCACCGTGGATTGCTCGTCGACATCCTACCGGCATCGGAACAGGATATTGGGAATGCTTGGATGGGACGTATGGGAGCCGTTGGGGGATTAATGGCTCATTTCATGTAAGTATATCATTGGGACGAGGAACAGTCGCTGACGGAAGCTCCGATCGTTAAGAGGGAACATGAGCCTTCCAGAACTATTTCCCTTCCTCGGAAATACTCAAATACAAATTATTTCCGTTATAATGAGTATCATCGTTCTCCTTACCAACGGCGGGACGATCTTATCCGTACAGGAACGAGTTCTGCTGGAACCTTCAGGCTCTTCAGGCACGAGGTGGGTAAAAGTGCGATGCGTTGTTGCACTTGTTCAATGAGGCCCACACCTTTAGGGCATCGGAAGGAGTTTGGAAGAGTCTTTCTAACACAGTGAAAGAGCTGTGGACGACAACTGTCAATTTGCCTCCGTTAATCTACAGAATCGTGAGCCGGTTCCCCATATGATTTCTAGCCTCTCGGCTGACACCCATATTTCCAATCAGTGCGTGATACACTTTGTGTAAGGACCCTCTTTTCTTTTTACGAGCACCCATCCAGTCCCGATACCAACCTTCTGCATGTATCAGCGCCACGTTAGGATGGCTTCCTCTGTGGAGTTATGTGTCTTTATGGGTCTCTGATTTATACTATCAAGAGAATCCTCGGAGCCCGCTGGATGTGAATGGTGAAGCTGGGATGCGAGCTGCTAATAGAGCCTTGATGTACGCATCAATCGCAAACACGATTTGTGTTGCAATCATGCCTTTCTTTGCGAGCTCGTCCCCGAGTGGGAAGGCTATGGATGGGTCTTGGTCCGATGGGACTGATCGGTGGAAGGATGTGGGCGGGGCACGAACGCGATGGAAGATGCACTCATGTTCTTTCTGGACGCTTTCACAAGCCATATTAACGTTCGCGTTGGGCGCTACTTGGTAGGTGGCCTCTAAATTGATGTGCTCCGAGAATAAAATGCTTAGGAAACTTCTTTCCCCTAGGTTCGTAGATTCCGTAGCAACCGCAAGTATTATTATGTTAATAGTTGGGATATCTGCGTCTGTACACGCATGGGCGCCAGGAGCCGTGGTGGGTAAAAAAAGGGCGACCCTCAGCTGATCACACCGCTTGATGATTCATTCATACAGTTAGGAGAGGTCATCCATACCACATCAACGAATCCCCGATCTCGATCCTCTTATGCGCTCGTGTCGGCCTCAGAACCTATTTCGGTTGAAGTGCGTAGCTCCATGGAAGCGGTGTGTAGGGTTCGTTCAGCTGTGCAATGAAAACTAACCACTTCCGACAGCATCATGGAGACGCCTCAAAACGCGTCCCCGGGACCAGCGGCTACGAGCATGTTGATCATCACAGGGCTCAACGTCATCACATCAACGACTCGATTGAATTCAAGGATATAGACGATGAAGACGACTCTGGAACTGAGAGCGCTGTGCAGGATAAAGCGGGAACCATTTTTGTCAGTTGCAAGTCCCCAGGCCTCGTGGGGGAAGTAAACACTGATATGTATTCACGATTCACGCTTTAGGGGATTCAAAACGTGTTCATCGTTCTATCCCAGTTCGTCGCCATCGGTGTATCTTCAATAGTCTTTGCGTTGACCGAGTATCCGGTTGGAGGATCATCCGTCGATGCAGAGGTGATGCTTAAATCCAACGCCACTTCACCAGTCACTGAAGCCATCCGGGGGATGTCTCGTGAGGCGATGCGTGCAGACACTGGCAAAAAACCGTTTGACTCGATAGGATTCCTACTTAGGCGAGTTATACTGTTTTTCTGTGAACGCGCAAGCATTTTGAAGTGTTTACAAAATAGATTGGGGGCCATCAGCTCAGCAGTTGCAACCTATATGTGCTGGAAACTGTCTAAGCAAATCCGTGCTTGATCTGAGGCGCCGCGAATGCCCAAGTTTATTTATACCCTAATCATATTTATTGGATTTCATTGTCCGCACAAGTCGCTGATCTTAGACACTTTCAATTTGCGTAAAAAGACTTACAGTCCAAGCGGGTCGATCTCCGCAGGTGGAGCCTCTGTTCGTTGGTCTGACAGGAAAATTAAACCTTTTTGAGATGTAATGTTATGACAATAGAGTTATAATTGTCTGGGGAGACTATTCTCAGAGTTGGGAGCAGGAAGAACCAGGTTTCGACAACCAACCGTTAATATGGAGTCATGTATTCAGAGCGTACGGCTAGATTGTGAGAGGGTGAATATTAGAAGTGAGCGGAGATTGACACGTATGTCGGCATCATTGGCTAAACTCTGTTTGGGATGGCATTCCTGTGCAACACCATCCCCCATAGCAAAAAACTCGCCATACCCTCTCAGGTCTGCGAAAAAAATTCTGTAGCTGCAATGGCGAGTCTGTCTTCCCAAGGCGGTTGACTGCCTATAATACATTATACGTCTCGAAATGAGAAGTGGGTTAGGGTAGGTCCCGTTGGAGAAAGTGGCGTCCATGACTGGAGCTTGTATTTTTCAGAGTGGGTTCTCAATCAGGAAGCCATCCTATGTGTATGAACAGATATTGTGACTCCCCGGGAGGTGTCGACGGTTGGATTCCGAGCTGGATTCGGTGATGATGAGAAATCTTTCTTGTTTCCCCGCAGTTGTGTGACAACGTCATAGTACCAGCCCTGATGTAACCATTACGAACTGCCTGTAGGAATGATGACGGTATCAACTGAACAATGTTCGGTGGAGCAAGAACTGAGGAACAAGAGAAAGAGAAAGGAGATTGGCATGCGAAGGACGTGACACCCCCTCCCATTCTATGGTTTACGAATGCAACTATACTTGAGTCCCCAGGATGAGTGATTGTTCACTGGAAGCTCAGGCCAAGATACAAAGACAGACAATCCATATCACGAGAATTTGGCGAGAACTTCTCCTGTTATCAATTTGCGGTCGGCGAGTTGCACAGTTCGGCAGGTTGAACAACAAGTGAAACCGGCTTACGCGAACAGAGGTGGCAGCTACCAAAGGCACACTGTTCAATATCGCACCATTTGAAATAGATAACCCATATACATCCGAGTTTCCCACGACCCACCCTGGACGTCACTTGTGACGAGTGGTTGTGTCCTCCAGAGAAACTTTGGTGAGCTTCTCTAGTGAAAGTCCGCCGTATTTATGCCTGAGACTATGTTTTCGTTTGTGCTGTCTCAAAAGCTAGGCGATCGAACCCTCCCAAGTCATTTGTCCACACTTAGCCCCTGCGAGCAACAGCTCGTAGCACTAACGTCCTAAGATGTCCAAGATTTCGAATGTTGAGAAACGGGCGAGTTTGGGCGCACGGATGACTCATTACAATTTACTAACACCGAGTGCTATAATCGTTCGAATCTTCAGCTCGCCTTCTATGGTGCATATCATTCGAATCCAATAAACGTAGCAATTCACATCGTTTTTGTGCCCACGATCCTCTGGTAAGCCTGCTTTCTGCCTCCAAACCTTCCGCAGCCAATATAGTTCTGATTGTACAGGACCGCACATGTCTTCGCATCGCACTGGGCACTCCCTTCACCTATTCCTTACATCTATCACCCGATAAACAAATACCTGACTTTTGAAACAAACTGGGCTCTCTTGGCCGGAGCAGGCTACTGGCTATACTACCTCCTCTTGGAACCAACAGCAGCGGTATGCCATCTTTCTGTTACTTCGGGCCTCAGACCCCTATTAACGTCTCCCGATATGCATATACTAGCTTCTTTACTTACCGCAGATGGCAGCCTCTGTTCTTACCGCTACCACTTTCGCACACTCTACGAGTTTCAATGAGAAACAAATTTCGATTACGCTTCACATCGTTGCTTGGTTGGTACAATTTGCGGGACACGGCTTTGCCGAAAAGCGAGCGCCTGCACTTTTGGATGATCTTGTGGGCGGTATGTATTCCCTCGCCACGCTCCTTGTCTTATCTTCTTTGACGTTTGCTTTATGGCTTGCAGCGCTTGTGCTCGCTCCCCTCTTCGTCCACCTTGAAATTCTCTTCGGACTTGGGTACAAGCCTGAATTGCACAAGAAGATCAAGAACCTTATTGGGAGGAAAATTGCCGATATTCGAGTTGCAGAAGGAAGGAAGAAGAGGAAAGAGGCGGCCCCAGTGGGAGTGTCGAGTTAAAGAAGCTATAACGCCTCTTCCATTTTCCCTGCCCAAGTACTCTGCTAAGCATGACTGTTATATCGATTGTTGTAAAATATACATTGTACCCCGAGCACCCGAATTACTAGGTCCATCGCAAGCATGAACCAAGTCCGACTTGGGTTCAGGCTGTGTGTGACCAGTTCCTCGAACGAAACTAAGGAACCACCAAGCATATCCAGGGAGCTGACCGTACATGTTTACAATTATTTCGACTAAGAGACGTTCTTCAAAGACGCACATTCCATATGTCAGGTCGACTTTTCCATTTGATAGTCGATCGACCAGGTCAAAGTTTGGATTGCTATAACCATGTGGAAAATCTCTCAGGCTACAAAAAAAAAAACTGGAGGACGGACTTGTACTCACATTTGCACCTCCGGTATACGTTGTCGGGATAGTTGCGTATTGGCTGAGAACTATGCAGGAAAGGATCGGGTCATCGGAGGGATGAAAACGCAATAGAGAAAAATGCACATTTTACCAAGTCCTCGTCAATCCCGATTCCCCTGACACAGACCCTCGACGTCCGCCGCGTGAATGAGGAATTCACTAGAGGTGTTTACGTGAGAAATTCGATGTTATTTGGAGGCGGCGAGAACTCACCTGCAATACTCAGAGAAAAGATCGAGTGACTCTAAATCTTGCCACTTATTCATAGCGACCGTCCAACCATCTTCCGTCCTCCGACAACTGACGTCTACGACTAACCGTTCGTTTGAAACTTTTTCCGATAACTTTTTCAATCTCTCCAAGGACGTCTGGAAACAGGTATGACGTCACGATAACCTGTGATTATGTGGAGTCAGAGATGAAATATAGAGGGGATTTCTTTCGATATACTTTCGCAGTAATTCAGCGGGCGTCTCTCTTGACTTGTCCACGTGTACCAGTGAATAGCACGATTAAAGATCAATTCTCACTCAAATAAAATGAACGCCTCACTTGGCCACAAAGTTTGCACGAAGTGATTCGGGCGATGAGTCCGACGGAGACGGAGTGCCACCGACTATTTGCTTAACTGCGCCGGCATGGAGGTCTATACATGGACGGAATCTCGATGGCATTATTCTAGCCACGACCATGGGTAATCACTATATAGACAGATTGAGCAGCCGAATCTTACGTAATAAATTCAATCATCAATACGACTGGGCAAGCGCCAGCTACCAGTCTCTTTGCAGGGCGGTAACACGACTAACTGCACACCCTCAAAGCCTTCTTTTATAGGAGAAGCCAAACTAAGGTTTGCCAGCGTGACGCGTGACAGGTTCTTGGTTGTGTTGGTACAGTCCAATTTATTGTCTTATTATCTTACATGTATATATTCCAACACCCTCATCTATTCCTTCTTGGCACTGGAACGATGGCAGAACAAAAATTCGCTTGAGGACTAGCGATTGCGCTGCGAGCTTATGTTGGAAATCCAACCGCTACTTAGGGCGCAGTGGCTTTCGGCCAGTGTGGGTTTCAGGTGGTGTGGCCAGAATATTACACCTTTATTCTTCGTTCAATCACCGCACCTTATGGGCTTTGATTTTGCTTTTGCTCGCTCGCAATACGCGCTTGGACCTCATCGTTCTAACATAAATATCGTCCACTTTACTCCGTCACGCCTAGTTCTCAGTTCACGATCTAGTTATTATCACAACTCGTCCATGTCTTATATTTAGAACCCTTTCCCCAGTTGTTTTTCTTTGCCTCCGTAGTACACCCTCTCATTATCTGTCCGTTGATGACTTGAACCGATAATGAGGAGGTCCGAACTGCATCCAGTTGTTGTGAGAGCGGAAGGATGGGCTGGTTTCTTCCGTGCTTGGTACACTGGTGCTCATGCGTAGTTGTCGTGACGTCTTCCGGTTATCGGCCATTTATCAATATGGGTTTCTTTTGCGTGTATATATCTTGTGCTGGATTCACTCTGGCTATTGCAAGGCCCACAATCAGTTCCACGGGCCCTTGTAAGATGGGTTGTAAGGTTTGCTTGTTGGACTTAGAAGCAATGTGGCTGCGTCATACAATTGTGACTCTACACACACCCTTCGCTCCTGCCCTTTCCAACGAATCCATTTCTCAAGGTGACCCAATGCCCAGCCAGTTGATTTACCTGCCATGTATACAGCTGACCGCGCTTGCGGAGTCGAGTCCGGCGCACTCAAGCCCGCCACTCTTGATGGCATCAAACCAATCGATCTCACACATACCGGACTTCCAGCTCCCTTCGGACGCCCGTAGTAGTAATTCATTCGATAGGAGTTTGTCCTCGAATCAAAGCTTGTTGTGTCTCTTGCATATTGGAGCCCAAGTTACCCCATAGTTGGGCTAGCTTCACTAGTTCTTGACTTCCACACCCCACTCATGATACATCGACAATGTGGACCTGGATTGGGTCTTTTCGTTGCATCAGCATGCACCACCCATCAAACCTTAATATGATGGTATACATCGGCGATGAGCGACGGGAAGAAAAATGTGTATGAATATCGCTGTTAGTGTTCTCCATGAGCAGGTAGCAAGGAAATGGAATGACAAGGGGAATGAGAGGAACCACGGGACTTGGGTGGCTCAACTGTGAACCATCTGTGCCTCGGAATGACGTCCGAGACTCGAAAGAGCGTTGCGAAGATTCCTGAGTGAATTGGCCAGTTGTGGGGTGTACGCTCCTGGGTTGATTTCAACCAGCTGGCGCCTGAGTTTCACGCTTTCTTCAATGAATGGGAGTGCCTCCGAGTGCCGTCCGAGTTTGGAAAGAGCAAAATATAGATTGTTGAGTGACGTGGCCAAATTTGGGGTGTATGATCCCGGATGAACTGTGACTAGCTGGCGTTGGAGTCTGACACTTTCTTCGATGAATGGGAGTGCCTCCGAGTGCCGTCCGAGTCGGAAAGAGCAGAATATAGATTGTTGAGTGACATGGCCAAATCTGGGGTGTATGATCCCGGATGAACTGTGACTAGCTGGCGTCGGAGTCTGACACTTTCTTCAATGAATGGGAGTGCCTCCGAGTGCCGTCCGAGTTGGAAAGAGCTAAATATAGATTGTTGAGTGACGTGGCCAAATCTGGGGTGTATGATCCCGGATGAACTGCAACTAGCTGGCGTCGGAGTCTGACACTTTCTTCAATGAATGGGAGTGCCTCCGAGTGCCGTCCGAGTTTGGAAAGAGCAAAATATAGATTGTTGAGTGACGTGGCCAAATTGGGGTGTATGATCCCGGATGAACTGCAACAGCTGGCGTAGAGGCTGACACTTTCTTCAATGAATGGGAGTGCCTCCGAGTGCCGTCCGAGATTGAAAAGAGCAGAATATAGATTGTTGAGTGACATGGCCAAATCTGGGGTGTATGATCCCGGATGAACTGCAACTAGCTGGCGTTGGAGTCTGACACTTTCTTCAATGAATGGGAGTGCCTCCGAGTGCCGTCCGAGTCCGGAAAGAGCAGAATATAGATTGTTGAGTGACATGGCCAAATCTGGGGTGTATGATCCCGGATGAACTGCGACTAGCTGGCGTCGGAGTCTGACACTTTCTTCAATGAATGGGAGTGCCTCCGAGTGCCGTCCGAGTTTGGAAAGAGCAGAATATAGATTGTTGAGTGAGATAGCCAAATCTGGGGTGTATGATCCCGGATGAACTGCAACTAGCTGGCGTCGGAGTCTGACACTTTCTTCAATGAATGGGAGTGCCTCCGAGTGCCGTCCGAGTTGAAAAGAGCAAATATAGATTGTTGAGTGACATGGCCAAATCTGGGGTGTATGATCCCGGATGAACTGCAACTAGCTGGCGTCGGAGTCTGACACTTTCTTCAATGAATGGGAGTGCCTCCGAGTGCCGTCCGAGATTGAAAAGAGAAATATAGATTGTTGAGTGACATGGCCAAATCTGGGGTGTATGATCCTGGGTGGACAGCAACCAGCTGGCGGTAGAGGCTGACGCTTTCTTCGATGAATGGGAGTGCCTCCGAGTGCCGTCCGAGTTTGGAAAGAGCAGAATGTAGATTGTTGAGTGAGATAGCCAAATCTGGGGTGTATGATCCCGGATGAACTGCAACTAGCTGGCGTCGGAGTCTGACACTTTCTTCAATGAATGGGAGTGCCTCCGAGTGCCGTCCGAGATTGAAAGAGCAAATATAGATTGTTGAGTGACATGGCCAAATCTGGGGTGTATGATCCCGGATGAACTGCAACTAGCTGGCGTCGGAGTCTGACACTTCTTCAATGAATGGGAGTGCCTCTGAGTGCCGTCCGAGTTTGGAAAGAGCTAAATATAGATTGTTGAGTGACGTGGCCAAATCCGGGGAGTAGGACCCTGAGTCCACAGAAACAAGGTAACGGCAAAGTGCAACGGAATCAGTTGCCGCCTCATATGCCTCCTGGAATCTTGAAAAAAAATTCAAATTCCGTACAAGCTGGACAAGCATGCTGGCCAGCACGCGGACAGCACCTTTTGACCTGTGGCCAACAGCCAACTGAAACATCATGAGGCAGTTAGGTGGTTTCATTAACACAATTGATAAATCACACCTTGGCCCACTCAGGGAGCAACGAGATGTTAATGTAGCCCTCCATTCTCACGCAGGCTTCCACCCAGCGAGTTGCTTGCTCACTGAGAAACACGCCAACTGATTCATCAAGCTCCGGTGATGGTTCCTGGACTCCACTGAGGTGATGGACAATATAGCGACATGCATAATGAGAGTGCTCGGATGACTCCTCCAAGGGAATGAGCGGCAGCTCGCCTTTTTCGGGCAAGTTTTCAATCAGTCCCAAGCCCTTCACAGAGCAAAGATCCTGATTCAGAATCTCGATACATCGCAGGGCAACTCTCGCATTCTCCGTCCCTACATCTACTGGGATGCAACAAGGGTTGATTGATAGGGGAACGATCCGATCGACAATGAAGTCGCGGAAAGATTGGTGCAAGATGCGAACTGGAAAGTGAGAATCCTCAACTCCTGAGAGTAGAGGGGCAAGTTCAGCCAACGAATATCGAACGGGAGACTTAAGGAAAGGTGACAAAATTGCATCCCAGGCTGTGATAGACAGAGGTCGCTGTGCGATAAAGATTGCTCCCATCACGATTGGGTAGTCATGGGAAAAATCTTCATCCTCCCAATCGCACTTCTTCAGAATGCTTGTATATAAGCGGTCCATCATTCCCTCGGCAGGGACCTTTGATCGTTTCGTGCCAGTGTTGAGCAAGCCCTCTAACGTCCTCATCGGATCCTTGTTGGCTGTCCTCATGTAGCGAAAGATCGTGCTGATCCAAATAAACAAGCCACTCGCACGTTCTAAGATCTCCTGAACTGTTTTATCCTCGTCTTGAAGATAATGCCGTAAATCGGGATGCCAATTCTTCAGCTTTTGCAGCTCGAAACGTATGTATGTAGCACAGTCCTGCACATTTGTGTTATCCGAAAGGTCAATAGCAAGACGACTGATAGGAAATTGGGGTGAGAGGGAGCGTCTAACAAGATCAGTATGTCTCGATGTGATAAAGAATTTGATGGAAGATGGTAGCTTGGGCACTTCCTCCCGAAGAATATCGGCAAAGGACTCGAACACTTCCTTGTCACATTCATCCAAAGCATCGATGATGACCACCATGGGACGGTCGGGAGGTGGAGGTTTATGTAGGAGAGGCAAAGCCACCAAATTCTCAAATTGTGTTGCGAGTAGGGCCGTTGAGAGTGAAGGGTCTTTTCGAAGTGCAGAGATGATGAAAGTACGGTAAACCGGGTCGTGGTCTGCTAGAGTTCGAGCTATACCACTGAATAGAAAATCGGGCCGCGACCGCTCTCCCGCTTTGAAGAAGAAGTGCAGTAAGAGCGTAACGTCCCCTTCACTCGCACATCGTCCTGCTACTGTGAGTGCAATTGAAGTCTTGCCGGCACCAGCCACAGCAGTCAGAGCATTAGCCGGTTCTCATTCTCCCCAGTGTTGCGACACCATGTCATGATACGCTCCGTGAGATCAATCCTAGTCCCTTCCAGGCACGCATGAGTGAAATCGTCATGGGCGATATGAGGGTATTGGAGACTATCGAGGATCTTGTCGTCCTGTAGACGACGTTCTATGGCCGCTAATTTGGCACCACCGATTAGATTCGTCCTAAGCTGCATCGGCCGGAAATCAGGATGGTTATGGAACGCATACTGTAAGGAAAGCTACCTGAAACGACACCAATGCTTTGTCAAAGTCTTTCTTGAGGCCATCAATTCTTCCTGGGTCTCTCAAGTAGGACACAACATTTAGGACAGCCGGTCGCTTCTCTACTTTTTTCAGTCTTCGTTCGATTTCGGACTTAATTTTCTGTAGCGCGCTGAGACTTGATGTAAGTAACGATATCAAAGACCACCAAAAACGAATATAACTGCCCGTCGAGCTTTGTGACACTCTCCACCCACGGCTTTGCCTCTTCCGCCGACGCATCATAGGATTTTATAGCTGAAACCACCTCGGCCACAGTGTCGACCACGTATTTCCCAAAACCAGACCATTCCTGCTTGTTGTCCTTGAACTTCTACATGGCACAAACTAGAGTAAGCTTTCATTCATGGCCAGGCAAAAAATCATCGCCAACCTTAACCTCGTCAAGGATGGAGAGTGCAGCGCCAGTCGCCATCTTTAGAGGGGGACACCAATCAGCCGTAGCATTGACGACCTTGAGAATTGGGACGGCGATGTTAACTCCCTCCACGAGGAGATCATCGATCTTTTGCCTGAGAGCTCCAGCCTTTTGCTGCACCGACATGGTCGATAGTGGACAAGGTGATGGAGAGGGAGCTTTGGGCACGTGTGAGCCCTATATGCTCAGAGCCATGAGGCCTCCGTCTGATTATGGAAGGATGAGGAAAGGCACAGCATATACATTTGGTCGACAGCATACGGACATCTAATCCAATATCAGCGGCGAATTGTATGTAGTCCGTGCGGTGGGGACTGGGACGAATGATGACATTAAATCCTGGCTTATCTACTGCGAGAGAAGATCTGCAAACAGGATGGTGCGCGAACTCGATATGAATTGACCTGGACGCCAGGGCCGGCGGTAAGCGCCGGTGTGGCACCTGGATCGTCCCATCACGGTCTTCCATTGCATCATGGAAGCGTAATCAGATTCTATACAATTTCTCTGGATGCATGGAACTTGTGGCCGTGGGCTGTGCGTCAAAGCTTATTGGAGAGTATAAGGCTTGGCAACCCAATTCTCCTTTCCCTATGACTGAGTGCTGCCCGATAGCGGCCTGAAACCATGGCCCCACTGTACTGCCCATCGCGTCTCGCGGGCCTCAGTTAGGAGCATGATCTAGGTTCTGGACCGATTTCTCTTCTTTATTTATTCCGCCTGCCTTTGGCGCTCTCAGGACCAGCCTGAAGTTTGCCAGCCAAATATCCAGAACACATAAACACTCCAATCAGTTTGGTCGTGCGGCTGTTCCAGTGCTGATTAGCGTGACGCTGACATCGATTCACTTGGTTGTGGGCTGCAAGTAATAGTGTGGTGGCGGGGATGGGGGAAGGAACTGGAGACTTGTACTTTATGGATTCCGCAGCGTATTTTTTGGACCATGCGAGGTTATGTTCGAGGAATCATGTCCCCAATTCGAACGATATGCTGAGAAGACGGGGATACCGGAGTTAGTGGGGGTCAGTTGAATATCCAGTTACGTTTTCTTTTTCCCCCTCCCATTAGCATATGCTAAATAATGGAAACTCCACCTTGTTTTTCATGTTTGATGTGGGCAGTCAACGATCCAAGCGTGGATTCACTGTCCCGAATCCGTCACCTCCATCATCCTTTGCGTCACGCTATTGGAATACGGTCAACCACTCCGCTCAGAATCAGGCGAAGGGGTCCCTTGCGCTGTTTGAAATGGTTTTTCTCATAAATAGGAAGGATGCGTTTATGGAGAAGATTGCAGGGAAGGCTGTAGCAGAGGGACAGGGTGGTGAGAGTGAGAGTGAGAGTGGGAATGAGAATGGGAATGGGCGGGAGGGCGGAGCCGGTGTCGGGGGTGGAGTGTGAATGAGGATGTGGGCGAGCGGAGTGCGAGAGATTAGGAGAGCTGTTAGAGAGTATCTTCCCTGAATATACAGGTGGGAGAGATATGAACAAGGTGGCCAAGTTTTATTTTGTGAAAGTTTTCGTGGGCGAATAGGGCGAAGTTGACTGTTTACCCTCGGTAAGTTTTGTTGCTCGTTCTTATCGAGGAGTTAGTGATGCCGATTTCGGTTGGTCCTTCTACTTTGACCCAAGCGACTGATACAAGAAATGCATGTGCTTTTTATTGCTTGCCATTCGCTGAATGCCTCTGAATCTAGGTTGAAAGTTCCACGTGTTTTCGAGCCAATCGAGTCCTCCTCTTGCGCTGGCTTCTTCGCCTTCTGGAAATACCTCGCCTCTCGACCGTTTCCAATAGATCGATTCTGTCGCTCGGTCGCTCCAGGAGGGTACCCCAACGGTCTCTCCAAGGGATCGTCGACAAGGGCCCTTTGCTTCAAAGGCTGGTCCATCCTCCCATTCTCGGTATCGAAACTTCAGTTCTTCTACACGTTGAGGAAAAGGTCTATGTAGCTGCGGATCGATCGAACGGCTGGTTTGGGAATCCTCTCATTCTAGAAGTCGCGCCACCGATTCTGTGAGAGATTGCCGTGACCAGGTGTCGAATATGTCCCATTGTATTCCCGTCCGATGGTTCGATGGTATTCTTATCATGCTGCGGCACGAATCGGAAGACCCAAGGGAGTTCTCCAAAGGACCAGGCTACTCGTCTATTTTTTTTACTTGGTGGATTCAAGGTAACCTCGCCGTCCTATGGCAAAACAGCACGGATCTGTGATGTGGTGACCAGAGAAGACTTCCAAGGACACTTTAATGACATTAACACTTCTTGCTTAATCAGATGGTACAAATATGGGATACAGTGACCGGGAAGGACTCAAGATCCCAGAGACGCATGTATCAGGCGCTGGGTTGATTCAAGATTGTTTCCGGACACCGCATCCCGCAATTATACGGTCCATCCTGGGATTCGGTAACCTGGGACTCAATGGCAAGCGAGCCCCATCTACCTCTCTAAGAGCTCATGTTCCGATCCAACTCCCAACCCACCTTGGGAAATGCAGAACCCCTCATTTCATTATATCCACTTCGGAGATTTCACAATTGCCTGCTGGTACGCATGACAGAGTACTCATTCAAGTGTGCAGGTTGTGGGTAACATGCAATAACTTGATTTTGGGTTTATCAAGAGACAAGCGAACCACTCAGGGCTAACTCGCGGGGCTGCTCCATGTGTATTTATCTTCATTCCCTCGTCTCGAGATGCATTTATGCAAACTCTGAGGATTCAACTAAGCGACTGGATGACTCATAACACAGCTTGTGCCGCTTGGCGCATCTGTGCCGGGCTGACTCGTGTCTCATGATTGGCGGTGTTGGGTTGAGTTCTCCCCGGCCTTTAGCAATCTTGCTTGGTCTAAACTGCACGGGGATGCGATTTTGTATAATTGGTTTTCGCGACAATCTTAGCCCCCTGCTCATCGTTTGGACGTTGGGAGGTCGCTGACCTGAGGGACAGTACGAACAGTTGATGACTGCTTCACAAAGCTGCCGTCGCTAATCAGCATTTTGCGCGAAAGCTAATAACGGCCGAGACAGGGAACAAGGGGGTCAGGATGCACGAACGATATGTACAGTATCAGCAGACTCCAGCCTCTGTGGCTTCGTAATATCAGCATGCACTCTGGCAGCAGCATTCATGGCGCAAGGTACGATGAGCAATGCCTATGGTGAGTCAGCCTCCCACACGTCATGCCTGGACGGCCCGGATCTTGATGCTTTGTTCCTTGGTGTTTTGCGGGGTGCTTACCTCCTGACCAGTCAAATGGACTACAGGATAGGTGAAAACGGTTTAGGCATCAGCGGCTGCTAGCCGAGCTACGACCGTTGGTAATCAGTACGCCGGAACTGGATAGCCGCTCTGCCATGTGGCCACTTTGAGTCACCAAAAAGGGCAGGCGAATTTACGTAATTATCATCATTTGCGATTTTTCGTTACGACTGGCCAAGCGCCAGCTACCAATCTCTGAACAAAAATCCGCTTAAAGCGACTCGGAGCCCATCTGCCTTGGATGTTTATACATAGAACACTTCCCCCAGTTGTTTTCCTTTGCCACTCTCTCATTAATATGTCGTTGGTGACTTGAATCGAAATGAAGCTGCATCCAATTGTAATGAGAGCGGAAGGGGGGACGCAGCATTGACGACCTCGAGAATTGGACGGCGATGTCGGCTCCTCCACGAGGAGATCATCGATCTTTACCTGAGAGCTCCAGCCCTTTGCTGCACCGACATGGTCAATAGTGGACAAGGTGATGGAGAAGAGGGAGCTTTGGGCACGCGACGCACGTGTGAGCCACGAGATCTTCGTCTGTTTATGGAAGGATGAAGAAGGGCATCACAGATACATTTTGTCGACGGCATACGGACATCTGATGCATATGCATGTAGTCCGCACGTGGCATGACTCCGACTAGTCAGGTAACCGGGACGGATGATGACATTAGGTAAGTCCTGGCTTATCCACTGCGAGAGAAGAGCACAAACAGGATGAGTATCAGTATGCGAACTCGACCTGGATGAATTCACTTCGCTTGATACCGAGGGCCGGCGGTAAGCGCCGGTGTGGCTCATCACCCTCTTCTCATGATCAGATTTTTTGGATGCAAGGAAGTGGTCGTCGGCTGTGCGTCAAAGCCTATCGGGATCAGCTATCGTTAAATACCGTTCTCTGCAACCCACTTTCCTTTTCCGCCGCGCCAAGCATCATCCTGAAGCATGATCTTGGTTCTGGACTGATTCCTTACTTTCTGTATTCCGCTGCCTTTGGCAACTTCAGTGTCAGGTCTTTGCCTTGCTGCGTTTCCAGTCAAGCCAGTGCAGCCTCTTGACACCTGGTCCTCAAGGTGCATGTCCCTTTCCTGTTCCTCCCTCAATTGGGAAACTCCGCTGCCCCTCTCGTTTCTGGTCTCTCTCGATACTTCTAGTGCCCTGGCCGAATGCGGATTCAGAATAACGGCAACAGTTCAAAAAGAAATAATTGGTGGGCGCTGCTGAAGTGGCAGAATCCGCCACTCAGAGGTATGAAGAGGAATGACATGATCTCCCTGATAGCAGTCAGAATGACGTCGACCCTGTGGTGCCAACATACCTCACCGGTTGAACATCTGTTGCACCTTGTCCAACGAGTTCTACCTAGAGCATAATATTCCAGAGCCACTAAATGAAAGACGTCTTCCTTCCCCTTCAGGATCCTTCCCACTTCGAGTGTACTCGTCCTTGTAAACCCATCCTGCTATGAATCATGTCTGATAGGTGGGCCAGGTGCTGCATATACGTGTGGCAAATCCCGTGTATAACATTTTGATTCTTCATTTGCTTTTGGTGGGTCAACCTCAACATCCTCGACAACTGGGGGTTCCTTTGCAGCCTAGATTCGCTGTAAGCCGTTGGACCGGAAGTCACATGTCAGCCCCTGGTGTACTCACCCAAAAAATGGCGGCCTTGCACTTGGTAGGCCTCATTCCGGGATGCGATTCGATTTATGGGTATGACAATTCCACGAAAAAAAATCGCACCAACCTTGCCTGGAGTGTTAGACATAGTTTGGACCGATACTACCTCGACAACCTTTCTTTGCTTGGCGCGGTCAACGTTGTCTTGCTTGTTACACCACTAAGGACGAGCAGCCACATTTATGTAAGAGTAGCTGCCACCATCCCCTTCGGCCAGCGTCTTTGTGATCGCTAGCTACACCCGACCGTGCCTAGATGAATCTTGGTTCAAGAAGCCACAGCGCGCAAGGGAGCTTTCGGATGATCGGTCGCAGGCCCCAACCCCTTGCTCCCGACATCCAGATCACTGCCCTGACCGCAAATTACGACCCATAGAGTCCACGACAGACCCGCAGGACTGCAACCCGGTACCCTTGCTGCTACAGCGCTCATTCTTCCACATTCTAGTGGCACTTCACATAAGCAATGGACGTCTTTTCGAGACAAGATATCTAGGCCATTCCGGAGAAGCCCCAATCCCGGTCCCGGTCCTGGCCCCGATCCCAATCGTCTTAGCCAACCAAGTGCATTCCATTCCAAATGTCATATGTTGACCCCGAACGATCTACGGCCATGGCTACCCTTTCCTCTCCACCGAACTGAATACCGATTTCCCGCGAGTGAGGTCCAACGCACTCACCGTCGGTGATGATGATGCGAGCGCCCGCCCGCAGCAAGAACCTTCAGATATCGGGCCGTCAGTCTCTGCTACTCTATCGGTGCCAGCGGACTGACACCTCATAGATCCGACGGCGATCATCGGCAGCACCAAAGCCTTTCTTCAAATAGGGGCCACTGCTCTCAAACTCGTCCCCATCGCCAAACTCCAAACCAAACACTCCCTGGCATGGATTAAAATAGGTTTTCGAATCGTCTTAATGACCATGATCGTGGTCGCTTCTCATGCTTGTGCATGCATGTATAATGTCAGCGGCAACACAAAGGGACTCAACCAGTTGTGCGATGCGATTCAGAAAGCACAAGGCTCGGTGCTTGAGCCCCTTCGAACGTGGACTGGAGAATTCGCCCCGAACTTAAAGGTCTAGTGCAATGCACACGTCTCGTCTTCTCTTCGTTCACATCCATTCACTCTCTTCATAGGGTTTTGAAAACACATTGAATATAGTTCAGTAAGGAAATACCGTCGAGATCATTCCATAGCGCAGCAAGTAACGAATACGAAGAACTGCCTGCGTGGTGCTATCGATTCGACGTTTGCATGCTCGAAATGTTTCGGATGATCGGATCCTGACTCACCATGTTAGTCACAGCTGAGACCTACAGAGCATTTATCTGTTTGTACGTGGCTAAATACATGCATTTAGATCGCCTAATTTTTTTTTGCTTCTAGCCGAGCTATCGAGACTCCAGCGAGCCCCGGCCGAGCACACTTGCAAATCTAAGTGTCTTCCGGACATACGGGGCGAGATGCAAGAATTTTTGCTCAAGCGCCCGAACAAAGCCGAAACCGGTTTGTTTGGTTAATGGAAGCAATCTCTGGGTGTCGCATTCACTCTGAAGGAACAGGGTACTCTGGCAGCGCCATTCTTTTGGAATAAGAATCAGCCTGGATCAGGGCTGGATCTATCAAATAGTTCCCCTCTGCCCTTGCCCACCAACTTGCATCCTTCAACGAGGACTTTAAATTGCCACTCGTCAGACACCTCCGGAAACCGGATTTGGCTTCAGTTCAGAATTTTCCTTTGGAGAAACAAATGAAGGCTCGATGATTGAGCCAATGCGGGGTCTGATGGACATATTGCCTTCAGGTAAGGTCATCATCCCTGATGAGTGCGGAAATCAGGAGGCACTTGAGTCCCTTCAGAAGCTCCCACCAGCATTTGCTGTGCTAGTTAGTTGTCGTCCCGAGCCAGGAATCATTTCAGCTTGGCCCAAAGCTTGAGCTGAGTCATTCCATACCACACAGTGCGGCGTATGGTGGTGGAAGGCCCCCAAGTTCCATGCCCTTCATTATCCATTGGTCGAAGGTGTAAAGGAATCCCCACGGGCCCGCTTCTTTGAGGCACGATAGCGCCTGTCAGGCTTCGTTCATAGGGTACATACTCGTCGATGTGTCTGTTTCCGGGGTGAAAAGTCTGCCTAGTGTTCTGCTGGCTATGTTCAGCCGATCGTACTGGTCCGGGTTCTGTGGACGAGTCAAGGCGGCTCTCAGCAGACGCTACGGCAGTGGGTGCAGTCTCAGTTCCGGGCCCAACTTCCCTTGGTTTGGTACTTCGCTCTGTCCAGGTAGATAAGGGACGTTTTAACCTGTTCACTGTAGGCAAAACACCTTCACGATCGACCCTTGCCACTTCGAGTGTACTCGTCCTGTAACCCATCCTGTATCCACGTATAATAATAGGCGGACTGCTGCACATGTGTGTGGCAGATCCCAGTGTATAAGATTCATTCACGTTCGGTGGGTCAACCTTAACATCCGCGACAGGTGGATGCGAGCTAATACTACCCCGACAACGCTTCTTTGCTTCGATGGGAAGGAAGGTCTTACTGTACTGATCCGAACTTCAAGGGTGCCCATAGCGAGGTTACCAGCCTCTATTGGAATAGACTACCCTGCATTTTCCCGCAACTATAGTGCTCATGTTGCATCGCAGCAACCTGCACAGCACGGCCGACACCAGGCGAAAACACATTCTGAAGAAACTGTGTACATAGAGGATGTGCGGTTAGTAGAGATGAAATGCAAATAATAGTGTAGGACAAATGCCTTGTTTTGCGTTGCTCCGTTGATAAAGTTTGCACTCGCAGGAAAAGTGGCAGAAAGCCAGAATAAAAACTGCAGCACTCAGGATCCCCTCACCATAGCACTAACTGAGCGGTACCTTAACTTCCCAGATCAGACGGGATACGGTGCTTTCCGAGTCCTATGACTAAGCCCTCTGATGAATATCTACACCACTCGGGGGTTGACGGGCAATAGCTGGGTAGTTGGATTCAAAAACATGCACATATGGGTCATGGGCATGGCCGTCCTATCGTTAATGGATAATGTGTCACGTCTCCGCGATCGGCTCAGATGAAGGAGAGTTAGAGTTCGAACGGAGACGGAGATTCCAGTCGAGGCAGGGAGAGAGAACGGTGTCGAATTAAATAAAGGTTATCATTCTGCTGACACAAGTGATCGTCACCAACATCGATACGGATATAGATATTTCCAATACAGATGTGGGCAGATCCGAGCGAGCGAGCCAATAGGACGGGGAATACCCACCATTTTGTGTGCTTCTCGGGCTCAAGATCGTGTCAACAACCTCGCCTTCCAATTCCACGAAAAGTTCAGCGCCGACAAGCGACGTTGGACAAGCGCTTACGCTTTGACCGACCATCGAGCAAAGGGCCAAACCGTTGAACACCTATGGGCTAGCTGACCTCATTTAACGCGTGCTTTGTCTCGAGCGCGAGGACGAAACAATGTGCGAATGATCTGGGCTTTGACGATAGTCTGTTCACCACTGTACCGTATGAGGTGTCGTAAACGGCGGCGATTGATGGAAATGCGTATGGAGACGGAAACAAAATAGGAAGAAACAACGGGAATTGTTGAGGAAAGGGGTTGTTGACGCGTGATTAGGGAGACAACGCAAGCCAAAATGTCAGACGGTGCACGCGATTCAGTTCTCACGACCAATTTCAGTTGTTTGGGCTCGTTCCTCCCGGTCAGCCTTTCCGGATGGCGTCGCCGCTTCGTGGAGGCCCTCCCGTTTGGTTTTCACTGATCGCTTCGGATGCTGTAAGCACCTCACTCCTTGACGGCCTCCCTGCCGCGAAAAATTTGGAGGTCAGGGTTTCACCGCTCTGTTGGTTTGTTCGTTTTTTGCCACATAGTCAGGAGGTGGATCTCTCGCAGGTTGACTTACCATCTACGCTTCGCCTTTCGACTCTATGAATCCCCATTATTGTATCTTTCCGTCCTTTCTATTTCTATCAACGTGCTCTCATCCACACACTCTTGGGATCCTTATTCGCAGCTACCTCTCAAAATCTGTTCCATCTGCCAACTCCACCCGCGTGAAAAGGGCATTCTTGATAGACCGTTTTGATTCTTCATGAGCACTGCAATTCGGACTCCCAGGATTATGGACACCAGGCCCACTCACATGCAAGCCCTATGAGATGAGACGAATATACCATTAAACCAAGTCCATAGCCACGTGTGATCAAACTCCCAGCGACAGAAATGAATGGCTCGCGTTCCAATATCCAGCAGACTGGCGCCAATTCCTGAAGCTCGAAATCCTCTGAACATTCACCACTCCACAACAACCCTTCATGTCACTTGCAATATGGCATGGTCTGACTTACGCACTGCGACACTTCATCCAAATTTAAGATCCGTGGACACAAGTATGTCTGTCTTGCCCCATTCGATGCTTTTGTGATTCAGAGGCTAACCAGACCGGATGCGTACTAGATACGGTCTCACCACACTTTCTGAATCTAAGTATCGTTTTGCCGCTGAATGTCTATATCTCCCTGTCTGCCACGAGTACTCGGATCAGACATGAAGATCAAGGATATGGCTGATCTTCGGACGCCTTACTGACTATTGTATCCTCCCGCACACACGGTATCGAGTGTCGAATCTGGATTTTCGGTTCATGCCGGATGCTGTGGAAAGCGGCGCTGGCGCACTATACCGTATTTTCATCCAATTGGTTTAAGGACCTCAAGTCGTATACAATCGAGGAGCACTATTGAGATATATACTATCACTTACTTGGGAAAAACTTGGGTTCTCTCGCCACCAGGCGGTCAATGGGCTTGGAGCAAACCTTGCATTTCTGAACTCCTCGCGACTTTGCCACCCACTGAACTAACTCCCCAGCTGACGAAACATGCACGGTACCACTGGTGCTATGCGGGTATGCATTTTGGGTTGCTGGTGATAATATTAACGCCTGACGATATCGATAGTAGCATCGAGTTCCTGTATCACGGCAGACGCTGCTATCAGGCTGTTCCTGGTTGCTACAATATGCACAATTGCCACCGAGGAGGGATGTGAACAGTGAGAACCGGGTGTTTTCGATACAGGCCGGAGGAAGGCGCCGCTGGTCGGAGAAGGACCCGAAGATGTTTTCTCTCATCCTTAGCTTATCTCAGGATGGAAGTTGTGTCTGAAGCAATGGTATTCGGCATTTCCACGAGCAGGACTGCACCCCGCACTTCAGAGGCATCGCTTTTGTACTCAGGCTAAGAAATGTGATAAGTCTTAGGTGCAGAAAGCTGCTTAGCCACGCTCTTCCGTTGTCTACGTTTGGAGAGTTATGCGTATCATCGACCGTTGAGGCGGCAATCCAAGCTCCAAGTTGTCCAGGGGCGTTGTTCCACTGTCAAACCAACCCACATACTCCGGCAAGGGCGCGTTGAAACGTTCTGTCCCAAGTCCTTTGTTCCATTCAAAACACCCCCGCAACGTAAAAGTTGAATCAGGTAGCGTGCCCCAATTGTACCAGCACCTACGAATCCTCTCTTCTATAGAGCATCATGAGATGTGGTACGTCGACAAGCAGCTGCACACATCACATTGATCACAACGCTTACTAGGCCATACCTGTATTCGAACCAGAAACAGGTGCTCCATCACTTTTGGATCATTACGATCAGCAACGACACCTTCACCCACTAGCCACTAGCAACTTAGGCCCCTTCGTAGAATTGATACTGCTTGTGAGCCTATAGTTAGTCCCTGTGGTCGCTCGTTTAATTTGCGATAGGCTTATCGGGATATGTACCACTGAGAGGATAGCGCTAGATATAGTTACGAGCTGTGTGCCATCATGCATTAATGACACCAAGTTCTCGGCCGTCTGTTTGCAAACGTATGCAGGTGTTATAGGGGCGTGTGACGTTATGACCCCAGCGCGAAAGCTGGCGTTGGTCTCCCAAGTTGCACTAGGTTTTCCCATAATATTACTAGGGACTCTATGGTCTGCATCACTCGAGAGTGCGTGAGATTAGCAGGAGAGGACGATCAATGTGGAACACATAGCCGAAGTACTGCATCCCGAGAGAAATTGTTATCCGATGCGAAACGACCCGAGAAGTAATGTTGTCACACGGTGATCCGGGTGCAATCAGTGAGCTTTTAAAGCTTATCCTCCAGAGACCAAAGCAAAGGTCCCCCTTGGCTAACGACCATGTCACCATGAGAGTTACTCACGTACCCACGGAGTAACAGACACGAAAAAATATATTAGGTTAGTACCCGTACAAAGTCGGAGCCAGCTCTTGCACTTCAACGAAGATACCCGAGTTCAGAACACGTATCACAAACTTTACAAGAAGAAACGACTAGAATGACACCAGAGTTACAATATGGATGGGTGATTCATTTGTTGCACCGACGGAATGCATGGACTTTCGCTTGGCGGTCGGTACCAAGCTTGCGCGCGCTCATGGGTTCCTCCTTGTGGAACCTATCACGCCAAAGGGGTTTGGTTCCCGGCCGCGGACGGCCGGAAAGTACACATCACCCTGACCGATGCAACCCAGTATCATTTCAGAGGTCCTTGCTATGATAGTCAGACAAAATTCAACTCACAAGGAGGTGATGAGTCCGTGGTCCACATTTGATCACGCGAGGGGTTTGGATTGGGAGGGTTGGCGGAGGTCGTGTTGGCAGTTGCGGGAAAGGCAGCGGCGGTGGTGGTGGAATGGGAAAGGGTTGTAGCAGCGTAGGCCTCGTCCATGGTGCAGCAGGGCCTGGCTGGACCCAGGAAAATGGTGTGCTTGCATGCTGCCCATGGACGTGCAGTGGCACTGCTACCGCTCCGGGGAGGGGCTTGGGAATTGGAAGGTCTGGTCGGAGGGGGACAGCAAACGCTGTGGAGGGGCCAGCATGGCATCCTACCACTGGTCGGTGGCTCTCGATGGCAGCCCTGACCGCCTCCCTCGAGTGAAGGCCCATAGGGTGTTCACTGCGGGTGACCGTGAGTGCTGGCCCTTTCACCCGCTTCGAACATCCTTGCACTCTTGCCTAGATCCATCAATTTGATAGCCGTTCAGCTTTCCCGCATCGAATCGAAGCGTCACTCACTCTAGCGGCAACGTTGAAATCCCACAAAAGAGGGAAGGGCCCATGTTCTTCTACAAGCTGCTCTAAGAACTCGGGATTCTGGTTCATACATTGATTTATAAGCTGCTTTTGTTTGTTCAGCTCCTTTCGTGACAGTTCTTCGACTGGAATCCATTTGAGCTTGTGCATTGTGAAAGGACGGATGGAACGCAGTTGCAGCCAGAGAAAATTTTCTCGGTTGCTCACTCGCTCATCCGCTTCCTCTCAGTCTTGGGGCGTCAGACGGAACGAGCCGCCAGCAATAAGCATGTAATCAATAAATGAATTAATGTTCGAGTTCGAAGTGTAAACAAACAGTCGGCACCTTCCTTGTCCTGTTGCATGTGTCGATCGCATTGACCTTCTTACAGTCCATGATACCCTTCTCGAGTCTCCGTCAGCGTAATCTGTCAATTCACTTGTCATAAAGCACCTACGACGATATGGGTGAAGGAAAGAAACTCATTGAAGAAGCCACTGTCCAAGCGCTCACGCCATCTTCCATTCCCTTGCTTCTGCGATTTGGCAGGATCGTGAAGACCAGGCCCACTGACATGTGAGCCCCTTTTCATGAAATGGCACACTGTCTAAGTCGAATATGTACGAGCCCAATCTTGAGTGCAATCTCAATTGCGGCTCTTCCAGCTGCAGAAATGAATGGCCTCAAATTCCAATATTTGCTTTGATGCTTAGGTGAGCTGACGTCGATGCCATGAATCCCTAAAGCTCGAAATCCTTTGGACATTCGTCATTCCACAGCAACCCTTCACGCCACCGTCAAAATGGCCTGACCTACACACGGCAACACTCCACCCAAATTTGAGACCTGCAAATGCAAGGGCCTGTCTCACCACATTCATTGTACACAGACCTCTCTGAGTCTGGGTATGGTCTTGTTACACTTTCCGGATCTGAGTGTGGTTTTGCCGCTGAAGGTCCGCATCTCCCTTCTTCGGCCTACGACAGCGGCTGCATCCCAAACATTACTATGACGTGGACGACCACGAGCCATACTTGATAGCTAATCTCGGGCCCCCTTACTAGCTCCCTTTCGCCTCGATTGTATTCTCCCGCACTGACGATATCGAGTGTCTAATCTGGATTTCCGACTCGTGCCCGACGCTGTGGTAAGCATCACTATCCTTGCTTAATTGGTGTAGGGATCTCAAGCTATATATAATCGAGAAGCACTATTGAGATATATACTTTACCTGCTTAGGCAAGGCTGGAGGCCAATTTGGATTCTATAGCTATCGGATGACCTCGTACTGTTCAACGGGCTGCAGCAAGCCCTGCAATCGTGAACTCCTCGCGACTTAGCCACTGAAATAATGGAGTTTCCCAGCTGATTAACCATGCCCGGTACCACTGTCGTCATGCGGGCACGCGTTCTGGGTTCCTGGTAATAATCTCGACACTTGACGGTATCGATACCGGCACTGGCCTCTCTCTGACTCACCACGGTGCTGCAATCAGGCTGTACAACTATCACTTTGGAGGGACGCGAATGCATTGAACAGTGAGGGCTGTATGTTTTTGATGCAGGACTGGAGGAAGGCGCCCGTGGTACAGAGGGGAAGGCTGTAGTGGAGGGACAGGGTGGTGGGAATGGGAATGGTGCAAGAGGGCAGAGCGGCTGTCAGGGGCAGGAGTGCTGGTGGGAGGGATATGAACAAGATGGTCAAGTTTATATTTCATAGGGGAATAGGGCAATTAGGTTGGTCTAAGCGACTGATACAAGGAATGTGTGTCCTTTTTTTATCACTTGCCGTTCGCTGAATCTAGGCTGAATGTTCCACATGATATAGAGCTAATCAAGGTACCCAGATCCCTGACCCCTCGCTCACCTCTTTTCCCCAATGGTCTTCCCAAAGGGATCGTCGACAAGGGTCCATTGCTTCAATGCGTGGTATATCCTCCTAGTCTCCGTATCGAAATTTCAGTTCCTCATCTTCTAGTCACACGTTGAAGAAAAGGTATGTATAGCTACGGATCAATCGAAGCGCTGGTTTGGGGATTCTCTCATTCTAGAAGTCGCGCCATCGATACAGTGAGAGATCACTGTCAAGCGGGGATCGAATCTGTCACGCTCAACCCCATTGTATTCTTGTCATGCTGTGGCACGGATCGGAAGAACCAAGGGAGTTCTCCAAAGGAGCAGTCTATATTTTACTTGGTGGAAACTCTGAGGGTTCAACTAGGCGAATGAACTGCCGACTCGCAGCTTGTGCCGCTTAACGCGTCTAGGCAGCGCTAGCTATGTCAGGCTAACTCATATTCCATGATTGGGTTGAATTCTCCCCTTAAAGCAATGCTGCTTGTTCTAAACTGCGCAGGGATGCGATTTCGTGTAATTGGTTTTCGCGACAATCTTTAGCGGGCCGACATTCCTACTCATCGTTTGGACATTGGGCTCGCTGTGACCAAAGGGGAAGTGGATGACTGTGTCACAAGGACGACTGAGGCTGCCGCCATTAATCAGTCCCTTGTGCGAAAACTAATGACGGGTTCGAGGACAGGTGAACAAGAAGGTTTGAAACGGGGTCAAGTTACACAAATGATATGCAACAGCTGGCAGCATCTTTACAGCATTCACGGCGCAAGGTACGATGGGGGTGATACTCATGGATGAGTCAACCTCGCACACATGCCTTGATCCATGGCCTGGATCTTGATACTTTGTCCCTTGGTTCTTTGCGGGGTGATTGGCTCCTCACCAATCAAATGGACTACAGGATAGGTGAAAATGGCTCAGGCATCAGCCGCTCCTAATCGCGAGTTCACAGATATCATTGGGCCGGGCGGCTATGACACAAGGTCAATCTTACCTATATCCCTTGTTTGGATCGAAACTTGGGCTATAAACTAGAGCGAACTATAATTAGAGTCACCAGGTTTATGATGCTATCACTAAATAGTTTCATTCGTCATTCGAACACGACGAATGGAACAAATCAGCTTCAAACTTTTAGAACTCAAAAAAGAATGCTAGCAGATATGTCGCCCAGTTCCGTAGTACGCGATCAATTGAGGAAAGATATGAAAGAGAATTTTCTCGCTTTATAAGGGACGCGCTCTGAATAGCGCACAAGCATGGTAATGAGTTTACCAAGAAAGGTAACCGCCTCAACTCCGTGTCGAGTCGGGTCACAGTGTACGTCGATATCCACAAATTGCACCCGACACAATCCGGATAGGTTGTTGCCGCAAGGACTCGGGAAGTAGTCTGCACACATTCTGGTTAACGGTGGTCTGGCTCGCTGTGTTGCAGTTTTAACTTTGCGCCCTGCCAAGCTAGTGGCTTCATACGATTACGTCTTGAGCCAAGTAACACAGATATTTCATCGCCTTCGGAGATGATGCTTATTCGGAAAAAACGGATGCATTCTGGTGGTCTACCTTTGAATTAACGGTCATTCTATAATATAAGCCTATCTCCTTTTAACACATGTTTCCCCCCCAACTCCAGTTTCCGCAATAGTTCCCTTCGCGCTCAGTTTGCTGGTCATCTTGTTCGTCCGGGATAGCCTCCTCATCCGTATCATGGCAATTCCACATCCCTCCCGTTCTTCAAGTCATGTTCGCAAACGATGGTATCATGAACAAGATCACCGTTCACGTGTAGTACACCCTCTCATTATCTGTCCGTTGGTGAGTTATTGAAAATGAGGAAGTGCCTAACCGCATCCAGTTGTTGTGAGAGCGGAAGGATGGGCTAGTTTCTTCCGTGCTTGTGGTACAACTGGTGGCTTCATGCTGTACGTTGTCGAGACGTCTTCCTGGGCTATCGGCCATTTATCAATATAGGTATTTGTTGCGTGCATATATCTTTGTGTTGGATTCAATCTGGCCATTGCAAGGCCCACGATCAGTTCTACGGATCCTTGCAAGCTGAGTTGTAAGGTTTGCTTGTTAGACTTATAAGCAATGTAGCTGCGTCATACAATTGTGATTCTACACACACCCTCCGCTCCTGCCCTTTCCAATGACTCCATTTCTCGAGGTGGCCCAATGCCCAACCAGTTAATTTACCTGCCATGTATACAACTGGCTGCGTTTGCGAAGTTGAGTCCGACGTGCTCAAGCCCGCCGCTCTTGATGGCATCACAACCTATCGATCTCACACATACCGGACTTCTGGCTCCCTTCGAACACCCATAGTAGTAATTCATTCGATAGGAGTGTATATTGTTTGTCCTCGAATCGAAGCTTGTTGTGTCTCTTACATATTGGAGCCCAAGTCACCCCACAATTGTCAACGTCCACATGCCCCTCATGGTACATCGGACGATGTGGACCTGTCGATTGGGTCTTTTCGTTGCACCAGCATTCATCACCTATCAAACCTTAATATGATGATATGCACAAACAGTACATCGGCGATGAGCGACGGGAAGAAAAATGTGTTAGATAAAGGTACATATGAGTATCGCTGTTAGTGTTCTCCATGAGCAGGTAGCAAGGAAACGCAATGACAAGGGGAAATGAGTGGAACCGCGGGACTTGGGTGGCTCAACTGTGAACCACCTGCGCCTCAGAATGACGTCCGAGACCGGAAAGAGCGTTGCGAAGATGCTTGAGTGAAATGGCCAGTTGTGGGGTGTATGCTCCTGGGTTGATTTCAACCAGCTGGCGCTGGAGTTTCACGCTCTCTTCGATGAATGGGAGTGCCTCCGAGTGCCGTCCGAGTTCGGAAAGGGCAAAATATAGATTGTTAAGTGACGTAGCCAAATTCGGGGTGTATGATCCCGGATGGACTGTAACTAGCTGGCGCCGGAGTGTGACGCTTTCTTCGATGAATGGGAGTGCCTCCGAGTGCCATCCGAGATTGGAAAAAGCTAAATATAGATTGTTGAGTGACGTGGCCAAATTTGGGGTGTATAATCCCGGGTAGACAGCAACCAGCTGGCGTCGGAGTGTGACGCTTTCTTCAATGAATGGGAGTGCCTCCGAGTGCTGTCCAAGATTGGAAAGAGCAAAATATAGATTGTTGAGTGACATGGCCAAATTTGGGGTGTATGATCCCGGGTGGACAGCAACCAGCTGGCGGTAGAGGCTGACGCTTTCTTCAATGAATGGGAGTGCCTCCGAGTGCTGTCGAAGATTGGAAAGAGCAGAATATAGATTGTTGAGTGACATGGCCAAATTTGGGGTGTATGATCCTGGATGAACTGCGACTAGCTGGCGGTAGAGGCTGACGCTTTCTTCAATGAATGGGAGTGCCTCCGAGTGCCGTCCGAGATTGGAAAGAGCTAAATATAGATTGTTGAATGACATGGCCAAATTAGGGGTGTATGATCCCGGGTGGACAGCAACCAGCTGGTGGCAGAGGCTGACACTTTCTTCAATGAATGGGAATGCCTCTGAGTGCCGTCCGAGTTTGCAAAGAGCTAAATATAGATTGTTGAGTGATGTGGCCAAATTAGGGGTGTATGATCCCGGATGAACTGCAACCAGCTGGCGGTAGAGGCTGACGCTTTCTTCAACGAATGGGAGTGCCTCCGAGTGCTGTCCGAGTCTGGAAAGAGCGTCATATAGATTGTTGAGTGACGTGGCCAAATTAGGGGTGTATGATCCCGGGTGGACAGCAACCAGCTGGCGGTAGAGGCTGACGCTTTCTTCAATGAATGGGGGTGCCTCTGAGCGCCGTCCAAGATTGGAAAGAGCGTCATATAAATTGTTGAGTGACGTGGCCAAATCTGGGGTGTATAATCCCGGGTGGACAGCAACCAGCTGGCGGTAGAGGCTGACGCTTTCTTCAATGAATGAGAGTGCCTCCGAGTGCCGTCCGAGTTTGGAAAAAGCTAAATATAGATTGTTGAGTGACGTGGCCGAATCTGGGGAGTAGGACCCTGAGTCCACAGAAACAAGGTAACGGCAGAGTACAACGGAATCAGTTGCCGCCTCATATGCCTCCTGGAATCTTGAAAAAAATTTCAAATTCCGTACAAGCTGGACAAGCATACTGGCCAGCATGTGGACAACACCTTTTGACCTGTGGCCAACAGCCAACTGAAACATCATGAGGTAGTTAGGTGGTTTCATTAACACAATTGATAAATCACACCTTGGCCCACTCAGGGAGCAACGAGATGCTAATGTAGCCCTCCATTCTCACACAGGCCTCCACCCAGCGAGTTGCTTGCTCACTGAGAAACAAGCCAACTGACTCATCAAGCTCCGGTGATGGTTCCTGGACTCCACTGAGGTGATGGACAATATAGCGACATGCGTAATGAGAGTGCTCAGATGACTCCTCCAAGGGAATGAGTGGCAGCTCATCTTTTTCGGACAAGTTTTCAATCAGTCCCAAGCCCTTTACAGAGCAAAGATCCTGATTCAGAATCTCGGTACATCGCAGGGCAACTCTCGCATTCTCCATCCCTACATCTACTGGGATGCAACGAGGGCTGATTGATGGGGGAACGATCCGATCGACAATGAAGTTGCGGAAAGATTGGTGTAAGATGCGAACTGGAAAGTGATAATCTTCAACTCCTGAGAGCAGAGGAGCAAGTTCAGCCAATGAATATCGGACAGGGGACTTGAGGAAAGGTGACAAAATTGCATCCCAGGCTGTGATGGACAGAGGCCGCTGTGCGACGAAGATTGCTCCCATCACGATTGGGTAGTCATGGGCAAAATCTTCATCCTCCCAATCACACTTCTTCAGAATGCTTGTATATAAGCGGTCCATCATTCCCTCGGCAGGGACCGTTGATCGTTTCGTGCCAGTGTTGAGCAAGCCCTCTAACGTCCTCATCGGATCCTTGTTGGCTGTCTTCATGTAGCGAAAGATCGTGCTGATCCAAATAAACAAGCCACTCGCACGTTCCAAGATCTCCTGAACTGTTTTATCCTCGTCCTGAAGATTATGCCGTAAATCGGGATGCCAATTCTTCAGCTTTTGCAGTTCGAAACGTATATATGTAGCACAGTCCTGCACATTTGTGTCATCCGAAAGGTCAATAGCGAGACGACTGATAGGGAATTGGGGCGAAAAAGAGCGTCTAACGAGATCAGTATGTCTCGATGTGATAAAGAATTTTATGGAAGATGGCAGCCTGGGTACTTCCTCCCGAAGAATATCGGCAAAGGAATCAAACACTTCTTTGTCACATTCATCCAAAGCATCGATGATGACTACCATGGGACGGTCGAGAGGTGGAGGTTTATGGAGGAGAGGCAAAGCCACCAAATTCTCAAATTGTGTTGCGAGTAGGGCCGTTGAGAGGGAAGGGTCTTTTCGAAGTGCAGAGATGATGAAAGTGCGGTAAACCGGGTCATGGTCTGCTAGAGTTCGAGCTATACCACTAAATAGAAAATCGGGCCGCGACCGTTCTCCCGCTTTGAAGAAGAAGTGCAGTAACAGCGTAACGTCCCCTTCACTGGCACATTGCTTTGCAATCGTGAGTGCAATTGAAGTTTTGCCAGCACCAGCCACAGCAGTCAGGAGCATTAGCCGGTTCTCATTCTCCCCAGTGTTGCGACACCATGTCATGATACGCTCCGTGAGATCAATCCTAGTCCCTTCTAGGCACGCATGAGTGAAATCGTCATGGGCGATATGAGGGTATTGGAGACTATCGAGGATTTTGTCGTCCTGTAGACGACGTTCTATGGCCGCTAATTTGGCACCACCTATTAGATTCGTCCTAAGCTGCATCGGCCGGAAATCAGGATGGTTATGGAACACATACTGTAAGGAAAGCTACCTGAAACGACGCCAATGCTTTGTCAAAGTCTTGCTTGAGGCCATCAATTCTTCCTGGGTCTCTCAAGTAGGACACAACATTTAGGACAGCCGGTCGCTTCTCTGCTTTTTTCAGCCTTCGTTCGATTTCGGACTTAATCTTCTCTAGCGCGCTGAGACTTGATGTAAGTAACGATATCAAAGACCACCAAAAACGAATATAACTTGCCCGTCGAGCTGTGTGACACTCTCCACCCACGGCTTTGCCTCTTCCGCCGACGCATCATAGGATTTTATAGCTGAAACCACCTCGGCCACAGTGTCGACCACGTATTTCCCAAAACCAGACCATTCCTGCTTGTTGTCCTTGAACTTCTACATGGCACAAACCAGAGTAAGCTTTCATTCATGGCCAGGCAAAAATCATCGCCAACCTTAACCTCGTCAAGGATGGAGAGTGCACCGCCAGTCGCCATCTTTAGAGGGGGACACCAATCAGCCGTAGCATTGACGACCTTGAGGATTGGGACGGCGATGTCAATTCCCTCCACGAGGAGATCATCGATCTTTTGCCTGAGAGCTCCAGCCTTTTGCTGCACCGACATGATCGATAGTGGACAAGGTGATGGAGAGGGAGCTTTGGGCACGTGTGAGCCCTATATGCTCAGAGCCATGAGGCCTCCGTCTGATTATGGAAGGATGAGGAAAGGCACAGCATGTACATTTGGTCGACAGCATACGGACATCCAATCCAATACCAGCGGCGAATTCTATGTAGTCCGTGCGGTGGGGACTGGGACGAATGATGACATTAAATCCTGGCTTATCTACTGCGAGAGAACATCTGCAAACAGGATGGGTGCGCGAACTCGATATGAATTGACCTGGACGCAGGGCCGGCGGTAAGCGCCGGTGTGGCACCTGGAACCCCATCACAGTCTTCTCATTGCTCATCATGGAAGCGTAATCAGATTCTATACAGTTTCTTGTGGCCGTGGGCTGTGCGTCAAAGCTTATTGGAGAGTATAAAGGCTTGGCAACCCAATTCTCCTTTCCTTATGACTAAGTGCCGTGTTGATAGCGGCTTGAAACCATGGCCCCACTGTACTGCCCATCGCGTCTCGCCGGGCCTCAGTTAGGAGCATGATCTAGGTTCTGGACCGATTTCTCTTCTTTATTTATTCCGCCTGCCTTTGGCGCTCTCAGGACCAGCCTGAAGTTTGCCAGCCAAATATCCAGAACACATAAACACTCCAATCAGTTTGGTCGTGCGGCTGTTCCAGTGCTGATTAGCGTGACGCTGACATCGATTCACTTGGTTGTGGGCTGCAAGTAATACTGTGGTGGCGGGGATGGGGGAAGGAACTGGAGACTTGTACTTTATGGATTCAGCAGCGTATTTTTTGGGCCATGCGATGGAATCATGTCCCCAATTCGACCGATGTGTTGAGGGCGAGGGCTAAAACGGGGATGCCGGAGTTAGTGTGGGTCAGTTGAATATCCAGTACGTTTTCTTTTTCCCCCTCCCATTGGCGTATGAACAACTCCACCTTGTTTTTCATGTTTGACGTGGGCAGTCAACGCTCCAAGCGTGGATTCACTGTCCCGAATCCGTCACCTCCATCATCCTTTGCGTCGCGTTATCGGAATACGGTCATCCACTCCTGCTCAGAATCGGGCGAAGGGGTCCCTTGCGCTGTTTGAAATGGTTTTTCTCATAAATAGGAAGGATGCGTTTATGGAGAAGATTTCAGGGAAGGCTGTAGCAGAGGGACAGGGTGGTGAGAGTGAGAGTGAGAGTGGGAATGAGAATGGGAATGGGGCGGGAGGGCGGAGCCGGTGTCGGGGGTTGGAGTGTGAATGAGGATGTGGGCGAGCGGAGTGCGAGAGATCTAGGAGAGCTGTTAGAGAGTATCTTCCCTGAATATACAGGTGGGAGAGATATGAACAAAGCGGCCAAGTTTTATTTTGTGGAAGTTTTCGCAGGCGAATAGGGTGAAGTTGACTATTTACCCTCAGTAAGTTTTGTTGCTCGCTCTTATCGAGGGGTTAGTGATCCCGATTTTGGTTGGTCCTTCTAGTTTGACCCAAGCGACTGATACAAGAAATGCATGTGCTTTTTATTGCTTGCCATTCGCTGAATGCCTCTGAATCTAGGTTGAAAGTTCCACGTGTTTTCGAGCCAATCGAGTCCTCCTCTTGCGCTGGCTTCTTTTGCCCTTTTCGCCTTCTAGAAATACCTCGCCTCTCGACCGTTTCCAATAGATTGATTCTGTCGGTCAGTCGCTCCAGGAGGGCACCTTTCCCCAACGGTCTCTTCAAAGGGATCGTCGACAAGGGTCCATTGCTTCAAAGGCGAGTATATCCTGCCATTCTCGGCATCGAAACTTCGGTTCATCATCTTCTAGCTACACGTTGAGGAAAAGGTATGCATAGCTACGGATCGATCGAAGGGCTGGTTTGGGAATCCTCTCATTCTAGAAGTCGCGCCATCGATTCAGTGAGAGATTGCCGTCGACCAGGTGTCGAATATGTATTCTCGTCCGATGGTTCGATGGTATTCTTATCATGCTGCGGCACGAATCGGAAGAACCAAGGGAGTTCTCCAAAGGACCAGGCCTACTCAGTCTATTTTTTTTTACTTGGTGGATTCAAGGTAACCTCGCCGTCCTATGGCAAAACAGCACGAATCTGTGATGTGGTGACCAGAGAAGACTTGAGGCTCTTCCAAGGATACTTTAACACAGTCTCCTTCTCGCCTGATGGATTCAGGATACGTTCAGCGTCCCATGATCAGATGGTACCAATATGGGATACAGTGACTGGGAAGAACTCAAGATCCCCAGAGATGCATGTATCAGGCGCTGGGTTGATTCAAGACTGTTTCCGGACACCGCATCCCGCAATTATACGGTCCATCCTGGGATTCGGTAACCTGGAACTCGATGGCCAAGTGAGCCCCATCTACCTCTGTAAAAACTCATTTTCCAACCCAATTGCCAACCCACCTTTTTCTTTCTTGGGAAATGCAGAACCCCTCATTTCATTGCCTCTTGTTATATCCACTTCGGAGATTTCACAATTGCCTGTTGGTACGCATGACAGAGAGCCCATTATTTGAGTGTGCCGGGTTGTGTGCAACATGCAACAACTTGATTTTGGGCTTATCAAGAGACAAGCAATAGCTCTGAACCACTCAAGGGCTAACTCGCGGGGCTGCTCCATCCTCATTCCCCCGTCTCGAGATGCATTTATGTAACTCTGAGGATTCAACTAAGCGACTGGATGATTTATAACGCAGCTTGTGCCGCTTGGCACATCTGTGTCGGGCTGACTCGCGTCCCATAATTGGCGGTGTCGGGTTGAATTCTCCTCTTGAAGCAATCTTGCTTGTTCTAAACTGCGCGGGGATGCGATTTTGTATCATTGGTTTCCGCGACAATCTTAGCCGGCCGACGCCCCTGCTCATCATTCGGACATTGGGGAGTCGCTGACCCAAGGGACAGTACGAGCAGATGGCTGTTTCACAAAGCTGCCGTCGCTAATCAGCATTTTGCGCGAAAGCTAATAACGGGCCCAAGGACAAGGGAACAAGAAGGTTTGCGTGAAATGGGGTCAAGATGCACGAACGATATGGATTAGCATTAGGCAGGACTCCAGCCTCTGAGGCTTCGTAATATCAGCATGCGCTCTGGCAGCAGCATTCACGGCGCAAGGTATGATGAGCAATGCCTATGGGTGAGTCAACCTCCCACACGTCATACCTGGATGGCCCGGATCTTGATACCTTGTTCGGTGTTTTGCGGGGTGCTTGCCTCCTGACTAATCGAATGGACCACAGGATAGGTGAAAACGGTTTAGGCATCAGTGGTTGCTAGCCGGGCCACGACCGTTGGTAATCAGTACGCCGGAACTGGATAGCCGCTCTGGCATGTGGTCACTTTCAAAAAGGCAGGCAAAGCTTACGTAATCATGATTTGCTCTACGACTGGGCAAGCCCCAGCTACCAATCTCTTTGCAGGGCGGTACCGTGACTCACTGCTCAACTTTTATAGGAGAGGTACGGTATTCCAACATCCTCTGGACAAAAATCCTCTTGGCATGGCTTAATGCGACTCGGAGCCCATCTGCCTTTGGAAATCGATCTCCATGTCTCATATATAGAACACTTCCCCCGGTTGTTTTCCTTTGCCACCCTCTCATTATCTGTCGTTGGTGACTTGAATCGAAATGAGGAGGTGCGGAACTGCATCCAAATGTTATGAGAGCGGAAGGATGGGCTGGTTTCTTCCGTGCTTCTCTCTGATCCGGGCGGCTCATCTGGTACAACCGGTGGCTTCATGCCGTACGTTATCGTGACGTCTCCCTGGGCTATCGACCATTTATCAATATGGATTTCTTTTGCATGCGTATATTCTTTGTGTTGGATTCACTCTGGCTATTGCAAGGGCCGCAATCTGATCAGTTCTACGGGTCCTTGCAAGATGGGTTGTAAGCTAGGCTTACTTTTTGGATTTATAAGCAATGTGGCGGCGCCGTCATACAAACACACACCCTCCGCTCTGCCCTCTCGCTAGCTCTGCAATGAGTTCATTTCTCAAGGCCCAGCCAATTAATTCACCTGCCATATATACAACTGACCGAGTTTGCCAAGTCGAGTCCGACGCGCTCAAACCCACCACTCTTGATGGCAATCAGTCTGACACACTTCGAACTTTCAGCCCCCTTCGAGCGCACATAGTAACAATTCATTCGACAGGAATGTATGTTGTTTGTCGAGATAATAGCCTCAAATCAAAGCTTGTTGTGTCCGGCCATGCATATTGAAGCCCAAGTCACTCCACAGTTGAGCTGGCTTCTCTAGTTCTCGACTTCCACACCCCTCCATGGTACATCGGTCAACGTGGTCCTGCCGATTGAGTATTTCCATTGCATCAACATTCGTCCCCCATTAAACTTCAATGTCGTCGCTTATGGTGGTAGGCAGAAACATGGACAAGTACATCGGTGGTGAGCGACGAGAAAGAAAATGTGTCAGATAAAGAAATGAATAACCCTGTATATTGAGATTATAACTTGCGACGGTGATCTGTTATGTGTGTAGCGACTTTATCCATGGTGTCCAATAAAAATTGAGGTTGGATTTGTTAGTGTTCTCCATGAGCATGTAGCAAAGAAGCGCAATGACAAAGGGACATGAGAGGAACCACAGGACTTGGGTGGCTCAACTGTGGACCATTTGTGCCTCAGAATGACGTCCGAGATCGGAAAGAGCGTTGCGAAGATTCCTGAGTGAATTGACCAATTGTGGGGTGTATGCTCCTGGGTTGATTTCAGCCAGCTGGCGCCGGATCTTGACGCTTTCTTCGATGAATGGGAGCACCTCCGAGTGCCGTCCGAGTCTGGAAAGAGCAAAATATAAATTGTTGAGTGACATGGCCAAATCTGGGGTGTATGATCCTGGGTGAACAGCAACCAACTGGCGGTAGAGGCTGACACTTTCTTCGATGAATCGGAGCCCCTCAGAGTGCCGTCCGAGTTTGGAAAGAGCGTCATAGAGATTGTTGAGTGACATGGCCAAATCCGGGGTGTATGATCCCGGGTGAACAGCAACCAACTGGCGGTAGAGGTTGACGCTTTCTTCGATGAATGGGAGCGCCTCTGAGTGCCGTCCAAGATTGGAAAAAGCGTCATATAGATTGTTGAGTGACATGGCCAAACCTGGGTTGTGTGATCCCGGGTGAACAGCAACTAGTTGGCGGTAGAGGTTCAGGCATTCTTCGATGAATGGGAGCGCCTCTGAGTGCCGTCCGAGATTGGAAAGAGCACCACGCAAGTTGTCGAGTGAGATGGCCAAATCGGGGGTGTATGATCCCGGATGAACTGCGACAAGCTGGCGCCGGAGTTTGACGCTTTCTTCGATGAATGGGAGCGCCTCCGAGTGCCGTCCGAGTCTGGAAAGAGCAACAAATAGATTGTTGAGTGACATGGCCAAATCCGGGGTGTATGATCCCGGGTGAACAGCAACCAGCTGGCGGTAGAGGTTGACACTTTCTTCGACAAATGGGAGTGCCTCCGAGTGCCGTCCAAGATGGGAAAGAGCGGCACGCAGATTGTCGAGTGACGTGGCCAAATTCGTGGTGTATGATTCCGGGTGAACAGCAGCCAGCTGGCGGTCGAGGTTGACGCTTTCTTCGATGAATGGGAGTGCCTCCGAGTGCCGTCCGAGATTGGAAAGAGCATCATATAGATTGTTGAGTGAGATGGTCAAATCTACGGTGTATGATCCTGGGTGAACAGCAACCAGCTGGCGGTAGAGGTTGACGCTTTCTTCGATGAATGGGAGCGCCTCCGAGTGCCGTCCAAGTTTGGAAAGCGCCAAATACAGAGCCCCAAGTGACGCGGCCAAATACAGGGAGTAGGACCCCGAGTCCACAGAAACAAGGTAACGGCAGAGTACAACGGAATCACTTGCCGCCTCATATGCCTCCTGGAATCTTGCAAAAAATTTCAAATTCCGTACAAGCTGGACAAGCATGCTGGCCAGTGCGCGGACAGCACCTTTTGACCTGTGGCCAACAGCCAACTGAAAGATCATGAGTTGTCAGGCAGTTTCATTAACACGATTGATAAACCACACCTTAGCCCATTCAGGGAGTAATGAGATGCTAATGTAGCCCTCCATTCTCACACAGGCTTCCACCCAGTGAGTTGCTTGCTCACTGAGAAACACGCCAACTGACTCATCAAGTTCCTGTGATGGTTCCTGGACTCCACTGAGGTGATGGACAATATAGCGACATGCATAATGAGAGTGCTCGGATGACTCCTCCGAGGGAATGAGCGGTAGCTCATCGGTTTCGGACAGGTTTTCAATCAGTCCCAAGCCCTTTACAGAGCAAAGATCCTGATTCAAAATCTGGGTACATCGCAGGGCAACTCTCGCATTCTCCATCGCTACATCTACTAGGATGCAACGAGGGTTGATTGATGGGGGATCGATCCGATCGACAATGAAGTCGCGGAAAGATTGGTGCAAGATGCGAACCGGAAAGTGAGAATCCTCAACTCCTGAGAGTAGAGGAGCAAGTTCAGCCAACGAATATCGAACGGGAGACTTAAGGAAAGGTGACAAAATTGCATCCCAGGCTGTGATAGACAGAGGCCGCTGTGCGACAAAGATTGCTCCCATCACAATTGGGTAGTCATGGGCAAAATCTTCATCCTCCCAATCGCACTTCTTCAGAATGCTTGTATATAAGCGGTCCATCATTCCCTCGGCAGGGACCTTTGATCGTTTCATGCCAGTGTTGAGCAAGCCCTCTAACGTCCTCATCGGATCCTTGTTGGCTGTCTTCATGTAGCGAAAAATCGTGCTGATCCAAATAAACAAGCCACTCGCACGTTCTAGGATCTCCTGAACTGTTTTACCCTCGTCCTGAAGATTATGCCGTAAATCGGGATGCCAATTCTTCAGCTTTTGCAGCTCAAAACGTATATATGTAGCACAGTCCTGCACGTTTGTGTCATCCGAAAGGTCAATAGCGAGACGACTGATAGGGAATTGGGGTGAGAGGGAGCGTCTAACAAGATCTGTATGTCTCGATGTGATAATGAATTTTATGGAAGATGGCAGCGTGGGCACTTCATCCCGAAGAATATCGGCAAAGGACTCGAACACTTCTTTGTCACATTCATCTAATGCATCGATGATGACCACCATGGGACGGTCGGGAAGTGGAGGTTTATGGAGGAGAGGCAAAGCCACTAAATTCTCGAATTGCTGCGCAAGTAGGGCCGTTGAGAGGGAAGGGTCTTTTCGAAGTGCAGATATGATGAAAGTACGGTAAACCGGGTCGTGGTCTGCTAGAGTTCGAGCTATACCACTGAATAGAAAATCGGGCCGCGACCGTTCTCCCGCTTTGAAGAAGAAGTGAAGTAACAGCGTAACGTCCCCTTCACTGGCACATCGTCCCGCTATCGTGAGTGCAATTGAAGTCTTGCCAGCACCAGCCACAGCAGTCAGTAGCATTAGCCGATTCTCACTCTCCCCAGTGTTGCGACACCATGTCATGATACGCTCCGTGAGATCGATCCTGGTTCCTTCCAGGCACGCATGAGTGAAATCATCATGGGCGATATGAGGGTATTGGAGACTATCGAGGATCTTGTCGTCCTGTAGACGACGTTCTATGGCCGCTAATTTGGCACCGCCTATCAGATTCGTCCTAAGCTGCATCAGCCAGAAGTCAGGATAGTTATGGAACGTATGCTGTAAGGAAAGCTACCTGAAACGACGCCAATGCTTTGTCAAAGTCTTTCTTTAAGCCATCAATTTTTCCTGGGTCTCTCAAGTAGGATATAACATTTAGGACAGCAGGTCGCTTCTCTACTTTTTTCAGTCTTTGTTCGATTTCGGACTTGACGTTTTGTAGCGCCCTGAGACTTGATGTAAGTGACGATATCAAAGACCACCAAAAACTTACCCATC